TATATATAAATATAAATATATATATATATATATATATATATTTATATTTATATATAGGCTTTGTTCCTTTAGATCAGAGATGCTACCGGCCCGCGAGCCCTATATATATATATATATGTAAATATGCTTGAAAACTTAAAATATTACCACTTAAAAATATTTGAATGATATTTGTTTATTCATCAAAATATAATTAATGGACAAACACTTTATATGTAAATTTATCGTATTTAGAAGAGGAAAATGCACACTTCATATACGTTATATTATTTCTAGAATGAATATATGAAATTTTAAGTTCGTAAGACATACAATAGAAGAGTTAAAGAAAGAAATATAAATATAAGCTGACATGAATTGGATAAAATTTACATTCCTGCGATTTCTGTAAATACATATATGATTAAAAACAAATACAAAAGTGAGAATCTATTATTTAACTATAATAATAATTATAATACTAGTCCATTTAAGAAAATAAGAAGTAACGAGTCGAAGAAAATTGTTAAATAAGTGAAAAATAGATCAAATCGTTCTATGGGCAGTATAACGAAATTATGAACTTTTTAAATAGAAGTCGTTATGTTGTGAATACTATAAATCCAAAATTCCAAAGTTTATGGAAAAACCAAAAAAATTGGAAGACTTCGCACTACATTTAAATTTTGAATACGATAAATAGGTAATTTTACGTGATATTTCAAATTTTAAAGAAAACAAAGAAACATGGAATTATTACATGCGATATATTAAAAAATTTATTTTTACTTTTTCATAATATCCATATCATGGTAGTACTAATGCCCATTCGACAACTTAAATACAATTTTTCTTTACCATCACAGCTGTTCAAGTTGAATTTCTTCCCGTCATTGAAAATATACTTGAGTTTTCCATAAGCTTCCAGACTTTTCAATATATTGTATGCAACAACTGTTTAATAATGTCAAAATTCTATACTATACTTTTCTGTCCATAGCAGAACGATTCAATTGATTTTTTTTTTTTCTAACATTTTTCGTCACAAGTACACATATATAGGGTATGCATTTTCTCTTTTTAAATCTGTGAAATTTATAAAATATCTTATAAGATTCTACACTGGTGCATTTTAACCATAAAATTACACATAATTTATTCTTTATAATCACTAAACTGTGGATTCTTGTGCATTTGTAGAAAATTTTAAAATATGAAATAATATGAAGAAACGTATAAAATATCCGAAGTATATATGATATTTACTATGTATATTATGTAATACAAATACTTAATATAAACAATTTTTTATCAAGGTTTTATTTTTTTAAAGTGTATATGAATTTATATAAAAATAATCATTAAAAAAATTTTTTATTACTATTATTATTATTTCATAATAATAAAAAAAATTGTACCTAATAATCACTATAACTACATATAATATTTATTAAATTCATTTCTGAAATCCAATTTGCGACGTTAAAGTATTTTATTATTTGACAAATATTTTTATCTTTCATTTTTAAATTACAAATCAGATTTAAAAAACTCTTTCGACATTTATATAATAATAAATGTGTATACAATATATTATTGTATTCAAACATACATGCAGTCAGATGATACAATAAGAATAACTAATGATTTTCTGATAGTTCTGAAATAACTAATGATTTTATAGAAAAATGTTTGAAATGAAATTTATTGTATTCAATCAAATGAATATGTTTTGATTTTTAGATATGTTATATTTTCGAAGATATCAAGGTAATCTTGAATTTTAAATGAAATGATATATTTTTTACATATTAATCAACGCAGCTCGATTTTTCTGTAAAAACGTACTAACTTACGTATGTTAAAAAATTATTAGTTTAAAAAATATTTTATTATTAGGAGATATATGTCATTTAATTTTACAAAATCTATTGCATAAAAGACGAGGAAAGACAAGGGCGATATTCTTGTATTCATATTGTCTTTGTACACGAAAAATTAAATTTATTATTATTATAAATTATTAGCAGTATTTGAATAGAATTATTGAATAGCAGTATTTAAAATATATTACCAAACTACAATTTTTTCTAAATAATTCAGAATAATAATTATAAAAAATATTTTATATTAAAAATTTCTTATCAATTTCTATGCTTTTGTAACTAAAGAAACAACAGTTTCTATTGATACAGTGAAATTTCAAAATTTATGTTTAACATTAGTTATATAATTAAGTTATTATATGTATATGTATACTTACAGCCGTTGTATCGAAATTGGATCAAAGTGTTGGCGAAGTAATAGATGCACTGAGAAATCGCGGAATGTTGGAAAACAGTATAGTAGTCTTCATGAGCGATAATGGTGCACCAACTGAGGGTATACTGAGTAATCAAGGCAGCAATTATCCTCTTCGAGGCGTGAATATTCAATATATTCTTCATAAAATGCTGATACATCTTAAACAGCTAAAACTTTGAAAATTTTTCAGATAAAGAACAGTCCATGGGAAGGTGGAACAAGAGGAGTTGCAGCCATCTGGAGTCCTTTGATTAAAAAATCTAAAAGAGTTTCAAATCAAATGATGTTTATGTCCGATTGGCTTCCCACACTTTTGTCTGCAGCAGGTTTGCAAATTTATATTAATATATAACAAAATTTATTTGATTAAAATTAATGTAATTCACTTCTTTAGGAGTGAATAGGAAGCAACTCGGAAACATCGATGGATTCGATCTTTGGCCAGCTTTAGTGTCAGACAGAATCAGTCTCAGGTCCGAAATAGTGATCAATATCGACGATCTTAGTAATTATGCTGCTATTAGACGAGGTGATTTCAAATATATTATCGGCCGGACAGAAACTGGAAGTGCCTGGCTTGGAGCAAGTGGAAATTCATCCGAAGGCACTTCCCCTCAATACGATCCTTACAAAGTATTGTACAGCAAGACGGGTATCGCGATATCCGGTATTGTTACTGCTAAACAAGCAATGAAATTGAAGGAAAGAAAAAAAAGAGATATAAAAACCATATACGCTACTATTTCTAAAACCAATTTTCAAGAGAAGATACTTACCACCAAAGATATTTCTGAAATACGAAAAGAAGCGCAGATAAAATGTAACATCAAAGAAAAAAACAAGGTTAGTATCATTTAAATAAAAATCACTTTGTTATTTGTAGTTATATTACGTATAATTTGTCTTCATTCTTTTTCTTTACTTTCACTAACAAAAATACCGTAGCTTGTTATAAGTTTTATAACCACCTTGTGCTCTGCAGTTTTAAAAAATTAATCTATAATTTTATTATAGATTTCCTGTGAACCTATAATAGCACCATGCCTCTTTAACATAAAAAATGATCCTTGTGAAATGGTGAATCTTGCTGAAAAGAGACCAGTAATTTTAGCCGTGTTTAAAAAGATTCTTATGAAGCATAAATTAAGTGTGATACCTCCTAGTAATTTGGATGGAGATCCCAAAGCAAATCCATTACTTTGGAATAATACTTGGACTAGTTGGGACGAACCTAATCCATTAGCACTTACTTATACAAATGCTAAGGAATTTCAACAATATTCCGATTCGGCAACTATAATAATGTCTATTATTTGTAGTCTTTTTGTCGTTGGAGTAATCATATTATTCGTTTTCAAATGTAGAAAAACTAACTCAAACAACGAATTTGAAGAATTCCAAATATCTGGATAATCACAAAGGAATCAGTTACACTATAAATTATAGCAAATTTAACAAAATACGTATGCCTAAGAAAAAATAAATTAACAGAACGAGATACACGAGTACTATCTTTTTAATTACCATAAAAGATTATTACACTCGGCATATTATCTTGTACGAATATTAGATATTTTAATCAAACTAAATGAAATATTTGTTCATTTGTGAATTCACAAAATGAATATTGAATGAAAGCATCCATAAAAATTTTTACCTCGTATCATCTCGTTCTTCATTTTCTTATATAAAACGTGATCCGTACGATATACAAAAGTATTATATCGTTAATAGGATAACGGTGATAAGATGAAAGACAAATTTTGAACTCAGAAGTACCGCTTGTTTAACAAGTTTGCTGTACTTTCAGAAAAGATCCGTGGAATAATTCGCAATATTTGTAAATAGTCCATAATCTTAATTAATGTTTACAGAATATTCACACTGAATGGTATAAACAATTATACCTACGACACTTGTAACGGGATTAAACACACACACACACACAAACTAAAATCTATTACATCAATGACTAACAATAACAACACGTTTATGAATAAATATTTTAATTTTATAATTTATTTATGCTTTTCTGTTCCTGTACAAAATTTCGTGGAAATAGAAAGTTCGAATCATCACGGTTAAAAAGCAACAAATACGGCGCTTTTATTGGTGAATAAAACCTTTTTAGATTTCGATAATCATGTGATTTGTCAGTATTTTATTAAAATTTATTTGCGATTTGGTAATACTACCTAAAAACATTCGTGTTGGTAAGTGGCTGGCAAATTACAAAGGATTTGCATAAAACGCATGTTAAATAAAACAATTTGTAAAAACTATAAAAGAGTAATCATTGGAACAAATATATTTCCATCAGATATCAGAACTCGATATCCGAGAAACATGTTATACTATTAACAATTTCAGAGCTAATAAAATAACTGAAATATACATTTGTTTCTTCAAGGCAATGTTTCGTTTATAATATATCTAACACGATAGCTATACAACGATTATAATACAATTAAGTCATATCCTCATATTCTCTTCTATTTTGAAGAGATCGACTTTTATTTCAGAAGCCTTAAGAGAAACACGACGCAGTTAATGTTTCAATGCTCAGAATTGTCACATCAAAAGTACAAACGTGTTTGCACCCCTGAATCCTAGTAATACGTGCATCACATTTTACAATCACATCGCCCTCATAAAATGCCAATCAATTAATCGAAACATTTTTAATTGCTCTTTTCTTTCGATTTAATTTGATTAGGGAAATAGTCTCGGCAGTTGGCACTTGGCAGGAATGTATCCAGAAGGCAAGGATGGTATTCACTTTACCGTCATTAATATTCCATCACATGTGTACCACCTTTGGTGTGCTACAACATTATGTTAATTTATTATGATAAATATTTCTAGAATATTAAAATTTCAAAAAGAAAAATAATAATGAGATTATTAGAATATAAATTGAAAGAAATAAATAAATTAAAAATTATTGAAATTAAGCATCTAAGTATTTCTTAATAAAACCACTCCAAAAATCAATAACATTACTGCCATTCTCTCTTTATTAATCAAAACCGATCTATATACAATATATTAATTTAAAATTTACCTTTTACCCCACAGCCAATTTAACAGAACGCTCGACTGACTCTGAACATCCCTAGCTGTAAGCACAAAATCAAAAGATTTATAATCAGCACTTTAAATATTTTGGAATTTCTATAAAATATATTTTTTCTCAAAATCTTACACTTCATTACATTTCTCTTGTATTAATATTTAAGAAAGCTTAAAATATGTGAAAAACAAAACACTTACGAAGCCAAGTAAAAAGTTCTACATTACTATAGAAAATAAGGTGAAAACTAAAAATGTTGAATTTGTCTAAAGATACATACAGAGTGTATAATTTGCATTGATGAGCCTGGCAGCTGCTTCAGGAGGCAAGGTACTTAAAACGTCTTTGTGCGCTAGCAAAGACATTTGCTGTGTGTGCCTCAGCTCTCGTTCATCCCTCAATCGCACGTCTTTTGCGTGGCTCACCGTTTGCAGCTGTGACAGCCTAAAGGGAAAACTAGCTTGTACAATAAAATAAGGAGCTTACTTTACTACTTAACACATTTCTACCAAGAAAAATAAAAAATTAATTCTCCTTACAGATAAAATGTTTAGGAGCAAATTTACCATTGCATTCGAATATTTAAAGCTCTTATAAGTAGCTCATATCTTTATAACTAGCCAATTCACGAGTCTATTAAAGTGAATCAAGGTATAATTTTTATGTCCTCCTCCCTTTTATTCAATCTAAAGACTATCTTATGTATAATTTAGGAAAAGAGATTTAAAAGAAAATTTTGTTTATCAAACCTTCGAATCTCTAATGCACTGGATGGAACAGGAACTCCCAAAACATTAATTTGTTTCTTGAGAAATACTTATTGAGAACATACTTAATTGAAAACATTTATCCTACTCAGATTAATTGATGCAAAACTTCAAACAACATGAATAGATCATGCAGGGTTACAGAAGAAAGGATAAATCAACTTGTTTCCAAATCTGCTACAAGTTAAGCAAATTTAGCTAAACAGATGCGTAATTCTTTAATTAACACAACGTTAAAAAGCGTTTTTCTTAGATAATAAAATCCTATTTCATAAAAACTATTTAGCACAAAACAGCTAAAAAAATAAAAAATATTACAACAGACTGAAACAAAAACAATAGACTAAAATTAAAACATGCAATTATTTTGCCTAACAATAAAAATTTATAGAAAATATATTTTTCCAGAATATATTTTCATTTTAAATAAAAAGAAATCAAAATAAACCGTGAGTCATTTTTATTTGAAAATATATAATATATAATATATTATATCTTATAAAGAGAAAAAGTAATTCCAAAAGAATCATTAATCATATGATGATCATTAATCACAATACATAATGATAGATATCAATGATATCTACAATTGATTAAAACAAAAAAATTTAATTAAAATAAAAGAACATGTATAGTACATACTTTGAGACAAGAGACTCCTTGTCTTCACCAATTGGAGCATCAATAGCTTCCTTGGCTATCTCAATTGGTCCCTCAGACTTTGATGGCGAAGGATGTTCTACAATTGGTTCCACACTGCCAGAAGAGGACATTTCCTTTTTTGGACTAAGATCAGAACTTGCTGAATTACTCATCTTTCTCAGCTCCTCGTTCACTCTAATTGCATTAGAGAGACGTAATTGCAATGTATCACGTTCTTCCAATAATTGCATCAATTCATGAGTTAATTCCTCACATCTGATATCTCTTTGATGAAGCATATACAATGCAACATCTAGTTCCTGTGAGGTCGATGTTTTACTTTCTTCGCTAGAAGTTTCTATGCTTCGAACTGCAGAAGTCTCAATCACAGGAACGTCTTTCTTTAAAACATTTTGAATTAATTGATATTCCTTTACTTTGTCTTCTAAAAGTGTCTTCAACGAATTTATTTCTGTTTCTCTGGCTGCTAAAGTATTTTTGAGTTCCATAAGTTGTTTTTGTTCTTTGTCATATAATGCTAAAAGTTCCTCTATACGTTCCTCTTTCTCATAAATTTGAATTTTCAAATTGTGAAGCTCAGCATCTTTAGTGATACTCACTTCAGCTAGTCTACGTTCCTTTTCTGCCAAATTGGAATTTACCCGGATCAGTTCTTCATCCTTTTGATGCAATTCGTTTTTCAATATTTGTTCTGTCATAGAGAATTCTTTCAATTGCTTCGTTAGATTTTCAATGTCCCTACCCCTCAATCGTAATTCGTCTAAAACATTTTCATTCTCTTTAGCTAACTTTTGCTTTATTTCATCAATCTCTGTTTCTTTTTCTTTTAGTTTTTTCTCCAGAAATTCTTGAGCCTGTAAACGAATCTGTTCTTTCTCTGCGCTAAATTTCTGTATAGTTTCTTTAGTTGTTTCTGAGAGCCTTTCAAACTCTTGCAGACGAGAAATTTCTTTCTGCAATTCAACAATTGTTGATTTCAAATGTTGAATTTCCTGTTCCCTACCATATAATTCAGAAGTCAATCTCTGCACCATTTCACGTAATTCAAACTCGTCTGATTGAGGCTCCATGCTGACTTGCAAAGACAATTGAGAGTCTTTTTCAGCTATGATATATTTAAGTTCGTTAATTTCCTGTTCCTTGGCATACAACTCATTCTGAAGTGTAACAATCTGTTCTTGATCTTGAATTGACCTTCGATCTTTGGAATGAAGATTTGCTTCTTCCTTGGAAATGGATTCCTGATTTCGTATCTCTATTTGTTGTCTCAAAGTATCAATCTGTTTCTCTTTTTCTTCAACTTTTATATTAGCTACTTCCAAAGCAGATTCTAGTTCAACTTTTTCATTATATAAACAATTAATCCTCTGTTGCATTTCTTGAATCATATTGGGATATGTATTTTCATTTAGAATGTATTTCAAATGCTCAATTTCCTCCTGTTTGTTTTCCAATTCAACTTGCATGGTATCTATTATGCGTTGTAAATTTTCTTCATCATTACCCATTCTGAAAATAGGCAAACCATCTACAATATTAGAAGAACTCTGTTGACATTGATTCTGCTGTATAGTTAACAATCTATCAATCTCTATTTGGTTTTCATTTAACATCTGATCACTCTTTTCTAACAAAGATATTTTCTCATTCAAATTATGTCGAGTTTCTTCCAACATCCTACGAGTCTCTTCTAATTCCAAATTTAAACTATCTATTTGCTCTGTTTTTAAATCTATTATTGTTTGCGTTTCCGTGCGAAGTTTATCAATTTCGATTTTATTATTATCTAAAAGTGTTTTTTGTTCCGTGATTTCTTGAATATACTGTTGCAAAATTGACTCTTTATTTATCAAAGTAATGTTCATATTTTGAATTTCTTGCTCTAAGTTCTGAATACGTAATATATATTCATTAACACTGATTGATGTTGCTTCAGATTCATTCAAACGCTTACGTAGTTTTTCAACAGTTTCCGAATATTTCTGGTTCTCCAATGACAATTTTTGAATTTTTTCCTTACTTTCAGATAACTCTATTTCTTTTTTACCAAACTGGTCTTTTATTGATGTCAAATTCGTCTGGACAAATGTCAAAGTTGACTCCTTCTCCATCAATTTCTGCTTTAGAAGTTCCAGTTCTTGAGCATCAAACTGATTTTGACTACTGTCTTTTTTGAGTGAATATTCATTCATAACTATTTCTAACATTGATAATTTTTCATTAAGATCTCGTATCTGTTTTTCTTTTTCTTCAATTTCTATTGCATGCTTTTGTACTAATTCTTGAGTAGCTTGACTGATGAGAGCACTAACAGTTTCCACACTCTGTTGTTGAATACATTCATTTTCTTTCTCACTAAAAGATTTCTTCAGAGTTTCTAATTGTTGTTTCTTCTCATTGAGTTCCTGACTCAAGTCCTGTCTAGCACTCTGCAACTTTATCTTTGCATCTTCATGATCTACATATTGTCTCTGAAGTTCCTGCTTCAAGTCAGCCACTTCTTGTATCCTGATATTCAAAAGATCGGTCACTTCCATCATCGATGCATTCACAGAAGATAATTGCTTCTCTGAAGTGACTAATTTTTCTTCTAGGAATGTTTTTTGTTGTAGAACTTCCTGCAATTTTTTCTGTAACTCGATAACGTTTGATTCGGAGGTTTCAATCTGTTGACGCAATTCGGATATTTCCGTTTCTAACTTACTAGTTTTTTCAAATGCTTCTTCCTTTAAAAGATCAGTATTTTGTCTCATGGCTGTAACTTGATCGTTGGCATCCATTAAACTCTGTTCATACTGCTTCCTCAGTAAATCATATTCTTCTCTAGATTTATTTAACGTTCCTTGTAACTCCGAAATTCTTTTATTTAAATCGTCAACAATCTGGATAGATTCACTTTCTTCCGCAGTTCGTTTTGATTCTAAAGTAAATAATTTCTTCTTTTGTTCTGCCAAGAAATGTTGAAGTTGCTCATTCTCAGTCGCAAGTGCCTCTATTTCATCTTTAAGATCGTCGATCTCATCTTTATAGTTTTTAGACAAAGTTTCATAATCTATTTCTTGAAGAGATCGTTTCTCTCGAGAATGTTCCTGTATAACTGACTTAGCTTCTTTGTTGGAGGAAACAATGCTTTCATTTTGAGAAGTGTCATTTTTATCCAAATTAAGTGCACTTTCCTGTAATTTTTTATCAAGAGCATCGACTTTATCAGACAATTCCTTATTTCGAATACGCAATACCTCCATATCCATATCCTGTCTTTCCTTCATTTCCATATATCTTTCATTCGCAGAGACTACAACATCTAAACGTTTCATCAAAGCCTCTTTCTCAACAACAGTATTTTTATGTTCCTCTTTAATCTCACTTAAGGTCTTTTCCAATTTACTGATCTGAGATTTCAATTCCTCCTCTATTGCAGAGTCCAATTCGTAAAAATCACTTGCTGATTTTTGTATTTTTAGCTGTTGTTGAAGACTGTCTATCTGTATTTTGTACTCCTTCAATTTCTTTATCATCTTCATGTTTTTCAATTGAACTGCTTTACTTTCTTCTATTATTTTCTCCTTTTCCTTCTCAAAATCTTTAATCTGATCCTGAAGATCATCTACTCTGGCTTGTAACTGCATTTCCATACTGGGAATTAATGTCGTGGTGAGATGTTGTTCACTAGCTAACTGAGCATCTTCCGCATTCCATTCCCAGGTTTCCTCATCAACACTAAGTTTTTCAATCGATCCTACATCCCATGTAGCTTCCATCTCCAATAAAACTTCCTGCTGAATTCCCTCTGTTGTAATTTCTGATTCTATTTGTTGTGTAACAGGAACTTTTTCTAATGGAATAAGTTCTTTTGTTGACGTATCCGTTTTATCAGACTGTTCATGAATATCTTCTAAAGTTCGTGTAAGATTTGCAACTAATTCTCTGGCTTCGTCCCTTTCATGTACAGTTTTCTCAATTTCTACCTGTAAGTTTCGTTCAACGTTCATGGAGTCTTTCAATTTCTCCATAGACCTAGACAAGTCATTCACTTGTAGTTGTAGCAAGTCACGCTCCTTAGTAAGAACTGAAATATGATTTTCCAGTTCTTGTATTACTTCAAAATCAGTCAAATTTTTCAATTCTGCTTCTAAGTTATTTATCTGTAACTTATATGATTCTAAAAGGCCATTTTGTTGATTTCGATCTGTGATCGCTTTATCTAATGTTTCTCTCATGGAAATCAAACTCGTGTTTAGTTCCTCTATTTGATTGTCTTTAGCTAGCAATGATTCTTTGAATTTATTGTCCATATCATTTTGCTGTTCCATTACTTGCATGCTAAGATTGCGCAATTCTGCATTCAATGAATCGATCTGTTTTTCTTTTTCAATCGATACTTGTTCTAGTTTCTGTATATTTGTCTCTGCTGCATGCAATTGCTTTTGCGAAATTTCTAATTTTTCAACACATTGACTATAATTCTGAGATATTTGTGTTCTTTCTTCAATCATCATTTTCTGCAAATGATTAATCTCTTGAGTCAAATTAGAACACTGTGTTTCCTTTTCATTTAATAAAGTCTGCAATCTTTTCACTTCTTTATCAGTCAAAAGATCAGAATCAGAAGTAGATGGCATACCAAAGATTTTAGAAGCATCGAATAATTGGGGAGCATTATCTTGAAGAGCACTATCAAAAACGGGTGTCTCTTTCTTTGATTTCTCCATAGATTCTTTACTCTGATTTCTATATGCCTCTAATTCCACTTGTAATTCCCCTATTCTTTTTTCACTGGATTCTTTATCGACTTTAAGAGTCTCAATTTCTTGTCCCAAGCTGTGTTTAGTATCTTGCAACGATTTTTCTACAATGGCTTTCTGTGCTTCCATGAATTTAAAAGAATCTATTTGAAGGGTCAATTGTTGTTCTAGTTGATCAGCGCGTTTCTGAACAATTTGCATTTCCTGTTGTATGTTTAATAATTCTGTTTCTTGTAATTGACATTTTTTTGTTAAATCAGAGTTTAATAAATCAATACTTTCGATTTTTTGCTTATTAACTTCTAACGTTTGCTCCATTGTAATTATCTTTTCTTCCATAGTGGTATTTGTAGATTGCAGCTCCTCAATCTTTGCTATCAATTTCTCATTTTCCTTCAATGTTTCTTCCGATTTTACTTTCACTTCCTCATAATTTGTTATTAATGAATTATATTGGAACAAAAGATCATTGTATGAATCCTCCAATGACCTATTTCTCATGCTAGTTTGGTTCATCAAATCGTTATACCTAAGAGATTCTCTCATTTGAACAAAATTACCAATAGAATTAGCTAATTCGTTATCCAAATTCTCAATTTCAGCTTCCCGTTCTTGTAATTTTGCTTCCAATGCTTGCACCAAAGTCTGGAATTGTTCACAATGATTGCAATGATGCGCTCCAGTCATTTTTGCATCATCTTCAATAGTTTCTTCCTCTGCAGTTTGTGTGGTTTCCATAGATGTGTTAACTGTTTTCTCTAGCTGCTCGATCAACAATTTTTGTTTTTCTGATTCTTTTTCAACAGTCTCTAATTTTTCATTAATATGCGCCTGTTTTGATAACAATAAGCCATTCTCAGCCTTAAGATCATTAATTAATGTAAGCTGTTCAACATATTCTGTCTCCATAACTTGCATTCGTACACTAAGTTCTCTAGCTTTCTCCTTCATATCTTCTAGCTCAGATTGTTTACGTTCATTTTCTTGGATAACTTGTTGTTTATAAGATTCATACTCCGAGATTATTTTCTGTTTACTTTCTCTTTCTGTTGTGAGTTCGACCGTTGAAGATTCAATATCTTGACGTAATTTTACAATTTCCTCTTCCATTTCTGTAATTTGTTGCCTAAGTAGAGGTATTTCTTTTAAATTAGCCAAATCATGCGTTAATCTTTCAATATCCTTAGAGGCTTCTGTAGATTCGTTTCTAGCTTGCATTAATTTTTCTTCTAAATCAACTATTCTATTATCCTTCTCACGTATTGCAATCTCCACATCTTGAATTTGCTTGTTTTTAGCTTCTTTTTCATCTTTTTCAGTTGTCCACTTTTCTTCGAGCTCGGTAACTCTACTCTCAAGCTCTTGACATATAGCCGTTTTCTTTTTTAGATTAGCAGCAATCTTTTTCATCTTTTCTAGCTGCATTTGTATCTTGTCATCAGAGTCCTTCAACTTTTGCTCCAAATCAGCAACTTTAGTTTCTAAAGCAACTTTAGTTTCTTCAGTTATATTGTAACCAACTAGCCTTTCCTTCTCTTCCAAATTACCTCTCAAAATTTCACATTCTTGCATCTTAGCATTCAATTCTTCAATTACATTTTCAAGTCTTTGATTTTGTAGATGTATATCTTCAGTATGCTTAACTTTCAATTGTTCTATCTGTTTATAAGTACTCTTTAATTCTGCTTGCAAATCATTGATAAATTTTGAATTGTTGTCTATAATGCTCTGTAATTCCCAAATTTGCTTTTCAATTTCACTTTTTTCATTTTTAGACTCTACAATTTGTGCTTCCAAATGATCTTTCATTGTTAGTAAGTCGACAAATTCTCGTTGCTTCTCGATTAATTGATTTTGAATATCGTTATTTTGTTGAGATAGATTTTTCACTTTCTCTAATAGATTGCTATTTTCTTTGGTAGTTGCACTGATCTTACATTCAAGTTCATCAAGAATCATATTCTTATCTTTTAATTGCTCTATTAAAGCATTATAATCTTTTATAGGCATTGATTCTTTTACTTTATTATTTAATTCAACAATGTCTTTCCTCAAAGTATGTATTTCTTCTTCTTTACTTTTCACTAGATTATTAAGATTCACTACTTCATCGGACATCGATGTTAATAAAGAATCCTTATCTTGAATTAATATTTTACAGTTATTAAGTTCATCCTGTAAACTATCAATCGTAATCATCTTATTTTGAAGTTCTGTATATTTGGTTTGTAATTCTTGATTTTTATCCTCGATGATTTCTTTAAAATGAGTAATTTCATTATCCTTTTCAGAAATGGCTGCAAGTTGCTCCTGAAGCTTTAATTCAAATGTCGTTGTTGTATTCTGCAATTGTTGTTTCAGTAAAATAATTTCTGCATCTTTATTTTCTTTTTCATGTAGTAACATTTTATTTTCATTTTGCAAAATTCTGAATCTGTCTTCAATGGAAATTTTTTGTGCCTCCAATTCTTTCATTTTTTCTTGCAATTCATTGGATTTGTATTTCCATTCTTCTAGAGTACTAAACATTTTTTTCAATTCCTTTTCTAAACTCTCCACTTTCTTTTCAGAGTTCTCATATTCTACAATTTGTTTATCCTTTCCTTTCAATTCCTCTTCTTTGTTTGCAAGTTTTATTTTCATTTCTTTGATTATATCTGTCTGTTCTGCAATTAAAGTTTTGCATTCTTCTATCTCATGTTGCAAAGAAGCAATAATCATGGATTCTGTTTGTTGAGGTAGAGAATCATCTGATTGTGGTATTTCAAATACTTCTTGATCAGATTGTGTAACAGTGCCAATTTGCTTATCCTTGATTTCTTTATCTTGAGCAACATTTTTCTTTTCTTGATTCAGTTTCTCCGATTTTTCAATAAGTTCTAACTTTTCATTATTAGATTTATCTTGTAACATTTGATTTATTTTTAAATATAATTCTTCTTTTTCCTGAATCACTTCAGTTAGATTTTCTTTTAACTTCTGATTGGAATGTTTAAGTTCTGACACTTTCGTTACCACTTCTTCGTTTTCTTTTAATAATTCTTCTATTCTAATTCTCAAATCATTGATTTGAAGGTCCTGAGTTGTTTCATGCCATTGTTCTAATGAAGTACGTAATTCTTTCACCTCTTTTTGTAAAAGATCTTTTTCTTCGATTAACATATCAATTTGCGCTTTGAAATCAACTTCTCTCTTTGATATTTCGGAAGTTTCGGATTGTTTATTTTCAATTTGATCCTCTAATTTAGCAGACTGAGTTGCTAAATCACTATTGTTTGTAGACAATATTTCAATTTGTTTTTGTAATTTACTATTCTCTTCAACAAGATCTGTTATTTGAATTTTGAGTTTCGATAATTCTACAGACTGATTATCATTTTCTTGCAATAAAACATCAATTTTTAGTTTTAAATCAATATCTGATTTAGATTCTATGTGCCCTAATTGTTCCTCAAGTTTTGTAAGTTTGATTACAAGTTCACTATTTTCTTGTGTAAGAAGTTCAATTTTTGTCATATTCTCATTATGTTCTGGAATTCGTTCAAAAGATTCTGTTGAACCTGTATCAGAAGATCCTTTTTCTTCCATTCTGCTTAATTTAACTGTTAAATCAGTATTTTCTTGGGTTAACTGATCAATCTTCTTTAATAATTCATTTTTATCTGTATCATTTATAGATTCCGTAGATTCGGCATAAAAATTTTCTTTTTGTTGAAGTTTATTTAATTTAAGAGTTAATTCATTGTTTTTCTGTGTTAAATCTTCAATCTTTTTCAACAAATCAGTTTTATCCAATTCTTGTATAGCTTCAAACGACTCAGTAGATCCAGTATCAGATGTTCCTTTTTCCTCGAATTTTGATATTCTATTATATAACTCGGCATTTTCTTGGGTTAAAGTTTCTACTTGTTTAATCAATTCTGTATGATTAGTGTCTGATAAAGATTCTGATTTATTTTCGTTTTGTAATCTATGCAGAGCTTCTAACTGTTCTTCAAGATCAACCACTTTAATTTCTGCAGTTACTCTAAGATTCTCAGATTCTGCATTTTCTGCCTCTAAGGACGAGATTTCTCGCTTTGCCATATGGAGTTCTAAAATGAGAATCAAATACTTATGAAATAATTAAATCTATTTATTATGCCTCTTAAAATATTTTTTCGATTCAATATTCAACATTAATTTCATAAACAAATTAATAAACATATTAATAAAAATATTAATAAAAAAACAATACATAGGTTACCTTGCATTAAATCCAATTTTTGATTTTCTAGAGTAGCAATAGCTTCAATTTGCATTTCAATTTCTTTCGCTTGAGCAGAAACTTTATTTTCAAGATCAACAACACGTTCTTGCCAATCTCCTGCTGAGGCTATACAAATCGTACAACAGGCCAATGATGTATGTATAATATTAATTGATAAAAAATGCAAAAGCAAGCAATTTAACTGTTATATTATTACAAATAAATTCATATTCAACAAGCTTAAATTCAACAACTTTTAATTAAATGTATCAACTATAATCTAAAGATTAATCGAGTTTGCACTAAGCATGATTAATATTTTTGAAATTATTAATTCAACAAGCAAATTCCCAAATTTAAAGCAAACATAAATTCACTTGTGTGTTAATTTAATTATTTTAATATATTAATATATCCAAATGTTAACTTTTATATTTTGAATCATATTAAACAATTATTTTGTATAATATTGATATCATACAACATACTGCAAATAGCTTTCAGAAAAATAACAAAATTGTATTTCTAATTGTTCATGCAAATAAGTTAATTATACAAAAAAAAAACAAGTAAAAAATAATATAAAATATTTACTAACAAATAAATCTATAATAATTCTATGAATCAGAGTGTAGCAAACTTTGACAAGTAAAGTAGGTACCATGTTATGTTAAAATAGTGACATAATATATTTGATTAGTGTTCTAAATAAATATTTGTATAATTTAGTATAAGTACCTAACTAATCAGGTAAAAAGATTCCATCACCAGAAGATTGCATAATTATAACTGTCTCGATAGCAATATTCCTCTTATAGGAAAAACAACAAGAGTAAAGAAAATATTAACAATTTTTTCTATGTAACTATTTCACACAAAATCAGTTATCAAAAATTCAATAAAAATTTCTTATATGTATTATTAAATACATGTATATATAAATATATACATAAACATTGGAATTTTTCCGCAATAAGGAAAACGGGACTGGATAATTATTTTAAGAATAATATAAATGGACAATGCATTGCACGTACAATTGATAACGAAACTAGAACAATGGAAACAGCGATGACAGAATTTCTGTCCTGGTTCCTACCTTTAAGCTCGTCAAAGTCTACCAGACTCAGCTGAAGGTTACCTTTCTCCTCCTCTAATAATGCCACTTGATTCCCCAATTTGACAAGTTCCGCATTTGTATCAGACATCTAAATTTAAAAATTACATATACTTTATCAATTTTATTATTGTTGTAAGTAAATAATTATTTATGTTTTCGAACGATCAATCAATTTGAAACTAATAAATCTTTAAAATGATTTAAAATGAAATTAATTTTTTATCTTATGATATATTATAATATATCTCACTTTTTTAAAGTTCTCCAATTGTTTTTGTAGACTTTTTACTTTACTTTTATGCTGTGCTTTAATTTTGATCATACTCTTATTCAATTCTTCTAATTCCTTAGTAAGTTTCATCACTTTTTCATCTTCTCTAATAGTATTTTCTTCTGGTAATTTTGCCATAATTTCATTTTTTTGTTCTTCAAGTTTATGTACCAAATTTTCAAGATCGGTTATTTTATTCAAATATTCTTCATTTTTTAGTGTTAAATCTGCCACTTGATTTTGCAATTCTGCTTTAGATTCTTCTTCAAGAAGCTTATTAGATTGTTTTAATTCTTCTACTAAATTTTCAAGTTCAACTATTCTATTATCTTTTTCTATTATTGCACCATTACCATGCATAGATATATTTACAATTTTATCTTGTAATTCTGCAACATTTTTTTGTAATTCATATTTTTCATCTTGCAACTGCTTATTATTATGTTCCAATTTTTCCAATTTAAACTGCAAATCACTAACAGTTGGATCTCTGACTATTCCAATACCAGATTCCAGTTTAAATATTCGTTCATTAGCTTCGGCTAACTTTAACTCGTAATCTTTCAACTGCTGTAATAAATTTTCATTTTTTGCTTTAAGGGAAGATTCTATAAGTACAAAATTTTCTTGCATTGATTTCATAACTTCTTTACTTTCTACCAAAGCGTCCATTGTAGAACGAGAGAAATCAGCACTTGCTGACTCAGACAACTTTTGCTTGTTAATTTGTTTCTTAAATCTAAATAAAAGTAAGAAATAAATAATAAGAAAAGATTTTTATCAATTCTGAGAAATATTTAATAAGTTTATAAAATTACCCATCAATCGAATCTTCTAATTCTGCTATTTTACTATCCCTTTCTTGCAGTTGCATTAAAAGATTTTCATTCTTATTTTTCAGGGACATCTCTAAAAGTACAAAATGTTCCTGCATCGTTCTCATTTCGTCTTTCGTATCTTCGAGAGTATCTAATGTCGTTTTACCCTTTTTTGAAAGATCTGCAGACATAAGGGTAACTGCCTTTGTTTTAGATTCAATCACAGAATCTTTTTCTTTTAAATTTTCTTGAAGATCCATAATTACGGCTTCAAGTTCCAAAATTTTATTATTAAGTTCTGTAATTTTGTTTTCCTTTTCTTGAATGCTTTCAATTTGTATTGGTGACATGATCTATAATCAAAATATTGAGTGATTATCAACACGACATAATAAAAATATTTATTTCAAAAATTAAATCATAAAAATTAATTGCTAACATCAGAAGTAATCATCACTGGTTTAACAGGAGTAACAGATAATTGATCCCTTGGAAAACCCATTACTGTCACATCTTTTTCTTCCAATTGCTGTCTAATAGCTTCTACTTTTTCTTCAACTGCACGTTTAGTTTCTATTATTTCTTTGTTACGCTGTTCAAAGGCTTTTCTATTTTCTGCTAGTTTCTTTTGGAGTAAAGTAGATTTTGCTTTTACAGTTTTTGCTTGACTAATGTCATCAATATTTTGATCAGATGTATTTGCCAATGATGTTTCAGATGTATGAGTTACATCTTTGGAAGTCAAATTTCCTTCTCTATTTCGTCGTGATAATTTAGCTCTAGATTTAATTTTGGAAAGTCTTCTTGCATACTCCTAAATTTAAATTTAATTTTCAGTGAAATAAAAATTTTTTTATTAAAATTTTATAAATTAATGCCAAATATTATTACCTGAACTTCTTCTTCTTTCTTTTTTAAACTTTGTTTATTTTTCAACATAATTTCTTTAAGAGTTTCCAACTGGCTTTTATTTTGTTCACACTTTTCTTTTGCATGTGCCACAGGTTCAAGTACCTCTTCCTCCATTATTTCTGGTGGTTCTTCTGATGCACTCCACATTGTGAACTGCAAAATTAACAACAATAAAAACCACTTCATTATAATTTATATAAGATAAACTTAAACTCTTGTAAGTAAGAAATTATGAAGTCAATGGCAGTGAAAGTTTCTATCAGACAGTGTGTCACCCACTGCTCTCATTTTCATATACTAATTGGATTAAAGCTCAACTAGGATAAACTAATTGTATTATCTATGTGTATAGACACTGAATGTCAGAATACACACGGCTTACCTTGTAGCATATTTAATGCTTACAACGCCGCATTTAAGTAGTAACTTTTCCAATGACATCTTATATAAACTATCAAATAAAGAAAATACTAATATTATAATCAGACTTCTATATTGTACACAAATATTTATATATAATATACATTAATTTTAATATAAAATTTATATTTAATAGAAACTTATTTATATATAAATTTATTTTTATGTATTTTAAAATTTTTTTCAATATAAGAATATTACAGCAAGTTCAACAAACAGACACATAATATTTATATATTTACTTCATATATGATAAAAAATAATAGTAAAACAGACTTTGCATTTAAAATTTTAAGAAACTGAATTTTAAATTAAATATCCAGAAAAGTACTTGCTGCTTTTTCATGAATTATAAAAAACATGAATTTATTCATCAAAATATGAATCTTCACATTTTATAATTTCTCTCACATTTTTTAAATCTCTTCCAACAATTTAATAGCTTATAAATGCCATTTTTATAAAAAAATCTCTTATTTTATCACAGAAAATATCAGAAATCATAACACTTCTTCTTTCAAATCATTTTCATTAGTGAACTGCTTGTTCCTCATATAGTTACCCAGACTGGGATACAAATGAAAATCTGTTGATAAAACATCTGGCAAGTATAATGGATGAAACATAATCTTCCATTTAAGTTTCATTATCTTATCACGAACCATCTTTGCCACATGTGGTCGGATGTTATCCTAAAGAAACAAAACTTTCTTTCTGTTTACCAATATTAGCTGTTCTTTCCATAATTTTTCCGAAATTGTTTCTAACTTATCACAATCGACAGTAGCAGTAAATGTTTTTCACACTTCTAAAAAAATCGTTGTCAATCAGAAAAATACCTAGAATTATGATTAACAAATATCTGCAAAAACTTTTCTGAATTCCTAATAATAATAATATGACATGTATGATAACTGATGAATAACTGAAGAAGATAACCTAAAAAATTTTCAATTAAATAATTAAATCTTACATAAATTACAAAATAAGAAGGTAACACGATGAATAATAAATAAACCTACGCAAATAACTTTAAATGTGAAATTAAATGACATAATTTATATCATAACAGAAAAAAACATATATATTCTAAAAATTTTGGATATTAAAAATTAAAGATTACATGAAGTCAAAAATCAATTTTTACTGATGTGATAAATAAAATTGTATTTTTATATGAATACAAATTATTTGCTTTCTGTAGCTGTGTTTACCTTTATTTATATTTCTGAAATTGTCAAGATGGAAACACGTAACTTTTCGTGCACATATTTTATTATAGTGTTTTTATCACTCACATCTGTATATAATCAAGATCAAATACATTCATGTCTATGTTTAACTAACTTTACAATATTTACAATGACTTTTATTAATAATTACATAAAAACACTAAGTAAATTGCAATCTTACACCTTAAATTGCAAAATCTACATTACTCCCTTTATAACCGGAAGCAGTTGGACATCCAAGCGCGTATGTGCTGCCACATTACGGAAGTTCTCGTTATTATTAGACTATTTGCAGCAAAAATTTAAAATGTATGCAATTCTATTCCGAATACAAATTCTCTAATGTTTCTTCGTCTATTAGAATTTTAATTTAATATTAATAAAGTAAAAATTGAAACTTCCATTATATACATATATTGTGGAAACCTAAAGTTTAATTATATTTTTATTTTACAATATTTTATCGAAAATTAGCAGTTTCAAACATATTAAATAATTTTTATACTTGTTAAATAAGATTATTTAGGATACATAGATAATCATAATTATAAAAATATGAAACTATATAAAAAACAATGTTGTTAAAAATAATTTCTTAATAAGATTCAATATATTATTTTTTGTTCATTTTTTAATTTTCGGCTTTTTCATATTCGAGTGTAAATAGTTAAGACTATTTATACGTTACCTTCTATTTATTTTCTTTTATAAATCAATAGTCAATTAACAATAATTGGTTTACTTAGTATTTTATAAATAAATAATTATTTACTCGAGATGATCATTAGTGAGTAAATAATCCTATTGTAACCTATTACATACGTAACATACGTTTCAATATACATCACTACACAACAGGTGATAACAGCTGATTCATGTGTATGTATAGTGTGTTATGAGTAATTTCAGCACCTATAGAACAATATGAAAAATCCATTTATTATAGTATATTTTTAAAATGTATAATGATATATAATAAATAAGGGTAAATATAGAATTTATTAACAATTATTACTAATTTACATACAAGGAATAAAAAATATATATATACATAAAATATATGAAAGAAGTTTTTTTTTCGTCACACTGATTATAATCAGCTTTTGATGAGAGTGAAAAATTACAGTTCTAACCTAATACGTACGCGTAAATGCACAAGACTACTTATATATTTCTACTACGTAAAAATGCGTATATAAACTGCATTGTGCACTATAGAATATAGTTTATTATGTATGTATATTTATTATGTATGTGTATTTATATTTCCAAATATTATATATATATATATCTATTTGTATGTGTATATACACACATATAATAGTATATATAAAGGTACATGTTTATGTATAAGTGACGTATATATGTATATATATCTATCTATATGTATATATATATACTATATATATATATACACACAGCGAGCTGGAGGTACGAGCTTGGTGCTACGGCGCATTTGCCAGTATCAACGGTCTGCGTTTATCGACTATCATGTATGCTGTGGCAAATGCGATCCATTGACTTCAGACATAAGAATTCTCGTGGGCTTTTTCGTAAACGCTACCATCGTCAATCATGATGGATGTTCAGACCCAGTACAAAGGTAGGAAACATTTCGATTTCTTTCCGTTAACATTTAAGTAAAACGTGTCCAAGTTGAGTGAACCTACACTATCACAGTTAGCACAAGTGAAGTCATAATTCGTTGAACTGTGTGTTTTCGTTTATTTAAATAGTTCAATAACAATCAATTGTACTCCTTTCCCTTCGTAACATTTTTCCATTCATTCCACGATTTTAAATGTGATGTCAATGCATGTACGTGTATACGCATGCATGTATCTGTTATTGATATACACTTTTGGAGGGAAGGAAACTGTAAACAGAAATGTAAATAAACGCATATTAATTGATTGAATGCAACAAACTGTCATTGTTTTTTTTACTGATTAATAAAGTTCGACATTGTATAACGATAACTGTAATAACAAGAGGAAATGATCCTTTCTATTTTACCAACTTGTCTATGGTCTCGCGATCACAGACACAACCTGAACGATATGAATTTAATCAATAACGAAATTAGTATTTTCACATCAAGATATTAACATGACCCCATTTATCATACTATACAAAACAACAAGAATATAATCAATTTTGTACAAGAATTTCTATGCGTTATAGATATACATGAATAATAATATCAACATAGATTAAATTATTTATTTATTGGCATTAAATGAAGTATTTTCTTTGTATTTCATTCTTGCTGTTACGGAAAAAATTAATGCATATAATATAATTAATTTTTCAATTTATGATATACTCCATTCTAAAAATAAAAACTAGTTTTTAAAATAAAGTCAATACATTTACTAGCATATGAAAAATAGGTATTGGATGTATTAGTCTACATTAAATTTAAACTTTATATAATGTTTTAATTAAATAATTCCAGATTATATAGTATACACATAATGCTTTGTAGATTAAACTTTGTTTGAAATAAAAATAGTACCTATAATCTATATTATACAGTAATATAAATTGAATAAAATTATAATTGTATTGTTTAGCGTTACACGAGTGTAACAGGACAAATTTTACGAGAGCAATGTTTGACCTTAATCGAGTTAAATTACGATTCAATCTTCAAATTAAATCACGTAATAAGAAAAGTTTCACTCATTACATATATTTTTAACAAAGTATAGTAAAAATATTTTCATGTTATAAAATTTATTTCGTTTTCTTATCCTATCTCTTTTTTTAAATGAACATTCTGTATTTAATTGTATTTAATAATATTTATATATACGATAATTAATTGTACATATAACGAAATATTAATTGTATATTTCATATGATTTCTATAAAAAATTTTGATTATCAAATTTTTTTAATTTTATTATTATATATCATATTTCTATTTGCAAATTATGAATAATAGTTTAATATAATCATGTTTTTTATCTTAAATCTAGCTCAATATCTAAAGAAGTTTATTTATCTACATTTTGGATTTTTTTTTTTACAAAAATGATTTTTTTAAGAAAATATTTCATCATTTTTATCCCAACTTATGTATTTTAATTAATGTAAAAAAAATTTTAAATATAGCTACATACAAATTTGTTTAAAATATAATTTGAATTTTAGTTTAGAATAAAAGATTAACAAATAAATATTTACATTGTATAAGCTTATGTTATTATGTTATATCCTATCTATTGAATGAGATTTATAATTATAATGTATAAACTCAGATCTTAACTAATATGGGTAACTTTAGAAATTCATAGTTCCAATTAAACATTAAATATAAACTTCTAAAGATGTAGATTAAAAGAAAGAAATTAAAAATTATTATCTTTAATATTTTATTGAAAAGAAACGAGAAAATCTTTTTATTAATTTAACTTTTTACAAAAATATCAATATTTAGAAAAATACAAAATTTAATTTGTTTAATATACCGAATATTTTATCAAATTTTTTAATACAATCTTTACATTTACGTAAAATAAAATCTTTTCTTTCTCAAAAATTCAAGAACGCTTTTTGATATTTTAAAAATTTTATCATTAAAACTGAAATATTCTAAATGTTTTTCTTGACTAATTTTGTCTTCTATAGGCACATATAAAAATATTTCAAAGAATAAAGAAATTTATATATCTTGATATTTAAAAATATAAAGAATGTTTTCATCGTGCACTTCTGAAGAATTAGAATAATATCTTGTGATTTAAAAAAATTAGAAAGTAAAAACAAATAATAATTAATTAATATAAAATTTTATTTTTATTTTTAAATTTTTAATAATTAATTAATATAAAATTTTATTTCTATTTTTGAATTTTTTAAAAAATAATTTATTATGATTTCTAAGATCTTAAAGTTAATTCAAACATATTACGTTTACTAAGCTTTTATAGATAATAAGAAATATGCATAGACGTAAAGAAGTTTGAACAAATATAAATTTTAAATGATTTTTTCAAAATAATAAATAATTGTTTAAATGATATAATACTTAAAACAAAAAAATCATATCGCATATTTGTGATAGATCATATTGCAAAGTAACATAATTCAAAAAGGTCCATTTACAAGAAGTAGCGAATACTTTTTTGAACAGAATTAGACATTAGACAAGAAACAGCATAATTCAAAGTAATATTTAATACTTAATATTTTTATCTTGCATGCACTTATTCATAGATAGTTAAGATAAAATTCATAACAAGGTACTATATATATAGTTAAGAATATAACTTGATTAAACTACAATTTTTATTTCTTATAATGAAATGTTTTAATATTTTCTTACTGTAATATAATGTTTTATTTTTAAAATCTGATACATTTATACATTTTCAAAATTTGTAAATGATTAATTAATAATTAAATATAATATAATCAAATGTTTTTGTCTTTGTGTGCTATGCTACAAAAATAATATTTTACAGATTTTTTTCTTCCGCAATATATAAAATTATTTTTTATAATAAAACTGCTAAATAAAGATAAATAAATTATAAAAAAATATTAAATGTGAGAAATTAATTAAATTATATTATATTTGAGAACTTTATTAATCCTTATATTTAAAATTCTCAAAAAAACTTAATCAGACATCAAACATAAATGTGTTTACTAGCCAATTTACGTATGTAAGAACATGGATTAGCAAAACATTAGATAATATAAGCAAAAAGAAATGAATGACGAAGTAACGATTATATTGAGCATAGTCAAGGATGAAATAATAGAGGTTCGGTTAATATGTATCATTTAACAACGTACGTTGTAGGTATAGTCGAGATTGAATAAGCGAAATTGAAAAGTGCATGTTTAATCAATTTCGCGATGCCATTGCTTGATATTTCATTTCATCAGAAAAGTATACCCATGAAGATAAAGACGAGAATATACTTCAAAATGTGAATGAAACATACTATTACGTGAAACATATATCCTCTATATATATATATCAAATTCTCCTTTTCTCGAATCTGCACTTTATGGCACATATTGTGTACGAGATTTGTGAAACTAAGGAAATAGTTGACATTAACAAGGGGATCTTTCTTTGAATCTTCATTCAAATATATTTTATATAAATTTATAATTTTATAAGAAATGAAATTGAAAACTGTTTTCACTCAAACTAAGGAATGTTGTTTTGAATTGTTTTCACTCAAACTATTATAAGGAATATTGGAAATATTGACGACTCAGAATCCAATCAATGCAAGTAACTTTCCATTCAAAGAGATTGTGCCGTACAAATACATTTTTTTTTTTTTTTTTTTTTTATCAAAATCATTAGTCGATGAAATAGTTTAGTTATAATGTCATAATAATTATGTTATAATGGCCATAAATGATCAAAAGAATATTGGCGTAAGTTATTTTTAATGAGAGATGTCCTACACTAATTGGCTTTTGAGCCATCCATATATTTTATATATTTTTGTCTAATAATGTAATGTACAAATTCATATATTCTATGTATTTATATATTTTTTAATTTGTCCATAGTCCAAATATTATATTATAAGATTAGATTACAATTAAGTAAATTACAACACAATTGAAAAATTAAAATCAATATATTAAAATCAAAAAAACACAATTAAAACAGTTAGTTTAAAAATTAAGTAAAAAATCAATTTTCTACATGATGAATTTTTAATTTAAACGACAGTTAATATAATTTCCTTTTTATTATTCTTCCTTATATGCTATTTTTATAATTCTAAAATATAAGATATCGAAGTATAGGAATATTAAAATATAAAAATATATTTATACTAGAAGTATAAATTTATATATTTATGCTTTTATATATTATTTGTTATTAAATAATATATAATAGAATTAATTAAGAATTTGTTAAATTATGGAAGAAGTAAATATTTCCTTGAAAATTTTTTTCTTCCGTAGATGACTTATATTTATATATTTATGTCCTCGGTAAAAAAAAATGATTAGAGTTTTACTCACGTAAAATATACGCACATCATAAATCTATAAAAATTCTAGGAAACATAAACCTGACAGGAAAGGTATAAAAAATTATACGTAAGTTTTTAATTACATATAATTAATGAATTTAATCATGTTTTATTGTTTTCTTGAACAAATAAAACAAATGAAATGTTCACTCAAAAAATTAGCAATAAGAATCATTAATAGTCAATATTAAAAAATTTTAAAAATACATTATAATTATAATCATATTCCTAATCGATTTATTATTGAAATTGTCAAATCCATATTATGAATCTTTAATTTCTGATTAATTCTATTATAAATTTCGTTATTCTTATATTAATCACAAATATATCTATATTTTTGTTGTTTAAATGTTATTATTAAAATAAGAGATTAAAATAAGAGATACAAGTTATATACAGATAATTACACAGGTTATTATTTAATTATACAGTAATTACAGATTATTTGGAATTTATTATTAATTCTATTTTATATAATCATTTAAAGAAGTAAACGATCGAACATATTAATTATATAATGTATAATAAATACAAAATTCTAAAAATTACATATAATTTTTACGCTTTTTTGTTATACAATTATATTTCCCAAAATTTCTAGAACTTGTAAATTCAAGTATCACATTGGTCATGAAATCAAAAATTAACTTTTACCACCAAAATTTACATGCATAAAATTTTTATTTATACATATGAATAAATACATCCTCAAAATGTCGAAATCATTAATATAATTATGTTAAATATATTAATATAATTTATCAGATTTTGTATATTACAAGTACATTTACTATAATATAATTTTACATATAAATTTGTATAGTAAAAGAGAAATCTAAAAAAGAAATGCGATATAAAAAATAACTGACCAATTTTAGGTAACTTAGCAAACACTTCCATTTTTTTTTTGAAGCATCATTCATTTTATCACATTTGAATTTTTCTTTTATTATTAGCAGTATATTACTTTAATAAAAATTTTAAAAAATATCAACATTTTATCTGCTTGTGCTAAATGTATTAAAATTTATTTAGTAAATTATTACTAATTATTCAGTAAATTTATTCATTTATATATAGTAAGGCCTAAATAATAAATAAAAGTGTTTTAAATTGGAGCTGTTTAATTGCACTTTTATCAATATATCAATATATTTTCAAGTCTTTCATTTTGTAGAAAAAGATTAGTAGTAAGATTTTTAATATGTCACTACATATTTATAGAACAAAGTAGAATATTTTTTATTGCAAATTAAATTATTTAATAAAATTTTATTATTTTTTGTATTACATACAAAAAATAATAAATCAAAGACATATTTCATAACAAATTTTATTACGATTATTAGTAAAAAGTTATTATAAAATTAGTTCATTAATATTAATAATATTATTTAATCAAGATCATTTAATAGTTATTAAAATATTATATATAATATTTAATTAAAATTTTTAATTAATTTTTAATTAATTTTTAATTAAAAAATTTGACATAAAGTAATTTATTTCCAGGTACATATACTGCTAATGCATGTAGTATCTGTTTAAGTTAAGTAGTCAGTTGTTTATTTTTCTCTGTTTTTAACTAATTTTTAATATAATAGCAACTTTTAATATAAAATGAAGCTAAAGAAAACATATTGAATTATATAACACATGCAATATACAAGTAAAGTTTTCGTTACAACTATTAATGTATATTTAACTCACATTTTCAATTATTTTTCAATTTTCCATTTCCTTTAATTACGCAAAACTACTGTTTCAAGTTGTTGGAAGTAATAAATAATATATGGTGTAATAATTTGTTTCTTATACAGATGTATTTTTCATCTTTGATTTAATCAATGTGATAGACTATTTCTATACTGATATATTCATAGTTTTATTTTACGTTAATATCCTTTGTTTATATTTTGATTTTGTATATAATTTTAATAATATTAAACAAAATTCATGCAAACATCTTTCATTAAAATCAATAATTTCAAATATTAAAATCACAACAGGTTAAAACCAATAATTTTTACTAAATATGACATGTATTAGTTACATTTATTAAAAATTATAAGTATGCAATGGATCAAACAAAATACGAAAAAAATTACACAAAAAATTTCAAAAATATTTTTTATGTAACAAATTAAAACAATATATTAAAAAATTCAAAAATCAGAAAATTTTGTGATAAATATAATAAATAATATAAGAATTAATAAAAGGATATTTCATTTCAACTTTCGAAAATAATTTTTTGACTTAATATAATTCAAACATTTTTGAATATAATTAAATTCTTTTATCCAATATTTGTTTATTTTATTGAACAATACAGTTCATTCATTAATCTAAATTTTAGAATAATTAATATAAAATGAAATTTACATTGAGTTTATCTTGAAAGATGAACAATATTGCAATAAACAGTATATTTTAGAATAGGCATATGTATTTTAAAGATTGAAAAAATCAAATAAAATCAGTCTTCCTGAAATCATTCAATTTTTATCTGAAATATTTTTTTATATAATTGATAGTTCTAAAAATATTTCAGTTTTAACTTTTAATTAAGCTATGTTATTTTTAATAATAATACAGAAATTATGTCAAAAAAATATATTCTCCTTAAAGTAATTGTTTATTTCCTTAAATCATACACTTGCATTATTATATAAAGAAAGTATATAGAAATATAACCAGTAATTGTTGAACATTGTTTCAGTCATTTGATTTGATTTGATTTATATAAAATATTTCAGAAATCGATCATTCAATTCAATTAATAAATCAATTAATAAATAAAATTATATAAAAATTATTATTATTACATTATCCAATAATGTTCGTGTTGTACAAATAGTGTCCTTCTTTATGCATTTTTTTTATTGTCTTGACTCTTAAATATAAGTTAAACCTTTTATCATTATTATTTTTTGAAATTAACATATGAAATATTACATAACTAGGAAATAAATTTAAATAATTATTTAAATAATCAGTTGACGTAATTCAATTTGTAATTTTTCAAATATTAAACATTAAATTAATGTAATGTATAATGTTTAATAAAAGTTTATGTATTTTAATAATTAAATTGTAAATATTATTAATTTCGAGAGTATAATGTTAACAAGGTTGAGGAGTTGAAGCAACTAATGAAAATCGTTACTAGTTACGACATTATATTTTACTGAAAATTGTCATACTTAACGAAAATTCAAAATATTTTAAAAATTTGTTTAATTTACTAGAAAACGTCACGTAACTAAGAAAATACATTTTTTCAGAAATTGGATTTGAATTTTTAAAATTTGTCATAAAATATTGTTTATACATTATACTTTGTCATTAATAGAAATAACAACCTGAATAACATTGTTCTAGAAATTATTGAGTAATTATGATTGCTCATCGTAATAAATAGTTAATTAAAATTAATTTTTGCAAACATTTTAAAATTCATGTCTCTTTAGAAGTGTTACTTTTTTCACAAACTGATGATGTGATATAATTTATCTTAAACACATCGCAAACTTGAATTCATGATATCAGTCAAATAAGAGGAAAATTAAAAGTAATAAAATTGCATTGTAAGTTTTAGTTTTAAAAAATAGAGTTGAAAACATCAAATGTATATATATTTGATTAATTTTCAATTTGACAAAAGTGACAAGAAGTTATTTTATATGTAAGAATAAATGGAAAATGGAAAATAAAATATTTTTATTAAAAATATAGTTTTGTATAAAATGGAATTCGGACATAGTATACAAATTTAATTACCACTGTTTTTTAGAAAATTTATAACTCTCCATTATTATTCTTGTTTATGTCAACGATTACTCAAATTCACTTACTGCATGTAACAATAACAATGTTTGACAAACTTGATTCTTTTGCAACGTAATTTTGTTATTCTCGACTTTATTTGAAAGCTCCTTAATTTATTTATATCAAAAATATCCATCGCATGAGCATCCATAAAAACGTAAGTGTAAGACGAAAAAAGTATTTCACTTTTTATATATTTACGAAGACTGGCGATTAAAATAGTTTAATAAATATTGAAAAAAATGCGTTAAATAGAAACATTAAAATTATAAATCTATTAGATAAAAATTTTAATTAAATATCAAACAGTACTTTATTGCAATTGCAAGTATTAAATAATACTTTTTTATTATTCGCTTTTTAAAGATTTTTCTACGTATATTTACTTTATATTACTACAAGAAAAAATCACTTATATTTTATTCAACACTTTATATAATTTCTTTTCTGCAAAAATTAATTACAGCCTGACAAGTTTCATAAGATTTATAAATTTCTACACAGAAATATAAAAATTAAGTGTTTTATCACTTTAAATAACATATATACATGATACAAATGTAAAATTTTTAAACAAAAATCGAAGAATATCTCTTCCAATAATCAAGTTACTATTTAATAAATTAAATAGTATTTGAAACGATTTAAAATTCATTTAAGACAAAAAGAATTTAAAGAATTATAAAAACATAAAACTAATAACAATTTGTTCTTTACAGTAACGCCTGCTACCGGCGATGATTGTAAAAATCAAACACCACCAACTTTACTCTCAAGTTTGAGAAGCGTTCTTTTCGTAATTGGAACCGTAGTGATCGGATTCGCCGCATTCTGCAACTCACTAACATGGTAAATTCTAACAAATGATGTAGACAATGACTTTTACATTTTTTGTAATTCGATCAAATACAAAAAAAAAATGTTATGGCTGTAAGACTGATATTTAGCGTTACCTTTTTTAATCATTTCATTCCTTAGGCATTTACAAAGATTTTGGGGAGCCTCTGGTGATTTCTGGCAAGCGCAATGGGACAAAATCTTAGATAAATTAGGAAATGATCCTGTCACGCTTTGGGTTCACGGTATACCAAGATAAAACAGAGAATAAACTTATAAAGTACACAACAGTTCCAAGATAAAGACTATTTGAAACGAACAAATTATGTGTCATCAATCAATTATGCGTCATTGAAATTGTTGAATTTTATCACAAAAAACAAATAATCTCAATTTTTATTTAGTTATAATATACATAAATTAAGTAATTCACGAGACTATTTTAAATACGTTAAATGTATTGACAAAGAGAAAAATATGTACTATATTTTGTAAAAAAAACTCGATATACGATAATATACAATTGAGTCATTTTTAACTTTTTTCATTTTTTTCTTGTTTAAAAAGAGAAGTGTATAAGATATAATCGTCTTGAAAAGAAGGAAACAGTACCTAGCCGTCGCTAATGACCAGAAGGTAGATGCGACGTTAATCATAAATTAAAAAAAAAAAAATTACTAAAGAAATAAAGTTTCTATGTTACATATTATTGTTATTGAAAATTTATCTTGGAACATTTTTATTGTCTTATGTGTATTTACCGATTTTTTGTAAAAATGTAGAATATTTCTACAGGAAGAATTACAAAATTAACACTTTTTAGGCTCATTAGGATTAACTTTTTTTGTATACTGGTTCTTCGGCGGGATTTACACAATTCTGGACATAACTAATCGACCAGTTGCTTTACGAAGATATAAAATACAACCGGGTACGAACGAACCAGTTGACACAAGAGAATTGTGCAAAGTAATCGCTCAAGTACTGTTCAATCAGATCATTGTTGGAGTTCCTCTAGCGTACGTCAGTTATCACTTTATGGAATGGCGCGGTTATCCCTCTGTACGCGAATTGCCGACCTTTCACTGGGTGCTTGTTGAAATCGCCATTCACATATTGTGTGAGGAAATTGGATTTTATTACTCACATAGGTATGAAAATTTTTTTATCGTATATTAAAAAGTATCGTGCTCGTTTTTCGCTTAAATCGCTCGAAAAAACCACTGTTTTATTCTCTAAATTAATTCATTTATTAAAATAAATATGTACACTATCATAATAATTTATTTATTAAAATGAAATATGTACACTAACGATGAGTTGAAAAAATTAAATGTTCCAAATAACAAAGTTCTTAAATCTTTTCAGTATTTTTTTTTTTTAGATAAATCATTAAAATAAAACATTTTGTGTATTGCTTAAAGGAATTAAAAAATAATATATTAACGTAGGTATCGATTAATGCTAAATGTACGCATTTATGTATGCTAAATAAATGCATTTAATATAATAGTTTACATAATTTTTTATTTACTATTTGGTTAAGATTTATTATAATTTTTCAAACAAGATAACTAATAAAAAATAATGTTTAACTTTTCTTACAGAACAGCTAAACTCACATTTGAGTAAATGATTCTTTGTAGTATATACGTGTATTTTACTTAGCATTTTATATGCCTGTGTAGATGTAAACAAACTTACGTAAAAGTAAAATTACGTTACAGATTTCTACATAGCCGCTATCTCTATAAGTATATACATAAGCAGCATCACGAATGGACAGCTCCCATAGCTGTAACATCGCTATATTGCCACCCTTTAGAACACATTGGCTCGAATCTATTACCACCGTTTTTGGGAGTATTCATCGTAGGTTCTCATGTGGCTACTGCTTGGCTTTGGTTCTCGCTTGCTATTCTTTCTACATTAAATGCTCATTCTGGTTACCATCTACCGTTCTTTCCATCTCCAGAAGCTCACGATTTTCACCACTTAAAGTAAGTAATTTCCATATATTCTGAAATTATTTATATTTTAATGTTAAGTAAATTGAACTATACTATTTATATTCTTGTGAAATAATTTTTTTTACTTTTTGATTAATATTAAATAAATCTCTACCGATATAACTATATTTTGTATGGAAGTTTAATGCTATTAATATTATATAAAATAAATATTGAATACTGAATTTATTGTATTTTAGATTTAATCAGTGTTTTGGAGTTTTGGGAGTATTGGATCGAATCCACGGAACAGACACGCAGTTTCGTAATTCCAGAGCTTACCAACGTCATGTAATGATGCTTAGCTTGGTTCCACCAAGAGAAGCTTTTCCAGACGAAGTAAAGTATAAATCTAAGTAGGAAGTATTTTATTGAACTTCGTGAAAAAAGTTCAATATAATATGTTTAATATAGAAATGCAGTATAAGGTATTTCTATATTTATAGTATTTTTCTTTTTTTTTTTTCTTTTATTTTAATCGTTAAAAACAATTGATTAATTAACAAGGTGTAGTAAAAGTTAACATTTTTCAATGATTGACATTCGTCTATTATGTACTTTACTTATTATTTTTCATTATTAAAACTGCGTATTTTTTATTATTATCAACTTGTAAGCAATTTATTATAAACTTTACAATGGTGTGATTGTAATATTATTATTAAACAATTTTTTTTATACGAAAAATGTAATTTTGTGAAGTATTTTTAACGAAACAGATATAAAAAAAATCGTTCTAAACTTATAACTATGTTTTATTACATTTGTTTTTTAAATTTAAATCTATAAAAAGAAAATCCTGATATTATAAGAATTTTATCATAATGGATGAATTTTAGATTATTAGAATATCTTTTTTACGACAAATACACTGTTGGAAAATTTAGAAATATATCAGATATTTCATCGGACATTATCTTGTTAATAATTACATAACATAGCAATATTCTGGAAACATCTATATACTTGACAAAATTATGTTTGTATTGAAATTACAACATTAAGAAAACTATTTGTGACAATTGCTATTTTTATATTTAATTCGATAATAAAAGCAATAAATTTAATCTAAGGTGAAATTACGATTTTAGTTTTATAGTAAAAATTATAATTACTGTAGATTGTTATAAGCCATAAAAATTATGCACATCAAAGCTTTAAATTTGCAAAATAAGACAAACTATTTAAAAATATTAAGAACATTAATATTAACAATGTTTTTCTCTAATCAGACTTATATGCATATATTAAAAACACAAATTACGGAATTGAAGCTTCATTTATACTTCTTTACATATAAATTTTTTTTATGCGAAAGAAACATATATCAAAAATTATATATGTCATATTTATAATTATCCTATAATTTGTTTATAATTATATGAAATGGTTACGTTATTCTTTATCAGTATAAACTTTATAGTTTACATACAATGCTAATATAGATAATTTTATGTACCTATATAACAAGCTTATTAATAAAAAATAAAAATTGAAACTATGAATTTTCTTTCACACGAAATGTAATGTATAAACATGGAAAATAATCAAATATTTTTAGTTAAAAGTATTTATATTTTATAAGAATATAATGATTTTTTTACACATTTATATACTACATATATATATATATATATATATATATATATATATAATTATTACTTTATTAACATAGTGCAAATAACAAATTTTATAAATATTAAATAAACAAGAAAGTTCATAAAATTCCATCACTGTAATAACAATTTCTGGAACTTTATCAAATAAAATAATTGGATATATTCTATAATATAATAATTTTAGTTTCTTTCGAGCGTTCAAACCGAACAGACGTGTTTACCTTGCTCGCGAGTGCCGATCATACAGAGTACAATATAAAGTGCTGTGATAATGTGCCTCATAGTATGGGTAGATTCCCCATCTCCGACACACCATAAGTCAGAGAGTGTGCACCAACAACGAGGCCTCTACACACAGATACCAACAATCAACCTACCATAAACCCATCGAATGTTCCAACTACACAAGCAAAATCCTATGTTACTATTACAATGATTAATTCTTTTCCAACTAAAGAGCAAGCAATCCTAATCGACGCTATTGATAACACAACTACATACTCGCGGTCGCCAAAGTTACTGGCTCCGAAGCTATCCATTTCGCTTCCTGGGAATCTCCAACGGTCGTATCTGCATCTATCTTGACAGAAAGACTACAGCACAAGACTTTGTAACTAACCACAAAACAATAACTATCAATAACGTACATACTACAGTCAAACCACTAATCAATCCAGCCCAGAGATTAATACTTTCGAATGTCTCACTGTCTATACCACACGAATACATAGAAAAATACCTCACAAATATCAACATTCGAATGACATCCAAACTAACGTTCCTTGAGTACAGGAAACAGGCTTTACTCATATAATGAGTTTTAGAAGACAGATCTTCATTAACCCAGACGACCTCACAAAAATTCCCCAATTCTTTTTAATAAATCACGATGATACACAGTACAGAATCTTCGCGTCTACGGATAAACCCAACTGCTTTCTATGCAAACAAAAAGGCCACGTCTTCAAAGATTGCAGCAATCCATCCCAACCCACAGCAACAAACGTAAAAACAACAGAACCTAAAAACAAACAGACACAAGACAGAACACACAAATACAACACAAATATTCCTCCTAATATTTAAAACATTACTGAAATCGAAGCCACCAACAACCATCGGAAAACCCTACCTGAAATAGACGACTTAACCGACTACGAACTTTCCAACTATAAAAGACCACTATCTGTGTGTACAGATTTTTGCTCAGAAGACGGAAACAAATACCCTTTCCTATTCCCGACAAATTCCAAGACCACCCCTGCTGGCAATATTAAAGAATCAACGCCTAACACCATCATAAAACGTCCTAAGCGTAGCCAATCGCTAACCTGGTTCATCGAAAAACTTGATGAAATGCTAAAACCGGTAAAGCCAACCCCTGATGACACAAAAAATAACTTTATCCTTAATTACTACCAATTCAACAGTCTTTTAGAAAACGCGTGCAGTACAGACAACCCGATCGACATTATCAAAGACTACACTCAAGATACTAAGGCTCTACTCCACATGATCGAAACAATCCACCCCTTACTCAAAGACAGAAGCCTAAAAAACAGAATACGATGACTAGCTAAAAAACTAACACAAGACCGACGAACCATTACAGCTGCGAAAAACGACTCTTCAACTACCGTTCATTCCCCGAATTGGTTCTTGGACACCAAAAACGATTCTCCATAAAATCTCTTCAATCATCAATTAAAATATGTCAATAAAAATTATTCAGTGGAATCTAAACGGATTCTATAGTCGATTGGAATACTTACAATCACTAATGGATAATGAGCAACCGGAAATCATTTATTTACAGGAAACGAACTTTAAAGGATTAAACTCTGGCAAACTCAACTACAAAGCTTTCACCAAAAATCGCTCCATTGACCACGCCATCTACATCAAGGACATTATCCACAGACAAGAGATTGCGATCACATTCAACCTTGAAGTTGTGGCTACAAGAATTATGCTACCTACAAACCTACATATATGTAATATCTAACAGCCAACATCTTGATGAAGTTGAACTTACCCGAATTTTTAGCCAATTATCAAAACCATTTATCATCACGGGAGTCTTCAATAGCCATAATATTTTATAGATCCCACAAGAGGAACTATCATAGCGAAACTAATAAACGAAACAAACCTAAACCTTCTAAACACCAACAAACCAACCCACTTCACGACCGCATCACATCCGCCCGCCGTAGTGCAATTGACCTGACTCTCTGCAACCCGAGAATCGCTCAAAACATTTCCTGGAATGTGGAAAGTAGTCTATTCGATAATGACCACTTCCCGATCAAGATCACATACCATACTAGCTACTGCCATAACACCTACAAACTTTCTAAGTGGAAATTTGAAAAAACCGATTGGACAACTTACCGCGAGTCTGTAGCATTTTCCATCTCCCATTATACTGAACCAAACCCGATCCAACCGGCTTCAATAAACACCGCACTCATTAATTTCATACGCATCATTATAGAAGCCGCTGACTTAGCCATTCCCAAAACCAAAACTACCTCAAGCAACTCAAAATCCAAACTCACTCCATGGTGGAATGAACAGTGTTTTGAAGCGGTCAAAAACTATAAGCACGCCTACAATCAAAATACATAACTCTCAAGAAAACCTCATTAACTTTAAAAAGTACAAAGCATTATCCCGGAAAATCATTAAAGATAGCAAGAAACAGTCATGGTTAAGATATGTTTCATCCCTTAATTCATCCAACAGCAGAAGTATGGAAAAAGATCAGGTCAATCAAAGGAAACAAAACATACCACACAATCCCTGCTCTAAAAGAAGAAGACAGTGCCCTCACCACAGATCCAGCGAAGATTTTAGAAATACTAGCATCCACATTCCAGCAAACCTTTAGCAATAACAACCAAAAGAATTCCAGAAGTACAAACTAGAAACCGAGGCCAAACCATTATTGCCAAATACTGATAATGACCCACAGTCAACAGCGTCTCTTAACGAACCTCCGCCCAAGAACTAATGTACGCCTTAAGTAGATGTGATAATACCAGCCCTGGACTCGACGACATTCCAAACCTTCTCCTTACTGCCACAAAACGCTATAAACTACCTACTCTCAATATTCAACTGCATATGGAATCACAATGTCTTTCCAGAAATGGAAACAAAGCAACAATAATTCCTAACCTAAAACCAGATAAAAATCCCATGGATCCCAATAGTTATTTCATTGACGAACACAATGTGTAAGCTAATGGAAAAGATAGTAAACCATCGCCTACGGTGGTACCTCGAGAAGCATCACTTGATCATCAAATTCCAAAGCGGCTTTCGGCAATTCCATTCCATCTATCACTTAATCAATCTAGAAACTAGAGATACAGGAAGCCTTTGCCAACCAACAACAACTAATCGCTGTATGTCTTGACATAGAAAAGGCATACGATATGGTATGGAGGTGCCAAATTCTAAAAATCCTACAAATGCACGGAATCAAAAACAACATCTTCAACTTTATCAAAAACTTCCTCCATACAAGGACCATCCAAGTTAGAATCGCAAATTATCTCTCTTCATCAAGAATCATAAAAAACGGCGTACCACAAGGATCAGTCCTAAGCGTTAGCCTATTTCTCATAGCCATAAATGATGTGATGACAAACCTATCTAACCCGGTCAAAGGATTCTTATTCACTGATGACCTCACTATATGCAGAGAAAAAAACCCACTCACCGCCCAAACTTTACTACAGAACAGTCTAAACAACCTCCAAAAGTGGTCACTAAATACTGGATTCAAGTTCTCGAGCTCTAAATCGGTAGTGATAACGTTCAGCAAACGTAGACACCACACTAACATTCATCTAAGCCTCAACGGACAAGAGCTAAAAGAGACATCTACAATCAAGCTACTAGGCCTAACTTTCGATTAACGGGGAAACCGCACATAAACAAACTTAGATCGGAATGCTACCAACGTCTCAAAATCCTAAAAACAATTGCAGTAAACAACTGGGATGCAAATATGAACATCCTGCTACTAACATACAGAACAATAGTAAGAACTAAGATAGACTATGGATCTATCGTGTACAACTCTGCAAGCCACCAAACCCAAAAAACTCGACCCTATATACCACCATGCAATTAGGATAGCAGTGGGAACATTCCGAACCAGCCCAATTGTTGACATCCTGAGCGAAGCAATGGAAGTTCCTCTAAAAAACAGAAAAATGCATCTAAGCATCAAGTTCGCTGCTAAAATCTCTAGCACCCCTCAGAACCCTGCATTCTTAAACATCTTTCGACAGAACGCAGCTACCATCAAATGAAAAAAACCGCATTCCCATTCTATAATAGAATTTTCCAATATGAACACGATCTCAACACCAAGGTCATCTTGGCAACCCCAGGAAATATACCCAGTTTTCCACCATGGACTGTCCCTATAATCACAACCAACACCGATTTACGCAAACATGGCAAAAAACAAACCAATCCTAACACATTTAAATCCCTGGAAGCTATTCCAGAGATACCAAGATCATACACATATCTATACAGATGGCTCAAAAATCCAAAACGCACCGGCTACTCGATCGTCTTCGAACATTCAACCACAAAAATCAAGCTTCACCAAGGCAGGTCCATCTCGACCGCTGAACTTAACGCACTAAAACATGCCCTCGAAACCACATCTACTAAATACCAAATACAATAGAAAATTCGCCATCTTCAACCAATGGACCATTCTAAACAATATAACCACGAATGCCAAAACGCCTACATCAAATCAATAAAAAACAATAACTCAATTACAGTAATATGGGTCCCATCCCACACAGGAATTGAAATGAACGAGAGAACGGACAAAGCTGCTAAGGAAGCAGCAAATTCGACAATCCCCTACCACAACACAAACCTATCACTCGATTCTTGTCCACCTAAAGCAAAAAATCAAACACCATTGGAACAACGAATGGAAAATCTTAGTGAAACCACGACTGCTAATTATCAAAAATGACTTCTACAATAATCGGACATACGAAAATAACACACAAATACATACTCACCAAAGAAGACCAACCATTCTGCGAACGGTGCAAGACGACCCTAACCACTTCATACTACAATGCGAAGTATACCTACTGCTAAGAAAACAACTAACAATCAGAGTTAAACCCACCCTAAAAGACAACCTAATGGACAGTGGAACATCATCAAGCCTGCTACAATATCTGAAACACACCAACACCTACAACAATGTAAAAATTCCTCCTTCTGTTGTCCTTAATAACCCATGAAATTGATGCAACATAAAATAATTGATTTAAAAAAAAAATAATTTTAGAAGTGAACATTCAATTTTTGTAGCATTAATCATTATTTTATATAAACATATGTTTCTCAAAATAAAAAAGTTGTAAAATAGAACACCTAAATAAGTAAATTGAAATTATACAAATCAGACATTAGACATTACTATTTTACAAGTTATAAATTAATATGAAAAACATTATTACATTTAAGAAATACAATCAAATTTTAATGAAAAGGAAATTAAGTGAAAATAGGGAAAATAAATTTTTAACATGAAAACATCTTTTATATTACATTACAAAATTTACTTCAGTAAAATTTACTTAAGTATTAAAAAAAATTGATATTATTATATATCATTTTCACAATTAAATTCTCACTATATTAATTTTTTTATCAAAAAATTTTACTGACATTTATAAATTAGTAATAAATCATTTATAGATAAAATCTTTTCATTAAAACTACTAATTTCAATAATTATTTTAATGTACTTTTCCTTACTTATACATTTGTGTTATAAACACTTCAATAATTATTTTACAAAATGAGATTAAAATTATTTCAAAACTACTTCATTTTGAAGAGTCATAAAAAACTATCATTGCTATAATTACAAATTTCTTATTATTTCCATATTGACCTTTCTAAGCACCATTTGTCTAAATTTACGAACATCAATATTCAAATTTCATACAATTGATAAACGAAAATAACAACACAGTAATGAATCTCATATCAAGGCAATAGAATAAAAAAAATATATATACAAATGTTGTAATAAAACAAAAAATTTGTATATAAATATTTGTAAATGAAACATATATCTTCATTGCAACTATAATGGCAGAATAGTATAATCGATTGTTATGTGTGTATATATATACAGTATACAGTATATATACATTATATATGAAATTAACATTATAATTTAACTTTTTAAATGATATAACATTTGTAGATATTAATCATTATACATTCCGTCAATAAGAAAATCCATTCGTCGATAATGTCTTTTGTCCCAACAATCTCTACCTTGTTTGTACAACATGAAAACAATAGCACCCAAAACTGGCAGAGCTATAAGAGTAACAATAACTGGTAAAACATAATTAATTTTCTTTGGCATTCCTAAATGGGAACCTTTCATATGAGGTATAAATGCTTGTTTATCACTATTAGGTTCTATTACTGTTGCAGTTGGTTTAGGTTTGTGTTCTTGGACTAATGATGGTATTATAGGAACATTAGTTGATAATTTTTGTGGCATCGTATTTGTAAAATGAAAAGTATTATTTACAGTAATACTTGAGGCGTCGCTTATATACTTTTCAGTAACATTTAACTTTAAATTATTAACGATCTTTTCGTTATTATGAACATTTACTGTTGTTGAAGATTTAATTATTGACTTTGTATCATCAGATAATATTATTTTATTGGAAGAAACATTATTTATTGCTCCTTTTCTTGATATAATTTTAGAAGTGGTCTTCTTTTTTACATATGGAACGTCATCATCTTTCAATACATTAGTTTGTATGTCTAAATTGTCAGCAACATTTGTTACATATTTGTGTGACTCAGTAGGTATTGACTCAATAATAGAAACAATTGGAATTGGACCACCTTCTGCAATTAAAGGAGTGGCAACATTTTTCTGAAATAATATTTACATATTTCAGTTATATATTTACTTGCTGTTGTTATATGTAGCTTATTCAAAACAAAAAGATCTTGAATATATCAAACACACTGTTCGACTTCTAAATAGTGTAATTTAAGTTTAAAGATAATTACTTATGTATTTACTAATTGTCAAATGCTGTTACTACATACATTTCGTGTTTTAGTAGAATCAACAGATTCAGGCATAAATTGAATCGGCGAAGACGAAGTTCGATGTTCAGTTTTGGAATTTCTGTCAGTAAAGTTTGCATTTAATGTCAACATCTGAGTCGTATCACCATCTGTTTTAATTTCATCGCTGACAGATAAGGTTAGGATAGATGTAAGCCATATAAACAGAATTAATCCATAGAATTTCTGCATTATGAAGAAACTCATTATTTTAATTATGGAATTGTATTTCGTGATACGATTGGTTGTAGAAAAATCTGGTTAAAACTTTTATAAAAATATAGAAAAACTAAAAAAAAGTGGTCTCAACCACTAAGAAACTTCTCGCTCCATCGTGAGCACGCATGAACTACTGTATATAAATGTATATATACACAAACATATGAATGTAAATAGACTCTATACGTACGTAAATTACTTTATTTTACTACCTAAATGCATATTGTTGCATACGATTTCAAAAACTTTTTTTGTTTTTTTCGTAATTTAAAAGTTAAATTCAAAATAATAATCCATATTTAAGGTAATCCATAATTAAGGAAATATAAATTTCCTTTCATAACGTTCCGTTTCTCTTTCTTTTATTCTTTCTGATTCAATATTCAAATTTATTAACTATATTAACTATACTTTGTTGAAATTTTATTATACAATTTTTTAATACTGTTATAAACAACTAAATATTTAATGATAATAGAAGAAGTGAAATTAATAAAGTTAAACATATATTCCCAGGAAATGCATAAGATTCCAGACATTTGAATTTATGCTAGAAGTTACTGATACTGATTTAAACTATTGTGAAAAAAAATTATACAGCAATCTACCTGGGTTCTACTTTCAAAATGTTTTTTAAAAAATAAAATGGAAAGCGAAAATATCCTTTTTTTGAAAAATTTCAAGTTCAAACGCCTTTACGGACATTAGAAAATTTTTTTCATAACTGAGTCCACCGTGAACCTAGAAATTGGACTTTCTCCCTTAAAACGACCTGTCGAAGCTTGATGTGCGATTTTTTGTCGCCGTTCTATTGAACTTTGAATAGTGTATAGTACATCCAAGTTTAGCGCGAAACAAACTTTGAGTTCATAAATTTTTCGACATTTCAGTTAAAAGACGTATTAATAATATAATAGTACAATTATTTCTTAAAAAATTAGTATTAATTGCAATATCTGTTATCATAAGAGATTTGTCATCTATTTGAAGATTTTCCTGAATCTTGAATTTATCTATATACATATATCTATTCCATTTTGAGATTTAAATATTTTGTAATATTTAGTAGTAAGAATCTTTTTTATTATACATAATATCACACACTTTTCAAAGTTTAATAGAATAAAATATCGCAAATCAAGCGTTTGAGGAATCTTGAAAGGAGAAAATTTTATCTTTAGATTCTTTAGATTCATGGATTCAGTTATGAAAAAAATTTTTCCAATGTCCGTAAAGGCGTCTAGATTTTCAAAAAAAGGGATTTTCGCCTTTTATTCCCTAAATAATATAGAAATATTTTTGAAAAAAAAAACAATAGAACACTCCATGCTTTAAAAGATTGTTCTATAATCTAGAGGTAGATTGCTCTATAATCTTTTTCACGAAGATATAACAAATCAAAGCAATTCTCAGCATAAGTATCCGAAAACTTTATATAATTCTTATATTAAATATACTTTATATTCCTCATATCAACGAACTTTATTGTAATTTTATTTAAAACAAAGAAATCGTAAATACAATTGTGATATTTACATTTTAATGTTAGTTAATTTTACATTAACTACTTTTTTCATTATAAAAGAAAATGTTTTTCTAACTTATTCTGTTACATGTCCTCTAAATAAAAATTTTTATATTTCAATTAGAATTTACAATTCTTTTATTCGTAAATCAAAATCACAAAATTAGAAATATATAACATATTCACCAAATAATTTATCATTAGTTATCAATTACAGTAATATTTAAGTTAAAGTACTAAGATGAAAGTATTAAAATTTATCAAAATTAAATATATAATCATAATTTATTTTTGTAGATATACAGGGTGTTTCGTAACTTGTGGGACCCACTTCGGGAGCTGATTGTACACCTAAAAATAATGAAAAAAAGTCATATAAAAGTCATATGTCCTATCTGTCTTCGTTTATGAGATATAATGAACTTTCTGTTTTAATTACTTTTACAAAAGATGCACGAAATGACCACCTTGCATTTGAAGACAAGCCTACACCCGTCTTGTCATTGATCTGGTTACTCTCTCTATCATTCCTGGTGTTTCTCGAATTTGTCGGAAGCTTTTCTCTATTCTATTTCGTAATATTTCAGCATTTTCAATCGATGTTGCGTATACAATAAATTTTAAATATCCCCACAAATGAAAATCTAATGGATCCGGAGAACGAGCAGGCAATAGGACCTCGACCAATCCATTTATTTGCAAAGTGTTGATTTAAAAATTGCCTAGTCACTCGGCTAAAATGCGACAGAGCTCCATGCATAAACCGCATACGAAGTCTAAGGAAGTTCCAATCGATATTAGATAGATAAATATAATTGGTTATATTTCTTATGATAAAAAAAAGATACATAGTTATAATTTCATATTATATGATGTAACAAAATTAACATTATTTCTGTTCACAGAATAGTATGAACTTTACCAATAATTTATACATTAAATTTGATTATTCGTTTTATCTCGATTTTCTAAATTTTGTGACTGATAAATAATTCTGCGTTTTCATTGTTTCGTCATAATTATTGTTCTATGAAAGCAATAAAGATATGTACTTATATTTATAACAATTCGCGATATTTTATTATTAGATAATTTACAAGGTTACATTAGTAATTTTTTTTCTTCACCTCTATTATTCATGCCTATTATATTGTATTAATCTCTATTTTGTATAGTATTTATATTTTAATAAATATAAAATTTATTCGAAAATAAAACTTTTATAAAAGGAACATTGTATAATTCATAATCTTTTTAATATATTGAAATTAATGTGAATATTAAATGTTAATTTTATATAAGTATTAGTTATTCTTTTGGATAACGTTGTTATCCAAAAATAAATTACTAGTCATTCTTTTCATAACGTTATTATGAAATAACGTTAAAAAAAATAAACTGAAAAAATAAACTGAAATTCTATGCCAATTCTTATCAAGATGATAATTGATATGAAACAAGATTTAGATAATTAAAACACTGCTTGATAAGATAATTCACTGCATCAAAGTTCACTTAAATAAAATTGAATTATTCAACGTGCAAAGAAATTGTAAATTAAATTCATTTATAGATACATATTTCTTTCTTTTGATCCTTTTGATTTTTAGTATAATTGAAAATAATTATGTAATGCGAACAAAATTCAAATAATTTTTAGTTTATCTTAAAAATCGTTATATATCAGAATTAATTATAAGTTCCGTTGTGTGAGATAAATGTTCATTTATGTATACAAAACTAATCTCCATGTAAACTGACAATGAGTAAAATACACGCATTTTATTTCAAAAAATTTTATTAACTTATTTCATTTTGTCTTGTGATAATGAAAAATATCTCCTGTGTACTATTAATGTGCAATTTTTAAATATTTGTTTGACATATTAAGAAATTATTTATTTACATCTTTATATATAAATACATCTTTATTTACATTTATATATAAAAAGATACATTTATATCTCTTAAAAATAATTTATCAAAGAAATTTGATACTTGTGTATCTATTTAAAAATCAAATGATTGTTAATGAGTTCATTCTTTATCATTGATTTATTAATTTTTGATCTGTTTCTTCCAAATCAAATTCTTCCTGTTTTTTTTTTTTTTTTTGTTAACCTGATATTATTGTAAAAATCGATTGATTTATTTTAGTAAACCTTACTTAATTGAACTGATTATATTTTTCTCGTAGATTACAGATAATAAAATTAATTAATCATTAAAAACGATATATCTACATCTATGTGATATGTTTATTATGACATCGAATAATCGGATACAATCATTCCAAAATTCAGTGCTACAATTATATACGAAGGCATTTTGTAGAAAAAACTTCACCTTCGTCGTGATCATTTTTTTATATCCAATTTCGTTTAACAAAACAAAGTACTAATCTTCGTAGTCGTTCTTGGAATAATTGATTTCCAGTATGTTCCACTGCTACTGAATGTATTTTGTCTACATCAAAATCATTAATTTCTTTCGTGTCTAACGTGAGCATCTTTATCATGAAAGCTACATGGAGGAACTCGCGTTCTCCATCCTCGTCCATTTTTGCTTTAAATCCTTCTTTGGTAAACTTATCCGTATTGCATTTCATTTTATTTAACGTATTTACCAAAGTTTCGTAATACAAATCCATCAGATCCTCGACTTGTTCTTCTGTCGTGTCATTCTTAACGCTAGAGTAAAGAAAAAATATCAAATCACGCATAGGACTTCCATAAAGATACATTTGGAAATCAACGAATTTTATGCCATTAATTTTTCCTTTTTCGCTGCGATGAAACATTATATTATTCACCCAGAAATCAGAATGAATGATTGTCGTCCATGGTTCTCGAAAAGAGTCTGACCAAATATCCGATTTCAATTCTGATAGAATTTTTTCACATCTTTCGTAATAAGGATTTAATTCTGGGTCTTTTTTTATCTGATCGAATATCGTTACAAATATATTATCCATATTAATTTCCGAATTCGGTAAAAATTTCGCGTACATCTTGAACACCTCGAAGATACCAGGTCTTTTTTGTTTCATAGCCATTCCTAAAGCATGAAATCTCGCTAAAGCCTTGACTGCTTCCTCTGCGTGCTCTAAATCGTAACCTACATAAAATTATCAAATATTGTAGTTAAATAAAATTTTACAAATACAAATATCTTCCGAAATACGTATTAAAATTTTTAAAATTCAGTAAATGTTTTAAAAAAATTTATTTAATCGTTGCACATCTTTTATATTATTATTGTTATCTTTATATTATTATTATATTTATTTATCATAAATTTATTATATAATATATTCATCATTTATTACATTGTTATATATTTATTTGTTAATGTATTATTTATTATAAATCGAGTCTGTATAAGAAAATCGAAATAAAAAAGATTGTTTTGATTGATTTGATTGATTTGAATAATTGAAAGATTATTAAAATTCTAATCAATTTTATGTGTCATTTTCATTCATAAATTTTTAATTTTCATCGCGTAATAAGAGAATTAAGAATCGTCAAGAACATATTATACATGATTCAGCGAAAATGTCAAAGTAAAAAAAATCTCAGCGATAATTATATATATATATATACATACTTATAATCGTAGGAACATAATCGAACAATATTATTCGCAATTAATAATATATAAATTTATAAATCGTAAATATATAAAGGTAATGTATAACAAATTGTTTTTAATTATAGTTTTAATTAAAGTGTATATACATTTTTAAGATTCTAACATATCTATTAAATTTTTAAATTTATTATCTATTTTATTATCTATTATATTTTTAAGATTTTAACGTATCTATTAAATTTTAAATTAAATTGTCTATTATATTTTTAAGATTCTATTAAATTTAACGTATCTAATGTAAAAATGTAATGTGTCTAAATTTTATTTCATGTCAATATTATTTTTACGTTTATATTAAAACTAATTTCTATAAGTAAATATGCCAATATTTCTAATTCTTCATAAGACGAAAACTGTTTCAAACCATTCTATAAATAACTGAACCTATCTATAAATAATCTTAACCAATTTTCAAAAACACCAAATATTGATTTGCATGATATTATAATATCGAACTGCTAATATTTCATGTTGTAATGATTATGTTGTTCATTTTTAGTAAACTTTAAACGAAGATTCATTATTATTTTATTTTAAAATATATATTTCATCTGTTTTCTTAATGTATAAATAACACGATCATTAAACTTAATGTTGTTTGAATTTAAATGTTGAAAGTACATTTTAACAAAAGTATAAGCGTAAAATACGTATTACAATACGATAAAAAAAAAGATAGCTACATTTTAAAACAATACACAATTTTATAGAACGATAATATTATGTAATACCAAAAAAATCGTCTTTTATTATTAATCCTACATTATTATTATTATTATTAGTCCAAATTTTTGTCATTATACGGATGTACGCGTGGTTTCTTAAATTATTCGATACTTTATTTATTAAATTACTAAATTACTAAGTTAAAAATTACTATTATTATTACTAAGAATTACTGACTTATTAAATTAATATACTGACTTATTAAATTACTAAATTACTAAGTTAAAAATTACTATTATTATTACTAAGAATTACTGACTTATTAAATTAATATATTACAAAAATTGATTTAACATAACTATTTTGTTTAATGACGTATCTGTTTTTATACAATTGAAAATACTTTGTAATACTTTTAACATTTTCCACTAGATGGTAATAACAATTAAAATTTAGTAACAAATAGTCAACAAATTAAAAAGATTAATTTTTTTTCATTTCAAAATATGTGTACATACCTAAAGCTCTATCACCGTTATAGTAACCTTCAACTTTCAAATTTTCCATAAAAATGACAGCATCATCGTCAAAATCTCCATCTGGTTTTAAAGACAGCCTGGACCCGTAAAATTGTGGCAAAATTTCAAATATCTCGTTCTTTTTTAATCCACACTCCAATTCCAACTTATTATAAGCTGGTAAAATAGTATCGTACATAAAGATTTCTTTTATAAATGTACGAGAACTATTGAAAATTTGTTTTTGATATTCTGTTGGTGGACACATCTTTGCAACAAGATGAAGATTCTCTTTCTTTTCAGTATTTTTATTCTTCAATTCAACTTCAACACTGAAAATCGTACTTCCATAATTTTCTCCAGGAGGTAATAGTGATTTACTGCTGAAATTTTCAATGATCATATGATTCCCAATCCTCTGACGTAGAACCGGCTCGATATCACGAAGTACAATTTTTTTTATTTCAAATATTTCGTTGTCCATTATTATAGAAAAAAAGATTATGTAATAAATTTTCGATCCAATCAGTCACAACCGGAAAGAGAAACTCCGCGGAACAATTTGTAAAGGTTTTAAGTATTGATTGAATTTATAAGATCGACTACTGACAAAATCGCAAGATTAACTTTCTTATCAATTATCTCAATGTGCGTATTATTACGCACACATATCAACAATCTTCCCTCACAAGATAGTACAATCTCAACAGTCAACTGATGTATTGCCTTGAGTTATCTTTTATATTTTTTATCTACATTCATCATGATAAAGATCGCGCGTGATCTTTTCCACTTGTTGCCATTAGTTTATTCTCGATTTCAAAAAGGTTAATCAATCCTTTAGATATATATATATGCCTGTATTTTCTCCACAAAATTTTTTAATTTATATGACAGCTTATAAATTATGTATAATTTATTTTTATCCTTTGATACTTAAACATATTTGTGAGTTAAAAATATTCTTTTAATTAAGCCATAGTTTGTTTTACAGAATAAAAAAAACCCTAAACGATTCAACATATTCAAGAATGAAAATTACACTTATAAGTTAATATGTAAATATATATTTAATTTTTGAAATTTGAATTCAATTATTTAAATTTTAATTATATATAACAGACTAAATGAAAAACCATTGTGAAATTATTATTTCTTATATATAATTGTGAAATAAATTCTCTATTTTCTTTATTTTCTTCTTATTATTCTTGTATTAATAACTTCTTATTATATTAATTATTTCCTAAGAATTCTCTATGTGCATATTAAGAAATTTTTTAATAACACGTACATATAATTTATAATAAATTTAATAAAATAGAACAAAAATAAGAAAGACATTAATGTAATAAATGAACAAAACTAGAAAAATCTTGTGATAAAAAGAATAAGTTTATTTCTGAAAAGATATAACAGTGGAACAATAACAATATTATAATTTCTGTTTTATTAAAACAAGTATATATATTTATATTTTATAAAATTTTTATCAATTGGTTCATATAATGTACATACATACATTATGCAATTTAAAAAATTCGTCACATGCATTCAAATCCTTTTTATATAAGGCTGTTTGCATTTTTATATATGTATAACAATAATATTTTATATTATTTTAAATCAATATTTTCCTATAGTCAACTTTACTTTGGATTGGACAAATTCTATAAAAAATAATATATTTTAGACTTTATTAAAACACGATTTATATCTATTTCTCATATAAATAATTTTATAATGAAAATATAACATTTTAAGTAACATTTCATGATGAAATATTATTAATTAATTCAAGTTATTTAAATTTGTGAGCAACAAAATAAAAAGTGTATAATCCTAAATTTACAGTATATAATTTGTTGTATAGAATGTTGAAAAAAATAACTACTATTTTAATTGTTTTGTATTGAACGACGAAGGATTGCATCTCCATCTTCTTCAATTAATTTTTGATGTGTAGCACTAAGAGCCTGTATATATTATATAAATTTAAAACTTATGAATTAAATTTCAATTAAATTACAAATATTTTTAGAATTTTACTAAAATCTTTAAACGTAATTTTCAAAAATTTTAGAAAATTTATAAAATTTTTATACCTTGAAATATTTTACTGTCTTCACGCGTAATTCTAGAGTAGCATCCTCATCACAAATAATTATTGTACGAGGATGTTGCTGAAAAGCTGATACAGTCCACATGTGATTGATCCCTTCTTCTATTGCTTTATAAAGAGCAAATGCTTTATGAGATCCTGTAATAAGAATCATCACTTCTTTGGCATCCATCACTGTACCAACACCAACAGTCAATGCTTGATTTGGAACTTTGGAAATATCATTTCCAAAAAATCTTGCATTAGCTTCTAACGTATCTTGAGCCAATGTTTTTACTCTTGTACGTGATGCTAAAGAAGAACCTGGTTCATTGAAAGCTATGTGACCATCTGGACCAATACCTACAATATAACATTTTGTTTTATATCTAATTAATTTTTTATATGAATTATTTACTAATAAAATTCCATACCACCGATAAACAATTCAATACCACCAGCTTCTCTAATTTTATTTTCAAAATCATCACATTCCTTTACAAGATCAGGTGCATTACCATCAAGAATGTGCACATTTTCTGGATCTATATCTATATGTTTAAAAAAATTATTATACATATAATAATGATAAGATTCTGGATGATCCCTGGGCAAGTCAACATATTCATCCATATTAAAGGTTTTTACATACTTGAAGGAAATTTTTCCTGTCTTATAATATTCTATAAGCTTTTTATACATTCCTAAAGGTGTACCACCTAAAAATGATTATTGGTCATTACAAATTTATTTTAATCATTGTATTCATTAATAAATTTTCAACACTTTTTTCCTATTTATAATATATGAAAAATACATACCTGTTGGAAGACCAAGAACAAAATATTTATCTTGATTTGGTTGGAAATCATTAATTCTTTTTAGAACATATTTAGCAGACCATTCTGCCACATAATCTGCTGTATCACAGATCACTAAACGCATTTTAAAATTATATTGTAACTGAGCTGAAAAATCACAAAATTGTAAAATGCATTCAACAAGTACAAGTACAAAAATTTAAATAATTTACAAAATCTTTCGAAAATATAATATTTCAATTAAGCATATAAATTTTATATACAATATAGTTTTACAGTTCTCGATAATATTTGTACAAATATAAATACAGAGATATCTTTATGACGGAGGTGTTTTTATCTGGACAAAGAATACTGAAATCAGAACTTCATTCAAGTTTTAAATTACATTTATCTTTGTATAAAATATTTTATTTCATCAATATAGATTCAATATCAATTTTATTCTTACTTCGTATTTTTTTCAATTAATTTTTATCTTTAAAATCTCGAAGAAACAATATATTTATCAAATATACTGTTTTCTCATTAGGAACTTGTTCGGAAATGTATTATGCTGTATATTGTGTGCATGTTTAAACGCAAGAATGTTAAATGATCTTCCATAGATTATTTTAAAGGTCAATAACCAATGGTTGTTAGTCTTCCGAAACATAAATCGTTTGAATTAATAAATTTCAATACATTAATTATTATAAATTTTAACATACTAACAAATGCAGGATGCAATGATGCGTACCTACTGCAAGAAACGAAGCATAATAAAAATATATACTGATAAAGGAGGAAAATTAAGAACTGCTTTTATAGCCGTCACCCAGCTACGAAATCAGCTGATATATGACTGAGCTAATCTTGAACCTTTGCTACTTTGCAAAAGATTTAATGTTTCGCCTATAAATAAAATTATTGATACTTAAAAATAAATTTCTTTTAACAAGGAACAAACAAGTTGGCTGATAAGTTCCTAACAAGCGACCTCATTCACAATAAAAAGTGCTTGTCAAAAATAAAAAAATCTCTATTCTTACTATTTAATTGCAACTTTTACGAAATTTAAAAAATGTATTTACTACTATTTTTTATTATTTTAGAAAGAAAAATTAATTATATATGTACGCGTCGAAACAAATATACATAAATTTGTATACATACAGAACATAAATAAAGGATCATTTGGGAAGCGCTGTAGTTCAGAATTTGGCGCGAATGTGATCTTGATAGTTGTATGAATGTTAATGTTTTACTTATGTTTTTTATACTGTAAAAATTTCACGTGTCTCGAAAAATTTATAACGATACAATGCCAGACGTGACAATTAATAATGTTATTGTAAGTTTTCCTTTTAAACCATATCCAATACAAGAAGAATATATGACAAAAGTGATAGAATGTCTTCAGAATAATAAAAATGGTGTTTTGGAATCTCCAACTGGTACTATTTCATCCTCTTTTTGTTTTGTTGTTATTACAATTATGCATGCAATTAAGTTAAAATATTAAAAGTCTTCATGAAAATGTTACAGGCACTGGAAAGACACTCAGCCTTTTGTGTTCATCTTTAGCTTGGTTATTGACAAAGAAAGCTCAATTACAAGCACAATCATTAATTGGTGCAATTGAAAAACCTGATTTTGGGGGACATTTTTTTAAACAATTAAATAACGAACTTAAGGAAGGTGCAGGAAATTCTGTGTCTGTCAATAATTTTAATTGGACAGCACCGAAAATTATCTATGCATCTAGAACTCATTCACAGCTTTCGCAAGCAATGCAAGAATTAAAAAGGACTTCGTACAAACATTTAAGTGCAACTGTTTTAGGATCTAGAGATCAGCTTTGTATTCATCCAGAAATTTCCAAGGAAACCAATAGCTCAAATAAGATATACATGTGTCATTCTAAAGTAAAATCTAGAACATGTTTCTATTACAACAATGTTGAAAACAGGTAAAGAATCATAGTGCCAATGTTTGATAGCCATAATGAGTCATGTGCATTAATAAAAAATATTAATGACAAAATATATAATTTAGGAAAGATGATCATTTTTTTAAACAGGAAATACTTGACATAGAAGATTTAGTAAAAGCTGGACAAAAGTTTAAATGTTGTCCATATTTCTTATCCAAAGAACTTAAGCAAAACGCTGATATTGTTTTTATGCCATATAATTACTTACTAGATTCAAAATCACGAAGAACACAAGGTATAGATATACAAAATAATGTTATTCTCTTAGATGAAGCACATAATATTGAGAAAACCTGTGAAGAGGCAGCTTCATTACAGGTATTTAATAAAATCAATCTGTATTTAATGGCAAATAGAAAACAAATCTAAAAGAAATTAAATTTTGTAAAATATAAAGATAAATTATACTATTATATTTCTGTAGATATGTAGTACAGATATTGCAATGTGCATTGATGAAATAACAGCTGTAATGGAAGATATGGCTAGCGATATTGAACAACAAAATGATTTTTCAATGGAAAGTTCAACAAATACTCAAAAAGATTTTACTGCAGAGGACTTGTGCATTTTAAAAACTATGTTTCTGGAACTAGAGAAAGCTATTGATGCAATAGAAATTCTAAAACATGATGAGGGAGATACACTGCCTGGTGGATACATCTTTGAATTATTGGGAAAGGCACAAGTACACAATTAATATTTTCTAATCTATATCGTGATGTAAAGCAAATAAAAATAGTAAATGTACTCAACAGTTAACCCATGGCAAAGAACAACTTGTAATAGAGAAGTTAGAGAAAATTGCTTTTTACTTAACAACTACAAGTACTTCTCCATTTGCAAGAAAAGGTAATGCACTTCAAAAATTCAGTGATCTATTAAAAACTGTATTTAGCAATAGTAATAGCGTACGCTACAGGGAAAAGATCAAAGAATGTTATAAAGTATATATTCAACTAGAGGAACAGAAAAAAACAAAACAAAATGAAGTTTGGGAAAAGAAAAAAGTGCCTTCAAAAAATAAAAGCAAAGTTATTAGTTATTGGTGTTTTAGTCCTGGATTTAGGTAAATCTTTTTTTATTATGTTTAATTTTGAACAGATTCTATTGGTGTATTTATGTGTTAATTACAAAATTAATTACAAGTATGCAACAATTAATGGACCAGGGCATACATTCAGTAATATTAACAAGTGGTACACTATCTCCTTTGAAACCTTTCATATCTGAACTTGGAATACCAATTGAAATTCAACTAGAAAATCCGCATATTGTAAAAGGAGATCAAATTTGTGTCAGTGTTCTTAATCAAGGACCTGATGGTTATTTATTAAATTCTTCTTTTAATACGAGGTATTAATTTTATTAAATATATCTTATATAGTATGTAATTATTGCCATAATATCACATTTAAGAGGCATAATTTGTATTCTAGGAATGATCCAAAATATATAGCATCTCTTGGACGAACAGTATTTAATTTTAGTTGTCTTATTCCTCATGGTCTGTTAGTTTTTTTTCCTTCGTATCCAATAATGAAAAAATGTAAAGAAGAATGGCAAAATGCAGGTTTGTGGACTAAAATTGCAGATCGTAAAGTAATTACCCCTTAATAATTATATTCAAACAGTTATAGATACTAATAAAAATAATAATACTATTAATTTATATTTATCAGCCTATATATGTGGAACCACAATACAAAAATGATTTTATAAATGTAATGAATGAATATTATCAAAAAATTAAAGATCCCTCTTGTAAAGGAGCTATTTTCATGGCAGTTTGTAGAGGTAAAGTGAGCGAAGGACTTGATTTTGCTAATGCAAATGGAAGAGCTGTATTAATTACAGGACTTCCATTTCCACCTTTAAAAGATCCGAGAGTTATATTAAAACAGCGATATTTAGAAGAGATAAAAAAGCGAGATAAAGAGGTAATTAAAATTGAGATATCAAATATTCATCAATTATTTTAATTTTATGTATTTCATTCTTTTTTAGGCTTTGTCTGGTCAACAGTGGTATCAACTGGAAGCATCACGTGCTGTTAATCAAGCCATTGGCCGTATAATACGTCATAAAAATGATTATGGAGCTATAATTCTTTGTGACTGTCGATTTGATAATCCAAATTTTAAAAAACATTTATCCACTTGGCTCAGACCTCACATAAAAAGTTTCACTTCTTTTGGTATTATTGTAAAAGAATTAAAAGATTTTTTTAGATATGCGGAATACACTGTAAGTTCAATTTTATAAAAAAAAAAGCTTTTAAATATTTCTATTTTTGTATAATTATTTTCAGTTTCCACAACCGAACTTAACTAATGTACAATCAGCAAATAGTCATATTTCATTACCAGCAACATCAGCATCATTTGATACAAAAGTGTCTCGCACAGTAAAAGTTATTTCAAAACAAAAAATTGAAAATCCTCCAACTGAAGATACCTTCAATATTGATTCTTACACGAAGGAAGATGAGAAAGATAAACAATTGGTTGAAACACAAAAAAAGAACTTATTTGAACTTTTGAAGACAGAATCGAAGCCTGTAATTAATTTCAATGACTGTAAATTAAAAAATGATTATACTATTTATGAATTAACAAAAAATATCAGTGAACCAGTCACAAAAAAAAGAAAAATAAAAATGTTACCAATAGAAGTTAACGAACATTTATCTGTTCCTTCAACTTCTTCTTGTGTGAATAGAGAAACAAATTTTCAACAAATATTTGAAGAAACTAGCAATGATGTTGATAAAAAAGCTTTAGGCAAAGCATATTTGAAAGAGGTAATTAATAATTACAAATTACAAATAATTGTAATTGATCCTAAATATACATACAAATAAATTTTAATTGGTAAGAAATTTATATTATACTAACTTTTTTTAATTAGGTAAAACGTTCTTTATCAGAAACTGATTACAAAATATTTGCAAAAATGATACAAAATTATACAAAAATAGGCAATTTGGAGGAACTATTAAACATACTTCAAAATCTATTTTCTCTAAATAAGGGATTGTTTCATTTATTTATAGGTATTTTATATATATTATTATACATATAGAATAATTTTATAATAAAAACTTTTATTTATCTAATATACAATTTTTAGGATTTAAACATTTTATAAAAAAACAACATATTTCTATATTTGAAGATCATGTTACTTTTATTACAAATACACAAAAGTAACACTAAATATAGAAAAAATTCAAAAATTAATTATATTTTAATATAAAGAATTATTATAAAAAACTTGCTGTAAGTAAATACTAACAAATTACATATATTTTATAATTTTGTCCTATTTTTAAATTAATATAAATTCATATATATTCTTTGAAACCATGTCTTTAAGATTTCATGACAGTCCTATAAATTCGCAATCATATTTAGCCTGGATCACCTTAATCAGAGATCATCTTGGTTCTTCTATATTAATGTAACGACTTTGATATTGTATCACTATCTTTGAGCATTGTTTGAATTGATGCCTTTTGTAAAATGTATTCCAAAATTCTACAAATTGATTTAACAAGATATGTTTTTGAATCTAAAACAATGTAATTTTTGAAATATGAATTTATTCGATATTATTTTATAAGTTTTTTTTTTTAGAAAAATTTCTGTATGTAATAGGACAATATGAATAAATACATATAATTGTAATTATAACGAATTTATATTTCAATCTTTGTTATTTCAATACTTAATATTTAAATCATTTGTGTAATATACAATAAATAAATTTTCTAATACAAATATGAAAGTTATGTTAAGTAAAAAAAAAAATAGAATGCATATGTATATTAGAGTTTATCATAATATATTATATTTTTAGAGTACATTTAATGTAATAAAACAAACTATAAATAATTTCAGTTATTTCAAAATATAGAATAAAATTTAATTACAAATTGATTTAATTTTCGTATGTATATACAAATATATGTTACATATTAATTTTGAATACAATACTTAAAATAATATACGGAAAATATATTAAAGCACCAAATACAAAAAATAAATTGTAGCTAATCATGATAGCTACAAAAATTAAGTTACACTTAACTTACATGTAATATATATATATTGCATTCAGTTAGAAACAAATAATTACTAGTTGCAACATACGTGAAAATTTTTTCCTTTTCATACGTATCTTTCTCTTGTATAATTAATTGTATCATTTATAACTTATAATATCAGAATTTTTCTATATAACGTTTTTGTTTTTATGTTTATAACATTCTTTATCTTTTCTTTTTTTTTTTTTTTTTTTTTTTTTTTAAAACCCCCCCCACTTTTTTGTTAAGAAACTTAACTTATGAAAACGAATTATTACACTGCTCACAAAAATATAGGGGATATTTCAAAATGAATATGAAGCGATAAAAAAAAGAAGCATTTGATTTTTTTTTATTAAACAAGAACAACTCTGTTTGACTTGTCGTTTGCTTTTCTAATTCTTGTTTAATAAAAAATCAAGTGCTTCTTTTTTTTATCGCTTCGTTTTCATTTTGAAATATCCCATAATTTTTGTAAGCAGTATACTTTAAGATATATATATCACTTATTTTTTTAATTAATGTGCTATTTTATGAACACATAATATAATATTTCCCTTACAAAAATTGATTTGAAATCTTAATTGTTTTACAAGTCCATGGTATGAATTGCACTCATATCCTTATTATTTTCAGTTTCTTTTTTAATAAGTGTATTAGTAACTATTTCTTGATAATATTCTCCAAATACACTTCGATTATGAGAAATAAGTATCAAAAATTGAGCTACTATAGCTGTTAATTCTTCTTGTAATGATGAAAGTCCAGGTGGAACTTGTTGAGGTGTCGCAGTTTGAGATAATATTATTTTTTGCAAAAATTGTCGAATTCTTAAATCTAGAAATAGATATGTAAAATAAAAAGATGAATTTCATAGTTTATATATAATACTCACTTATAAGATGTCTTATTTTATGTTCTGGATTAATAAGATCCAATATTTGGCCTTCTAATAATGTTTCTATCTCTGAAGATAATGGAGTAGCATTAATTTCTTCCAATGTTACTTTTAAATCTGTTTTTACTTGCAATACAATATTTGGCATTATACTTTCCAAATCCCTAATAATAATAATAATTAATATAATATAATTACTAATGTGAAAAAGTTAACTTATAATTATTATTACTTGTACATAGTATACTATACATACAGGGTGTTTTGTCTAACTGAGTACAGTGAAATATCTCGGAATGTGTTGGAACTACGAAAAAAATGTTTATACAAAAGTTGTTCAGTATAAAAAGGTGTCTTACGTATTAACAATTTTTTCATTCATATAATGGTGGAGGATATTTCAAGGTCAACTTGATTTTTTTAAATCAGACCATACATTTTCTTATTCGTATTACGACAGCTAGTTTCAATATGAATCCAGTGACCTACAATGTTGTACCGTTTCTTCTAATTAGTCCTAAATTAAGAACGATGAAGTTTGCGTATGTATGTAGATGCGACACGACCTGATTCACGATACGCAATACGCTCATTTCATCATCCTTAATTTAGGACTAAAAAAAAAATCAAACTGATCTTGAAATATCCTCCACTATTATGTGAATGAAAAAATTGTTAATACTATGTAAGACACCTTTTTATACTGAACAGCTTTTGTATAAACATTTTTTTCGTAGCTTCAACCCATTCTGAGATATTTCACTGTACTCAGACGAAACACCCTGTATGTATATATCATATATTACTATATACATACTTATTTGAATGTACAGAATCTAACAATACATTAAGATGTTGTTTAATATTCTTCTTAAAACTTGATACACCGAGAATTGGTGCACCTACTGCATTGTTTACCAGCAATATTACAGATCCTATGATGCTTAATCTGCTGGTCTTATCACGCAATTCCAGTAATCTACTTTGATCAAGCATTAAAGTCTATCAGACAGATGACAAAATTTCTATTATTATTAATTCAAGTAATCAAAAACTAATTATATTATTAACATAAATATTTGTATATGTACTTCTGCATCTGGACTAAAATCCCATTCTAGAAGGTCAAGATATGCTTCAGTTAGAAGGCAATGTGTTAGCTGACGCACAGTATTAATGTCAGACGAACTACTTGAAACATTTATTGAGTCAAAATGCCTTAACAACCATTTTTTTGTAAATTGTAGACCATTTGTATTAACTTTTAAGAATTCAGCAAATTTGGCTTTTTCATATTCAATACTTGAAGCAACTATATTTGGTCTCATCATAGTAATGGTAAAATTTGCTAAATCAAGACGCATTAATTGCAATACTTCCATTATTCCTTTGAATATTTCAATAACATCTGTTTTTTGACTAAGTTCTCGAATTTTTTCATCCCTTACTGGTGCACAAATTTTACTCATAATAGATATCACATATTGTGCATAATGATGGAAGTTCAAAACACAGTTTTCTGCTTGCTGTTTAATTAAATTTACATCAAGTACTTCATTTAAATTTTCTCGAATTTTTGCATGATGTGGTAATACTAGTTCATCTAATGTCTATAAAAGAAAAAGATTATTAAAAATAAATATAGAAATTATTCATTAAAAAAAAACCATGTAAATATATTACTTCTTTAATTTCCTGTAGTAAAACCAATGCTTGTGTATAATTTGGAGGATCTTCGTCTAATTGTTCTGCTAATAAATTCCAAAAAGCTTTATGCATAATTTCTTTTACTTTCCTGTGAAATGTGCCATCATCAGGTTCCAGTTTTTGCAACTGAAAATTTTTATCCACTGCAATTTCATGTGCTAATGCCATATTCTTCATGCCATTTGCAGCTTTTATAATTTCTTCAAGAGAAACAAATTTTGGTGGTGATGCTCCTATTAAACCACCTACCATAAAATTTGATGTTTTTGGCCTGTATGATATGTATTTAATTACAAAAGATATTAATATAAAATCTCAATATATTCATTGATGAATAAATTAAAAGAATAATTATATTATATTTTAATAAGAAGAAAAGGAAAGTGATTTATACCCTTTTACAGTTTCTTCTTCTGTCTCAAGATGAGAATCAGATTGATAACCTACAGGTACAGATGTGCTAGCTTCTTTGACATTGCATTTTTGTTCTTCATCGTTTTCCATTTTTTGTTTCCTATAATAATATATATTATTAAAATTTAATTGTAATAACAAATAGAATGTTTATTGTGATAAATAACAGTTAATAATATTAAGACAAAACAAAATATCATGAAAAATATAAACAATAAGTCAGTACTGATTAGTTGTTAAATATTCACCATTCAATTAATTAAAAAAAAGAATTATTTTTCATAATACACTAATTAAACATGAAATAGAATAAATAACACTAAAGATCTCACTACACAAGGACACACTGACCAAAATAAAATACCAGGAATAAAATTTAACAGTGTCGTTGAGTGTGAAAGTTTGCGACTAATAAAGAGATAACAAAGAGTAATACTCCATATTATTCCAGCACCAACCAAAATTTTGTTCCTAATAAAATATCATGTGTTAGACATTGGTTAACATATTTAAATCTATTTCAAACTATAAAAATATGAAATTTTTATTATCATAATAATCTTGCTTATAAAAATGAAATTGTAAAATAAATATGCATCAAATAATAAATTAATTAAGAAAAGAAATAATCTATTATTCTACTTCATAAAATTTAAATTTGCTTGCAGTAGCATTTTTTTAATAAACAAATTACTTTTGTAATTAAATAATAAAACATAATAACTCACATAATTGTACAATACATATCATTATACTATTATATATATATATATATATTACAATTAAAATATATAAAAAATATACCTATTTGGCATGATCAATTTTTTATTTAACTATTTTGTTATAGCATGATCAGCACTCAAAAACAGCTGGCACTTGAATGCAATAGATATTGAAGAAAAGGAGGTCAAATTTTGTCTATAAAAAGAACATTCACAAGGTACATATAAGAACAATCCTTCCTACTTGACTTTAAAAGATTGATATATTTTTTATTTTCAACAACTTATATCAAATTTACATATATATATATATATATATATATATATATATAAAATCTACTACATATTGAATATATGATATTACAATAATTCTTAATTATATTATGTTTCCTACTATGTATTAAAGTATTTTGTCAATTACATTAAATACTTTTCTGTTAAACAAAAAATAAAACTTTTATTTATAAATTTTCATAGACATTTCTATTTTTTGTTTAAAATAACTTATAATTTTTATATTATATTTAATAAAAAAAGTGCATCTTTAGTTTCCAAATATTTACATGAAATCAGAGTTTAGATTTCAAATATCTTATATTAATTCAATTTACAAAAAATAATAATGTATGCGTATTGCAAAATATTTTTTTTAATGCGATTCTATATTATTTTCTAATCAAACAATGCAATGTATATGCTGATCTGTTTACAAATAAAACTAAATTTGTAATATCATGTTATATATTATATAACTTTTTTTAATTATTGAATTATTTAGAAACGAAAGAATACGAAAGTGCTTCTCTAGATTTAATTACATTTAGAAATTTGTAACTTAAATGAAAAAATATATTTACACTTTTACTAGAAAGTCGAAATGCGTGAAATGATATCTGATGCTTTACCAAAATAATTCAATGGTTTTTCATGTTACAATTCACATTTCTGTTATAAATTTCTCGGTAATTTCATATATAGATTGTCATATTGAAGAATCAATTTTGTTCCAAATAACTACGAATTATTACAACTTTTTAGGTTGATGTTCAACAGTGGACTTAGGAATACATTCAGTTTTAAAACAGTGGCGTCCTCTGCTAAATTGTCTTTTCTTAATTTTCGCGCAATTATTATTTTGATTATTTCGACAGAATTATCTCATATTTTTTTATGAATATTTATATTTTCGTATGTTATTACATAAAAAAATTAATATCTATATTTAATACATTTAATACTAAGAAAATTGAATAAAATAGTATTATAAGAGTATAATATAATTTTGCAAATAATTAATTTAAAATAATATTGTTTAAAAGATAAATTGTCTATGTATATATAATAAAGTAAATAATATGAAGTAATATAAGGTGATTTGATATATATATAATATGTGAATCATAAAAAAGATAACAATTACAAATATTATTTTCTATTTACTTCGAATTTACGATTACTCATACTATTTCTTTATAATATATAAATTCGCGAAATTAAACCATTTATTAAATATTTAAATAAAAATCATATAGTGCTTGAAGAGTTGATTGGTTTGATTTGCAACATTTGTACGTGGCGTTATTATCGTAAATTTTAAATGTACTACAATGCAATGACAAATCAGATCTTAAGAATTTCAAGGAACACATGAACCATCTTTGGAAATATGTAATGAGTCATTGCTGTCTTGTCGACCTTGACTCTTACGTTGCATAGATATTAACAAAACATAAAATATTCTTTGTCACAAAAAAATAATTTAATAAAACAATGTATTTAATAATTATACTATTCTTTAATCTTTTAAATAATTCATTTATCTTATGTTTTTCACATATATAAGCAGTTATGCAATAAAAATAAGTAGCGAAATATAAAATTTTAATTATTATAAAATCAACATAAAAATCAACATATAAAATCAAAAATTCACAATAATGACATACTTCAAAATTTGCAGTTTTTTAATTATTAGCACTGAAAAAACAATATATTATATTTTCATTTATTTTTACAAAGAATAAAAGAAAACATATTCCGGTCAATTCGGATTATGAACTCAAGTCCTTCACTTGCTAGATATGTAGTTGCTCTAACCACTGTTTTAATTAAAAGCTTATATTTAATATATAATGAAATTATATTATAGTTCTTAATTTAAAAAGAAATACATTACTTTCTCAATCTTTTTCTTATTTTGATGATATAACCGATTTCTCATTTTAACGATATGTTAAAGAAAAAATCAAAATCATCAGGAAAATCAGGAAAAGACTGTAGCGAAATGGACAAAATTTGGAAAAGTCAATAAAATGAGTTATATAATAGTATAATATCTTATATATATATAATGAGTACTATATATGAGTAATAATATCTCAGGAATTAATAGAGATCTGCAGCTAAAATTTTATATTCGGAGTATTCTATTAGGAATATAAAAATAAATCAAACAGTCAGTGCTGGCCCGGGCCCCATATGGAAACTGGAATAATGGCCGAAACTTGGAAATTGATCATTGCCGTTGGTTCTTTTACCCATTTTAATCTGGACCCACCGGCAGAAATTTTGTCTAATGTCTAAATAACAAGAAGATGCGATTAGGAATATTTCATGACGCGATAGTGGGACCACACGTATATATATGTACGTGTATCATACATGCGAAGGGTACTGCTCGTATCACATAGTGACACCATTTATACTAAGGTAAAATAAACTTTTTTTGAATTGTATATGTTTATAATTGTTATAATTGTTATAATTATAATACAATTATAATTATATATGTTTGTAAACAAATTTGATATCACAACGATAAATGATATCCCCTATAAGTTCTTAAATTCATGCTTTCTAATAACCAAACATTTTATATAATATTGAAGGAAAAGAGGTGACACTAGCCACGTATGTGTACGTGCATATTTATATATACATACATAATATATATAATATATACATACATAATACATATAATATATATGTTATATTCTCAATTTTAATGTTTCAATGTTATTAACAGATACTCGTACACTTTTTGCTCCACTGCTCCCCACACGAAAAAATCCATTGGAGTTACATAGGTCTGATGAACGCAGAGGCCAATTGACAGCTCCAGCACAACCAACCCATCTTCCGGGAAAATGAATATTAAATTTTTGCAGTGAAGCAAAAAGTGTACGAGCAACCTATTAATTACATTGAAACATTAAAATTGAGAATAATGCAAGCGCGTAACGAAATAATAGGCGTACAGTGTTAATTGGCCACTTCTTCTGTTATTGATGTAATGCTTGTCTCCAAACTGATGGTAATCATTTTGAGCAACATATTAATTACAATAATTACAGACATAATAATTACAATTATTTTTAGTAATAAATACAACAATTTTCTTTAATAATATACGTAATAAACCTGAATTATTTCGATGACATACATTACTAAATCCTACAACTTTAATAGTAAATCTCTTGTAATATCTCTTGGCGATTTAATCTGGGAACACTCTGTATAATATAGAGTATTCCAGGAGAAAATCGAATAATTTTACTAGTGTGAGTGTTTGGTTGGTCTGTTTTGAATAAAAAAGATTATATACGCTATGAGTTTCGATTCACTTATTTTTTATTTATTCCTAAAAATAGATTTTACATTCATATAATTGGATTATAGAAATAATTTTTGTTTTTCATGTATTTTACATCTTTTTTTACTCGTATGAATTAAAGGAGGTATTCAAAATGACGACTTTTCTCTCGTAAACATAGATCTATTCGAAATTTTAATAACCGTTGCCAATTCATTCTAATTTAATTTTTAATAACATTGCGTATTTCTTGTATTATACTGTATACTGCTTTACGAAGATCGTTATTTTTTTTTATATAAATATAATGTATATAAAATAAAATATAAATATAAATATATATATATATATATATTACATATGCATTTATACTATATTTTTATTTCTTATTTTATCACATATATACTTACATCCTTTAGATAACAGAAATAATCATTTATTTAATTATTTATATATTAATAGTATTAAATAGTAAGATTACCTAAAATAAATATGTAACTGTATTAACTTTTTCAATGAAAATTTATATTATCATAAATCTATAATAATTATTTTGGGAAAATTAACTCTTTGAGTATTACGGGAGTATGTATGCGCTCACAAAGAAAAATAAACTCATTATCTATGGGCGCTATACCGAAAAGATTAAAAACAATATTAAGAAATTTAATTTTATTAATTTATAATAATGATTAAATAATTAAACAATATTAATACATGTATATATGTAAACAACATTAATTATATAATTAATTATGTTAATACAAATTAACTCGAAAAATGGGATAAGATGATTAAAAAAAACTATATAATTTTATCTCATTATCTTCTATTTTAAAATAAATTTTTCTTGCAATAGAATTTTTTATATAAACTTATCAGAGTTTAGTATAATACATTTAGTATAATACATTTAACAGGAATCCGCTGATTTTCCCCTCTACTAGTGACTTCTCGTTAATATACAATTACAATTAATATACAATAGGAAGTGGATTCAAATAAACAAAGTTCATATAAATTGAACGTACTATGATGTTTATTTTATCAATTCATAGTTTGAAACAATTTTCATTCCGAATTATTTTACGTTCACATAAAGAAATTAATCCATACTTTATCAAAATAATTTCACATTTATAATTTGTAATTTCATATTTATAATAACAATAATAATTATTATTATTATTAATTTACAAATATATAATCTTACATTATTTTTTCATTTATTGATATACATATATGTTTTATTTGCATTGGTATGAAGTTATGCAACCATCATTATTATAGTACATGCGGTCACGGCTGTCATTCGTTATTAAATTGGACTAACGATTGGATTTATAATACAAATTTTAATATTGTTTATACAAATTTTTCATGTTGTATAGAAAAATTTCTCAGGAAATATCTCAAAATCGATGTATCGCGAGTACAAATTGTTTATTAAAGAAATTTGGTAATGGAGTGTCATGTGTCATTCAAGTATAATGAGAAAAGTATAAAGCGACTTCCAGTCGCGGATGATAGAACCGGCCACATACACTTGCTCCATATTGCATAAGGCCGAACTTGGCCAGTCAAAAATGTTAAGTGGTAGAATTATAGGACGATTGCCAAAACTTACGAGGCATTCACATGTCAATCATTTTTTTCGACCTCTAAAATATATTGGCAAGTATTAATACACTTTATTTTTAAAAACGTGATTTTTCTTAATTTATACGAATTTTTCTTCTGCTTCTAAGCTTCTTAGTATTTTCCACAGTAAATGTTAAGCTTATCTTTATTCGACATTTTAATAATAAACATTCAAATAATAATTGTATGTATACGTTTAGATGACAATACCTTAATAGTTAATATTTTGTTAAATTTTATGTGGCATATTTAATTAGAAGTACACCACGCGATATAACCTCAAAGTTGAATAGCGATTATACATATTTTTTCAATGTATCTTTTTTATATGGTATTATTGATGAAAGCTCTTTTATTAAAGTCAAAACAATAATTCTTTTATTGCATATTATTCTATTAAAGCCATTTCATAATTATAATATTTTTCTTATAGTGAAACAATTACTAATTTTACTTATATTTAAACAATTTTTTAGCTAGTAATTAATACGAATTTTTATCGAATTACATCCTAAAATTATTATCCTGTTACTGTTATTTTATCATTATCTTTAATATTTCTAAAATTAAGAATAATATTTTTTTTAGGAATATTTAGTGTTCATAATTTAAGGTATAATAGCAATGGAAATAACAAAGTATATAAACCTCCGGGAACCACCATAAAACCAGAAGAATGTATACCTGAAAGTAGGTATTTCAAACAAAAGAGAACTGTACCTATATGTGAATCTCATCCTAATGCATCTTGTCCACCTTCTTGTTATGAAGTTTGCGGAAAACCAGATGATTCGCAAAAATCAAATGACAAAAAGCCTTCACCACCGTATTGGAAAATATTGGCAACTTTATTCATAGCAGGAGTTACAATATATGCAGTATAGTATTAGCAATTTCATTGTATATTATGTTTTATTTGTATTGCTGATTATATATATATATATATAATCAATTTTATATAATTAATTTTTTATTTTCTTTCTTTTTAATACCTTCATTGAAACATATTCTGTAGATATCTACCTCAAATTGGTTTACTGCAAAAAAATCAGATTTGCAAAAGGATGTAAGTAAGAGTAAGTTGAATAAAAACTTGTAATTATAGAAAGTTTTTTAAAGTGTAAGAGTTCATGATTAACTTATTTGCATGTTACATATTTAGGAGAAAAGAATGGAAGGCGAATTAGAAGATCATTTCAAAAAAGTAAATCTCCATCTACTTCTAATTCATTCCCTTCAGAGATACCTTATCTTTTAATAGGAGGAGGAACAGCTGCATTTTCTGCATTTAGGTCTATTAAATCTAGAGATCCTAGAGCTAAGGTACTTTGTAATACTAAAACTTCCTTCATTTATTGAGTTAAAATATAATAAGTTTAAACAACAAGTATTTTCATTAGGTTTTAGTAATAACAGAAGAAGAAGACTTGCCATACATGAGACCTCCATTATCCAAAGAACTTTGGTATAATAGAGATAGAAAAATAAGTGCACAATTACTTTTTAAACAATGGAATGGTGCTCAGAGAAGGTAATAATCATTTATGCTAATAAAAGTGTGTTATATTTTTATACTTAAATGAAAACACTTAAATAGTGTTTTATTCTTGGTTTTATAAAAAGTTCATTATTTCATGAAGCATATGTAATGATAGAATAAATTTTTTTTCACAGTCATTTTTTTATATATGATTTTAAGATCAATTTTTTTTCAAATGGAACATAAATAACATATTTTTTTATATACCAATCTACGCGTTTTTTTTTTTATTCTGAATACAAATACAAAAGTATTAAATATTTGTATTTGAAAATGCTTGATTTAAAAAATATTTCAATTACATTTCATCAAATTTATATGACATATATAAAAACATAAGAATATTACTTTTATTTTTAGGACACACATACATAAATATACATATATACATAAACTTAAGAATACTACTGTTTGTCTTTTATACACAAAATGAAATAATTATAATATCTGTAATACAGATTTTCTTTATAAAGCTATGAACAACAAAGATATTTAAATGTTCCTTTTTAAATGTCATATCTTAAATAATGGTAATTTATCATATGTTATATTTGCAGTATATTTTACGAACCACCAGAATTTTATTCAGATATTAGTAACTTAAGTCAGTCTGATAAAGGTGGTGTGGCTGTAGCAACAGGTTGGAAAGTTATGAAAATTGACGTTCCAAGTAAAACTGTAATGCTTGATGATGGTTATGAAATAAAGTATGAAAAATGTCTTATTGCAACTGGTGAGTATGATTAACTTGAATTTGAGATTTACAATTTGAGATATACAATTTTAATTACAATATATTTGCAGGTGCATCACCTAAAAATCTCCCAGTTTTTGAGTCAATACAAGATGAACTTAAGGATAAAATTATAACCTTCAGAACAAAAGAAGATTTTCTTGATTTAGAAGATATTGTGCATGACGTTAAATATAAAAATATAGTTATAATTGGTGGAGGATTTCTTGGATCAGAACTTGCCTGTTCGTTGGCCCGTAATTGTATGTTTTTATTACATTTCTATGTATTATTAACATTATTGTTTAATTAAGTATTAGTATAAAATAATGATTAATTTTATACTTATTTAGTACCTGAGAATAAAAAAATATATCAAATATATAAAGAAAAATTTATAATGGATCAAGTATTACCGAAATACTTAAGTGAATGGGCAACAAAGAAATCCATGTTAGAAGGTGTTGATTGTATTGCTAATTCTGAGGTAGAAGATTATTCTTATAAAGATGGACAGTTATCACTTGTTCTTTCGGATAATCGTGTTGTATGTTTTATTTAAATATCTACAAAAAATTTTGAAAGTGGCACTTTTCTGATAAGCGAATGATTTTTTTTTTCTTTTTTTTATTTACATGGAAAGATTGATGCTGATCAAGTGATTGTAGCTGTAGGCGTTGAACCAAACACTGATTTGGCAAAAGCTTCACATTTAGAAACAGATCCTGAAACAGGCGGTTTCCTTGTCAACGCGGAACTAGAAGCAAGAAGTAATCTTTGGGTTGCTGGTGATGCAGCTTGCTTTTATGATATTAAACTTGGTAGAAGAAGAGTAGAGCATCATGATCATGCTGTAGTTTCAGGAAGATTGGCAGGAGAAAATATGACTGGTGCAAGTACATTGAGATTTTAATAATATATGCCATATGAATCATTAATATAAAAAATGACATACAAATAAATAATGATAAAATTTATATTTTTGTGTTTACTAGGAAAACCATATTTACACCAATCAATGTTTTGGTCCGATTTAGGACCAGAAGTTGGATATGAAGCAATTGGTATTGTCGACTCGTCACTACCAACTGTAGGAGTTTTTGTAAAAACTACAGACTCAGATACTTCAATAACATCTGTTAGTAGTTCAAATGGAACCACTGAACCTTCTAATAAAGAGGTAATAAATATTAAAATTGTAATTTTATGATTTATATATCTTATATTTTATTTTAAACAGAAATTGAATACACAGACACAAAGTTCACTACAATTAAACTTAAAAAAAGAAAAAAATTCGGAATGTTCTGATAATTCAAAAGTGTTAGAGGAACCTAGCAAATATGGTGATTTTGGAAAAGGAGTCGTTTTTTATTTACGTGATGATATCGTGGTTGGCATAGTTCTTTGGAATATCTTTAATCGGATGTCTATCGCTAGACAGGTGCGTTCATAAAATATTTAAAATACAGAATTTATTTTTTTATAAATATAAAAATATATAAAAAATATATTTTTGCAGGTGCTTTCCAGAGATACGAAATATGATGATTTAAACGAAGTAGCAAAACTGTTTACTATTCATGATGACTGATTTCATTAATAAAAAAATGTGACTATATTATGTCATTATTGTACATAAAGTCATTTACCTATCAGTTCATTTTGTGAATAAAAAAAAAGTCTACAACTGATATTTTGTTCCTGAGTTTAAAAGGTATAACTTGTATAAATATTGCACATATTACGTACAAAGTATTTTCTATAAAAATCTATAAATAAAAACATTCTTATAGACAATAAGATAATTATTCATTAAATTATTACTAGATATGGATTTTCTTAGAAAATAAATGAAAATGTTTTATTAGTTATTCAGAGTTTAATGTTATATCATTCCAATAATACTCATATACATTCATAAATTTACATAATATATAAATTTGCATATACATAAATTTACTTCAAAATCTTACTTACAATATCTAATAATATCAAAAAACATTTTTATTTAATAAAAATACACGATTATTTCCTTTTTTTATTTATAATGAATATTTATTAAAAATGAAATTTTTCAGTATCTTTATAACAAAAATAAATCTTTGTTCTATTATATTTAATTAAATCCTTTAACTGAAAATTTTGGTAAAATTTTGTTTCCATATCTTTTATTTAATGAATCCATAAATTTTATATAATTATGACATCGATAATCATCCAAAACCTATATGAGCAACACAAATAAATTATACATTATGTATATATTATATTTAATATATGGTAGTACATATATTTAATATGCATACATACTATATGTTCTGGCCACAATTTTCCATTAGTAACATTTTCCATTATTGTATATTGACAATGATATAGAAGTGATACACAATAATATATTATATAATCAGGTGAAAATAAAATACAAATTGCAAAAAAATGCATAATTTGAGACCATGGAAGTATGCCCCAAAAACATTGAGATATCATTAAATTGCATATTAAAGACCAATCCACTCCAGATGTATTCTGTATTGAAACATAAATAAATATATAATAATTTTTAACAAAAGATAAATAATGACAATTCATTCAATAATTGATTTTTCAATATATACCTTAAGTACAAATTTGATATGTGGAAGTTCATTACTAATAATACTTTCTAAAATTTGCATAAATGTATATTGTGTAGCACATTCTTCCTTAACATTTTTATCTATAACTTTCCCCAGATTAGACCATAAAAATGGAATTACTGGGAATTGAATTAATTGAGTAATAAACATTTTACATCTGTAATTAATTATCGCATTGTATGATATCATCATAAAAAAATTTAGGTCAGTGATGATAACTAATTGTCTTATGCATATTATTATTGCAATGATGACCAAGTTTTCAATCTGAGACCTACCAATGATGATACACTGACTTGCTAGAGTTACCCTATAATTTGTTTTCGAATAAAGAGTAGTAATTTCAATATTGTTTTATTGAAAGGGTCTTTAAATTATTTATAAGATAATTTTGACAAAGTATTTTGAATTTACTACTAAGGGGTGTATTCGCGGTCAACTGAGGTGTATATGCAATAATAAAAAATTAAAAAATTATTTAACAATTATAAAATCATATTTAGAGTAAAATTATATTATACAGTAATAATAATAATCTATGCATACTTGTCTACATTTCCTTCACAAATAATAAATACTGTTGATAAAAACCAATCAAATCCATCAAATTTTATTGGTCTTTCATATTGTATAAATGCATAACATGCATTTATAAATTTTTGTAATTTTTCTTTCATTTCAATTGTATTTTCTAAAACATTATTTTGTTCTGCATAATAAAAAACTAAATCAATTCCATGTATTTCTTCTGCAAACCAACAATCTGTACTTGATAATATATTTTCCTTCCATTGAAAATTTTCTGTCCATTCTGCAGTAGGAATTGCTTTCTGCATCTGATCCACTAATTGAATTAATATCATGTTCTAGTAAATAAAAAAATTTATTTTATGAAAGTACAGCAGTTTAAAAAAAGATGGTATCAAATAGATATTAAAATTTGTATTTACTTTTATTGGATTTTGTGATGCTGTATATGCTTCTCTAATTTGTTTGACCCAACTACTATCTAATAATCCAGGTTTATTTTCTTGAAGTAAACTTTCTAATTCCGTATCATATTCACTTTCCAAGAAATAACTTTGTTCGTTCAATTTTAGTGGATACAGCTCTGATGTATCATATTCTTTTGGTTTAGAAGTTTCTTCTTTATCTTTATTCTCAATAAAATATGTTTTGGATATAATTTTACGTCGTATCAAAGTATAATTATCAATATAGTTTATATTTATTTCTTCATTTATAATTTCTGTATTAAAGTTTAGAAATCGTAATAAAATGTTCTAAAAAAATTTATATCATAAAAATATGAAAGGAAAATTAAATATTTTAATTTTAAAGGATAAATATATTAACCTGAAAATTTAGTAATTCTAATAGATATAAACAAATGTTCAAATTCCATATTACAATATCTAACGATAAAAGTCCTAAATAATGATAATTTGAGTCAGGATTTATTGAATCATTAAATAATTCTGATAAATTAAGTGGATAATTATGTTCTTCATTATATGACTCTTGACTATTTGTCATAAATGCACAAAAACCTATATATAGAAAATAAATAATTTATAACAATAAATTCAAATTATAATAGTATACAATAAAAAAGTTTTGTCATTATTCTTACACTTGAAATTAAGAGAAAAAATTGTTAGTATATGTAAAAATTTCTGAACATTTGTATGATCCCATGGATCGTGAAAATGGTGTAGATCTTCTAATATTTTACATGTTTCTGCGAGTAAGGTAGATAAAACATGAGGTGCAAGATTGGCAATTACATTGTACCCCAAATGGAAAAAAGCAGCAGATGATACAAAATTAACTACTTCAATTGATGCCCACGACATTTTTAAAGGTACAATAGATCCTTCAATTAATTCTTGAAACACTGATGATTCTTGAACAAGACTTTTCAATCCAAATGGTATAGATACCATTTTGAGTAATAACGCATTTACTGTACTATAAATAAAATACTTTCTTAATACTATAATTAATTTATATTATATATATTGTATGTATGTAAATTACCTATTTATTTGTTGAGTTTTATTTTCATTTCCAAAATAAGATTTATCCAATTTCTTATAAAAGTATGATACAGCTGGATAAAATTCTTTTTCTATTTTACACTGTACTATTTCATATGCATCAAATACATCAAATAACTTTTGTATTACTTCAAATAATTTAACAAGATATTCTATATTCATTATGGAAAGAGGTTGTTGTAACATATTCGACGCTATTATTATAATAAACATAGCTGGACATTTTGATATATTATTTTCAAAATTTACTGTATGTTCTTTGCATTCCGAGATAAGGAATGTAGAACCATCTGCTGTGTCTAACATACGTAGGATAATATTTAATGTATGTGGCCATATGGTAATGTTATTTTCAGAAAAAGATGATAAATGACACAGCGCAATATGATAAAATTCATCATTATATAATGTGATTGACTTGTCTAAAATAAATTGTAAAGCATAACAAGAAACATCATATACATTGTTTAATGTCTTTGTAGATAATTTATTCAAAGCTCTCAAGGAAGCAGTTAAAAATTCAGAAACTGAAAATGGAATGTCTAATGTATTTTCTATTAAAAGTTCACGTCCTGCTTCATAAGCACAAAGTTGAGAAATGAAACATAAACAATGAAGATAAGTTACTGTTTCCACTGTATGCCCATTAATAACAACTTCCATTGGATCATCATAAATAGACACTGCTATAGAATGAGGAGGTTCTTCCAATCCTTTATGTACATAATGCATTATTTGCTGTAATAAATTTGGCGATCTCCCTAAAGCAGTTAAAAACATTTTTCTAGTAGCAAGACTAACAATCCATTTTCTACTCCAATCAGCACGTGGTTCTAATACAGAAATAATATTGAGTGTATTTAATGTTTTTGATTGTGTTACACTTTTAAATTCATGTGTACTCAAAAACATTATAAATTGCTCTATTAATTCTTCTATAATTTTATCAGGATTTCTTGCATTTTTTAATCTTTCTTCATGATAACAAATTATTAGATGCATGATCCGAAATATTCTTTCATGGAAAAAGAATTTAAAATTAATTCCGGAAATTAATGTAGGTAAAATTTCAAATGTTTTTTGTGAATAATATTGAGTATTAAAAGCATTCAATAAATTGGTATATACATCAGACGATTGTAAACAAGTGAGCAATTTTGCATGTGCTTGTAAACTTGCTTCAAAAATAGGCCTACTTTCATCTATCAGACCATCTAGCAGAGCTTTTTGAAATGAATCCCATATAGGATTAGTATTTAGATTTGATAGCTCACTTTTTAATAAAATTTCATAACCAGCTAATCTTACATGAACAGGTTTATTTTGATTAATTTTATCAAGAATAATATTATAAGATTCATCGTTATTTAATGGAGAATTCCAATCTTCACTTGTTTGATCACTGATGCAAGAGAAGGATGATTGTGGTCGCGAATCAGAAATTAAAGTTGATGCAGATATCGAAGCAGATTGTTCAATGATTGTAGTTCTTATAGAGTTTACTAAAACGGACATTTCTTTTGAACGTACAATTTTTCGAACAATATTTATATTATCCACATTTTTTCTCAATGATTCTTGTATATTCGTTTCAAATTCTTTTTTTAAACACCTTTTTATCCACTTTTGAAAAGTTGGAGAAATATTACTTTCCATATTTATAAAATAAATGAATTTAATCAATCAGAATAGCTGTAGTTGTAACTGAACATGTAAATGAAATCTTTATGCTAAAATTCTAATGTTTTGACTATGTTCCTATAGTAACCATCTAAAGCAAATAAAGATATGGCATACTTTATACATAGAGTATAATAAAAATTTAATTCTTTTAATTAATGTAATACATATTACTTACTACAATCATTTATAATCTCAATATTAAAAAAATATATAATATTATAATATTTAACAGTTATTTAAGTTAATAATACTATACAAATAATATAATGAAATAAAATATTACAGGAATATATAGAAATATAATGAAAAATTATATACAAACATACATGCAATGATTCTTTATAAGAAGGTAAAAAACGATATAATAAAATAGAATTAGAAAATTAGTTCTTGAAAAAATCGAATTTGAAAATTTATTCAGTACATGCAAATTAGATTAATACATGTAAGCAGATTATATGATAATAGAATTAGCAGATTATTTGAGAATGAACAAAAAAATAAAAAAACTTCTTTAAGATTAAAAATGTTCTTTAAGATTTCCCCATTTAAGGCGTTTCTTAAGGCTATTTTTTAAAAAAATACAGTTTAGATATAATTCAATTCACAAAATTGAGTGGACAGGTAATGGAAATAGATGAATGAAATTAAATTTAGTCAAAGTGGTACTATTATTATGTACTTAAATTTTATATATCTTTATGGTACATAGATTATTTAGCAAATGATTAAAATTAATATTTACATTGGTGCTGAAATAAGATATACTTAAAGAAAAAGTTAACAGATTGTCGATGGACAAAAATAAATGGACATGTAATAAAATATATAAGAAATATAAAATTAATATTTAGTATGTCCACCCTTTGCTTTAATAATTTCTTCTAATTGCGCCGTGGGATGCTATTTATCAGATTTTCAATGTATTTTTTATCGATATTTTCAAATGCTAATTACAAATTCTTAAAACAATTGTTCTTGTTCTTTTGTTTTTCTAATGGCACTTTTAAATACAATACACTCCATAAATTTTCATTGGATTCAAATCCAGACTTTGTGCCATTCCAACAATTTAATATTTGAATTCACAAAAAATTTATTAGTCTTTAACAGTGTGCTTTGGGTCGTTGTCCTGCTGTAAAATAAATTCTTCTTCGAGACCCATTTTTAGAACTGTCTCTTCTAAATTTTCGTTTATTATTTCAATGTATTTGTCAGCATTTATTATTCCTTCAATTTGTACCAAACTACCAACTCCATTCTATGAAAAACACCTCCATAACATTAATGACTCTCCTCCAAAGTTGACGTGATGAACGGCTTGGGTATGCTTCATATTTTTTTCACATAATAATTTCTTTTCAATTGTTGCAATTCAAATTGCAACGTCAATTGCTTTTGTCACTCCATATTATTTTTCTCCAGAATGAGAGAAATTATAAAAATATTGGCATATTTACATATTTTTTAGCAAAAGCTAAACGTTTCTTCATATTTGTTTGATTAATGTATGGCTTACATTTGGCTTTACATCTTAATCCCAACTCCTGCAACCTACGTCATACTGTTTTTGATGATACATTTAATTCTAACGTTTCTACGATATTTTGCGATGCGATTCTTGGATTCTGTCGACATTTACGAATAATTCGACGATCTTCCTTCGCGATGGTACAACGTTTACGTGCGCGACCACTTAAATTTTTAACCGTTTTGTGTACTAATTATTTTTTATAAATTTTTTCTACCGCACTTTTGAAAACACCGAACTTTTTTGCTATCACATGGTAACTTAATTGATTGCAGCAGTTCGATATAATCAAATAACGAATTTGATTTGAAATTTTTCTTGCTGACATTCTGCTATTTCTTTACAAATAATCTGTCCTGTATAGAAAACAACTAAACAATTTGATACCACAGCGTAAGAATGGGAGCAACGCTTCACATTTGTTTACATTGTTTGCCTTGGAGTAACGAAACAAAGGAGTGTCCACTTATTTTTGTCCATCGACAATCTGCTAACTTTTTCTTTAAGTATATCTTATTTCACCAATGTAAATATTAATTTCAATCATTCGCTAAATAATCTATGTACCATAAAGATATGTAATATATAAAACTTAAGTACGTAATAATAATGCTTTGACTAAATTTAATTCATATCTATTTCCATTACCTGTCCACTCAATTTTGTCCGTAACTGTATATATTGGTAAATATTTAAATTTAATTTTTTTAGAAATGAAACGTTCTATAAAAAATGTATGAATATTATTCGGAATGACCGAGAATTGAGATAAAATTTAGAGAGTGTTATAAGAGGCGTACGAAGACTCTAAATATAATTATATATTAATATAATTATAATTGTATACAATTATAATTAAAAAAAAAAGTGGGAAACAATACGATTATTAGATAAAAATAATCCAGCAATATAGAGAACTTATATCGTTAGAAATAAAAATTTTAGCATCCTTTTATATCTCTTCTAACACCAAATTTTATCTCGATCAGCAATGTGGGCTAAATTTATTCCATATTTTTTTTAATTTTTCGATTTTCTCAAAAATTAGAAAATAACAAAATTTTCTATATTTTTTTCTTATTTTTTTTATGATATAAATAAATAAATAAATAAATAAATTATATANTATATATATATATATATATATATATATATATATATATATATAGAGAGAGAGAGAGAGAGAGAGAGAGAGAGAGAGAGAGAGTATACATACATACATACAGGATGTCTCATCGGTAATACAAGCGAGGAGGGGATGATTGTGTATGTCAGAAATGAAGAATACATTTTTTTGTAAAATATTTCATTTTCGAGAAAATCAAGTTTGAAAATTTATCAAACATACTGGAATTTGGCTAATTTAGTAACAGAAAAAAATTAACAGATTATTCTAAGTGCAAAAATAAGTTGAAGATAAAGAATAAAATTTTTTCAAAAGCTTCATTTTCAAGAAAACAGACTTTGAATATTTTTCCTTAAAAATTGTATTGATACACACGTATTTAATAAATTTTTAAACTCAATTTTCTCAAAAAACGGAGCATCCAAAAAAATGTTATTCTACATTTTCGATTATACAAGTAGAATAACTTCCTATTAATTATTTTTTTCTATCACGTTTAGAATTGGCTAAATTTAAAATTTAATAAATTTTTTAACTTGATTTTTTCGACAAAACTTTAAACGAAAAAATCTTATTCTTTCTTTTCGAAACTCATCTCTTCCTTGATTGTATCAATACTGGGATATTCTATAATATATACATTTATATAAGTTGTATAATTTTTAAGTATGTTGATGTAAATTTATTATACTAAAAGATGTAGCAATTACATACTTTTATCGCGGTGCTACTATAATGTTTGGAGATTTCATCCGTAAAGCAGAAATTCCTCCTTGTAAAGAGCATACACCCACAACTCCACATTTTATCAAGAAATCTGCAAACTATAAAGGATATTTTAGTTTCAATATTGAATAAATCAAATTTTACAATATAACATTTACCAATGCATTATTTTGATCATGAGGTCCAATAATTACAACAATACTATTTTTATTTTCTACAAGTGGTTTTGCATGTGGTCCAAGAGTTTCGATGTGAGTTAAAGAAAGTTGTACACTTGTAAATGGAATGTTAATACTGCCTACTACAGCACCTCTTTCAAATCTATGTGAAAAAATGATTATCAAAGTAATTTAGAATGATTTAACATTTCTTTTACGGATAAGTTACTCACTGTATGTTATTGCGTATATCTACAGCTATTAATCTATCAGGACTATTATCTAATAAATCTAAAAAATCATCAACACAAATTCTTGGCATCTTTTCAGTACCAGGTTCTGGTTCCAACCAATTTATATCCTATAACGCAATATCTTTCTTTCTAAATTTATACTTATAACAATAAATTAATAAAAAAATATAAAAATTTATATTTCTACCTTTGGTTGATTAAATTGATGTTTTCTATAAGTAATACTAGGTGGTGTATTTTGGTACATCATCATAGAATCTTTAACACATAATTCGATGTCAATTTCAGGAAGGTCAGAAAATAAGAGGATACATTCATTGAAACCGGAAGTTAAAAGGGAATCTCGTAATTGTTTCAATATCGCTAATCCAACTAAAAGTGGAAATGAAGAATCTCCTAATAAAAGTTTATCCCATAAATGAAGTATTTTGTGAAGTGGAAACACATCTAAAATAAAAAATTTGAATATATGCAACAATCAACATCAAAATAGAAAAATTTATCATATAAACAATTTTACATAATTCAAATAGTAATAATAAATGACTTACGTGAAAACATTGTTAAAAACCACGGAATAGCAAATAATTCTAATACGAAGTTAATTGATCTAAGATGATTAGCTAATTGAGGATCGTGAAAAGCTATGATTTGTGAAAATTTTCCTAAATATTCTTGTATAATAGCAGAATTATCTTTTAGAAAAAATTTATGAAGATACTTTGGTATAAATTTAGACAGACATTCAAATGCTCTAGCTAAAAGAGAAATGGCAATAAAATTAGTAAATTATAAAAATAGTATTAAAATAATATATCTGTTACCTTCATTATTAAAATTAAGATATAAAAATGGAGCTGTTAATGAATCTAATCCTTGCCAATAAACATAATGAGGATTATTTCGAACCCATGCTTTGAGCAATCTTTGTAATCTCTCATGACCAGCACCAGATGATAATAACTCACTATATTGATGACATCTTGGTATATCTACTTCTATCTAAAATATTGTTAATAAATTAAAACATAAAGATAAATTAAAGATAAATCCATTGTAATGTAATTTAATGATGAATTACTTGTCGATCTGTATGAGTAGGTGTTTCTTTATCAATCATGTCATAATATTTCTGAATATCGCCAGTGATACCAAGTAATGCTGCCCATACAGCTCCTCTAACGGGTGGAGGTATATCTTTGTGTGCTTCTTCAATTATTGCTTCTCGTGTAATTGGATAAACCTAAATTATCAACATACATAAGCATATAAATATAATTTTATATTTATAGATGTTAAACCATGCAATACATGTCTTCCTAACGATTAAAAAATTAACTTCTAGATTGTACAAAAATTAATATTATCAACCAATTTACTTATTACAAAAAAAGTAATTTGCTTAAAGAAACAAATTATAATCTTAAATTGTAGGAGTACTTGAAATATAAAATGGATATTGATTCCAAAATCAAGTAAAAATTGAACATTCCTTAGCTAAGACAGTTTATCAAAATATAAATTATAATTATGGAAATATAGGAATAACTTTATCAAAATATGTCATAGTTTTATCAATATATAGCTTCATCAATAGATCAATATGTTATAATTTTATCAATTGATAGTTTTATTAAAATATTTTATTACAATACATTACGAAAGAAAAAATATTTTCAAATTTTCTATGAGAAAATTCTATTTTTGTAAATTATCAATAAATTTATGATAAATAATTTTAAACTTAAAAAATATTTAACTTTTTCGTACTTATAAGTAAAACATCTCACTAAATAGTTTGTCTAACATTTCATCAATTCATAAGAGATGTGAAAGAGATTAGCAATATTAAATTAAAAAAATATTTTTTATAAACAAATAATTTCTTTTTGTGCATGAAATAATTTAAAAGTATAGTACTCTATTATATGGCAGTGTGGAATAAACTACTTTATTCTTCAATGCAAAAAGGTTAAAATAATATAATTATCTTTACTAATCTATATATATATTAACATCAGTATTAAACTAAATATTAAATATTAACACTAATGTAATCACCTGTAATAATCTATCATATAAAACAATTCTATAAAATTGGTATTCCGTATCTCTTTCTCTTATAATTAAAGGTAATTGAGAAGCAGCATCTATCAGTTCTTCTTGTGATTGAACACGCATTCTGTAAAACATTTCACAGATGAATTATATAAGATCAAAAGAAAAAAAGCAAAATTTACATTTATCTTTATTACACGTACTGATCTGTTAACCACGGATAATTAGCTATATATGGAATATGAGATAAACGTTGATGTAGTGTATCGAGAGGAATTTTAACCACACGTAAATCGAATAATCCCGCTGTATCTCTTCTGCCAAACATTTGACCTAAAAGTATTACTAAACTAAAAAAAACATTAATAAATAGTGTTTCTTTTTCGCAGAATATGATACTTATAAAATTTTATAATTACTTTGGAATAGACAAAATGGGTGGTCTTGATCTGATAAGTCCTTGTTTCTTTAATTCCACAGTAATATCTCCTCCTGCTAATTGCCATAAATAATATAATTCATCCATTTTTCTAACAATAACATTCATATATAAATTTTTTTCTATCTCTTTCTCATTTTGTAACAAAAATTTTTCAAATATAGGTAACTTCAATAGCTCTTCTGGTATTTTACGTTTTAAAGGATGAATTTGAAGGCAGCAATCTACAAATTCTTTTACTTTATCAGGCAAATCCTAGAACAATAATAAATACAAAATACATATAATGTACTAGAGTTTAATGGTCAAACTATCAGTATGTTTTATGGGTATAATTGAGCAAAAAATATTATATAAATACAGATAATTTAAAATTTTTTTAGAAAATTCTAATTAAAGCATGAAATACAAACAGAACAATACTGCTTCTAATATTGCCCTAATCTTAAAAACCTTTTATGCGTAAATTTTTAAAAAAGAAAAATATGTTTTACATAGTTATTAATATATATAATAAACTTGAATTAATTAATCCGTCAAAATTGTATATTTTTATAAAATAATAATTCAATTTCTTATTGTTGTCACTATTATATTGTCAAAAACAATGACATAATCTTACGAATCTATTTTCATCTTTAACATAATAATCACAAGCCCACTATTATATAAGTTTTTAATAAATCTATAAATATGTTTATATAATATTTACTTGCTTAATATACTGAAAAAGTTTAGCTATTAAACTCTATTCTATATAATAATATATGGAGATACAAATATAAGAAATTATACCTTGTAAATATTATAACAATTAATTTCTCTTGCAAGACGTTCAAATACAGAAGTTTCACAATGTATTAGACTAAGAACTTTCCGCAAACATTGAGATAATTTTACACCTGACCATATTGATTTTGTTAGTAACAATTCTGCAATAATCATGCCTAAAGACCAGGAATCTACTTTTGGGCTACTAACACCAGAACTCAAAAACACTTCAGGAGCTGTATACTTTGGGTAACTAATGAAAAATTGTAATATGTATTTAAATAAACTCTTATTTTTATCAAATATTCAGTCAGAATTAAATTTTATTAAAATAAATCTTGTATTATACCACATACCCAATAGGAAAAGATACATTTTTTCCACAATCTGTCATGAAATATAGGCCAAAATTATATAATTGAACATTTCCACTTTTATTAAGTAATATATTTTCAGGACTTAGATGTCTATGCACTAAGCCTAACTTGTTCATATATCGTAAACCTAACAAGCATTGAAATGCTATTTTTAGAATATCATCTGTATTTAAATTCTTTTTACTATTTAACGGATCTCCATTATATTCTGCGACGACTACTATCCGTTCTAAAAAAGGCTAATTTTAATTAGATGATTATATAGAATATTTTTAATTTCTTAGTTTCTAAATATGGTCTTTACCGTGTTTACTCCTAATTATATCAAGATATGTAGATAAATTTGGATGATGAATAGTTTTTAAAAATTGAGATTTTCCATATATAGTTATTGAATTTGGTGTAAGAGGTAAACCATTACTACCGCAAACTTCAACAGGATGACTTTGGGCAAAAAATGTCATTCCACCAAAACATCGTTCTTCATTTTCTAAAAGTGCTGGACACATCTTTGACTACAAATAAAACATTAGTTTATAATATTTAAAAAAGATAATGTTTAAATAACTAACTTAAGTCCAATGATGATAACAAATTTATATATTATATTAAAAAATATGTATTACAAATTTATATATTATATTAAAAAATATGTATTACAAATTTATATATTAAAAAATATGTATATATTATGTAAATAAGAAAAAACTATAAAATATACGTACTTAATTTCTTAATATATATTTTTGGAAGATTTTAAATTATACATCGATATTCACATTATTAACTCCGATAAATACATACTTGTAGTCATTATCAATTATAAAAATATATTTAATTACTTCTTAAAATGTTTTTATCTATTACTTTATTTATTATATATAAAGTAAATCAAATCACTGATTTATTCATCGATATTATTATTAGTGCAAACAAGATCACCCACTTTATATATATATATATATAGATATGTCATTCCTCAATTTATGTCATTAGGAAACATTAAATTTTAGATTAATTTTTATTTTAGGAAATCAAAAATTATAGCTTTCTTTTTTATTTTAATTCGTAGATTTTGACAAATTTCAACCAGAAATGTAAGTTTTAAAGCGAGGAATCCATTGGTTGAAAAGTTATACGTCTATAAAGTTGAGCATTTTTAGTATTTTTGACAGGTCAGTGCGACGCCATATTTCTTCTATCCATATTTTAACCAATAAGTGAAGTCGCTAGCTATAGGCAGACACCGTGATAACGAACATTTTCGTTAATATAATGAAATACAATATATTGAAATATATTACTAGAACATAAATATAATCTTTATTATAAGGTTGCTTACTATATTAATTATTCAAAATATAAAAAGTTAATGAAAAATAATATTAAATGAAATTAAATGAAAATTTTTTATAGTTTCGTAGTATTTGTATATAACTCCACCAAAGTTTAATATTCGACATATGTATGTACATATGCTGTAAGAAGAGAATGTACAGAATCCAAGTTAACAAAAGAACAAGATGCTATTAGCAAAATTTGTGATTTTCTTATTAAGTTAGTTTCACACGTAGATCATGATATACAGAATGTCCCATATGAAGCTAACACGCAATTCCTTTTAAATTATTCGCTACAAAGAAAAATTTTCAAAACTTATGTTGTTTCGAGGAGAACGTCTTATGATGGCCACAAATTTTGTCTAGGTGGTCATGCTTCAAGGAGATTTCAAGGTGACCTTTATTTTTTTAAAATGGAAGTGTATATTTTCAAGTACACAGTTTCATGCAGCTGACATCAAGGCGAATTTAGCGACCTAAATAATGTTGGTGTATCAAAGTCATTTAAGCTCATTTAACGCCGCTCAAAGCTTATCTTCATTGAGCATCCAGAGATTGTTCCTTATCTATGTATTCAAAGTGGTGACCTTGGGCGTCAGTACGCTGATTTATCCCTAAACAACAATTACACCCTTTCCAATGTTTCGGGAGTAATATGTTAACAAGCATACCTTATATAATTTTTCATATTATGGGGAGTAGTGGATTCTTCCTGAAATACCTGATTTTTTTATAAACCCCACAAGAAAAATGTCTTGCATCTGTCGTTTACGGACAGAATAAATCAGTGATGCCCAAGGTCACTTCGAATATTATAGATAAGGAATAATTTCTGGATACTCAAGCTTTGAGCGTTGAATAATCTTGAATGATCTTGGAACATCAACATTATCTTGCTTGGTTGAATTTTTTTTGACATCAGATACAAAATTTGAAATCTTGAAATTTTGGAAACGTGACTATCTAGACAAGTAGTCACTGAGAGATGTCCCCCTCGAAACAATGTAAATTTTATTTAAAATATTTTTCTTTATAACGAATAGTTCAAGAAAAAAATTGAGTCGTTAGCTTCACATAGGATATCCTGTATATGATATATCAAATATTTATATATATTCTTCGTATCGAGTAGTTGTATCAGTTATCTCTGTATCGATCAGTTGTATCTATCGATCTCTGTCGATTAAAAATATTTTTCTTCTCAAATATGTATATTAAACAAAGATTTTTTAAATGCACGAGTTTGAAGTTTTATTTATTTTAGATAAATGAGTTATTAAAAAAAAAAATTTTTTTTAAAGAAACATTCATCTTCATCTGGATTCATTTTTTTAGTAGTAAGACATTAATAAGAAAAGAAAAAGAAATTTTATACACTATTTAAAATAGTTCAAAATTATCCTAATATATCATATCATTGTTGAATAACACATTCTTTATGTTAAATATGAGTCCCTTCTCCTATGTGAATTAATTTAATTTGTTTCAATGTTTCGATTTCATATGAAAAGTATAGTCAGCGGTTAAGATTTTCGAGATACATAAATTAGTATCACGATACGACACCAATACTATACATTTATATCTCATGGTATTTGTATCTCATAATTTACATCAAACGAACGAGTGGTCGTCCGCCTTTGATAAAATTATATTTTTATTTATGTCATTACGAGTGTTAATATAATAAATCTGTGCAAAGTAGTGAAAAGAAAGCGAACGAATATTCGTTCGTTTGATTTAAACGCACCATTATAAGAACGCCATATGAAATATATATTCAGTATATCATATTCTCGTATGAAACTGAATAAAATTAAAATTTATTCCTATAAGATTATTTACATAGCTCCATTGAAATCTAATTTAATCTAATCTTCAACGACTAAATTTTCCAATAGGATACTTCGTATTGGACTTTTTTGAATTGATTATCTTCTTATTAAATATATCATCCACTAATCTGTGTATTATTACATTTTTTAATAAGTTATTATGATTAAATTATTTAGTTTTAAATTTTTTAATGATACGCAAACTATGTTTTACATTTCATGTATGTACAAACGATATCAAATTTCATTTTAAATATACGAATATGTATAAAGCCGAGTTCACATGAAAGTATACCGCCATCTGTGACAATTTTAGATACTAAATTAGAGATCTTAATATTGATAGACGTAATCCCATCTAGCAAATAATTGTTTTCACTGGGTTTGCTTGCTTATATGCATTCTCTTTCTTTCTGGTTTTAGCCAGACTCTAGGTTGGTTCTTTGCTTTAAACCATCGTAAGGAAGTACAATGACGTGAGTATTTAATCTTTTTATATTTTAAAAATCTAAAATTTTATTTCTTTAATATTATAAATAATACTTATTTTAATATGTTCTCTTAATATTATTACTTATATTTTTTAAAAATAAGCATTGCTTAATACATTTATACTGTATCAACCTCTGGACATATTGTACCATACAATTTTTATTGTATTAATTTCTATACTGTTATAATTTTTTAGGTATGTTTGAAGTGAATTTTAAGTATTTCATAAATATAAATAAATATCTTATTTCTATTATATGTTCAATTCTTTTTGCTTTATTTTATAATAATTTGATATTACAGTAGGATATTAAAAAGGATATTAAACAAAAAAGTAGGTATTACTTATATACCATCAAGACAATGAAGAAAGTTTATATACAAAAATGTTTGTTATAGGTTATTTCTTAATTATAAAAAATTTCATTTTATATCAGAAATATACTAGTATTGATGAATCAGTTAAAAATATTTCTATCTTATATTTCATGTTTCTCACTCTTAAGATTAATATTTTTATTTATAACCAATATAGATGAACTATCTAGTAATAATTGTTTTAAATTTAAATCTTGATTGTAATGATAATTGTAATCAATAGGTCCAAAGTATCACGCGACACTCTCTATGAATGCGTGAATGCTGTTCTCCAACATTCACAAGATAAGAAAAGGAAGTTCTTAGAAACAGTGGAACTACAAATTGGCTTGAAGAATTATGATCCACAAAAGGATAAACGTTTCTCAGGCACCGTCAAGTATGTTTCTACCTGACATTGAGGATTCTTTTCGGTTTCTAATGATTACTATAAAATCTATTTTATTCTTTTTATTCTTTTTGTCTTTTCATTTTTTTGTTTTTAATAAACATCCGAAAAGATTACTTCATGCATAGTCAGGAAGCTAGATTTCATCTAGCGGACCCTCACCCAAGGTCTTAAATAAATTGGGGAGGTTTTTTACCTTTATAATTATCACAGGATCATGACTTGTGATCCTGCGGGTAAGTTAACATTTGGTTAACATAAGTTAACTATTCAGTCAATTCAATTATTCAAACTTCCAATCAGTCAATTCAGTTATTCAAATTACCAATCTTCAATGATGTTGAACCATTTTGCATGTATTATCTGAATAATTTGTGTGGTTATATAATATATTACTGAGAATATTGATAATTATATTTTTATTTTTCAATAATTATAATAAACATATAATATTATGCATGCCATTTATGTCTTAAAGGTTAAAAAATATTCCAAGACCAAAGATGCAAGTTTGTGTTTTGGGAGATCAACAGCATTGTGATGAAGCTAAAGCTAATAATATTCCATATATGGATGCAGAAGCATTGAAAAAATTAAATAAGAACAAAAAACTTGTAAAGAAACTAGGTAATTTAAAATTTTTTATTTTGTATATTTAATCTTTTTCTTTGCCTCTTCCAAAAAGCACCATTGCTAATTTATAATTTGTAGTAGTGGTCGTCTAATGGAAGAAAATTAAATTCTTCACTAGGTGAGGACGTTGTGTTTCATTGCTTCGTACCTCAATCCGTGCTGAAACATTTTTTAAATCAATTTTGTTATATTCTCGTTTTATAATTAACTTGTATGTGCCTTTTGCAGCTAAAAAATATGATGCATTCTTAGCTAGTGAATCCTTGATTAAACAAATTCCACGTATTCTTGGTCCTGGTCTCAACAAGGCTGGTAAATTCCCTGGTCTTCTCTCTCATCAAGAATCAATGGTAGGAAAAATAGATGAGGTGAAAGCTACAATTAAATTTCAAATGAAAAAGGTAAATTTTATTACGTACTTGTATTAACATAAAATTTTGCTATAAAATTTGTTAAAATAAAAAATTATACTACGTAATATAGTAATTGTTCAGAAAGCGGACATCTTATTGATTTTGATGATTTTTAAATATGTTTTTATGTTAACACTTTATCGACCAGTAGCAGTTGATAGGTAAACCGATTAATAGGCTACCGGTCGGTAAAGTGTTAAAATTTGACATTTTATACATTTTTTCCTTTGCATATAAACATCAAACTTTCTTAATTTTCAAAGTATTTGCAAAAAAACTGTCGATATATATATTTAATATTAATTATTATATTATTATTTATAATTACTATATTAATTATCTCTGAAATAAAAAGGAATCCGATTCCAAAGCAGATATGGTCAAAACTGTATTTGAAAAAGATGTTCATCCAGAATTATGCCGAAAGCTGTTTCGAGAACATGATTTTGAGTTACAAGAAAGAGATCGTATATTAATATGTTGATCGACGCATGTGGGTGACAGTCAATTTTCAGTTGCGTCACCCACATAGAATCGCGATTTTATTTTTAAATTTTAAGGCATTAAAAGATGTAATATTTAATTTAAAAAAATTAGTTTTTAATAGTAAATTATTTTTAAATTGACCAAATTAAATTATCAAATAACAATATTATAATAATAATAATATAGTAAGTTATTAAATTATTTTAAAGAAGTAATAATATTGTATTTACATGAAAATAGTACTTTAATAGTTATTTGTAATATATTGGAAAACATTTTTACTAAGATTTAAAGGTCTCGAATTCTAAATGGTCTTATGATAATACTTGAGGGATGCAAAAATGTGTAAAAACTTAATTTGATACGTTAACTCTGAAGCACTATGTCATAAACTTAAAAAAAAAAGAAAAAATAGAATGCCTAAAGAGTGAAGCTAAAACTAAATTCGTGGCTTCGCAAAAAACCTACTCAATTTATGCTCAACGATCAACATGTTAAGATTATACACAAGGAGCTAAAGAATCTATTCATGTATCCATATTGTTATCATATGCCTCTGGATTCGATAAAATATAACGTAATGTAATTCACATTGTTGAGAAAATCGCTTAAAATTGTTTGCTTCATCTAATGTAAATAACAAATACTCTTTACAAAATACTTTACAGTTTATTTTAGAATTTAAAAGATATTGCTCTTAATAAAAATGCACGTATTTTTAAAATGTAGAACTGAGCAAAAGATGATCAAGTCAACTGGTCAGTGCAGACTAATGTTTACCACGAAATATTATAAGATCCTGATTTAAAAAATTTATTGCAACAAATTCAAAATTGCCGTGACGCATTAATAATTTATAACATTTGAGTGTAATTTGATAAATATTTTTTCAGGTATTATGTCTATCAGTAGCTGTAGGACACGTGGAAATGACACCAGATGAATTGGTACAAAATGTACATCTTTCGATTAATTTCTTGGTTTCATTGTTAAAAAAACATTGGCAAAATGTGCGTTCTCTTCATATAAAATCTTCTATGGGACCTCCTCAAAGATTGTACTAATTCAATTAATACAAGTACCATTGATGTACAATGAAAAAATAAAACAAAAGTAAAAATTTAATATATGTATGCTATAATTTATTGTAAAAAATTTCAATTAGAATTATCTCATTGAATACCATACAAATTCTGTATTTATTAAAAAAATTTTTATATTTTAATACAATATGTTGTAATTCTATGTAACATTTAATTAAAAGACATTTACATAAATGTAAATTTATTTTATAGTATATTTTGTTGCTAAAACAAAATCGAAGATTAATTCAAGAACTAAATTTTCGAAGACATTAATATTGTAAATAATACAACATAATTTATGCTAATTTGCTAAAATTTTAAAAAGTTCATTTTGCAGAAAGAGTATTTTAAGATCAAAAATTTTGCACTTAGAATTGAGGCAATCGTATTGATATGTGTTGAGAGCACCATATAGCTGGTTTAACAGCTGGTTTAAAGTATTCCAAATGTAACTTAATCTAATTTCCAATGTTTTTTGCAAAATTTTGGATCTTAACATAGATTTTAATTTTCAAAAATCCTCACATTGTTTTTATTTATTTTTAATATTCCAAATTAGAACATGGGCATTTTCGAAAATAATATTATAGATAACTAGCAGAAAATTTTGTCTGTGGTAGATGGTAATCTTGAAAGGTGACACAGGAAGTGACATTAAAACATTGTAGTCAATGATTAAAATGATAAAAAAATACATGAAAAATATTTACTTTCATACAGCCATAAGTTTTGAACAGTAAATTTCTCAACTTAAAAGTTCTATTTTTAGATTTAATTCATCAATAATTTTTAATCCCCTAATCTTATTAATGATTATATTTTTCATATTTAATGTATTACGTATCTTTCTTTATCTTCTTAAATAATAGTCGATTAATTAATTTATATATTGTATTTAATATTACGTATCTTTTTATCTTCTTAAATAATAGTCGATTATTATATTTTTTCAATTATTAACTATGATAAATGAGATTTGTTTGAAAATATTTTAAAAATAATTGATTTAATTAACTTATTTATACCATACGTGAATAAAAAGGTCATAGAGTTATATTTTTTTCTTTTATATTGAAAATATTGCGAGAATTTGGATGAAATTAGTGTTTATTTGTTAGTTTTATTTTCGTTTAGTTTAAATTTCAAAGATACATAACAAGTCGTTTATATATGCATGACAAAAACTTATTTGTCATAATTTTGGAAGGTAAAGATCTGTTCAAAAAGTGGACTGTAAAATTGACTTTCAGCATGATTCTCAAGGTCAATTCTTTTTTAATGTATTTTTGTATTTTGCTTATTGTAACGTAAAAAAGTTTTTTGGGAAAAAATATTAAAATTATGGAAAATGGAAGAAAAATGAAAAAATTGTTGAAAAGATGAGGCGGCACTTTTTTCTTTCTAAGAATGTTATTGTTTGCATAAAAAATATTTATTGAACAATTAAAACGTGAGATTGTGATTTTTGTTATATATACGTAAATCAGTGTAATCTTGAGAAGAAACTTGGCCAAAATGTAGAAATATGAGTTCACGGTTATTTAGCGAGACAGAAAGCAAAAAAGAAAAATACTGGAATACTTAATAGTGGATCTATGTGCGATGATAGATACTATTTTCCCTGCATTTAACAATAAAATGTAAATATATCATTTATTGAATAAAATGAATTCTATGAAACTTTCAAATGAAACTAATGAAACGTTAATTAAGTTCCATATTTCTTTTGAAAATTTGTCTCTCTATAATGAATAAAATACGATGTAATAACAAAAGTTTCACTTCGAAAATCATACTTATGGCTAATTAATTATTTTCTAAACAAATCTCTACCGATCTAAAGATATAAAATCATCTAAAGCTATAACAAATAATTTTTTAAGACACAGTTAAAATCATAAATTGTATTAAAACTTCAATAACAATTATATATTATTTAGTGATTTTATAAATTTCTCATAATAAAGATGTAAACCACCCACTCATTGCAATAACCATCCATTAACAATAACCTACATACTGCACGAATGTCACACCACAAAAACTCAAAGAGAGAAATACGGAATCAACGCAAACATAAACCTGACTTCTCAAAATGACATGCAAAGAGTATTAAAATATCTCAAAAACATAAACTACTACACACTTATCTAATGGCACCGTCGTCTAATGACCTATCGATGCGACATTAAAGAAGAATAGAAAAAGAAGAAGAAAGATGTAAAGTTTCCAAAACATACGTTTTCATGACAAGTATTATAAAATAAAATGAAAAATTATTAAAATTCGAAAAAGTCAAATTAAATATTATCTTCGTGTTTGATTAATAAGATAATAAATAAAGGACAATTCTGAAAATTTAAAATGAACTTGAGGTTCTTCTTATCAACAATATCATTAGACTGTAGGAGGGATAAATGAAAAGTTGTCGTCATAAAGATTATCAAGAAAATAACTAGCATATCATGTTTTTAAAATAATTCTCCGTACCCTGTTAACAGATTTTATCGATTTCAGTATATAATTCTTGAATAATTTTATTGAACAACAAATTCATTCTTATGTGTCAATAGAAAGAAATTTCGAATAAACCAACTTTTTCTCAAATAAATAGATAAAACATAAGATGTAGAACATATGTTTGTGATTTATCAGTGAATAACAAAGAATTAATTTTTGTGAGATCAGGTAATTAAGAAATAAGTAATCATGAAGTCACGTATTATGTATGATAATTTGTGAAGAGACATTATTGAAATTGTGATTATTATATATACATTGTTTTATTGTTAATATTCGAATTTTTAGAATATTTCAAGCATAGAAATAATGATATACTAAATTCACATAATATATTTTAATATATTTGTGTTAACTAAAATGAAACGCGAATACACACTCGAAATGTGTTAACTCCTAAGTGTCGTCGTCCTTTTGAAATACGGAAAAATGTATAAAACTTATTAATGCTGTAAACTATTAAAATATTTTACTTATTAAATAATTTAACGAATATTAATTTATACAGAAATAATTTATCTAAATACTTTATTTATAAAAATTTACTATAAAAATTTTTCATTTGGAAATTAATAAAACGGTTTGATTTCTGATAAACGATATTTTTTACATATAAATTGAAATGTTTTAAGTTTATCAGAGAAAATAACAATATCGATTCCCTCTTCAATCGTAATGCGGAATAACTGTTTAAGAAATTTAAATTATATTATACATTATATTATACATCGTTTCAATTATATTATAAAAGAAGAATCTTGATTATGTTATATATCACTAATTGCGTTTCGTTTCAATTACGTAATGTTAATTATAATGTAATGTAATGTAATTGGCGATAAGTACGCATAATAGAGTATCATTAAAATATTTAACGTAGTTAATTATATTAAAATAGAGAACTATTAAAATAATAACTATTAAACTATTAAAATTTTGACAATTTTAAAAATATTTTGTACAATAATGAAACTTTGTTTTAATTTGCAGGCTCATAAGTAAGATGATACAAAAAATACGATTGAAAGTATTCATTTACACGTTACAGATCATTTATGTGCTTGGTGAAAATAACTTAATCGACATCGGACAAAATAAAATGGCAAATGTTTCAATGAAAATTTTATCGTTTAATTGCATTGAATATGCCGTATCTTCAAAAATAAACAATTTAAAATCATCTGTGAATATGGAGGAATTCCCAAATGAAACGATGAAATTTGATCAAAATGAACTCCTGCAGAATGATTACCTGGAAGACAACAATATTGACGCATCGATTTTCGATGTAACGATTAATGATTTCGTTCAAAAATTCGAACGTATTTCGTCTATTGAATTGAAAAATAATGAAATTTTATCGAAAAATATATCAATAACATGCAATGAGGAAGGTATAATTATTTAGATATAAAAATATTTAAAATTATACAAATAAAATTCTATTACTTACTTTTGTTTCATATATTATAGACCGAAAGAATGTACAAAATCTAACAATTAATTTAATCAGTACAGAATGGATATTTCTTTCATGGGAACCTCCTTGTAATAATACAACAAATGAAACGTTACGATATACTATCGATATATGCTCATTGTCAAATCAACAATGTTTTCCAAATAAGATTGTAGAAAAAGATACACAATATAATATCACTAATTTAGAGCCGTGTAGCAACTATAAATTTATTGTGAAAATCACAAATTTGAACTCGACTGGAGTTACTGTAACAGGAACAACAAGTTATAATAGTAAAATTTAATATTTCATACAATTATTTAGATTTACGTTTTAATTATTTTATAAAAATTATTTTTAGAAGCACAATAACATGCAATTTATTTATTTTTTTTAGTTACTAAAATCGGAGATATTCGAGAATTGGTTGCACATACTACTACTAACAAAATTATGTTAAGTTGGAAACCACCAGAAAATTTTTCAGCATGTATAAATAATTATTTAGTTACACAATGCCTTGAAGATATTTGTAATAATATTTTAGTTGCACATGAGAATTATACCTCACTAAATTTGAAATCATGTGAGGAATATTTCTTTATGATTAGAGTTGTTTCATATTTTGTACAATCTAGTGGTGTTGATATTACATTAAAAACAAATTCACCAAGTATGTTATTCAATAATATTAGTTTTCATATAAGTTTTAACTATTAATACATAACTGTCAATAACAATTTAAATACAAAATCATTTTTACAAGAATCTAGTCAACCACAAAATCCAACTGTGGAAGCCAATGCATTTTCTGTATTTATTCATTGGCAAACACCAGAAATTGGAGCTAAATGTATTAAGTATTACCGTGTTACTATTGATCCACAAACAACAACGAAACAAGTAACTGGAACAAATATAACAATAAGTGATTTATATGCATGTACTTCATATTCCATTTACATTAATGCAGTAGATGAAGATAATAACGATGGGGAAATGGCCATTATGCAAACAAAAACAGGAGCAGCAAGTAAGAAAATTAATTATAATTGTTTACACATATTATATAAAACTAAATCAAAATCTTATTTAGTATCAAAACCACCAATATTACATATGGAAGAAACAATTGTTACAAATAATAATATAACATTTTCATGGAAAATTGAAAAAGGCAACAATAATTGTACTTTAAAATCTTTAAAAGCTATGTGTAATGCTACAATGACAAATGGACATGGTTACAAAATTAAGAATGGAAAAACTGAAGTACTTATAGATTCTAATTCTAATATTCAAGATGAATATCTTGTAAAGTCAATGATAAACAATATCAGTCCATTTACTACATATATATGTTGGGGATATGTTTTTAATGAAGCAGGGAATAGTGAATTAAGTGAATTAATAAATGTAACAACATTAGAAGATGGTAAGTAAACATAAGTGGATAAAAATTGTTATATAAATGTATAGCTTTAATCTACATGTGATGTTCTTATTTAATATTTTAGTACCATCTGCACCTTCGCTTATTATTACAAATATAACATATTCCCAGTTTATATTTGTTTGGAAACCACCATCATATTTAGCAGGAAATTTACTTGAATTTGAACTTGTATTTGAAGCAGAAATATGTTTCCCTATTCCTGACTGGTGCAAACAAATAGCCCTAAAAACCATTAAACACTTTAATGGATCTACATTTATTTTTGAATATTTTAATGCAACAGCATTCACAAATTATAAAGCAAAAATTAAAGCAAGAACCGCTGCAGGATGGGGAAATTATAACAATGATTTAGTGTTGTTTAAAACACCAACTGGAGGTGATTTTTTTATTATTTTTTTTATTATTTCTTATTATTATTATGAAATTAAAAATATTTGTAATTTTAATTTTAAACTCCATTATTCTATTATTATTATTATATTACTGTTATTATTTATTATTATATATCAGTTCCAGGAATAATATCTAATTTTTCATATTTAATTGTAAACAATAAAAATAATACAAACATTTTGGACACTATTTTGACATGGGGTATTCCATGTTCTTTAAATGGAATATTGGAATATTTTAATGTATCTGTACATGGAATTAGAACTAATTATACACCACATTTTTTTACATTTAAGAAATACATTTCAAATAATATTTACAAAAATGATGCAATCACAGTAAATTTAAAAGAATTGAAAGCAGAATATAATTATACATTTAAAGTGGTAGCAAAAGTTCAGGGAATCCAAGATTTTGGAATGCCAGCATTTCAACATATATTATATCCTGCTGATAGTATGTAATTAACATTAAATAACATAAACAATTTTCATAAAATATTTTCAAATATTAAAACGCCGTTAATAGTCTATTAAAACTTTATTTTTAGAGTGTTATTTATATTTCAGTTCCACTTCAACCTGATGAAGATTATATAAAATCTATAACTATAGACCCAACTAATGCACGTAGATCTACGACAACAGTTACACTTTTACTGCCCTTATTCCCTGATACAAATGGTGATATTGTTTATTATTCTATTATAGTATCAAGAATCAACTATAACATAGCATCAAGTATGAGATTCAGCATAACGGATCACACATGGCCAAACATATCTTCTTGGGAAGAAGCTATGTTACAAGACTTTACAATACCTTATCAGGCTACTAAATTATGGTGGGATCCTTATCGTAGGTGATACACTTTTTAAATTTATACTTAAATTTAATTAAGAATATATGAATCTTTATGTATATTTTTGCAGCCAATTCTATTACTAATTATGGAAAGGTAAAAGCAGTAAAATATACACTTGGTGAAGATATAAATTGTAAAGAAATTTCATCTTGTGCCAATAAAACAATTTATTGTAATGGTCCTCTTAAATCAAATACTTGGTATCATGTTAGAATGCGAGCATTCTCTCGTGGTGGATATTCTGATTCTACAACATTCCTAATAAAAACTAGTAAGTGTTTTCTTAGTCCACACATTTATTAATTTATTTCTGTTATTTTTTATCTAATTACTGAAATACTGTTATTTCAAAAACTGCAAATCACTAATTCCATAAATTATGTTAGATGCTGAAATAAATATCGTACTTGTTAGTGGAGTTGTTTTTGGTATTTTATTCTTGGGAATTTTATTAACAATGATCTTATTATTTCGCAAATGTTCGCTTCATACGTAAGTAAAATTTATTTTTTATTTATTTTAAAATTTTCTCAATCAAAATTTCACAAATATAATTCATAAAAATATAAAATTTTTAATAATAATAAAATTGTTAATAATTTATATCTGCTGCAATATTGCATAAATTTATATTATTATTGTTACATTAATGTTATATTTTTTAAAAGGTATATACTTTCTACTGGGTACATACTTAACTAATATGTTAACATTGTTAGTTGAAAATAAAATAAGGATTACTATATACATATTACTATAGAAATATATACACATTTGTGAAAGATGATATATTTTTTGTGGATCTGTGAAGAAAGAAACCTAAAGCAACAGAACCACAAAGAGTAAATATCTATTGAAAATATTAAAATATATATTGTATAATAACTAATAGTTTTTTATTAATGACATACTAATTGTATTGAAATTGTAAATATTATACTTAGAATTTATATACAAGGTCCCATTTAAAATGTCCCATGCAATTGATCCTAAACTATTTATTATAGAAAAAATATTTCAAATAAAACTTATTTTGATTCAAGAAGAAAATCTTTTAATGATCACAAATCTTGTCTAGGTAAATATGTTTTTGAGATTTCAAAATGATTTGTTTAAATGAAACTATGTATTTTTTCAGATAAACATGTTTGTTGGATGAATTCATTAATCTTTATATGTTGGTATTTCAAGATTATTCAAGATCATGATCATTCAAGATCGTTTACTACCTTTCAAAAGTTATTTGCGTTGAGTGTAAGAAGTTATTGTCTTATCTTTCATATGATGACTTCGAGCATTAATGCATTAATTTACTTTATTTCTAAAAGATAGTTTCACCTTCTCCAGTATTTCAGGGTGTTTCACTTATTATAGGTCGATGAATTCGTCATTGGATTACATATCCATTTAAAAATTACATAGTTTCATTTGAAAAAATAAAGATCATCTTGATATCTCGGAAACAAGTCCGCCTAGACGATTTGTGATCACTAAAAGATATGCCTCTCAAAACAAAATAAGTTTTAGTTAAAATATTTTTTCTATAACAAATAGTTTAACAATAGTTTTCTATAACAAACGTTCAATTGCATGGAACGTTTTAAATTGAATACCCTGTATACTACAATTAAATAAAAAATTTAATATATGAAATTTAAGTATATATGAACTAAAATAATACAATAGTAAAATAACTAAAATTGACAAAAATGAACTGTTACATGTTTTTCTTTTATACAAATTTTAAAAATTTTAAAAATTTTATACATGTTTATATCATAGTTTGATATTATTTTTTTGTTCGTAAACAATAATTTAAAAAATTTATTTTTGAGTAATTAAAATTAGTGAATTAATAATTAATACTGATAAATTATATATCATGAAAAAAAATTTGACTAATTAATGATTTAATAATAATTTATATATATTTTTAGAATATTACGACGATTTCTATATTCTGATATGTCTGGATCACCAATTCCCACACCATTCTCAAAAAAGAAATTTATAGTTCATTGTCAACAACTTATTGATAACCCTGGAAAATTAAGCAATGAATTTCAGTTACTTCAAACTCTTAGTGTTGATTTACAAATGCCAACTAATACTGCTTCTTTACAAGCTAATAAGAAAAAAAATAGATATTCTGATATTTTACCATGTAAAAATTTTAACTATATCATAAAGATATTATATTAAATAAAAAAAATATTTTATTAAATTTATATTTTCAGATGATTTTTCAAGAGTTAAACTGATTGTTATTGAAAATGATCCCAATACTGATTATATCAATGCATCTTTTATTAAAGTAAGTAAACATACAATTATTTGTTTACATTAAATATGAATTATTTTAAATTAATGTAATAATAAATTGTAAATTAAATATGAATTGATTACATATATATATGCAATTAATTATGCATATATAAATATGTATATATGTAATTATACACATATATATTAACTAATTATGCATATTATACATTACATGTATATGTTTAGGGCTACAGTGGTGAAGATGAATACATAGCTTGTCAAGGACCAAAAGAAGAAACTACATTTGATTTTTGGAGAATGATAGAACAATATAATATCAATGTGATAGTTATGTTGACTGAGTTAGTTGAAAAAGGAAAGGTAAGATTTTTGCGCTAAATATACAACTTTGTTTAACATATCAAAATTTAAAATTTTTGTAGGAGAAATGCTATCAGTATTTTCCAACAATTAGAGAAACTTTTAAATATGAAAATATGACTATAAAATGTACAAGTGAATTAGATTATAGATCTTATACACAAAGAACACTAGTATTACAGAAGGTATAAGAGTTAAAAATAAGTAAAGTTAATAAAATATATTTCTATTTATACATTTAATTCTTTTAATTATAAATAATAAATATAGGAGAACAAAAAAAGAAATATAACACACTTGCATTTCAAAGAATGGCCAGATCATGATGTTCCAGAGGATTTTGATCCAATGATTAATTTTTGTCAGATTGTACGTCGTAATGCTATTGCTAATAAAGAATACATTGTGATTCATTGCAGGTAAAAATATATGAGTTCAATGTAATAATTAATCATTGTAATATTATACACTTTAGCATTTTAATATCCGTTAATAATTTATATTTTAAATTATTTTATAAAAACTTATTACATATTTTTACAGTGCAGGAATTGGTAGAACTGGTACTTTAATAGCAATAGATATAATCTTACAACATCTTCGAGATAATAGAAAGTTAGATGTTTTTAGAACAGTATACAGATTACGACATCATAGAATAAATATGGTACAAAAAGAAGTAAGAAAATCTAAAATATTTTATATTAATATTAACATAAATTATACTATATAACATATATTATCTGTATAATGTTTATTAATTTTAAATCATAAACTTTGTATTTGTATTCAAACATTATTAACATTTATTATATTTTTAGAGTCAGTATGCTTGCATATATAATTGTATAAAGCAAGTTTTAAAGAATCCCTATTGTTTAAAGAATTGTAAGTTTGTCATATTTATTTACATGTTTATTTTCTATTAGTTTACATTTTAAGTATTTAAGTTTTTATATCTTTAGATAAACTATCATCTATGGATCCAGTTTATAAAAATAGTACCAATGTTTAGAAAATTCAAAATCCAAGTTTAAATACAACTCTATACTAGTCACAATTTTGAGATAAGTATGTAACAAGTAATTCTAAATATATGTCTTTGTTTTGTATTGTAATTTATATTACAATTATCATGTATACTTATATTTCTAATATAGAATGTACGATTTAATATAGAAGATTGATGCAATAAATATAAGGTATGCTATAATTACAACTATAGTATTTTTTTATTATCTTCATAATTATATACTTAAAATATTCATAATATTTGAATTAAATTTGTTATAATTATAATAAAAGTTTACTCCATTTTCATATAGATTTTATGTGACAATATATTTTTGAAATAAATAGGAAATCTCAAAATCTCAAATAAATTAGAAGCTATCATTAAATTATTATTCTTTAGCATGTGCCCTACGTGAGAAGTGCCAACTTGCTTTGAGTAAGTGTTTATTTTTATTTAAATATAAAAAAACGCATATAAAAAAAAATTAACATGATATATGAAACTAATAAAAATATATTTTTAAGATTAATTATCTAGTCTTTTCTTTTTCTTATTAATTAATATTGATAATTAACTATTAATATTTTTCAAACTAAATTAAGACGGTAAAGAAAATTAATTAAGGTTAATCATCTAGAATAGAGGACACCTCACCGATTTCAATAATCTTTATTTATGTAAATGTATCATACATAAACACTAACATTAACAAATACATACAAAAAAACTTAATTGTATTACTGTGTAACTTGTAATGATATAAAATTTACAAGATCGTAACAATTCGTCAGGATAAAAGTATTCGTTCAGTTCGAAATTCGTCGCATTAATTATGTTAACATTATAATTAGTATTTTGTTGGATTCTCTTTCTGACGAATAACTGAATGTAATCTATTTGTTATAGATAATACTAAATTTTTTATAAAATCTGGGTGTATATTATACTATTCTTTTCTTAACACATCTTTTAGATCGACCTTTGATTTTTTATATTATATTTTCGTATCCTTTTTTCAAGTTCGCACCATATGTGTTCGATTGGGTTCATGTCAGGCAATTGTGGGAGAGTAACATATATATATGGTGGGTGTTATATAATAATTGACGTGCCATATGAGCTGTGTTTCGGATCGCAGTCTTGTTGGAAATAAAATGAAGTTCCAATATCTAGTATCAGCACTTTTTTGTAAATTTTCTTTTAAAATATAAATGTTTATCCATTGTTGTATCTATAAAAATCAACTCTCCAACCCAAGAAGCAGCAATGCACCCCCACACCATGACACTTCCACCTCCATGCTTTACTGTGGGTTTTAAATTCTTTGTCTCCAATTCTGTATTCGGTTTTCGCCACATTTTTTTGTAACCATCTGATTCGTAAATATTAAATTTTGACTTATTTGAAAATATTACATTATTCCAAAAATCAGGATTAACATTTATATACTGTTTGGCAAATTCTAGTCTTTTCTTATTATTTATTTTGCTAATGAACGGCTTCCTTCTTGCTACTGTATCCTGCCCTATGCAATACTCTTTGTATTGTTTTTGGATGTACTTTATTTTGTACTCTCTCCTGGACTTGTGTCGCAATTTCAGATGTATTTGTTTCTGGTTTTTTCTTAATAATTCTAATAATATTTTTTTCCTCAAACTTAATTTTCTGGGCCTACCACACCTTGGCAAATTTTGCAATATTTCATCTTCTTTATATTTATTTATTATACTTTGTATCGTCGAGCGACTTCTTTTGACAATACTTGAAATATTTGCATAAGATTTTCCTTCTTGATGTAAATTTATTATAATTTTTCGTCCTTCTAATGACGTTTTTTTACACTTTCGTCCTATACGTAAATTACTTAATTATTTAATTATAACGTGTTGATGACTGTTTCGAGAAAACTGACTTCAAATTATCAAATTACAATATTTACTCTGATTAAAATGTTTTGATTTCAACGTATGTCATATTTGTCAACACTATACGAATACTTTTATCCCGACAAATTGTTACGATCTTGTAAATTTTATATCATTACAAATTACACAGTAATATAGTTAAGTTTTTTTTTGTACGTATTTGTTAATGTCAGTGTTTATGTATGATACATAATTATGTATGATACATTTACACAAATATATCTAATAAATTAGAAAATATTCGTGTTTTTATTTCGATAAATAGCAGGTATACGAATATTTTTATCTGTCACTGTATGTTCTCGTGATCATTCTGAACAATTTTTCTCCATACATATTATGTACGCAAAAAAATTCGGCGAAATTTCCAAAAACTTTTCACTTTCGATTTGGGTCTAATTTCGCAAATAATTTTATTTTGCATAAAAACAATGTTTACGATAAGGATTTTTGGCGATTCTAAACCTGAGACAAAATTTTACAAAATAGTTTCGAAATAAAAGGCAATTATTTGAAATAGGCCGAATGATTCCATCGGTTTGGTTTATCATCCGATTGACATCAATTTGGGTTAGATAAATGCTCGGTCGGCGAAAACTGGTAAACACCATATAATAATTCAAGAAATAAATCATTTTTAATAAATAAGTTGTCCATGAATTTATACCATTTATTGAATTTATATAAAGTATATCATTTATAGAAATTATTGAAATGAGAAATTGTTCTCTTTAAAAAAAATAAAACTTTTTTTATAAATATAAAATTTATTTAAATTTATTTAAAAATATAAAATTTTTTATGAATATCTCGAAAACTAGACGAGTGGCGATAACAAGTACAAAGGAAAAAATTGTTCAGAATGATAACTTTGACAACATATTTCAAGATCATTAAAAATAAGTCCTGTTTTCTAAATAATTATCGAAGATTTAAATATTAAACAATTTATTCACAAAAATAATGTATTGATTCTTTTATAGAAAATAAATTAAACAGTTTATATAAATTTATAATTGCTATTTATAAATAAATATAAAATAGAAATGCAGTTATAATAAATTATATAAATATATATATAATTACACAGTATTTTTATTTCTTAATACAAACTCAATTATATATCACATTTTCTCAGATTCACAATTAATACAAAATAATACTTTTACATCAATTAAATTAATTAATAACGATATTTTGTAGAATAATCTTTAGGTGACACTACTAAACCTCTACCTTTTCTGGCACCTCTGTAAACTGTTTCAATAATATCAATCATTTCTTGTTTGTCTTCTAATGTCCAGTTTATTTTATTGTTGTTTCCAGTTCCCAAATCAATCATTATATGTTTATTTCGAAAGAAAAACATAACTGTACAAGGATCGTACAATTCATACCTGTAAAGATCATATTTATCATTTTCTCTAGAATCTATTATTTTAATTAATATTTTAATTAATAAAAATTTGTTAATTATTTAGGAAAAGGGGAGGGTTTCGCCGATTTCGACGATTTTTAAATATGTTGTAAAAATCAACATTTTGAACAACTTTTCCCTATACATATAACCGCCACTCGACCTTAGTTACCGAGATTTTTCCTCAAAAAGATCGCTGTTACTTAGGGGTGTGCGGATACCCGAAATTACGGGTACCCAACTGTTCGGGTCGGGCTTACACAAAATCGGGCGAGCTCAGGCGGGTAGCCCGACTATTTCGGAAAAAGTTCAAATGGGATATGAACATAGGGATTATATTGCGTTATCGAAATCAATTATTCATAATATTTAATATATATATATATATATATATATATTTTTTTTTTTTTCTTCAAATGTAATAATAATGTAAAGAAGATAACTGCTCAACATTTTGTGATTATAATTTCGCTCGAGTTGGTATTATTATATTTCCGGATAAAGAAAATAGTCTTTCACTCGTAGTTTGAGTGGCAGGTAGAGCAAGAAATTTTTTTGCAGCTGAAAACAATAATGGGAATCTGGCTGTATTGCATTTCCACCAACGAATGTCTATATTTTTAGCACTAAAACCATCGGTGAAATACATACAGTGACTCTTATTAATATTCGGACATCATGCTATTCAAAATATTGTTGTGGACTTCGATTGTTTATAATAGTAAGTTTGGATTAATTTTTTAATAATATATTAGAGCATTTATTACAGTTTATAGTAACATAAATTTTATTTATTTATTATTGCACATACTTTTCTTAATATCAAACAATAAACTGAATTATGTCGAAATATAGTGTGGCATAAATATTCGGAAACATTTGAGGAACTATAATATTTAAACCTGAAAATTGTTAACATAAACAATAATTAATATTTTGTTGGGTAGCCCTTAACTTCAATTATATATCGCGGACGTCTAGGCATATTTCCAGTAATTTTCTTTAAGTAATTGAGCGGAATATTCTTCCATTCTTCGATTAATTAATCGTTGTTTTAACTCGTCTTTATTGACGTATGACAATTATTAAGTTATTTTTCACCGAGAAAAATGAAAAACGTATCGAGAAATCGGTCATCTTCTGAAATTAGGTAAAAGAATACCGTGGCTGATATTGTATGGAGATACAATGATGAAGACCGAATTGAATCAATTCCTCAGAAAGATCGGCCACGAAAACTTAACGACGGAGACAAACGCATTATTCTAAGAAAAATAAAACTGAATCCTAATTTAAGTGCTTCTAAGTTAATTTCAGAAGTATATTTATTAATGCGAAATACGTTGGATAATATTGGGAGACAATTGGCTATGTCCCCCTTGAACTTTTTCCAACTCGATCCAAAATCATCGGGCTACCCGAAATTTCGGGTACCCGCACATCCCTAATATACATATGTGATTGCTGGAAGGTTTACGATTGTCTGAATAAAGAAGGAGCATTAGGCATTTAAAAGTCAACCACAAAGTTGACCTTGTAGATCCGGAGACAAATACACATACGTAGATCATCGAACGCGTATGGCGAAAAATAAGGGCGGATATTCCAAAGTATGGAACTCGTTAAATACATTATGTAGGCTATTTAGCTGAATTTTTGTTCCGTCGACAATATGATTTTAATGATCGAATAATTAAATTGTTCGAAATAATGACTGAAATCTTTCCAACTTCGGATAATGTCAATAAATAAAAAATTGAAAATTGAAATTAATTTAATTAATTACATAACATAACCCGAACCTAATTCATTAAATTAATTACCAAGTAGAATAATTAGGTTTAAGTAAGGTTTGGTTCAAATTCTTTTATTCCAGCTACTCAAATCGAGTTTTAAGTACATCTGTTTTACTCGTCCATTGCCGGCCGCCTCGATGTATTTATAGAAACCATAAACAATCGGCGACTCAACGTTTACACACACGCTACCACAGATACGTAGCTATATAGGCAATATTCATTGCAGTAGTAGCAATAGTTTTTTGCAAAAATCTCGGAAACTGAGAAGCCGAGTGGCGGTTCCTACACACATGGGAAAAAGTTGTTCAAAATGTTCATTTCTACACATATTCAAAAATCGTCGAAATCGGTGAGACCTCCCTTTTCTAAATAATTACCAAAAATTTAAATAATTGTAATTTATCAGACAATTTTTATTTTTTATTACACAGTTAAAACTTACATTTTATTAAAATCAGGTACTTGTGTAATATCAACTAGATAGATGACAGCAAAATTTTTTACTTTTTCAGCAATATTATAAAGAACTTCATCCATTTTCATACACATCGGATCCCAATCATGGCCAAATCTAATAACCTAAAAAATTACATAATTTACATGCATATACATCGTTGCTCGTATTAATATTGAGACTCTCTCTAAATTTGTATACAAAAAGATTATTTAAATTGTTATTTTTACTATTTATTTATACTAATTTATTATTTATTGTAATTCGTAAATGTATAAAGAATTTATTTATAATAATGACATTTAGATATATAAAATATTTCCTAAATTGTAGTATAACCGGTCAAAAGATGATTCCACATGTAAAAATGAACTAAGAAGAGAGAATAAAATTTTTTCATATAACGCTTTGTTTTCGAAAAATTCGAGTCGGCAGTGTAACAAATTTGTTAAATCAACGCAATAATACAAATGAATCAAGACAATAGCTTAGCTCCCAAATCTATTGTAGTTTAATTAATTAACTACTAATTGTAAGTTATTTTGATCGAAAACACCTCTCAAAATGATAAGAACATTACACTTTTGGTTTTTTTCTTTGTGGCAAAAATATATTACTTTTCCAATCTCTCCCAACTGATTTCTCCTTTTAGTGATATAATAAAGCATTTGAAGAAAAAATTATATCGAAATAAACAAAATTCGGAAATTACTAAAATACGTATTTATCGAAAATTCAAGTACATCAATATCCATGTTTTTTTAATTCGTCGAATATAGAATCTGTCAATAACATAAGGAGAAGCATTTTTAACCATTTGTAATTAATTAAAATAAGACATTGAAATTAACTGCATTCTTTATAATTATACTCAAACCTGTTTCATATTGTTTATAAATTTACATGATAACTAGTTGGAATAACTACATTATGCAAAAGAATGTAGTTATTTGTACTATATGTTCTGACAAATGAATATGATTTTCTTGAAAACGAAATATCACATGGAAAAATTTAATTTTCTTTTTTTGACTTAATTTTGCTTATAGCATCTGTGACCAGTTATACCACGATTTAAGAAACACTATATGGAATAAAATTTATTCCTGAATATTTTTCTTCTTCTTTTGTTAACGTAATCAAAATATATATTGTAAATAAAAATTGTTCAGTTTTAGCTACAAAGTGTAGCTTGTTTTGTTGTAGTAAATTGTTAATTATAAAAATTTTTTTTTTTTTATACAAAGTCAAAGTCATATTAACTTTTTTGAATAGCATTATATATTTTTTATTTCACAGTCTTGTAATTACTATCGAGACGAATTCAACGACCTGCCATACTCTGACAATTAAATAACTAAAGATAAATATTAAGAACAAAACTAATAGAATAATAAAATTATTATAGAATAGATATTATTATTATTATATAATTATACAATATTAATTGTATAATTATAATTAAATTTAATTAATTAATTATAATTATATTATAATATAATATAATAATAATTGCATAACATAATATTAAATAATATTAATTATATAATATTATTATTATAGAATAGAATAATAGAATAATAGAATTATTGAAATTAGAAATCATTCTTAACGATATCGTGCGTGCTGACAACAAACTAAAACAACAAAAAATAACAACGTTTAAAACTTTTAATGTGCGTCCATATTAATTTAATTCGGCATTATTAAAAATAATATCAAGATAATACACACTTAATATTGCAATAGTTGTTGCAACTACTAATTAGGACGAAATTGAAACAACAAATTTCTTTTTTCGCACATAAGAGAAATATCATTAACACACTCATTAATCCATTAATTCATTAATCAATATTATTTATATAATACATATTTCTATCTGATTTTTTAATTTTTTGTCATCATTGTTATAATAAATATTCAAATTACATTATATCCTTCGCAATAGAGAATTCTGCTGCTTCCAGTAAGTTTAGATACATGTGTTCTTCAAAGTCATTTAAAAAAACTTATTGTTAGTGTAACAGATCGTTGAACTCATCTCGATGTCAGCTACAAGTGAAATAAAAAATACATAGTACCATTTAGAAATTTAGTCAAGATATTATTATAATTTTGTATCAAAAAAAGTATTTTGCACATTTTGCACATTTCACTTTGTAGTTGATGCGAAATTATATAAATTTTCACATTTTTGAGTATGTACTTAAAAGTTTAATGTATATCAATTTTTCGCATCAATGTATATCAATACTCTCTATACGCAAGAAAATATGTACTTCTATACTCTATATAATATTATCCATTCCATCATATGTAATCATATTAAAAATCATTTTTATAAAATGTGGTTTATAAAAATTATGGAAAGGAATATGAAAGGAAAATAAATAGAAGTATTATAACATAGAAGTATTTGGATAAGAAAGAATAGAAAGGATATTTTTTAACTATACACAATTTTTTAATTATTTTAAATTTCAATTACTTCTGTTGTTTTTTCTGTTGTGTAAACATATCTAGCTAAATCTAATTAAATTTTTTCTAGTGAATTAATTTAAAACTTTTATATTTTTTGCACAAAAATACATAATTTTATACAGACTTAATAAGAATGAAAAATCCAATTTTTCTGTGTAATGTGAGTAGTATGTATCTATTAAATCTATATATTTTTGGCTATTTATCGAATTAGATAAAATTTATATCTACCTTGTATGATATCCAATTCTGATCTCTATCATTTTTTATTTTATATTTATCCATTATTCTACATGCTTCAGTTTAAGGTTTTCTTTTCTAAATCATGATAGTAAGGATTACCTAAAGCATCTAACAATAAGTTGAATTTCTTATCTCTTATCTCCAATGCTCAGATATTAAAAGAAATATTAAAAGAGAGCATGAATTTTTTATGCTTCAAATGTTTGCATTAGTATAAAACATATATATTTGTCTTATTTGTCATTTTTTTTTTTTATTATCTTTGTATCTTTATAAACGTTCAGCTTTCACATTCTATTAATATTTAAAGTTATCCAATTTTTTTTTGCATATCTTTCAAACTGTAATTTGCAATATTTTCTGATAACATGTTTTTACAAATTATATTTTCTCATAACAAAATTTTTACAAAATATATTTACCACATTACAAACCATGCTTATTTCGATTGTTATGATACTTTTCGAGATGTACATCACGTGTAAACATCGTAAATAGTTATTTTCTTATACTTATGAGAAAATATTCAAAAGCAATTATTAAATGAGTGCACTAAAGGGCCATGATGACCACCAGCAAAATAAACATATTGTGGATAAGGACATGAGTCATATATAATCATATTTCTTATTATTTTGTCATTATATGCTTAAAATACTGAAAATTCTCTCGTGACCCTCTGGGAGTATCATGTAAAACTGCCAAGATATGGCAGTACGTACTATTTATGACATGGACATATTCCTAGACTTGTTGTTAGTCAAACTTGGAATTTTTAGACATTTTTTTTTCACCTCTTAGAGAATTTCCAACCAAGCTCCTTATAAATCTTAGTTAGTTTCAAGAAGTTAATTATATAAAATTAACTTTATTTATTGTGTTATATTTTTTTTTTATTTTCATTTCTGTAAATGTAAAATTTTTATTTATAAAAATGTAGAATACACTCCTGTGTCTTAGCTATGTACATCTGTTTATCACTGTTGACTCGACTTGTTGAATAAAATATAAAACCACCAGGATAATAAAAATGGCTAATATATAAATTTTCATAAAAATTTCATAGAGTTATAACAGTACATCGTTAGAGATTTGAATGATTTTTGTTCTGTAAATATTTTTCATTGTATTATAAACTTCTTCCTGTTTTTGGACCTTTTATTTTTCTGATACAATTTTTAATTTAGTCATTGATATTTCTATTATTAAATAATATTTTAGTCATCTCAAATTTAGAGATAGGAAAATATCTAAATATTAATATGAGTAACCATATATCCAAAAGATTAAAACAGTTTAACATTATTTTTATCAACCCTTGGGATGAAATTAACTGACTCTTTTTAAAATTTTGACTTAAAATTATTTTCTAAATTATTTAATTGCTTTTTTTAAATTGACTTTATATCTTTTCTTGTAATAATTATAAAATTAATTCAGTAAATTTATTTCTCCAGGATCTGGTATACATACATAAATCTATTCTAAAATCATTCCACGTATAAATATCAGTATTATAGGACAAATTTCAATTCTAAAACAAATTTGGAAATCCTCTGTGCCAATTCTAAACATAATTAACAAATCCCACACTATCATTTTTTTATTCAGATAACAAATGTGATTATCATATAACAAATTGCAATTGATCGCAATGATCATGGCAGTAATAAAATATTTGGATATTCACTAGTTATTTTTCAGATATTTACTTCGCATTGAGCTCAATTACAAATAATTTTATTTATACCGTGAAATTTGCATGCTGAATATACTTTTTTAGGTAAATAATGAGAATAAGCTTATAACAATAGTAGTTAATTTTATATATATCTTTTTTTAAATTTGTTATTTGAAAAAATGTCCAGAATTTTGAAAAACAAAAAGTTATTGAAAGAAAGAAATAATATAATTGCTTTCAGATTGATGAAGATGGACAATTTAAAACTGAAGATGACTTATTCAATAGTGAATAGAGAGTAAGAATGATCATTAAACACTGATGATGAAAAGAAAAATATTTTTAATACATATAGGACAAATGATAATGAAAAGAACAGTAGAATATTGAATATACAATATAGAAAGTTGCTATAGGTGGAACAATTTGGCAAAAAAATACAAGCAAATTCTTCACCTGAAAAATCATTTTTTATTATTTCATTATGCAAATTTCATTTTTTATTATGCATCTTTTATTATTTTAAACATTTATTTCCACAATTATCTGCGAATGCAAGGAAATCACTCCTCTTTGTAAAAGTAATATTAATAAAAAATTTTAACCTTAACCATAACATCTATCATAAAAAAAAAAACTTCATTTGTGAAATTTAGTCCTAATACATTTAGGATTAAATTAATTAGCTTAATTTAGAAATCAATTTAGAAATCAAACTAAAAAAAATCAAACAAATATAATTATATATATTATTTAGTTTATCATATGTAAAAAACTTATTGTTTGCGCTGATTACAAACAATAATGTTATTATTATGGAGCGGTAGTAGAATAAAATTTGCATTAAATAAAATTTCGTATATGATAACCTTTGAAAGTTGATGAAGTTCAATCAAAAACTTACAACTACTCTGTCTTCTTCAGATAATATTGCCTGATCCACTTGCCATCCATTGTGAAGATGTGACAACATATAAGACATTTTGTTCCCTGTTTATCAAACACAAGTCGAAGAAAACTGAAAAAAATTGAATATAACCTATATTCTTATATTCAAGTTTAAAACACCTTTTATTACCACATATTACAAACTAAAAATTATAGAATAACAATATATTTCACACAATTGCGTGATAATGATTTACTAATTATATAAGTTTCTTTATATGATTGAGATTACAAATTAAAAATTTTGTTTGAGCTTCGTAAAATGTAATTAAAATCACCGCTGTAAGTTTGTTTGTGAAAATTAAAATTCATTACAACCAACATATTAGCAGTAATTAAAGAAATCCCTAGTTTTCAATTATGTACGAATATTGCTGTACTATCTATTAAATATTAGATTTCTATCTTCATGTATTCTTTTATATATTAAATAATTACAATATTTATAACTTAATAATACAAAAATTTTACTAACCTCCAAACACTCAAAATCTAATATATTTCTTTTAATCATAAAAAAAAATACATTAATAAAATATAATTTTCTACCATAATTTTAAAAATTACAAATTATTTTAGTCGACTTTGTAAAAAAATATAAATATATATTAATGTGACTTGATCTATTCCAAGTTTAAACTTGCTAGCTTTCTATTTGTACATCATGCAGCATGCACATATTGGTGATAAGTAATAAAGAGCTTAAATGTCAACGTGTACATTTCTTGTGTACATACGTCCTATTACTTGTTTTTTTTCTTATTTTGATAAAAATAAAGTAAAAGGTAAAAATGAAAATATCTGAATATTTGAAAAAAACATTACTATTATTATTACTATTACTATTATTAATACTTTTGTTTGTAAATATAAAATTTTTATTTATTAAACATGTAACAACCTAATTTGTTAATACATAATACTTCATAATCAATTAATGAGAATAATATAAAATTCTGATAAATATATTCACTACATATAAATTTTTTATATTTTAAATGATTGCTATTTCATATTATTTTATAGATTATATGTTATAAGTTATATAGATTAGATTCTTCAGTTACAATATGTATTATATATTTTTGTATTGTTTATAATGTTATATCTTTATTGAATATTATATTATAAAACAAATTAAAAAATCAAAATTATATTCTAAATTTATATACTGCGTGTAGAGTTAAACTTTAGATATGTTAATGTTTTATAAATATATTTATATTTTATTACTATTACAATTTTCTAATAAATTTTCTAAAATATGAAATATTTATAATATTATAAAATCAATTTATAATATTAATAAAACATATTTTATAGATGAAATAATCCATTGATTATTATATCATAGAAGTTGTTTATAAAAAACATTATATGATGAAACCACAACAACGTAAGTATATATAATTTAAAAATTATAATAAATGAATTTATTAAACCATTTTTTGATACTTAATATTTATTTTATAGGAAGTGGTCAGACATTAAAATATATTAGTTTAATTACACTTACATTACAAAATGCTCTGGTTGGACTTAGTATGCGTTATGCACGTACGAGATCAGGAAATATGTTTCTTTCATCAACTGGTACATTATATTTTACATTATAAAAATTAATTATTCTATTTATTATTTTTATTACATTGATATAAATTACTAATTACTAATTACTAATATATATGTTTGAAATGTTATTTCAGCGGTAGTAATGGCAGAAGTTGTTAAACTTTTTACATGTCTAACATTAGTTCTTGTTGAAGAAGGAGATCTTGCAAAATTTTTTAATGCAATAAAGTTGACAATTATAAAGCAGCCTATTGATACTTTAAAAGTATCTGTGCCATCATTTTTATATATTATACAAAATAATCTTTTGTATATATCAGCATCTAATTTAGATGCAGCAACTTATCAGGTATGTATAATACTTATATAACTATATTATATATTACTAATTTTTCATTTATTAATCTTATTTATATGCTTTTATATTTATTATTTTTTAGGTAACATACCAACTAAAAATTTTAACAACAGCATTTTTTGCTGTGATAATACTGCGAAGGTCTTTAAAAAGTACTCAATGGGGAGCTTTAATATTATTAGTCATAGGAGTAGTATTGGTACAATTAGCACAAAGTTCAGATATTACTTTACCATCCGGCATAGAACAGAGTCATTTACTCGGATTTTCAGCTGCTTTAAGTGCGTGTTTTCTATCAGGTTTTGCAGGAATATACTTTGAAAAAATACTAAAAGATTCAGATATATCAATATGGATGAGAAATGTTCAATTAAGTTTATTATCATTACCTTTTGGATTAATTACATGTTTTGTAAATGATAGTGAAATGTTAAAAAAACAAGGTTTCTTTTTTGGCTACGATTTATTTATTTGTTATTTAATTGTACTTCAAGCAGGTGGAGGTCTCATTGTTGCAATGGTAGTTAAGTATGCAGATAATATACTTAAAGGTTTTGCTACGTCTCTGGCCATTATAATTTCATGTATAGCTTCTATATATCTTTTCAATTTCCATTTGAATTTCCAGTTTTCTTTAGGTGCAATTTTAGTAATATGTTCAATTTTCATGTACAGTCATGAACCAAAATCCACATTTGTTGATAGGCATTCTCTAACTGATAAAGTTTGATGTAAATCAAACTAAATATTCTTTAATTCAGCGAATATTTTAACATGTTCATTCAATAATATTTGAACTGATATATTTTTTCCATATGAAATAGCAATTATATGGTTAAAGTATTAGTATCTACAATCAGTCACAAAAGTTTATACACACTTGATAAATTTTAAATATTTAAAGAAAAATAAGAACTTCCAACGTTATTAAATTAATTTATTTATTAGATAAAATTACAGAAATTTTGAAAAAATTTTTATATCTACTTTGTGTGCGTGCAAGTGTGAAAAACATGAATAAATCGGAAAAAATTGACAAAATTTGATAGAATTATCGACAGTATATTAAAGCTTATAAAATGAATTCTTACAATAATAATATTAGTATATATATATATATATATATATATATATATATATATATTTATAATATTATATATGTACATATATAATATATATAGTTATAATCAGAATAAATTTCATTGTCTTTACTATACGATAATTATACATAGATTTTTGTAAAATCCTGTTGTTGATTTATTTTATATTGTTTTGAACTAATGTAAGAAATATCAATATTTGAGAATTGGTCTAAGGTTCTAAATTGGTCTAACTTTTGGTTTTAACTAAGAAATTAATTAATAGCCACAAAATTTTTCTGTTTTTAGTTTAAGTAATGAAATTTAATAAATACATATAAACTTTTGTGATTGATTGTATTATATATTTTATCAGTATTTTATTATACTTTTTAATAAAAAATGACTCTAATAACTATAATAGAATAATTTATTTGTACAAAAAATATAATCTGTCAATAGGCTATATAAGAGAAATTCAAATACATAAATATATAATTGAATAAAGTGTGTCAAATTGACAAACATCAAGTGAATACATATTTATTCAAATTAATAAATCACATGTATTGGTATATAGAAATATTACTTTAAAATTATATCTTAAACGTTAAAATACATTTCCAGAGAATTATATATAATACTTTGATTAAAATAGATATAAAAAAACATGAATAAAAATAAAATTATTCTTTTTTAATTTATATATTTTTATATAATGTTACAATTTTTTATTATAGATATAAGTATACGTATACACATATTAATACAATTGTATCACACAATTTCATTGTTTATATTGTACTTAAGTTTTGATAAATATGTATACTTAAAATGCACATATATTTGGAATATATTTATATTTCTTATTTGAAAATATAACAATTTATATAACAACATATATAATTTATATAATGAAATAATAAAGAACAAATTGAAATAACCCTTTAATTCTGTAATATATTTAAATAATAGTAAAAATATATCCAGTTACAAATAAATTAGCAGAACACGGTGATTAATTCAAATCGCTCTACACCAATATTTGCCAACATTCATAACCACTTATTTCATTAGTTTAACCATATCATCGAGTTTTATTCTGACGAACAGAACAATAACAGAAATATGAATCTACATATTAAAATAAATAAAAAATGTCATTCTAATTCATATCCAAATTAATATCATATTTCTATTTTTCCTAATATTTTTTTTAAATAGATGTAAATAATCAAATATGTAATAAATTTTTCGTTCCACCAACTACTGTTCCAGATTATTATATTCTTTTATTGATGAAATATTACCACGTTATCAATTCAATAAATAATTCTGATGTGACAACACTGTCCATATTTCTTGATTTTAATTATTATCACTACTGCAAAACTTGCCTAAATCAGTACGACAGGACTATCAGTATAACATATAAATGGTAAAAGAGCTCTAACTTCAGAACGTGTAATACAAAATGCATTGGATATCGGATTTATTTTGTATCTTGCCTGTGATATTATTATTATTATGTACAGTAAGAAGCATAATTAAATACATAATGATACAAAATTGTCGATATTTTGAATTATTATAACTTCATAAAATACAATCATACAACAATTACTTGATCTTATTTTAAACTATTTTTTCTACTTTGACTGCCTTAATTTTATTTTTTCCAAAGATGTTTTTCTATTATGTAGTGAATAGAAAAATTGTAAAAATTCAAACATAAAAAAACTTTTTTCATGATTCGAACCACCGAGATTTTGAAAATTAAAATTTCCTCTTTATAACGATTCTTTAAAATTCACTGTACGATCTTTTGCCATTTTATTGTACTTTGAACGTTAAGATTAAATGATGAAATTCAATATTTAAGACTGTGGATTTAGTCATAAATAAAAATCTTCAGTGTTTTTACATACATGTGAATTTTTACAATTTCGTTTAAAGAAAAGAACATTTTTTCACGTACTATATGATGTTAAAATATCGGGAGAAAAAGGATTCAAGGCAATCAAAATAAAAGCTTTACGCTTTAAAATGAGACTAAGTAGATTGTTATACGATTCTTTTTTACGTTTTAGTATCGAATTTCCGTTTAAATTAATTCTGATGCAAAATTGATTCCATGAAAATAGTTTGTATCTGTCAGAACAGTGATGATAATGGTCGTAAAATTTTTGGGAAAGTCAAAACATCCTACAAGACACTACATATTTTGCTCTTTTTGTTTTCTACTTGTAAATACTCAATAAAATATTACATATTTACGTTAAAATTCCAAATGCGTAATTAGTTTTGTTTATCACGTTATTTTATAAACCGTGTTTGGGTCAAGCATTTTTTAATCGGTAGCCAAAAATTCATTCCGGTTAAAACATGCTTGACTCAAACACGGTTCGGTCGCCAAATAATTAAAAAATATCTTGGATCTTAATTTTTGAGTCATTAAAAATTCTAAACATTTTACGATCTTAACTTTTGAATTATTAAAAATTCTTTTTGTAAATATTCTTTCTTAAGAATGATCTGTATGAACCAATCAGATTATATGTAAAAACCAACATGGCGTCATACTAACCTATTACATGCGCTTGAAATGCTTAACTTTAGCTATATAATTTGAACTTTGGATTCCTAAATTTAAAACTTATAGTTTTGTCAATTCGTTGAAATTTATCAGATCATAGAAAAAAATCTATGATTTTTTATCTAAAACAAAATTCAAATATTGTATTATTGAAATTGTAAGGTATTTCGTTTAAATATTTGAATAATGTTGATTTCAACTAAAAAATATAAAATTATACTTACGTAATGCAATATTAAAGGGAATTAAACAGTTCTATACAAGTTGGCAATCGTGTACAATACTGTAAATGCTGATCACCCCTCAGCCTAAGAAGCAGAATTCTCGGTCTCTAATCGGTATATAAAAGAATTGATAAGAATGAGCGAGTCTCAATCGAAGAAAGTCAAGATGAGCTCATTGGCGCAGTTAAAAGAAATTACAACAATCGTCGCCGATACTGGTGATTTTCAAGGTAAGCAAATAAAAAATTTTCAATAAAAGATTTTATACTTAATTCATGTATGATCAAAGGTGAAGGTGACTATCAAAAGTACAGGAAAATTCCAATGGCGCATTTTTCATTTATCATTTAAACATAAAAAATGTAAATTATTTGAAAATATTTTTATCTTTTTATTGTATATTTGTATTATAAATGTATGCAAGCATAAGTATAATAGTAAAACAAAAATTATTTTACCAGAAAACCAGCAGTTTAAAGTTCAAATCACGTTGTACATGTAGAAGTAGGGGAAATTACAAAATCTTCCGATCATACGATTGCTTTTTTTTTAATAGTTTCATAATAATGTTTTTTCTTATTAAAAAATAAAAAAAGGATAAATAATAAATTATTATTTTTCATTCTAAATTTTTAAATAATTTCATTGTAATTGTTATATCATTAAAATATTTTCTATTGTAATTTATAATGTTACTTAATTAAAAATTTCAATTTTATTTCAATTCAATCCAAAATAAAATAAGTAATTCTAATTTTATTGATTTATTTTTAATTCTATTATGAATATTCTTCTTAATAATATTTCAGTAATATCTCATCAACTGGAAAAAATTTTTACTTATCATGTAATTTGTCAAGGTATATGTTACACAAATATGTATTGCTTTGACCTGTAGATATTAGAGATGACGTAATATGTAAAACATCTTATAATGAAATTTATCTGATTATATAAAATAAAATATTTTATTGTTACAACAAAAAATTGTTATCAAAGCATTTAATTATATTATTAAATTATTTTTAGCTATGGAACAATTTAAACCAATAGATGCAACTACGAATCCTTCATTGATCCTTGCTGCAGCGAATCAAAAAAAATATGCTCACTTAATAGATAAAGCTGTACAATATGGAAAAAAGTCTGGATCGTAAGTATATTACATGTTATGCATGTTTAATATTAAATGAACAAAATAAAAATTAAATATTATAATAAATATTTTTAATGAACATTTTATTATTATTTAGATACATAATTGTTTAATAAATTTTTAATATATATTAAATTTACTGATAGTATATCTTACTAAAATATTAATATTGAAGCATGAAATGTTTAAGACAATAAAAAAAATATATTTTTAACTTAAAAGATTACTATATTAAATTATTTGTAATTTTTAATTGACAACTATTTTTCACTTTAATAAATAGATTTGTAGATATAGAATTTATAGCATAGTAAAAGTTAATTTAAGACATTATAGGAATTATAAATGATATACATGAACAAAGTAGTATACATATAAAGAAATATAGAGGAATTAAAATAAATCTATATGAAAATAAAGGAAATTCTGTGAAAATTAGTATTAGAAGTGAGAAAATATTAAAATTTATAAAAATGAAAAATAAAAGGATGTGTATGCAGCAAAAGGTATGAAAGAAAAAAAAAATTCATTTGATATGATAACACTGGTAATAATTAGTATGATAATTTTGTGGCTTATGTAATTTGTTAATCAGAAGAAATAAATTACTTATAAACCGATTTATTTGTTTCAGTACTTTAAAAGAACAAGTTGAAGCAGCTTTAGACATTACATGTGTCCTTTTTGGTAAAGAAATCTTAAATATCATACCAGGTAGAGTTTCTACAGAAGTAGATGCTAGGTTATCCTTCGATAAAGAAGCCAGCGTTGAGAAAGCCAAACGGTTAATTGCTTTATATGAAGAACTTGGTGTAGATAAAAATCGTGTTTTAATCAAACTTGCTTCTACATGGGAAGGTATTCAAGCGGCAAAGTAAGTTGAACATTTTTATTATCAACCAATCGTTTAATAAAAAGTTTAAACTCAAACTAACAAAACTTTTATATATTTATATAGAGAGTTGGAGGAAAAATATGGAATTCATTGTAATTTAACACTTCTATTTTCTTTCGCTCAAGCAGTTGCATGTGCAGAAGCAGGTGTAACTCTCATATCACCATTTGTTGGTAGAATTTTAGATTGGTAAGTTCAATGATATTTTTTATGAACATTAAAAAGTTTTACAAATGAAATGGTTTTTTAGGTATGTGGCAAATATGAATAAAAAACAATACGACTCTAAAGATGATCCAGGCGTTTTATCTGTAACTAAAATCTTTAACTATTACAAAAAGTTTGGATATAAAACAGTTGTTATGGGTGCATCGTTTAGGAATATTGGTAAATATTTTTAAAATTATTTTGAAATTAATTATAGTTACTAAAATTGACGATCATAATGAGAATTATGTTATGTAATTTTCTTATTGGGGATCGCATCATATAGGTGAAATAAAGGAACTAGCCGGTTGTGATTTTTTAACTATAAGTCCCAAATTATTAGAAGAATTGGAAAGAAGCTACGAACCAGTTTGCAAAGTACTTACACTAGAAGCAGCAACGAAATCTAATCTTCAAAAGATCAGTTTGACTGAAGCTGAATTTAGATGGCTTCTTAACGAAGATCAAATGGCAACGGATAAATTAAGCGATGGTATTCGAAAATTCGCAACAGATGTTCGTAAGTTGGAAAAACTACTTCACGAAAAAATACAATCTTAAATATAAGTAAAATATTGTCCTTAAACATACGAATCAAAATGTAACAAATATTCTATCGTAAATACTAAAACATAATAATTATTCCTAATGATAAATTGTAATTATAACATTCCATTCTTTGTATTTCTATATTGTATAAATGTACATAGAAAATATATTTTTATCATCAAATAAAAATGGGATATTAGCAAAATATATACTTCATAAAGAATTATTTTATGCATATCTTAATTATTACTGACAAGAGTAGACTAAGATTATATATATATATATAGCAACAGTTCCTTATTTTTCATAAATTTCATGTTTTCTTATTATGTTAAAGGATGTGCTTAAAGTGATGGGTGTGCTTCATCTTATAGATATTTATTCAATATTTTAATAATCTACCATTTCTTAGAATTATTATTTCGAAGGTTATGTAAAATCAAGAATGCGCAGTATACAAGGTGATGCATAGACACATGAATTAATACAAACAGTAACATTATTTAACACGTGGAATGCTGAAGCAGTTTAACTATCCTGCCGCATGTATTAGAAATGGTACACAATGAAAAGTTTAGGAAATATATAAAATATGTAAAATTGTGTATTTTTTAAGAACTTGAAATTTATTTATTATTATAGTAAATGTTGAAACCAGAAACTACACTATATAACAAAAAAATAACTTTATTCATATTAAAAATATACAAAATATATAACGAAAAAATTAAAGCATAAAGCGGAAACTTTATTTGGTGTGCAAATGAGGTTCACTGTGTATCAACATATTAAGTAGTTTTCTGTATTAGAAATGAAATTGTTAGAAATTTTAACTGGTGAAAATTGAAAGTTTCTTTGAAATTGAAACAATTTGGTTTTATTGTTAGCAACATTTGATTATTATTATAAATCACATTTGCAAACAAAAAAAGAATCTAAACTAAGCAAATCTTAAGAAGTAAAAATGGTTACATATTTTTCTACTAATAGTAGTTAATAACCCTTGATATTGATGCGACTTCAATAGACTTCATTAGAACTACCAACAATTACACACATGATCTTATATCTCGATAGTTGTATGATACCGAAAATATAGCCTTATGGAGTCTTTCACATAACAATATTACGATAGAATCATGAAAAATTCTTGTAAATATTAAATTTGTCTAAAATGATGGATCAATTAGATTTATATAGAAAAATAAAGTAAAATTCAATCGTATTTTGGTTTAAACCTTTCAAGACACACCAGGTTAACAATTCCTAATCAAAAAGACCTAACGCTGTGTTATGACAGTGAATTGATGTTATCAATTAGTACTAAAGAACTAGCCGTGGAGATCTTCGAAAAAGAAATTTGGCTTTTGGACCTCGTCTTATAAAAAAAAAATTTTCGTCTCGAATGGATTAATAGAATATTGATCATTTATTTCTTACAATTAGTTAAAAAATTGGGAAAAAGTGGAACTGAGCGATAGTGCACATTGAACCTTGTGAATACATTTCACTAGAATTTTACTAGCATTGTAACTTCGTCAGTTGCAGACAAAGAAAGTCGCTGATGACTGACCAAGATTTTATTTGAAAATTAAAATTGTGATTGTGTTTTGATATATCTCACAAGAATAGCCATTGTAATATACCTATTGTTATATAAAAACTAGCATTTAGATTAAACGGACAAACGCTTATTTGTTCTCCATTTCGATAAAACATGCTCGTTTAGTTTAAATGGTGATTAAATTCAATGAATATGAACAACTGTAATTTGAGTATGATCGAGTACTTATATAAGACTTGAATTTTGTCGAAATACATAAATAGTTGTAATTCGCGTAAGATATTTTTAAATAAACTGCTTTCTATATCTTCATGGCAGGTCATTTTAACCAACTGTGCAGCCAACGGTGCATTTTCTTTAAATGTAATTTTGACAATCACTTAGATTACATGGATTAAATTATAGACTACAATAAAATTTTTGCTTTCGAATAACGTCAGTACATATGATATAAAGTTTTATAAAATTAGATCTGATCTATAATTATATTGTCAATATTAATTAAATTGTCAATATGGTATATTTATAGTATATTTTTAATTATAACATATAATTAATTATATAATTACAGTGTAATATTCATGATTTAATTTAATTTATAAACTTAATTAAAAAATAATGAAATTATTATATACAAGTATAGTCTAAATATACAAAAATAAGTATGTGAAAGAATTTAGAGTCGAATCATTCAATTAAAATGAATATGCATATCTTATTTCAATTGACTTAATATACATATTTATTTCAATTGACTTATTGGATAATATGACAATGTTTATTTCAGTATTCATATTGAAGATATTTTACATATATTTTCAAGTATCAACGTCATATTAAACTATTTAAAATGCCAAAAAAAAAGACAGGGCAAAGGCGAAAAGCTGAAAAACAAAAATTAAGGCAAAAAGAAATTAGAACTGCCAAAGATCAATTAGATTTAGCCAAATTTCCATGCAATGCAGTAATGGCAAGTATTATAATACAAGTCAATAGTACCATAATTCAATTGATTTACAAACATAATAAAGATAAATATTTTTTATATTATAAATCTGTCAATTAATGTGTGAATTATTAATAGTATTAATTAATATAAAATATCTAAAAAATAAACCATATCTCATAAGCAAAATATATCATATTCCAATATCTCACATTTTTATTTAATTTTTAATAAAGGAATGTGACAAATGTGGCAAAAAACAGAAAAGTAGAGCCTTTTGTTATTTTTGTCAAACGTTACAACGGTTACCAATGTGTGCTCATTGTGGAAAAATAAAATGTATGCTGAAAACAGGAGATTGTGTTGTTCGTCATCCTGGTGTGTTTACTACTGGTTTAGGTATGGTGGTAAGTAAATATATCTTATTTACAATTAAAGTATATTATATGATATAATAAATTATAAGTGTACAAATAATAAACATAAATATTTAAAGGGAGCCATATGCGATCATTGTGAAGCATGGGTTTGTCATGGGAGACGTTGCCTCACAACTCATGCCTGTATATGTCCATTAATAGATGCAATTTGTCAAGAATGTGAAAGAGGTGTATGGGATCATGGTGGTAGAATATTCCGATGTTCATTTTGTAATTGTTTTCTCTGTGAAGATGATCAATTTGAGCATCAAGCATCATGTCAAGTTTTAGAAGCAGAAAGTTTCAAATGTAAGATTGTTAAAAAGAAATGGAAATAATTGTTTCTTTGCATACAATTACTTTTATATAATCATTGTTTTGTTAGGTCAATCATGCAATCGATTAGGACAATATTCTTGCCTAAGATGCAAAACATGCTATTGTGAAGATCATATTCGAAGAAAAGGATTTAAATATGAAAAGAATAAACCTATACCTTGTCCTAAATGTGGTTTTGAAACATCTCAAACAAAAGATCTCAGCATGTCAAGTAAGTAATATATTTAGTTTGGCTAAAATATTGTAATCTTTAAGTAATTATTCTTAAAATTATATTTCTTATTTTATTGTAGCAAGAACTCATAAATTTGGTAGACAAAATCAAGGTGGAACGTATGAATCTGATGATGAAAATGAATATAACTATTATGGTAAAGATATTAATTATTTTAATTATTATCTTCGAATTTATTGTAATATTCAAAGTACAAAATACTTTGTATTATAAATGTTATTCTTTTTTTTATAGGAAATCAGTCGCAAGACTATGTTTCTGAAAATTATACTTCTTATCAGGAAGATGAAGATGAAGATGATGAAGATGAAGATGATGATGATGATGAAGATGATGATAATGACGATGACGATGATGAAGAAGAGCAGGAAGATGAAGAATTAATGAATGAAAATGAAAAAAATTGCATCAAATAGAGCATTAATAAGAATGTTTAGCAAAAATCAAATTTTTGTAACACAAAAATACAGAAGTGAAAGAATAAATATATTATATTGTTGTTTTTGTTACTAATTACAACGGGCTATTTTATAACCTGAAAAATGAAAAATAAGAGATTATGTCAAATTTTGTGTATTTTATTTTTATAATGAAATACGTATAAGATGAATAAAATTGAGAATTTTCATAGTCCCTAACAATTAAATAATGACGCAAAAATGTTACATATATTGATTTTATGTAAAGTAAATAGAAATTTTACAAAGCAATGAATATGGACGTATCGCATATACAAAAATGTACATTATACACGTAATGAGGTATATTCAGATGGAAATGCGAAAGTATGAGAGCCAAAGGCATTAACACTTGGTAAAAGTCCAGCATTTGGAATAATATTCCACGACAATGTTAATGTTACATTCTTATTACCCCTAAAATATAAACATTAAATATGTAACATTTGATTAATTTACAGCAATAATATATTTCTATTAATTAAACGATTTATAATTATTAGAAAAAATTACCTTAAACCATTGCCATCATCCCAAAAATAATATTTTGTATTCATGTTTTTAAAATTAAATACTGTTTTATCCCCACGAAGTACTATTTTATCCCATAACACTACCTAGAATGCAGACATTTTAATATAATATGATTATTACATTAAATTAAACTAAACATAGTAATTGTATATTATAATATTTACATCATACCTGATTAAAATCATTATTCTCTGTTTGATATTCTGCTGTGAGATATAAAAATAACTGCTTAACATTCCAATTAAATAACGGAGTCAGATGTATATACTTATATATGTAAAGAAATTATATAATATTTTATAATTATACTATTATAAAAACATGAAAATTAATGTAAACATAAACAAAATCATACAAAAATTTAATAAATATTCCTATTAATTTGCATTATATTTCATATAGCATATTTATTATTCTACATTTTTAATATAAGACATATATATATATTCAAGAAAGTACAATAAATAAATAAAATATCAGTTTTTAAGTCAAAAATTAAATAAATGAAAAAAGGATATCAGTTTTTAAATCAAATGTTAAATATCCCAAGTCATTTTTTTCTCTTGAAGCACTATAATCTGCTACATTTTTTCTGTAAAATAAAATTCATAATTATTGACTGTATGTCTGTTAATGAAAATGAAAAATAATAATTTCAATTAAAACATTTACGTGTATTATTGATCTGCATAAATAATATTAAAATTTTGTTTTTCATAACGTAACATGTTACATTTTAATATTATGTAAAAATTTATATTTTCATGAAATAAATTCTATATTATAATTAATATTTAAAAAAGTGAAATATGGTAGCAAAATAATATGTGATGAACAATTGTGAACAATTGTGACAGATTAATTTCATTTAGGAAATTAAGTTCCGATTTTTATAGTATTTATAAAATAAATTTCATTATACTTACACGACTACTTTTACAGTATTTAAAGTTGCATTTGCTCTGTAATCAATAAATACAGTAGAAAGAAAACAACAAAATGTTAAACACGCCGAAACACTCAAAGTATATGCTAGAATAGCATTGGCCCGTGTAAAAACAGTATGCATTATTATATTTTGATATCAATGATCAAAGTATACAGATATTTCGTATATAATAGGTCAACTAATTAAATCTTACATCAGAAAATTTTAACCAAAATCATCATCAATCGCCTCGATTTCAATTTTCAACGTCAGCACTTCAATACAGCGAAACACCGGTTCGAAAGCGTTCCAAAATAAATCAAGTAGTTCATTGTGTTCACAAACATAAAGTAAATTTCATTCAGTCAGGAATTACGGTAATTTACTCAAATTATGTAAATTTATTTATTTACTGGTTCGATTCTATAGACACGTTTAACAATATTTACAAAAATATTACCGCGAAATTATTAAAGAGACATTAGTTAACATTAACTTTTATCTACTGTTTAAATTGTGATTTTATTAAAATCCATATTAATTCTAAAAGAAATACTGAAAAAAAATAGAAGCATTAATGTAGAAAATGTAGATTTCGTAAGATCTGCTTTTTAAGAAGAAGTTATGAAAATAATGAATTTTATTAAGATCGAAAGAATTATTATTTTTATAATAATCTGTATAATGTTCAAATAAATAATATTTGAAACAATCAATATTTAAAACAATGGTTTATATACAATATTTAATATTTATAGATGTATATGTACATACATATATATATGGTGATACATATATTTAATTGATGATTTAACTTGCTTCTTGTAAAATGTGAATATGTGCACACACGCATGTTCATCGAATATTTTCAGTTTATAACAGTTTACTCTTTTATCTGCAGCAACTTCAAGGAAGTACAGATTACTATACAACGATGTTTATGCGAGATGTTGTGTATTGTTTGAACGAGAATGAATAATTCACCTTAAGAAAGGAGCCAAATGGTTTGGATATGTCGCATTTGGTAAATATTTAAATGTTATAAAAGTATTTTTATGATTTTAATTCTAATTTTAAACCGTTTGTTTCATTTAATCGTATACTTTCAGAATGAATTTCAAGATTCATTTCATAAATTGTTTTTTAAATTGTTTATTTTTATCGTAATTTACTTTTACATCAACATAACACGCACCTCTAAATGAAATTGTCTCTAAAAGAATTCTTAAAAATTGATGACAAATGTAATTAACTGTGTATAATGATTACTTATTAGATTATATATTATAATTTTTCTTTTTATAATTTTTATGTCCTGTACTAAATCTTGGAACATGATTGAATTTAATTTGGATTTATGATTTATTTTTTAAGTCCAATTTCAACGTTGACTAAAATGTTTATTATGTGTTGGATGTTTATATTAAAGATGATGTGATTTTTTTAATTTCATTTCAGAATAAAAAAGAATGGGTTGTGTAAATAGTCGAACAGATATTAATGATTTACATCCAAATGTTTTTCAAGTGATGAATGTAGATGACTTAGGTAATTTAATCACACCTGGACGTTTAGAAGTCACAGAAGCTGATATAGTACTTCACCAACGTGGTAAACAACCTATTAAGTGGCCATTACGATGTTTAAGGCGATATGGCTACGATGCTGAGATTTTTAGTTTTGAATCAGGAAGAAGATGCTCTACAGGACCAGGCATTTATGCTTTTAAATGTCGTAGAGCTGCACATTTATTTAATCTTGTGCAAACAAATATACAGGTTTGTTTATTTTTTATAATATAAAATATGAAATATACATGATATTTTGCATACGATTAAAAAATTCATTATAGGTTTGTAATAATAGCGGAGATGATACAATATCTAGAGAACTTCCAGTTGCTTCTCATTCTGGTCCAATAGTAACAAGAGTGACAATACCAGTTGAGCCTAATTATTTGGATCCCATATTAAATAGAACTAACAATCATGTGGGTCCTAGATTTGCATATAATCAACAAAATGGAGTTGGAAGGCTAGATAGTGTGGGAAGCAGTACCGGTCTCCTACCATCGCAAGGAAATACGAGTTCTCCCACATCACCACCAGTGCTACCACCACCACCACCACCATTTCCTCAACCACATCCGTCCTCAGTTTATATGAATGAAGAAGTGTTGTCTTCTCTATCATTAGAAATGGAACATAATAACAACAAAAGCCTTAGACGCACAATACAAAGGTAATTAAAAGTATAATTATATTATTATTATATTTATACTATATATATTTATACTATACTTACTAATTATATTATTTATATTATTTAATAATATTCATTTTTTATGTTTTTATAGATCTTGTACAGTCAGTAATTCTATCTCTGATAATGGTTCAGCATCGCTAGAAGTAATGTCTGTAAACAAAAGTTCAGAAGTCATTTCTCAAATTAAATCACCACTTTCAATAGCAACTTACATGAATGTAGATATTAATACTAATATTAATCCACTTTCTCCAAGTCACAGTGTTTCTGAAACAATGAAATTTAAAGAAGACAAAAATGAAAACAGTGAATCTGGACATGCTTACATAAATATAAGTTCCGGTCAAGAATATCCAGAATCTTTCGGTGCTAAATCACGACCTTCACCATTGTCATCTATTCATTCTGATGTAGAAGAAACAACAAGACATTGTTATGCTAATTTAGAGCCAAATGAAATTGAAAATTTAAGAAAAAGATTTTCTGGAGTATCTACAGCAGAGAAATCACCTTTGCCTCCATCAACACCACCAGGTGGTCCAGTTAGAGAAGTAAATTATGCTATATTAGATTTGGATACAAAAGATGTACCAATGAACTCACCATTAGATCCTTCAAATTCTACCGCATCTCCTCCAGAGTCTCCAAATAAAATACAAAAAGGGTATGCTACAATAGATTTTAATAAAACAGCCGCTCTTTCTCATTCAGTCAATCCAAATCTTGTGAATGATAATGAAGGTTCAAGGAAAACACGTCATAATTCCACAATTAGTGATTTAGCAGCCTCTGGTAGACGTAGTTCATCTATAAGTGAATAATCTCTTTTTTTGTTTCCTGACTGTACTTGCATAATGAATATTCGTAACATTTTATAAAAAGCACAAATACGCTTTTCTTTTTTATTGAATTCAAATATTGAATAGTGCAAAACCAAAGAAGAAATATTAAATTAATTTGTATACTTTTTGTGTACTTGTTTTATATAATATTAAACAAATGAAATTTTAGTGCGTAAAAATATGACAATTAAGAAAATCGCATTTCATAATTTGTTTTACAACTTATTATTCATTTGATAGCATTTAATTATATACATTGTGCACAAAGGACATTACAGTATTTTTATGGAGTAAGTCTTTTTTTAAAGTGCTGTTGGTATATACAGAGGAAAAATCTTTTATATAATATACAAATATGTTTATAAAACATTGTATGTAAAATGATTTTTTAAATTGACTATTGTAGGAAAATTAGAAGCAAAAATGCTCTAATTCTCCTGTATCATAGGAATTGATGAGGCTCAAATAGACTAACTGAGATAAGAGTATATGATATGATAATATAAAAAGATAATGATAAAAGAATATATTATTTTAAATGGCTACTTTTAAAGTAGTCAATTAAAATCTAACAATGGCTATAATTTGGAATGATTTTGATAAATAATAGTTATATACATATTGCATATGTACGTGTGTGTAAGATATGTCACGAAACAGTTTCCATGATTTTTGTACCATTCCGATAATCTAATGAAAAAAATATTCAGAACTCAAGTTAGTCAATATTTAATCAGTAATAAATTATACTTTGTAAATTACGAAAAATGTTGTTGAATAAAAGGTGAAGATTACGTATATTTTTTCAAATAGCACTATATTTTTTCGACTTCGTAGCGATATTTTATCGATATCGAGACGAATACAATCAGCTACTATTAGGCCTTTATGATGACCTCAAATTGAGAAATCATTTTGAATCGTTTGTCATGTTAGTTGCAGAACGTAGAAACTAGTTCAAACATTTGCTTTCATCACTGGATACAAGTACATCCTAAATAAAATTTAATTTCTAGTTATTTGTATTATTATATTATCATATATATGCTTCGTATACATATGATTCTCTTTTTTTTTGGCGTGACAATGTTAATTCTTTTTATTGTGGCGTGACAATGTTAAATATTGACGAACGATTGGTGACAATTTCTAAATTCAATATCACAAGGATTGGTTGTTGTATTCGTCTCGATATTGATTACAATAGTATAAAGTCAAAAAAAATATAGTGCTATTTAAACACGTTTCATAACAAAAAATCTTTTATTCCACAAAACATATTTGCATAGTTTATAAAGTTGTAGTTTATTGTTGACCAAATATTGACTAATTTTTGTTTTGTACAATTTTTCATTAGATCATCGAAAGTGTTATAATTATATAGGGATTGTTTTATAATGCATCCTCTGTATGCATACGGACGTGTATGGATACTAAGTTATAGAGTAGTTAGAAAATAGTATCTAAAGGTAGACATCTAAATATCTTCGTCAGTTGTGATGATATAAAAATTTGAATTAATTTTAAGAATTAAAAGTCACTTGAAATTAATGTCAATATCTTTGAATTTTAATGCCAAGTATAATATGCAAAAAAAGAATATATGTTTATATGAAAGCAAAATATTAATAATCTTGAAAAGCTCGGAAAAAAATGATCTTGGGATAAAGATATCTTTTGTAGCATATTTATATGATATTATTCAAATTACATACAAGATATTTTCACAACTAAAATTCAGATATTCAGATGATTTTCTTTAGATGGACCACCCTCCATATAATTTTATTACTAAGGAAAAAGATTTTAAAATAATTTTAACAATGCATTATTTGTTCTGTCTGACATATTTTTTAATTATTTGCTTTATAAATTAAATAATGTATATATATGTGAAAATTATTTAATATGTGAAAATTATTTAAAACATGTTTTTTTTATACAGAAATACTTTGATCTGTAATAAAAATTGTAATAGTAATATATTGTATGAGATATGTGTATGATATAGATTACACATTTTTATTCAGTATGTTTAGAAGAATGTGTTCTTATATATTGATTAATTTATATGAATTTTTAAATGAGTAATTTACGTGTTTTTATAATAATTTATTACATTAATACAAATTCAATATTATTTCATTAAAAGATATTATTTGCTTAAAATATAATTTAGAGTTAAAAGCTTAATTTTCTTTTATTATATTATTTATAGTTTTTTTGCCAATCTATGATGTTAAAAGTATCCAAAATTTATAATTAAAAAAATATTTATCACACATTTATTGTACATTTTTATACAATATTTTGCATATTTAAATCTTAATAATAAAAATATCAATTTTGCATTGTGCCATATTTACTACAAAGTTTTGTTAGTCTTTTTCTATCACAAACTATATATTAATATTTAGAAGGGGCTAATCAAAATAGAGTAACAAATATGGTACATTGCTAATTTTAATATAAAGAATGCAATTTTGTTTATATTAAATATTAAAAGAATGTAACATACACATATTTATGATATATATATACATTTAAATATATAATTAATTAAAGTCGTTTATTTTTTACAAGAATATAAACATGTTTAATAAATAGAAAAGTTACAATGTTCTTAAATGCTGTTTTTGAAAAATTACTATTCATTGAATACGTCAGATACTTCTACGTTTAAAAAGAATGTTGCATGCTATAAGTAATTTTAAAAACATGTAGTAACATTATATTAAAAAAACTGTAACAAAAGATTGTATGGTTACATATAACTACATGTTGTTTCATAATATTGACATATTCACTGCCATAGTTTGATATCTATTGAAACAAGAGAATTTCTCATATAAATTAAATATAATGATTGTTAATATTTTGTATTATGTTTCATCATATTATAATGAAAATAAAACTCTGTTACAGTTATTAATAATTGTACATATGTTATATGAATAGATAATGGTAGTGAATAAGTTAATATAAAGTACTAAAATGTTTTGCATTGTTAAATAATAATTTTATATACGAATATATTTGACTACATACACAGATCTTATATCATTATTTAATATATGACTTAAACACAGAGTGCACTTATATCTTTGAACAAATTAAGAACCTTGTGTTCCAAATAAATAAAAAAGGCAGGCAGGCAGGCCTATGTAGAAAAATGAATATCTTCATAGCCACAAGAAATTGTTTTAATAAGTAACTACACACATCACACGTATTCAATATATATTTTAAGTAAGAAGTTGTTCCCTCCTAATTTGTAAAGCTTTTTTTCATATTTTTTAAAGTATTTGAGAACATTGTATTGTTAAAAGTTTATTATATTTAAATTAGGCAAATGTTTTATTTAGTACCAATTATAAACTTTATATATTGAATACAATATAAGTGGAGAAAGACAACAATATATTATAGTTATAAACTATATTCAATCAATCTTTTAAATTAATCAATTAAACTTATTGTGTATTAAGCTAAATTTCTTTTTAATTTAATATATTTCATGTAATTGGAAGAAAATTATAAAAGCTGAAATGTAATTTATTTAAAAATCTTCTGTTTATTTTATTTGAATATGGCGGAAATAAAAGTAGAACTGTACATAAAGATTGAATACAGTCTTTGGAAATTATTTTATAGATATCCATATATTACATGTTCCACATTTAGAAAATGCAAACAATAACAGAATATAAATATGTATAAATTTAAATTATGAATTTCATATTTCATTATGTTAAATGAACGCTGGCGTGGAATGTTAATTATAGATATATATAAAGTCAAACTTATCATTTAGTATACTTATATATTGACAATAGTTAACTTTAGTGCTTCATAGGATGTAATATAAAATTACATCAAACAGTAGACATTTTTTATTAAGCTATTATTTTAAGTTTAAAATGTTTCTTATAAAAAAATTAAATATTTTACATTATTAGTAAACAAAGAAAAAGAAAAGAGATGTAAATAAGAATAAATGAACAAAACGTTTCTGTAATTCTAATTTGAAACAATATTTTTTGAGAATATTAAAAAGTGCCAAAGAAAAATTTGTTTCATTGTGTGTAAAACAAATTTTGAAGTACAATAAAATCTAATATATTGTAATAAAGGAATTTTTTTATTTATAAAAATAATTAGATCATTGTTTCATTTCTTGTACATAAATATATATTATTTCTTGCATATAAATATATCATAAAACTATACATGGAATAACTTACTATATTTGATATAATTAATATTTTTATATTATTAAAATTTGTTTTTATTTTTAAATATGTCAGTATTAATCAATGATTATAATTCCGTTAATTTTGAAGAAGCTTATTAATGAACATATTATAATACTATATTCTTAAGCTACTAATTTTTTCTCTACAGATTTAATTTCAATAAATTTAAAAATATAAAATATAATGTTTTTAAACGATACTGTTTTTAACGCAATATTTTTTAATTCATAAATTTTTTACTTTCACACATAAATATTATACACATATTTTATTTAGAAAAAAATTATTAAATAACAATATTCTGTTATTGTTTATTATATGCAGCAAATATTATTTGCTATTAAACGAAGAACGAAAAAATTTATTAAAATAATTCAAGCATGATTCGATTTGTAATTAATTCTTAAATGTAAAAAAACATTGTATAAGATGTTTCGAATAGTAAATACATAAATGAAAAGAAGCAATTTTTATATGACAATTTATAAAATTATATAATGTCGCATATTATTGCAATGCTTGATAAAAGATAGTAAATAAATGTGGCGCAATGACAAATTGGGCAAGCATGCTGAAAATGCAATTATTAAATGTAATGACTATGAATTTAATATTTTAATCTTTCAACTGTTATTTTATAATCATGTTGAAAAATAATTCAAATAATCGTTTTATTCATTATGTTAAAATATAAATTAATTTCTTAAATTTCAATTTTGTTTTAATGCATTATTAAGTATTTTAATAAAAATATTTTTAATTCTATTTTTACATAACAAAAATCGGAAAATTAACGATATAGATATTATTGGAATAAAACATTGATTTCTACCTTTTTATATTCCAATTAAAAGATTTAACTTTTATATACCAATTAAAATATTATTTTAAACTAAAAATTTTATTTCTGTATGTTTTTACATGTTATATGTTATGTTAAAAATATATAATCATTTTGAATTATATTTTAAAGTCATTATGCAATTTTTGTTCACATGAGTTGCGCTTTTTTGTATAAAACTCTATTTAACAAATATTAACTAGAAATTGTTTTATGTATATTTATGTATAAATAATTATAAAAACATAAATTATTTTATTATTTCCTCTATTAATAAGGATAATGTATAAAAATTATATAATAATGTTAATATTTTAATTGTTATGTTGTTATTATTTTTAAGTGTAAGTAGATAATAATAAATTAATCATAATGTTAAAGGTATGATATGCGACAAGATAGTATTTAAATTAATAATATTCCTTTATTTGGAGTATATGTTTCAATATCACACAGTCTTTAGAAGGCACTTTTATTCACAGCCAAAAATTATGGCATTGACATATGTATACAATCTTAATTGTATTTGTCTTACAATTAATTTCAGATATCTGAATATCAAACAATCTTGAGCAACAAGCAAATATTAATACAACAAAGAAATGTATATACATGTGAATTATATTATAAGAAATCATGTATTCAATGATATCAAATTATACTTTGACCTTTTGCACTCCGAATTATTTTTCAATTCTCTTTTTTTGACAATTTAACTGGCAATTTTAAAATGTCGAGTGTGACTCGACATAAAAGTTCCTGTGATAAAAACTGATGTTGAGTCACATTCGACAAAGGAGTGCAAAGTTAAGTTTGAAATTTTGCAAAATCATCGAATTATTTTAACATTTTTTGTTTTTCTTTTTTTAATTCTACAAATGTTTTATATAAATGATTACAGAGAAGTCGACGATTTATAAATACTCTACTTAGTATGTTAAAATTAATAAAAAAATTCTAGAATTTTATTAAATAATATATTTTAATATTTGAATTTCGTAGTTATTTATTAGACCGTATAAGATATAACAAAATTGAAAGAATGATAAACATAAAATATTATCTATATTATGAATATAATGTTTTAATAGTCATTTTTTATTATTTTTCTATTTATTTAATATGAAAACTTTTAATGTTAATAATTTTGAAATATTTACATTTTTTGTATGTCAATAATTTGTATAAAAACGAATAACAGTCAACAAATTGATTGACTTTTCGAATAACAGTCAACAAATTGATTGACTTTTCGATAAAGATAAAAATCAAAATTTTATTACAAATTACATTTCAATAAATCGAAAACTTAATTTGATTGACCACGAATTCAGCATATTGTCATTGAATATTGATGAAAAGAAATCAAGCAGCAAGCTGGCGACGTCTACTCAGTTCGTGATCTATTAAAATAGAGATATCAGGGTGACGGTGAAAAATTGTTGTGCAATAATGAACTGTTTGACTTGGATCTGCGCCTGCTTTTAATAACAGTCGTACTGCATTAACAAACCCACTTTCGGCGGCTACTTGAAGGGCAGTCAATCCTTCTACGTTCAATTTTTCTAACTGTGCAAGGGGCGATGTAACCAACAAAGAAACGATTTGATGAAAACCTCTTGCGGAAGCTAAATGCAACGGTGTGTTACCACCAGCATCTTGTATACTAGGATCTTCTCCGTGTTCCAACAGTTTCGCTACCATATCGGCATAATTTTTTCTGGAGGCAATGTGCAACGGAGTTTCACCATAACGTGACATTATACCGGTTGGCGTGTGTGGTATAAGTAAAAACGCAGTATTTAAAGCACCGCACTCAAGGCACTCGTGTAAAGGAGTTTCTTCTCTATCGTTCTTTAGTGATGGATCCGCGCCAACAGCTAATAGTGTTTCAATCAACGATTCGATTTCAGTTCTATGATTGTTATCTGTAATAAGAATTTTTATTTTTTATTTACCTGAAATAAAATTTAGAACAAATAAACGTTACGCATTACTTTTGGTATTCTAATATGTAATTTCATTGTAAAATTTGTTTAACTTTATTTTTTTTTATTTATTCGAGATTGTACTAATTCTTTTTCTTCTGTTAAACTTTTAGATTTGATTTTTTTTTTTTAAATACTAAGAAATATATAATGTCATTGTAATGCTTCGGTTTATCTAAATGCAAATGAAATTTATACCAAAAATGGTGGAGGAAGCTAAAATATGGAGTGCACTGCGACCTTGATGGTCTTTTGCATTAACAGGGCCAGCACGTGCTAATAAATCAAGTGTTTTCAAAGCTGCCTCAAAATTATGATGCAAATTTTTTGATCCTTGCGCGTGCGCTAGCTGGCGTGTTAATATGTGCAGTGCAGTTAAACCTCCACCAGCTTCTTTCACGCCTGAAGGACAACCATATTTCAGGAGTTCTCCTACAAATTGTAATACATTTCCTGGCCCTCCATTTAAGATCACTCTGTGAAGCGCTGTCTCACCACGAGGGGAGCGTACAGCTGGATCGCATCCGTTCGCAAGTAATAAACTAAAAAATCGGAAATAGTTTTATTTTTATTTTCGACTATTCCTTTCTGATACTGAATTTAATATTATTGTGTAAACCTATCATTTTAGATTTCTAATTCCATTTAATTTTTAATTTCATATTTTTTTATTTAGAATTTCTAAATTTAAAAAATAATATAAAAAAGTTATTATTGATATACTAATGTAAAAGTTATTATTAATGTATTAATTGTGAAAATTGATTAAACTATTAGACGATATTCAAGTGCTTTTTTAATATTATTCGGACAAAAACAAATGGACAATTGAGTAATATATTTTTATGTTTGTGAAAATTAATCTATATATATTTGTTCATATAGGATTACGTTTATTTTACTGATAATTTTTTCGAGTAATAGCACATCTTTGAATATCTGCTAACAATATGCTAAGAAAGATAATAACAAAAACCGTACAAGCAAGAACATTTTTGATTATAAAGTTCGATGGTAAAATTCGTTAGCAATGATTTACGAGTACTTCGATTGTAATAATTTCGATGTTTGGATTTTGTTACTTTGAAAAATATTTGAGTTTTTTTTTCTTAAAAATATATTTTAAGCAATTTTATTTGATATTGATCTTGATATTGATCTTGATATTGAAAAATATAATATTTTAAGCAATTTTATTTGATATTGATTGATAAGTTAATTAGAAAATAAGTTATTAGAATGTTAATAGGTTTTAATTAAAATAAGTTTATTAGAATGTTAATAGATATTAAAGTAATAAGTAAAAAAATGATTAATGAAATTAAAAAATAATTAAGAAAAAACTTTTTGGATTAATTCTTTTAAAAACAAGCTTATTAAAATAGTTCCTATTTATTTCATAGTTGTATCTGTTTAAAATATATTTATAAAAAATAAACAATATAATAATATTGGAAAATATTTCGAGGAAACTGAGGAAAGTATTGTAGTCGTTTCGTTTTCGTATCTTTTCGATTCATATATGAATTAAAAGATTTTAACGTTTTTAATGAACTTCTTAATGATATTTTGTCAAATTTTAAGATGACTGACAATTACTATAATTTTGAAATTTTTAAAAATTTTATTTCTTTATTAATGTACCTTCCAGTAGAATATAAAATTGTTGAAACTGAATTACTTTTATTTATAACTATTCATTATAGTATAATCTTTCAGAAAAATTTAATTTCATTTTAAACAAATATTACATATAAAAGATAGAATTTCAATATAGAAAACATGCAATTTTAATAAACTTCGGCAAATTCTACTTACAATTAGTACAATAAAATATATGATTTATTGAAAAAAATTTCTTACCTGAGAATAGGAAAACAATGATTTGTAGCGGCCACTAGCAAAGGTGGATCACCTGAAACGTTCCAATCCGGTTCGTCCAGGTTTTGTACGGATTCACCTGTAAGAAGTGTTGCAACACACTTTGCGTCCCCAGCACGTACAGCTTCGTGAAAATTCAGTTCACTTTCTGGATCATATATTTCTTCGGCATCTTTTTGAATATTATTGTCCAATGGCTCGTTAAAAATTTTATAACTGTTTGAAAAATTTGTTGTTTCTGTGCTGATACTATTAACAGAATCTTGTAATTCTCGCAACTGAAAAATGCGATTCTCGCAATTGCTCTGCGAAGGAAAATCAGTTTCACGTGTTCCCAACGTTGTATCTTGTGAATCGTATTCGGTAAAAATCGCATCGTCTTTCATTGACGCGATCGAATTCGAATTCGAATTCGAAATCGACTTTGGCGGTGTACCTGAATCATCCGAGTCTTTTAGCATTTCGTTTCTAATTTCAGCAATTGTATCAGTAATTGTATTTTTATTATTTCCGGTGTCGATTGAAATATTCTTACTTTTTCCTGGAAATTCAGTGTCTTCAACATCTTTATATTCCACGGTATCTTCAACTCTCTGTTCGAACGATTCTGATGCATCAACTGATGTAGAAACCGTTGGCTGTTCTTGATTAACAAGGATTTTTTCTTGTTCTCGGCCACCTGTTGCAAGCTTCGTCATTTCTCCAGAAGCGAATTCAATGCTTTCCTCGCACGTTGTCTGTTCGTTGTTGTTGTGCACTACTTTACTGACTATCATGCCTATAACTGTCTTTCTCTCTGCGTTCTGTTCCTTAGATAAGAGATCGTTTGTGTAAGCAGCGGTCATTCCGACTTACTCGCCTTTTAATTGAACCTGATTCCTTGGATAATTGGCTTGACGCCTTTTAAGAGAAGAAAACCCCACACCACGATCTACTTTACTGCGATCATTGCTATTTTCTCTTTTTTTCTCTCTTTCTTTTTTAATACATTTATTTGTTCATTGGTTTTTCGTTACAGTATAATTATCGATTATGTGCTCAATGCGTACAATCTGTGGGTACAAATTATAAAACGTTTGTGAATCAAGTGCAAAAACTCATAAAACAGATCAATGAATCGTAAAGACGTGACTGAAAATCAAATGAATCTGCTTACCAAGCGTCGGTGTCGCTATACATCTCTCCGCTTCCCCACTCCTTCTGTTAAATATCCCCACTTCTTTACTCTTTACCCCACTTCTTACAATCTCTTACGGTGCATCTAAAGAATTTATTTGACGTCTGACAATAAGAACTGAGCACGATATTTTTTTATTTCTACAATTTTAAACTAAAGTAAATAAATTAGTAAATAAAATAAATAAATAAGTAAATAAAATGAAATAATAACAAATATATTTTTATATACATATTTTACATCTTTTTGTCTTTCATCAAATTAATATCGTTACAGATTTTTATTTTTCAAGGTACATAGTCTTCTACTGCGTCATCCCTTTCAGATTGTGCTAACTTGTAAAAAATTTTATTTTTATTTATACTTTTATACTTTTATTTATACTTCTAAATTGTATAATACTTGAGTAAATAGAGAAAAATTTAAAAACTTGTATAATTTTAATTTTAATGATAAAAACTAATTCATATATGTACATTTGAAACATAATTTGATTTTCTATTCACTAAAGAAAAATAATTATTTTTCAAGAATCTTTAAATGTTAAAAAGATAAAAGATAAATTAGCAATAATTTATCTTTTATCTATTTAATATTTTGAAATTACGTGAATTAATTATTTGTAATTAATTTATCTTGATCATTTTCGTAAAAATCGTATTAAAAATACATAATTAATTTATTTCCTGATCAAAAAAAATAAAAAACTAAGGTTATTTCAAGAAAATATATATTTCAAAACATGTTTTGAAATGTTTTATTCATTTTGAAATATATTCTTACTATGTTATTATATATTGTGTTAAAAATCAATCAATCGCATATTTTTTTCAAATATTTTAATTTCATATTTTATACAATTTCATGTTGTCAAAAATTGTATAGAAACTTGCATATATCATTGTATATATATATTTTCTTTTTATTAGCAATCTCCTAATTGTAATTTTATTTTCCTAAAATCGTATCTGACTTTTGACAAAACGTTGTTAATATTTCTTAAAAAACAATAAACATTCTTTATGCTTGTATATATAAAGGATGTAAAAATTTGATTGATTAATAAATCTCTATTTTTATTATAATATAAAGAAAATTTTAGAGTGACTTATAATTTAAATTATATTTAAAATATATTTTTTTATTTAAATATTTTTAAGAAATATAACAAGGTCATAAATTGATTGATCTAATTGTATTTATGACCATAAGTACATACGTGATCGTAAGTATATTTCTGAACATTTGAAAAATATAAGAATTAAACATAATAATAATAGTAATATATCACTATTACTGCATAAATATTTACTAGTAAAAATTTTGTACGAAAGAATTAAATAGATTATTTGATTATAGATTATAAAATAGATTATAGAAATATTTTAATTATTCGAAGTAATAATTTTGTGTTGACAAATATTACAGATTATTTTTAAATACATATATATATATATATATATATTTCAATTAATATATTATATATGTATATTTCGAAGAATTAAAAAAAATTGGTTACGAAATTTAATTAATAAAACATATAGCAATAAATAAAACATATAACTAAATATAAATTAATAAAACATACTAAAAAATATTTTTAAAAAGCTCTAGCTACAAGTACTCAGAAATTTATAAATAATATATTATTCTTGTTAATAAAATATTTAATTTCTTTAGAAATAAATAAAAAAAAAAGCATGTGTAATAAAATTATATCTTAGTCGTTCTTGATTAATTTATAGAATACATAGTATATATAAAAGTAGTATAATATTTAAAAAAATTTTTATTTTTTCATACCGATGAAAAAAATTGTATGTTAAATCTTGTATTGAACAGTTCGCCAAAACGTAAGAAACGATTCTTAAAGTTGTTTCTATTTAAAAATACAAATAAATAAATAATGAAAAATATGAAAAATATGGATTGATATGAATACACACATGTTTTTGACACAATTTGAAAATAACTAACTAAATATAATTTTTATTGCTTTTCAAGTCAAATAAGATAAATATTAGAAAGAATTAACATTTTGTATGATATGATTACATATAATATTAACAATATTATATCTTAATCATTCTTCTGTTGGTAGGCCTGAGGTCGATATGATGACAAAGTCACGACATTTGCTGACAGTATAAAGTGAATTTAAATTATGGACTCACATGCGCGCATGATGAGAGGTTAAGAAGTGTAGTTATGAACTTTATGTTTTAAAATACACTTGTGTGTGTGTGTCTATATATATATATGTATATATGTTTATAAACCAATTTAAAAAGTACGAATTTTAATTAGGAACGTTAAAAAGTATGTTAGAAAGAAAACATACATTGAAAATGGGAGTTAAAAAAGGACGGTACATACGTGAATCTTCAGGAAAATCTATGTCGGATGTGAAACAAATAATTTCAATGAATAAGAAAGATAAAAAAATAATCGTCATTGCGCAAGAAATTAAATTTGCCCGACTACTTTCAAGTAACAACAAAATAATTCGAGAGAGAGTACTAAAAAATTTAAGAAAATGGTTAACAGTTCGTTCGCAAAGTTCTTTTGGTAAATATTTATATTCTTATTGATCGAAACTGCAATTGATCCTGAACAATTTACTTAATTGTTTATTCATTTGTATTATTGAAAAAAAATTTGTATTATGCATTTTTTCTTAGCATTCACAGAAGCAGATTTTATGCGATTATGGAAAGGTTTATTTTATTGTATGTGGATGTCAGATAAACCTTTAATTCAGGAAGAACTGGCAGAAGCTCTTAGTAAAATTGTGCATTGTTTTAAAACTAAGGATGTAGTATTACTTTATACATCATGTGTTTTGAAAACATTAGGTATCGAATGGTTCGGTATAGATCAATACAGATTAGATAAATTTTGCATGGTAAATATATAGTATAACATTTTTCTTTTTTTTTACATATATATATATATATATATATAGTTTACTTATGTATATGGAAAATTTTTATTATTTTAAATATTTGTAGTTAGTTCGTAAAATAATTCGACAGACTTTTCAAAAGTGTAAAGAGATGTTATGGGACATTGAATGGATAAAAGGCATTTCTGAAATATTTGAAAAGCTGTTAGTTAATCCAAAAATATTTCATGGTTTTAATATGCATATAACAGAATTGTATCTAGAAGAACTTGCAAAGGTATGGTATTTTAATAAAAATGCTGCTTAAGAGATCTACCATCAATGAGCTTGATCTTTGCATATATTATCAATGAGATTGAAAGCAGAGAAGATATCCTAACCTTAAAAATATTTAACCCTACCTAAATTTGTTTCAACAACTATATCTTAAATTAACTTCTCGATTTATATCCTTCATCTTAATCCTAATCCTAACTTTCAGCAACCTAACTTAATCCTAACATTTTGTAATATTTTTAACGAATGATGGTTAAAATCTCTTAAAGATCACACAAGAAGACATAATTTTAGTAACATATATAAAATTATTAGAGATGAGCTCTTTAAACAGTAGTTTTATTGTTCTTATATTAAATACTTATTGTTAAATTCATCAATATATAATATTAATAAGCTTAATTTTGATAGATCAGTAGTGGAAATATATCAGAAGATGTTGTTACAGAACTTATTAAACCATTTATCTCATATTTCATATCAATGGATGATGAAAAACAAATTAAACATGTTATGAGACACATTTTTAGATATTTGATTTTTCAATCGGATATTGGTATAGATTATATGGAAAAATTTAAAGCTTGGAAAAATGTGAGTATTTTATATTAATCATATAGTTTGTACAAAATATATTGCAAATAATTTGTTTATAAATTATGCTGACAACAATATGTATTATGCTTTTGTAGGCTGGTTTTCCCACTGGTTCCATTGATGCTATGGAAAAAATTGAATTATCAGATGGAGAAATAGATAATACTATTGCAGAAGAAAAAAGTTTTCTTGAAAACCAAATGAAATATAATACAGAAAAACCACTAGATCCAAGAGCTGGCAATGTAGATGTTGAATTACCACAAATACCTTTTGATCCTAAACAGATATCTACTTTGTTAAATGAGTACAAATTTCATCCCTCAACAACAACAAAATCACGGAGACAATTACGACATCTTATTAAAGAGTACGTTAAGTGCTATTATTAATTAAGAAAAATAAATAAATATATTAGTAACAATTGATCAAAATATTTTTGTAGATTTACAGAATTATCAGATGGTAAAATGCCATTAGGCATCAAAGAAATAAAAATTTCAAAATTACAAAAAAAAAATACAGATACAAAGTCAGCTGCAATACGTCTTTTGAAGTTCGAACAGGAATTATACTCGGATAAGTTACAAAAAGAACGCAAAAGAAATAAAAATAAGCAATTAATGCAAAACGAAACTGATAAATTTAGCAAAGAAGAATTAGAAAAAGTTAACGATAATAAAGATAAATCTAATATTGCAGAAATTATAAAAAAAAAGAAAAAAATGAAGCGTAAATTAGATTTTACTGGTAATTTAATAACTACAGATATGCAAGTAACAGATGAAAATAATTTTAGTTTAAAGAAAAAAAAATATAAAACAAAAGAAGAGGATCAGAATATTTGTAAAACAGATTTCAGAAATAATAATTACAAATTAAAAAACAATCCTTCAGCATTAATTGAAGATACTGATAAGAAAATGAAATTTAAAAAAAACAAAGATACAGTTGTGAAAACATTAAACATTGTCAAACAAGCAAAGAAAAAAAAATTAGTAAAAATAAAAAATACTGGTAAATGGGATATTTCTGATAATGTAGATCCATTCATTGCTACGCTGAATAATGATAGCACAATATCATGTATGAAAAGTGTTGAAAATTCAGTTACAAGTAATAGCGAACAAAAAAATAATATATACAATAAACGGCCAACATGGTTGGTACCTATATTAACAAAATTAGAGAATGAAAAAAAAGTAAGATTTTTTAGTATTTACTTCAGTTTTATATGTGCATATATTTTATGATAATGTAGAATAAAATAAAAAATTGAAATTTCAGTGTCATTTTAAAATAGATATTATGAAAAAATAATAATAATACTTATGTATTATATTAAATATTTATATTTATATTTATATTATATTAAATATTATATTTTTATTATGTAAATATATACATTACAAATATATTATATATATTATTACAGAAAACACCAAACTTGAACAGAAAACATTCTACGAAACGAGTAAAAATTGCTCTCCAGTGTAATACAGCTCAACATACATCTGAATATATTTCACAAATTCGAAAAAGTCCAGCTATACCTTTTGATGCAAACAAGAAACCATTAGCAGGTGTACTAAAAGCAAGTCCTATGCTAGGTCCAATTAATCCATTTTATAAAAGAAATGTGTAAATGTTTGATAAATTAATTGAGAATTATTTGTCAATAAACTCAATAAAAATATAATTTTTTAAAATAAACATTAATGTATTATAATTGTTTTTACATCAATTGTATTTACATATACAATTTACAATCTTACATAAATTTATTCGAATATTTAGTATTCTAATGGAATATATATTTTGTTATCAACGGATGTCTTGCATGAATTAAGTGTATATGATTTTATAAATATAAATGACTCATTTGTATTTCAATTCTAAATTTATAAACAATTAAAACAAAATTTTTATATCTAATACTATAAATTTAAATATATTTATTGCATTCACATTTCACTTTTTTCCATAACATTATAGTAATTTCATACATACATTTATATAATAATCAAGTTTCATATAATTTCTTATAGCATGAAATACACACATATTAGTACAAATATATTATTTTGATTTTTTAATAAGTTTTCGTCTATTTTTTTGTAATGCAAATATATATTATATATAATAAACATCAATAATAAATAAAACAATAAGTGTATTTATGTTATAAAATTTATAAAGTATATTGGAAATGAAAAGATTAAGTATACATATATATTATTTAAAACAAATAAACTGTAATATTTTATGAATAAATTATTTAACATTTATAAACAATATGTTTTTTTCTTAATTGAAATAAATAAAATTTTATTAATGGCAATAAAAATTTTAGGAAAGGGAGATATTTTAAATAAGTCTTTAAATAAGTCTTTAAAATTCCTATACAATTTTTTTGTTCGAATAATATTCAGAAAAGTATACTAATACACATACTTTTTTGGCACATGAATTCACTTTTACTTATATTACTTCTATAGCTATAGAAAAATAGAGCTTTAACTTATATTACAAAATCAAAAATTTAAAAATTACATTCTATACATTTGATTGATATATTATATTTTTAGTTTTAATATTAAAGTTTCGTTACAATAATTTGTTAATTTATTCAATATGCAAAATTAAAAATTATCACATACCGTTTAAATACATTTAAATGATCATTCTTTAAAAAATTTTAAGTGCATAACTATCTCATACTTTGTTTTGATTGAATTCTAAATTTTGTAGAATTTTGTAAATTTTCACGAAAGCAATTTTATTTTTTAACATATATGTATATTTGTACTTCGAAATATGAGATAATGAGGCACTGTCTCCATTGTTAGCTAGATTGATTTTAATTATGATTTCAAATAATAAATAAAAATAATTAAATATTAACCATTTAAATCAAAATATAAATATCTGACATCTGGTTAAATTTATTTGCTTGCATTTTTATATTGTTATAGATAATTAAACATCTTCCTGAAATTATAATGATTAGTAATATTAAAATTTATTAATTATTGCAAAGCTATATACTGATTATTTGAAATTAAATATTCATTAATTACAATTAAAATATAAGACAGTAAAATCATTTCTTCCCAAATTTGTTAAAGTATTTAAATTACACTCAATAAAAAGATGATTATAATATGTAGTACATTTTAAGAAATTTATAGTACAATTTTAAAAATGATTTTAAAAGATCATAGCTAAATAGTATTTAATTTTGAATTGCCTCTTTTATTAAATAAATTTTTTTGAATCAATATAATGATCTCTGGTGACAACATATAATAAACTATTTTTATACATTTCATGCAGAAATTTTATACGAAGCACATTTCTAAGTTACACAAAAAGTTTTTTGAAAATTGATCTAATAATTAATGCTCACATAAATGTAACAATAAATGTTAATAAATTTTTATAATGTTAATAATTTTTAAAACAAGTAAAATATTTATAAATGAAATAAATAATATTTAATAATTATAAATAAATAATTATTAATAAATAAATAATTTGTACTATTTGCTATACATTTTGATATTAAATATTGTGATGTTTTATGTAATTACATATATATTTTACGAATACTAAATAAAGAAAATATTTAAAAATTCGGTTCTTTTTATAATTATATTTATAATATTAAATATCAATTCTTTCTTTAATCTTTCTTTAAACTTGAAGGACAAAAATAAAATATTGTCATATATATATACAATTCGAAATTTGTTTTATACAAATATTAATTCTGAATATAAGAAAAAAAAATATTACATTTTAAACATTTACGTTAACAAAATATTTTTTTTAAACTTTTTAATATCAGTTTTAACTCTCCATTTTTTGCAAACTATATTAAAGTTTAAATAAAATTATGGAATGCAATAAATTTATCTTTTTAAAATCTAGAATGTGATAATAAGGAATTCATAATAAATTCATAGTTTCATCATATTTTCTAATTACATCTTTGATTAATAATTAAATTAGCATCATTATTATATATTTCAGTCTCGGTATATTAAAATTCTTTTTGTTTTAAATTAACTCATTTAAATTAGTTTCGTATGAAATCTATATATTAGTTACAAGTGTTCCCACATATATTATGTTCTGATTTAAATTGTCATTATATTACTTAGAATTTTTAATATATAAACTATATAATCAATTTAATTTAAATTTTTATTAATTTCTAAAAATTAAATCAATTTGAACTTCAGATTCATAATTATGAATTTGATAAATATATACCATAATTATAAATTTCTAAAATATTTATAACAAAGTTGTAGACACGAAGTAATTTGACTTAATACTGGAATTCAATACTGAAATCTATTTATATTAAACAAATTTTATATCTTATTAATCATACTTTTTGAGAAAATACGTTTTCCAACGCCAATACCATCCCATTTCAAGTTGATTAAAACCAGTAGTAAAAAAGGATAGAGCAATAAAAAAAACTGAGTGTACCAATGTCCATAATTGGAATACTGGTGAAATAATAAGTAAAACTATTGTACATCCTGAAATTAAAACGATGAAAGTATTATTAAAAAAATTAATCAAAAAATATTAGAATATTACCTGTTAAAATGCTCCAGAAACTAAAGGCAATATGCAAAGGACGTAATTTTGTTAATGGCCAAATTTCAGCAGAAAAAGCTTTCTTTTCATAAAATTGTTTTAAAATTTTTTCTTTGTTAAACCATCTCTCTTCTAACCATCGTCTTAATGTTAAATCATCTGTTGGCATATCTGATGATGGTATTCGCTTAATATGAAAATGTACTTCACTTGGTAATCTTCCTTTGATCAGATCTAATTCAGACTGAGGAATGTAATCAGGATATGCAATCGTTAAATCATAAACTGCATTGAGATAACTTGCTTGTTGAAGATGTCGAACTAAATAACTGAATCCTGTTGTTTTTGGATGAAGAGTAAAAGAATATTGCGGCAGAACATGTTGCATAGCATATTTATCAGATTTCTCCTTGCTACTTTTTGTTAAATCAGTACCCTCAGGAAATATAAGTAATTGAGATCGTCTATCAAGAGCCACTAAATAATCCAAAGTACGTGACAATCGATTTTGATCTTCTTCCCAGTGACGAGTTATATAAAGGAAACCATTCATTTGCATTATCCATCCTATTATACAATAACATTATTTTATAAAATCAGTTATTTTATTTAACAAAAACAAATAGAATTATAATTTTTTAGTAATTTTTCAATGAAGTTATATAATATTATATATACTGTTAGAATATCTTATTATAATTTTTTTATGCAATTATCTTCCAAACATATAATTTGAAAACAAAACTTCTTGTTCTTTGAAGAAAATATTTTATTGTAAACATAAATATTGTTTAAATCAACATAAGTTTTAAAAAGTGATTTGGTTTTTTTTAATTAGAACATATAGTTTCATTCAGATTTAAATAATGCTAAGTATGATACATATAATTTGAACGATACTGAATCATTCAAATCAATATATCATAAATCAATGAATTTGTCTTGGAATGAGTAATATAACTAGTTAAATGAAAATATATAATTATGTTTAAATAAAGAAGTCACTTTAAAATATCTTCACACAAAGTATTTTCTTCAAAATACAATAAGTTCTTTCAAATATTTTTCTTAATTACAAATAGTATTAAAAGTAGTTATCTAAAATGATTACAATGAAACAATAAAACTATTAAAACTATAATATAATATATAATAATTACACTACCTGGTCCTGGAATATGTCGTATAGGATCTTTTAAAACAAATTTTAATCTATGAGTTGCTACATTTGGTAAACATGCTTGATACATTGCAGCCCATAAAAAATTCCAATCTACTCGTGTTCTATGATTCATTACAAGAACAGCAGATTCATTTGGAGATATATGGTCTCCTGATACAAAAATTTTTACACCAAATACTTTTAAAAGAGCCTAAAACATATGAAAATTATTAGTTTATATGTAATAATTACATATTTATATGTAAGAAAATTTAGCAAAAAGAAAAAGAAAATATTTATTTTGCTTACTGTGGAATATAGTTCCCAACAAGAAAGTAACAGATCACCACATTTTCGAAATTTTGGAGGACTAAAAAATAACAGTGGTAACATAGGGCAAGCGATAAATAGAAAACCAGCCACTATGCTCCCATACCATAGTGTACAGTATAAAGTACCACGTAAAAGTCCACGCATCACAAATTATGTCTTAAATATTAAAAAACATATGTAATAAAATACTTATTTGTAACTATTATTTGTCTAAAGTGTCTTAAACACTTACTGTTACAAAATATATTTATTAGAAATACATACCCTAAAACACTCACTTGTAATTAAATTATAAAAGAAATCATATAATATAAAAAAGTTGTAAGACAAAATATAATAAATAATGAAATATTTATCAATTTAAAAAGAAACTTTAAACTCTTTATCTCTTTTAGATGATAATTAATATTATAGTACATAATAATTATAATTATAGTACATAATAATTAAATATTACAAAAGTAGAAATCAACAAAAATTTAAGACTGATATAAATTAAATTAAAACTTTAAAAACTTAGAGTTAACAATTATTTTTGAAATAACACAATTTATACCTTGTCATATGAATATTTTAAATGAATTACTCCTTTCAAGCATTTAATGTTAACTAAAATGTTCTGAAATGTTTTCTTTGGCTTCTCTCCTATCTTACTAGAGAGGCTTCCTCTACTTCACCCCTTTCACCCCATTCTCCACCCAATATCAACCAAGTTCTGTGATGCTGTGTTGGACCATTATTGATCTGTTAAAACAAGGGGAAAGTTCATAATTATCTTTAAAATTTCGATTTATCTTTATAATTTTTTTATAAATGCTATAATAATAAAGCAAAATTACAAATATTGAAAGAGAAAAAAAAACTATATACATTAAATCGTATATAATATATATATATAAAATTTTGTCACTTATTTCTACTTTTTCTTTTATGTAAATAATTTTAACTTTGTATATTAGTTTTATTTATATTAAATTATAAACTAAGCCTTTTCTTCAATTTGATTTGATATTACATAAATTTAAATGAATAAGAAAAATATAATTGAGCTGAAGCTTGTTCTATTTTATTTTATTTATAACACATTTTTATTAAAATAGAAAAATTATCACCTATTACTTGTAAAAATTCTACAAATTATACAAAGTTCTGCAAAAGATAATAAAAGTTTATTTTAATTGCAATTTTTAAAAAATATAGGATATTTATATTGGACTAATAAATATTTAGGGAACGAATCACTCAAACTTTTTTATAAAGCAATTTAATTACAAAAGTGCATGATTTTTTTATAAGTTTTACTTAAAAGATATATACAATCAATATCACTAATAATAAATCTTACAAATTCTTTTAAATAATTAAATTCAGGCGCTTCAATATATATACTATTTTCTATATACATAAAATATTATTTGCTAAATTGTACAAATAAAGTATATATTTCTGATAATTTATAAAACCTTGCACCTTTTTATATAGATCTTTATAAATTACATTCTATCATAACACTTTAATTAAATTAAAAAATTTACCTGCTGTAATAAATAAAATATTTTAAAAAATGTTTAGTACCTATATTTTATGCAATAATTAAATAATTAAACTGTTTAATGCTGATATTTAGATTAAGCTGTAATATAGTTGTTTTTATCTGTATACATATATAGAAATGGTATAATTATTACATATAGATGAGATATACAAATTATTTTTCGCTATACATTATATCCTGAGTATTTGTTGAAGAATTTATTTGCTTCTGTATGCACTTTTTCATCATCAATCGTTACAATTGGTTTTTCTAAAATTTCTTTTAACGAATCATTTGCATGTGTATATTTCTTCAAAGCAATGTAACATTTACTAATATACAACTGCGTATATGGATTTGTACTTCCAAGCCTTGCTGCAGTTTCAAAACATTCGAGTGCTTCCTCAATGGAAGAACTTGGAAGTTTAGCAAATAATGTTGCTGCTACCTATAAAAAATTGTAGAAAAATTTTAATTATTTAGGATTAAATTGTAATGTTCTATAAAAATATTTTGATTACATTAAACTTCTTTAAATCTTCAAAACTTTAAAAAATCTTTAAAACTTCTATAAATTAAATTATAAATTAAACCTTTTTTTCAATCCAACTTAAATTAGCAATTTCATATTTGAATCTTCCTAAGAGATAATGTAATTCAAAATCATCTGGTTGTATTTCCAAAGCCATTTCTATATATTTCTTAAAAACAACACCATTCTTTATTTTGTCTGCCACTGATAAATAATCTCCATGTAATCCTATGAGAATAGCATACCACTTATACAGATTAACATTTTGATTTTCAAGAACTCTCTCACATTGTTGGACTCCTATCGAAAACATCATTTGTTTTTATTATGTTATATAAAAGTAAATAAAAATATTTATTTAATAGAAGTAAATATATTGTACCTTCAAAAATGAAAAGCCTTTTAACACTTTTATCAGTTTGTGCTTCTGCATAATGGTAACTAGCTCTTGCAAATCTCCATACTACTTCTACATTGTCTGGATGGGATTTCACCAATGTTTGTAATGCATAATAAGCCTTGACATCAAATTGATTGTTTATTTGTTCATCGATCTCCTTTAGTATTATATCCAGTTGGTTCAATTCCTCTGAGAGCCTATATTACTGAACATATAATCTCTTCCTTTTACACTTTTAAAATAACTTTACTTGCCAAAATGATCAAATTCTAATTTTCCAAATTAGTACAAGTAATCATGCTTAAATCGCAATCAATTAAATAGTATAATTTGAATATTCTTAAGATGTTTCTTCAGGAAGTGGATTCACACTTTTACTAGAATAAATTATAAATCCTCGTACGTGTTATTTATATAAGTTTAAGATATGTATATATTTATACTATTATACCAACCTTAAGTCACTATCGCTAACAACACTTTCACCATCAGAACAATCGTAGAATTCATCATCTCCAATATCAGTTGTTGTTGAAAAAACATCAACATCTGTATCATTATCTACAGTATAAGTACTGTCGTTAGAGTTAAATTTTCGTGAAATTTTTCTTTTCTTCTTTTGTTGTCTCAGTTGTAACCTTAAATTAAACAAAATAATAACATATAATAACATAAATAAATATTTTATGTAAAATTATATTATTACCTTAAAGCTTCTAATTCTGTTTGTAATTCGTCAATTCTTTTATTGGCAGCATCTAGATCGGAAATTGTTGTGCTGTATTGTTGATTTGCCAAAATTTTGCGGTAAATAAAAATACTAGCTGCACTTATAACACCAACGGTTACACCGATGGCGGCAGCAATTAAATTATTATGCATTATGCTGTAAATATAAAATGTACTGTATCGTCGTTTTATATTACTATTGCATTATTAAACAAACAATATATAAATCATTTATAAGAAAAACTAAAAATTTTATGAGCAGTATAAATATACTAAAATACCGTTTTTCTAGGTTTCCTACTGTAAATTCTGTTCAAAATTTTTATAAATTATCAGATTTATCATTCATTAATACGTAACAACCACATCTATAAAGCGAACATTTTATTATCACAACGAAAGAAAAATATATCTTTTAATGAAATAAAATGATTTTTTTCTCTTTTCCATATAACGTTGAACACGCACCACAGAACCACATTGTACACCGGCAATTAAGACATTCTTTACGTCGAATAATTCTGTTCATATGAAAAATCCGAGTTTCTTATTCAATCGTTTGCCGAATCATTTGCCGTGTAAACATAATGCTCTTTTATAAGTTCAAAGTACAAAATGATTTAAAATGCTAATCATAAATCATGGACAGCTATAATTGCTGTATAATTACTATGTATGTATAAGGATATATAAATATATATTTATATATAATATATATAATATATATATTATACATAATATATGTAAGTACGTATGTACTTATGAATACTTACATATGCATGTATATGTACTACATATACAGTACTTTTGATATTTACATAAAATTCATGTATTCTAAATTAAATTTCACTATAATTTTAATTTTCGAATTGATCAATTTTGATATCAAAAAAAGGAATAAATATATTTAAATTTCCATTACATCTAAAGTTACTATGTTTATAATATGTATCTTCTCGTGTATATATAGGTAGAAATGTATAGCATGCTTTCTTTTTATCAGAAGCTTCTTATATAACAAATAGATGTATTTAAATAAATTTAATACAAACAAATAATATTATATATGTAATCAATATTATTCAAATAGTATAATAATTACTAGATTGACATTTTGTTACTAATGTTTTTTTTTATAAGAAGTTTATAATTTTACTGTACAACAAATGTTTGTTGAATGTTTCTGTACAACAAAGTTTATTAACTTTTTGAACTTTTTGAAATGTTTCTTTATAAAAAGTTTACATATGATAAAATTTACAGTACATAAAATTATACAGAATATACAAAGCAAAATACTCATATAATATGTATGATATTTAGAAGATTAATATATTTCTATTTAATTTGTCGTAATTCATAAAAGAATATACGAACATCTACAATCTACTAATTATATAAATATAATAATTTCAATATCTAATACAATATAAAAAGAAAAATATTTTTTGGGTCTTATAAAAAGCATATTTCGATTGTAATGCATGCTTTTATTAACATGTTTTATTACAATACATAAAATTATTAAAAAGGAACGAAGGATAATTATAATTATATACTTCATACATATAATTGAAATCTATTCAAATATACGACTTCGAAAAACTTTAACTAATATTTTCACAAAAGTTTATTACAAATATTCTTACAGAAATTATTTTACAAAATTTTTAGAGATTTCTTAGCAACAAGATAATTATAATAAAATATAATTATAATAAAATATAATAATTATATAAATATAATTTTTGCAATTTTAAGAATTTTTACCAATTTTTATATCAATTAAAATAAAGTGAATAAATTTGGAAAAAATATATATATAATATTCATAAAAAATTGGGGTAAATTGGGATTATGTATTTTCATGTTTACAATATATTATACATATATACATATATGTATATTATATATAAAATTCAAGTACATAGAGACAAATAAAATCCTTTTTTCATTCTAAGAAAAAATACGTTTATTAACATATAAATGTATTATATACTTATATCTATATTCAGTGGGTAAATATTTAAAATTAAAGAAATTTTAATTATATCTAGTAACTTTGGCATTGCATATAGATACATATAGCATATATATGAGTATACGTATATATATATTTAATGTTATTATTTTTTTAAAATGTCAAATTTAAAATTTGTTCAATATAAGAATGTATATATATTATATATTTATTTATTAATATTTTAATTTTAACTTATGTATTTTATTTAATATTCGCACTATTAATTTAGAGGCTTTTCTCTATATGCTTATGTGCTCTATTTCTTAAAATTTGATATGATATTTACCTTTGGAATAGTTAATATTATTGTCATCCTACCAAATTGTGTATTGTAAACAAAGCTCTTTAAAAATTTATATTTACATAAAAAGTGCGTCATTATTAAACTCTCTAGAAGTTGATAAATTTATATATATTCTATTATTTATACTATTATAGTGTGAACACATTTACATAATACATAAATATATTACTTATAATCATAATAATAAGTATATGATCATAATATAAGTAAAATATGTCAACAAATTGATAAAATAAATTTTTAAATTTTACATACAGTTTAGATTTTTAATACAGTCACGAACATAAGTATTGGCACACCTGGCTTTTGACAATATAAATGCTAATAAATCGAAAAAAAAGACAGAATATCCAATTTTTTTATTAATCATAACTACCGAATCTCTAATCTTACAATATTATATATATTACTTTTTAACTAATTATATTACACAGAAAATAAATGAAATACACATTAAAGACAGTTTTTGGTGAAACAAAAGTATTGGCACAGTTATAGTTTTATATAATATAAAAGTTTGTTTAATATTTTGTATATAATTATTTTGTATTACGGCTTGTAAACATTTTGGCATAGAATGGACCAACTTTTGTACAGTTTCTATCCCTATCTTGTTCCATTCTGTTAAAAGTATTTTTTATTTGTTGCTTGCTGGTAATATGGTGATTTCATATACGTTTTACCAATTCAGCCTCCAAGGTGTTCTGTGGGGTTCAAGTCAGGGGATTGTGGTGGGGTAGGGTATGTGGTGTATTAAAAATAATCTATTGTTGTACAATATAAACGGTATGCTTTGGATCATTATTTTGCTGGAAGACAAAATTGTCTCCCAGATTTAATTTTTCTACACTTTTTTTTATATTATTTTTTAAAATATCCAAATAAACCCATTTGTCCATTATGTCACCACCTCCGTGTTTTACGGCGTGCACGTTGTTTGGATTTAGCTCTGTTCTTGGGTTTCTTGCATTTTTGCCTCATCTTGCAGGTTTCTATGTTTTTTTCTAAAAACAGTTGACTGTTTATGAAACAAATGAATAGCGTTGAATGTAGGGGAAACCCCAGGTATAAACTGCATACCAACTTTGTAAACATTTCATCCCAATTTTTTAGATGAAAAAACATGATTCGTAAATGTGCCAATACTTTTGTTTCACCAAAAACTGCTCTTAATGTGTATTTCATTTGTTTCCTTTGTAATGTAATTAGTTAAAAAGTAATTTATGTAATATTGTAAGATTACTCGGTAGTTATATAGTTATAGTTATATACTCCGTAGTTATAATTTATGTAATATTGTAACAGACTCGGTAGTTATGATTAATGAAAAAATTAATCGGATATTTTGTTTTTTTTTTAGTTTTTTAAGCATTTATATCGTTAAAAACCAGGTGTGTCAATACTTATGTTCGTGACTGTATGTGTATATATTTCACTAATATTTCATGCTTCAAATTTATTATGCATTATTTTATATAAAAAATAGAAACATTTTTTTCACTTACGGAAAAATAAAATAATATAAAATATGATTAATGTTTGATATTACATTTTCTATAAAATTTTGATAAAATCATGCAATTTTATTTGTATAATAAATTACACCACATTGAACAAAATTAAAGAAAAAAATACATAATAGAATTAATATTGAAAAAATGTAACCTAACTTTTCTGTTATTTTAATAGGAAATTGGATCATTTAACAAATATATAACATAAATTATTATTCTTTTCTATTAGAAATAGAAGCAACGAAGATAACATATTGATATCTTATTTTTTTTGTGCATTGATTTTAGTTGATATAGTTAATTAAATATTATTTTACCTTATTTTAAGTAAACTTTCAGTATATAGGACGAGTTTCACTTGTTTTAACAAAATAAAAGATTGTAAGAAAAAATATTTTTTCATTTCTCAATTTAAAAATATTTATCTAATATTAATTTTTAAAGATGTATAAAAAAGAGCATTATATTTAATTAATACAAGATTTCTCAAACTCTTACTACAATATATATTTCTAATTTTATTACTAATTATTATGATAATTAATTATGGCGTCAATAATTTTGGCATTGCTTAAAGCACAATTATTTTAATGCTGTTTTAAAATCTAATACGACTTTTTAAACTAGAAAATAAATATAAATGATAACGTTTTTAATAATGTAAGGCATCTTATATAATATAAATTTTCAGGAAATATACTGTAGTTATAAATTTAAATAAACATTTTACATAAACAATATTTATACATTCAACATAAATTATAAAATCTAAATTATATATATCTTTCGAATGATAAAGAATTTACTGATTAAACGAAATTATTTAAATACTTAATTAATTACAGTAATATATTGCATGTAAATCAACTTTTTAATAGAATACGTAAAATAGCATTTTAGCTTTTTAACTGTGAAACTCGACCATGTTAATCTTAAATTATGCGAGCGATATAAAACAACTATATAGAATCTATAACATTATTGTATCGTTTTTTTCATTATCACAGATTGTTTTGGTAGTAGGCCTATTTTCAATATATATTAAATTTTAAAGACCTATAATGGACTAGTAAATTAATAGAATCTGATTGATTTCATTCTAAGCATACAAACCAACATCATGTTTCTAATGTTGGGAAAAGTCTTGTTAACACAAAATAAGCTACATCATAGTTACTCCAATATGTTGTATGTGCTGCTAATGTGTAAAAATAATTTCTTCCTAAACTTGCTCGAAGCACATAATCCAATCGTTGTGTCAATTCTAACAAAAAAAAAAAAAAAAAAAGAACAAATTATATAGCTTCCATTGTAATTTGTATTATTGACAGATTAATTAAAAGATAATATAATATCTTTACCTTGATCCGGTTGAATAGGTGTAGGAACACCTTTTTTAACATTCCAACCAGCACGGACTAAACCCCAAAGACTCCAACCTTTGTCTGGTGTGCGATTAGACATATCTACTGAATTTTCTTCTTTCTCGTCATTATCTGTTATTAAATATTTTATATTGTAGTATGGACATTAAACTAAAAGAAAACCATCACTCTGAAAATAGATATGAACTATTTAATATACCTATGAGAGAAAAATTTTGGTCAGGATTACTCATTGTTTGAGGTGACTGTTCTGTTTGTTGATCATCAATTCCTCCATATGGTGGAATAAGAACAGGTTCAATTTTGCTATATCCCCTCTCTAGAAGTGGCTCCATTCTATAAGCTACAGGATCAGACCAATGAAATATATTGTAAAATCTTTTGCATAAATCTTGAGGCATCACATCTGTTTTGTTGGATGGAGAAGGTGTACGTAATACAAGAAATACTGATAATGGAGAACCCAAACAAAATAAATTTTCAATCTGGAATTATGAAAATATTTAAACTAAATTTTTTAATATTATGTTACATTGAATTACTTTTATATAAATATCTTATATTATAAATAATATGCAAAAAAATAACACTTACAGGGAATTGCAATCGTTGTTTTAAAACTTCTTCTGTTTCTGGGGATGGCGGTCTTGTGTCTGGACCCATCCAGCCTGTGACAATGTCATAAACAATTACACATCCCAAAGAATGTGCTAAAATTGAAACTTTCCCTTTCCAACCAGGATGACGACTAGTAAACATAAAGTATAATCTATTTAACTCTTTTTGTAATCCAGCTCTTACTTCCCCTCCATAAAGAGGACTTGTATAGTAGAGAATATCCATTGCTGATGTATTTAATAAGTGTCGTATGCTTACCACACTAAAAGGGGTGATAGCTTCTACTATACCTACAACAATTTTTATCAAATGTAAAACGCAAATAATTAAATGCAAAAAATTAAAAATCAATTACACAAATTGTAAAGCAATTATTTACCTCCATCAAGTTTTAAAGATGATCGCCATTCAACAGGAAAAAATTCTAGTCTATAATTAGAATTAGGAAAATATTTTTGTTTCAACCAATCTACACAATCTCTAAACCTGTTTAAATATTAAATACAATGGATTAATAATTTTTACGTTTGCATCAATTGTATATAATATATTATAATTATTAATTATATTTTCTACATACAGTGTTGTATTACGAATAATTTTTCCAGTATCTCCTTTTTGACCAATTCCATGAACTACAAATATTATGTGATCAATATCATGAGGTTTATCTTCTTTTACAGCAGCATTTTTATATCCTCTTCTTAATTGATAACCTGTTGCTATAAAGATTATAAATAATAATTTTTAAATCATTTGTATCATAACTTCAATTTTACAATGTATCATATCATCGAAATTTATACGATTGGCCATATATAATTTATCAAATCATTCACAATTTGTTTTCATTGAAATATTTACTATTTTCTATTAACATTAATTGATTATAATTAGAATGCGAATTTTTGAATTGATTTGCAAAAAATTTTATCTATATAATACAAAAAAATATATAAAATAAAAATATAATGCTTTTTATGATATTTTCTACATAAAATGATTTTTTCCAAATTTTTAATATATTTTTAAAAACATGAATTTGTATAAAAAATTATTCGCAGGATAATATATACTAATAAATATTTGATTATACAAAGTGGGACATTACTCGCAGAATATTCCACTTTGTTTTAAAAATTATAGTTAATAATAATTAAACAAATTTTAATAATAACTATAAATATATTTTTAAAATACTTACTTTTTGCAAAGCCAAGTTTTGATGTAACACTGCGCATTAATTTACTATGCCTATATTCGCTATATAATACCACATCATTTATACTATGCCAATCAACATGAAATTCAGGAAAATGTTCAGTATGTAATACTGAAATACAAAAATTTATTTTCTTATTAGATTGAAATATTATAGAAAATGGCAGATAGATAAAATTAAGAAAACAAGATTTATACTTTTGTAGGAATGAGAAGATGTATCACATGTCAAAGTAGATTGATTAAAATCTTGTTTTTGAAAAAGATTAAGATGAACTTCTTCTATAATTTTAGATTGCTCCACTTCTAAAGGTAACCAACTGCCATCATAATACCAAGTTCCTCTCATAATTTCCCATTCTTCACCTTGAAATAAAATTAGAATCAATAATCACACTTAATCACATTTAGAAAATCAAACAAGATCATATATAATACATGTATAACTATCTAATAAATTAAAAATTTTACATGTATAACTATCTAATAAATTAAAAATTTTATGAGTTCATTATTTTTAATTCAAAAAGAAACCATAATATTTTTATGCATATAGTTTGTTATATTTGAAATATATAGAAATTAAAAAAAAAATTAAAACAATATAGTATAATGCATCGTATGGTGATCTAATTACATTAATCATTGACTTCAATAAACTCAAGGGCAAATCAATTGATTTTTATGGCAGACATAATAATGTGCTTGTAAAAAGAAAGTAAACATTACTACGTAAATTAAAGAATTATACATAACAATTTGTAACTTATTTAGCATATGAAAATACAATATAAGAAATAAGAAAATATAACCTTTTATTAATTTGATAATTTATATTTAATCTGTTAAATTACATATATTTAAAAAATGAAGTTATTATTTAAATTATATACATATTTAAAAATAAAGTTAACATAGAGTTAAAACTAAATAAAATATGTACCTGGACAATATATTGAAACACATTTCATTTTATCTAGTTCCACATCATACATTCCTCCTCTAACTACAATTTTTTCAATAGAGGGTGGATTGTTAGTTATATCATTATTTTTACTAAGCAAATTCTGATAATTTTGCCAAGCATTTTCAATTCTTAAGCTATCATATCCACAGAATTCGACCCATCGTTTATCTACACCATCTCTATAAAACCACCGTATTTGTTCTGCAGTTAAAGGTTCTGCATATGTTATTTCATTTGTTACATTCAATGAATCATCTTTTGAATTTAATTCTCTGATGGATTCTGTAACTCCTTTAAAATATGAAATTAGGATGAAATAAATTTAACATAGTACATATATTTATATTATATATATAAAATTATATTATATACTTTGATTAAAAGACATGATCTTTATAGTTTTTATTTTTTTAGTGTATTTTATCTCAAGTTTATTTACAAACGATTTCAAATTATGCAATAGATAATAATAAAAAAAATGTGAAATAAAAATTCAGATATGATTAAGTTATGTATGTATTATAAAGATATCAATTCAACTGAATGAAATTTTAAATAAAATGAGTTTTATTTTTTTATTAAATATTATAAACATACTATTTGTAATGAATTTACGTGATTTTCAAATTTTACTTTATATTGATTTTGAACATACGAATTGCGTCTTATTGACGAAAAATATATTAAATAGTATGTTCTTTTTAAAAATTCTCGTATTTACATAATAAATAATGTCCAAGTTATTTGTAAAGGCTGTCTTAAATAACTGATAATTTTACCTTCGCAATTTTGAAATTCCAGAGGTGTTTCACTGAAAGGATCAACTTCAAACTTGTCAGACATCCTGTCACTTATGTAACTATCACAGGATATTTCTTAAATCATTTGAGTATAAAAATTTGCAATACCTTACGTCATGTAAATTTCTTTATAACACTTGACATGTACAAAAGACAACAATTTCTATCAAAATTAATGTTGGACAGCACCGAACACTTGTCATTCATAAAAATCAAATGAATCATAACACAGCATTCATCTGTCAGTATAAAATACCACAAATTTTGTATTATAATACTATAATACTATAACAATGTTATTGGTTAAAATATAAAGAAATCTGATTCACGACCAAATGCAACGTTGAAATATGATTGGTAAATAGACAATCGTCTTTTGCAGTAGTTGAACGTTATCTTAAAACTGATTTAGGATATTTCCTTTAACAAACGGGCTGGATCGTTTAGATCTTGTTATCTTATATAACTACTATTCGTATAACTCTGCAAAACTACTGCATTTAATGGGCAGACAGCTGATGTATAAACGCACTGCGTAAAACAGTGTACAATATGTACAATTTACATACTTTTATATTACTATGCATTTGTGTGTGTGTGTGTGTGTGTGTGTGCGCGCGCGCGCGCGCGCGCGCGCGTGTGTGTGTGTGTGTGTGTGTGTTTTGTATGTGCACTGTGTGTACCGGGTGAATCATCTAAGCTAGGAACTAAAGTATTCTCGAAACGATTAGTTATATTAAAAAATACTTTAAACGAAAATTGAATGGTTTCGAGAGGGATATTAATTGATATAATTACTATCTTTTAAAATTGATGTATACAAGACGTTTGAAAGTCAAATTTTTTAAATTGAAATCATATATTTTTTAACACTAATCGATTCAGCTCTTTCCCTATAAAAAAGTATTAAATCATTTATATCGAGAAACCATTAATGTGATATTTTAATTAAAACATTGCAATATTGTTCAAAGCCGAATTTGCTCATTTCATACTTCTTAGATGTCAAATGTTGTTTTGTTTCTCAGATTATCTTTTATTTTGAAACGTTTAACAATGATTTTTCCTTGATAATAGTATTGTGTTATATTTGTATTGTATTTTCATTCTGTGATTATTAAGAAGGAGTAATCGTATTGCAATATTCAAGCGATGAAGCATTAGACCAACGTTTTCGCTTTCGATGAATTGAACAAAGTGAACTAGTTCATTGGATCAATCAAATAGTTCACCAGATTTGAACCATTAGATTTTTTTTTTACATTCATATATCATTCAGTCATTAAAGCGTGTGTTAACGAATTGTCGAAGAATATAGAAATACTACTGCATTGATGTTAAATAGTATGAAACATTCTTTAAAAATTAGATAACAAAAGTATTTGAGTGTCAATGATATTCACTTTGAGCACATTTTGTAATAACTATTATATAATAATGAAATAAACATTTATTTTATTTCAATCACAACAAATAATTAACAAACTTTGCACGATCTTTTGTTATTACTAATGCTACTATATATAAATTCAATACTGTACGAGCATTATTCTGAATTATTTTAATTAAAATATCCCTTGAACTAATGGTTTTTTAATATAAATGGTTTAATACTCTTTTTTTATAGAGAATGATAAATAGTTGAATCGACTAATGTATCGAAAAATATACGATTTCATTTAAGAAAAACAAACTTGATTTTCAAACATGTTCTATGCGTACATATTAAAAAAAGATAATCATAACAATGTTCCTCTTGAAACTATTTATCTTTTGATATAATTAATTATTTAGAAAATATTTCAGCTTTAGTCTAAAGTGACTCACTGGTGCATAAGCATATTCACAAATGATTGAACACAATGTGCTTATTACTAATATATATATAAATCATATAAAAATAGAAAATAAAATTAATTGTAACATTGTTCTGTACATAGATGACATAATTTACTTGTAAAATTTACATCAACATTAATGTAATATTTATTACATACATTATATAAATATTCTAACTACTTTAATGTAATGTGATTTAAACCAATATCAATTCTGTATACCATCATTTGTCCTAATCTTTGTATGAAAAAATGATAATTTCATTTTGTGCAAACTAGTTTACCAAATTTGTATTTATATTTAGAAAATTTAAATTTATATTAATATATAATATATAATATGCAAATGTCGTTTTGTCTTGTTATACAATACATACAAAATATTTATAAAAAAAATTATTGATTATTTAACATGATATGTAGCTAACTCATTACGAAATAATTATTTTAAATGTTAAAAATTAGGTTAACGTTATTAGTTTTTTAAATTTTTAAATAAAATTAGATATTACTAAATACATCTTTATTTATTAATGATCATAACATATTATCTATATTTGTACTTTATTCTTCTTATTTTATAAAATAAGTGGTAAATATTAAATAGCTGATAAGTATTGAATATTTATAATTTTTTGTATTTCTATAAAAATAATATAAATTTTTTTCAAAAAACAAATAGCATTGAAACAACATGTTTATTTAAAAAATAAAATATTAAAATTTCTTTAATATTAAGAGAAATATATTTTATTGAACTATTATTCACATTTATCTAAAAATAGTGCACTTTAAAAAAAATCACATTACTATTTTATTATAAATACATAAAATAAGAAACTACATTATAATAATAACATTGAGAATATTGTTTCACAACATGTGAAATAACAGCTTTTTTATAGGTTATATATTTATTATTACAAACAGTAATACAGATCTGTACTTAAAAGTTAATTTGTCTTATACACAAAAGCATGGATGTTTTTTTATTTATTATTTGCTATGTCCTGCAGCTCGACGTAGTAAAACATATATCTTTTCTTTAATCCAATCTTTATTATATGGGGCATATGTATTTGTGGATTTTTGATAAACAAGACATGATAAATCTGTAAGTTGATCAACAAAATCAAACAATTGACTGATATCGTATGTTATAGTTGGTGTATTTGGATTTCTTCTCTTCAGATGTTCTTCATAAATCTTGCATACACCTGTATTAAAAAATCAAACGTTTATTTTCCTTAATTTCAATTCAATCCAATTCAATGTTTTAATGAAAAAGGTGTTAAACTTAAATTTACCAAAATATAAATATATTTATACTTATATCTTACCTTCCATACATTCATTAACACTTTCGTAATCAGAATATGTTCTTGTTTCAGGTCTATCACCTGGTTGAATAAGCAGTATTGTGTGAGACTATAACAAATAATAAACAAATATTTGCAATTTAGTTGTTTTAATGTATATTATTATATTAAATAATCATCTGTAAGTACTGTTAATTATATTTTGCAGATATACTAATAATAAATGAAACAAACAGATGTACTGTCTTATTTCAAAAATTGTTTACAATAATGTTATCATAACATTTCAAAAGAATATTTATATTTTTGTTGGAAATAAAATAGATAGATAAATAAAATAGATATACATACCTATTTATTGTATATCTTTTAACATTAAAATATTGTAAAGTGAAAATCTCATACAAAATGTTTAATAATTTCAAAATTGTTAAAACATATGTTTATAACTATTAGCGTGAAAAAAATTTAACACAATAAACAAATAAATAAATATGTAAATTATAAAATTTGAAAAAACAAAAGTTTGACATGATTTAGTATAGTCAAAACAAAGATTGATTACCATTTTTGCTCCTTAATTAAAAACAGCTGAGTTATATAGTTTTAATGATTATTTAACTTTTTTCTAATTCTTTATCACTTCTCTTCCAATAATTCTTCAATAAAAAAAAATAAAATGTCGAAATCCCTTCAGAGAGCAACCTGGAAACTTCGATTCTAAAATTTTTAGTGATAGCACTCGATTCACTTGGAATATATATCGTATTGTTCCTTCGTTCCTTGCGCATTTCGTGGTTCAATTTGCGTTCCACATATTTAATATTCATGTATGTTTAAACATAAAGTTTGAAATTAATATCAATTATATATACAATAACATTATATTATATTATATATTAATATATGTATATAATATGTATTTTATATATTATATTATATGTATCTTTAAAGAAATAAAAGTTTTTAAAAATGAACGCAACATTGTTATGATTACACCTAATTATTTAATGATTAAGTATATTAATGTATTTAATTACAATAAATTATATTAGAAATATGGATAAATCTTTTATATAAACAAATTAGTATTATTCAATTTTTATACGCAATTTCAATTTTAAAATATTAAGAAAAATTTAAAAAAATTATAATAGAAACTACACCATGATAAAAACTTTTTATTTTTAATTTCTATTATTAAATATATAATATATTTACTTTAGATCCTATGGAATTTATTAAAAAATCAATAATATTTAATTAACATTTTTGTTGTCAATTTGCATGTATTTATAAAATTGAGAATTATATTTGCAAAATAATGCAATTACTATGTATATAATGCTATGTTTTTAAACGTAATCTTTAGATGCTGTTTATATGAAGACATGAGAAGACAAATCATTGTGTTGAAAAGTAGCTTAAATATAGGAAATGTTGGCACGTCTTGAACACACTTTATACGTGAGTCTTTGCCATAGAGAATAAGTTTCGATTTTATTGCGCGGCTTGCTCAAATTAAAAAAAAAATGAAACCGAAACCAGAATTAAATACCGAAGAAGCGTGGATTAAATTGCAACAATATTTTGACGTAAATGGATCGAAAATTAATATATATAGTCTTTTTCAACAAAATCCAAAACGTTTCGAAAACTTTAGGTAAGTTTTATCTGTCCTTGACACATGACCTTGAAATGACCTTCCGAAGGCTGCTCATTCTGATAAAATTAAATTATAAGACTCTTTGCCAAAATTTTTTATTATTTTACATAGTTTAAGATATACTTTTATTATTTTATTATGTAGTTTAGATATTTTTTTCGAAATATTTTTTTCATTGAATTACATATATGTCGCAGTATTTTTGGCGTTAAAATATGAAAAGTAATTGTTACATGATTTTATATAAATCAATATTACATTTATTAATTAGTTTAGAAATTCCTACTCCTGAAGATGGGCCAATTTTGCTTGATTATTCCAAGAATCGCCTTACTGAAGAAGCATTGCAATTATTATTGAAATTGGTATATATCATGATGTTTTATAAATGTTACATTAATTAAACATTATGTTGCATTAAGTATAATAAAATGAAATATATAAATATATAAAGTAAGCAATAATTTATTATATTTGTAATTATAATATGTTTTATTAATTTTAAGGCACAAGCGCGTGAAATAGAAGCTGCAAGAGATGCCATGTTTAGTGGAGAGAAAATTAATTTTACAGAGAATAGAGCAGTTTTACATACTGCATTACGCAATAGACTTAATAAGCCAATATTAATTGATAATAAAGATGTAATGCCAGAAGTAAATGCTGTATTGAATCATATGAAACAGTTTACTAATGAGGTAAAATTAATATACATTAGTTCTATTTTTATCAGCTTTATTGTTTTTAACTTTTTAAAAATAATAATTTCATATAATTTTTCATATAATTATATAGGTTCTTTCAAAACAATGGAAAGGTTTTACTGGTAAACCAATCGAAGATATTGTTAATATTGGAATTGGTGGTTCAGATTTGGTATGTTATATAAATCGTAAATATGAAGTATGTAAATAAATTCATTTTTAATTGATATATTTACATATAGGGTCCTTTAATGGTAACCGAAGCATTGAAGGCATTTCATGTTGGACCACGAGTACATTTTGTTAGTAACATAGATGGAACTCATATAGCTGAAACTTTAAAAAAATTGAATCCAGAAACAACTCTTTTCATAATAGCATCGAAAACGTTTACCACTCAAGAGACTATTACAAATGCTACTTCTGCTAAAATATGGCTTTTAGAAACTTTAAAAAATGTAAGTAAAGGAGCAACAGTTTTAAGTTATATTAATGATATATAAAATGTATTTATTTTTATTCAGCCTGCAGCAGTTGCATGCCATTTTGTTGCATTATCTACTAACAATCAAAAAGTGAAAGAATTTGGTATCGATGAGAAAAATATGTTTGGATTTTGGGACTGGGTTGGAGGACGTTATTCATTATGGTCAGCTATTGGTTTATCAATTTCTTTATCTATTGGGTTTGAAAATTTTGAAAAATTATTGGATGGAGCATATTTTATGGATCAGCATTTTTGTAGTGCTCCATTGGAGAAAAATGCAAGTACTTAATTTGTTTATAATGTTATAATTACATTTTTTTAATATTTTGACCAAAATATTGAAACATTGAATTATGTCATGCATTTAATAAAATATCTCTTTATAGGCACCAGTTATATTAGCTCTTCTTGGAATATGGTATCACAATTTCTACAAAGTTGAAACACATGCATTGTTACCATATGATCAATATTTACATAGATTTGCTGCTTATTTCCAACAAGGAGATATGGAGAGTAATGGGAAATATGTGACTCGTGCAGGAAAAACTGTCAATTATGGCACTGGTAAATATTTCATCATTTATATTTAAAAAAAATTACAATTTTTCATTTAATATGGTAAAAAATTAAATATGTAAGGTCCAATTGTGTGGGGAGAACCAGGCACTAATGGACAACATGCATTTTATCAATTATTACATCAAGGAACTAGACTTGTTCCTGCTGATTTTATAATTCCAATACAATCACATAATAAGGTAATTGATAGTTAGAAGCTATCATTCGAAAAGAATAATTTAATATAATATAATAAAACATTTATATTTAGGTTCAAGGAAATCTTCATCATAAAATATTGCTTGCAAATTGTTTTGCACAAACCGAAGCTTTGATGAAAGGCAAAAATGAGAATGAAGTACGAGTTGAGTTGCAAAAAGCAGGAATAAGTCCTGAACAAATAAATTTATTATTGCCACATAAAATATTTGAAGGAAACAGACCTACTAATACTATTCTTCTTAAGAAGATAACACCTTTTATTCTTGGAGCATTGATTGGTAAATTTAATATATAATATACTGATCTATTATTTCAATTTATTTTAGTAAATTATTTAAATACATTTTATTTTCATAGCGATGTACGAGCATAAAATCTTTGTACAAGGAATTATTTGGGATATCAATTCATTTGATCAATGGGGGTAAATAATAATTTCATTATTGAATAATTACAAATTTTTAAGTAAAAAAAATTAAATATATCAATTTTATTTCAACAGTGTTGAATTAGGTAAGCAGTTGGCAAAGATAATTGAACCTGAATTAGAAAGCACTCAAACAATTACAAGCCATGATTCATCAACAAACGGATTGATTGCATTTGCTAAGAATCATAGTTTATAAAAGTTCCTCAAATGATATAAAATGAATAATTGAATTATAATAATAACTTAGTAATTGTTAATTGTTACAGACAAAATTATGTTAAAATGTATTCAAAATGTTATAGAAAAATAATTTTTTAATATTCTTTTATTAATTATTTTCACAAACTGTATTTAATATATTTAGTGATATTATACAGTTTGAAATGTATATCATATCGATGTACTCGATTGAAGTACTATAAATGAAAAGTGTAAAATATTGTAAATTGTTAAGTGATATATAATATATAAAAATTATTTAATGAAATAAGTTTGTTGTTTTATTTCGTGATATATTTTTATTATCCTTTCTCTTTTCTTATTATTATTTTGAGTCTTGTATTATTAATAAATATCTTAATGTCAAATTTAATACTTAGTATTACAATTTTTTACATTACATATGATTTTAATAACAATATCTGATATGTAATATTTAACAGAAATATACAAATAAAAATGAAAAATATAAAAGATTATAAAGATGAAAACTTTAAAATTTATATTATTTTTATTAATAAACTTATTTAAATTATATTTTAATCTGTATTGTTATTCGTTATTTGTTTATTAATATATGTACACACGCAATATGTTTTTTGCGCGTACGTGCATGGTGCGTGCATGTGTATGGCGTGTGTGTGTTGCATATTTTACCATATACATATATAAGAACGAAAATATGACGGAAAAAAATTTGACCTTTTCAGATAGTATCATACATTTTCTGTATAAGAGGTTGGGGGTGTGGTTACTGATGTTGTAAAAACACGTTTTTTAAAAATAATTTATCAATAATGGAATTTTTTTTTGAAGAATATAGCCGTTTTGAAGAAAGAATATTACATAGTTTGGAAGATAATGGCATAAAACATCGGTATGTTTATTAATTGTATGAATGTAAAGATCAATGTGAGTTAACCTAGAAGTTTGTTGTGTTAATTATTTGCTATATTTACATTTAGTTTCGTTTAATATATAAGAAATATTATATAATAAATACAAGAAACATATATAATACATATAAGAAATATTTATGACATATACGTTAGTTTGACATATTCAATTTTTTTTTCTATTTTGTAATCTTATTTTTTGATGGTATATGCACGTATACATATATTGTATATTTGTATATCCTTTCATAATTATAAAATTACATTTTTTGTTTTGATTTAATTCGTAGAGAGAAATAAATTTATTTTCTTGATATTTTTTTTATTTATAATAATAAATAATTTAATTATTTTAATAAGTGTATTGAATTTTATTCAATATATTATAAAATATAAATTCTGTATGAATACATAATGTTTAAGTATCTTAAAATATTCAATTATAGATTATAAATTATTAGCATATTTGATATAGTTTAAATTATTTATCTATAATTATAGTAATATCATTGTTATAACGAATATATTTTTTATAAATATTTACATTTAATTAAGTTTTTTTTAAAAATTAAAAAAAAATATTTTCAGGATAAAGGCTAACAGTGGATTATGGCTTGGAACATTAGTAGGTCTAAGTGCAATTTTAACTCTACTAAAAGAAGATGCTAGTTATTCTGAAATCTGTCTCATTGTGGGTCTCACAGGAATTGGTCTTGTTATTAGTTCTATATGTTTATATTTGAGACTGTCATCTGAGAAAGTGGTAGTTAAAGATTTTCAAGCTATATATTTTTTACCTGCTATAATAACATCTTTATTATATCTTTTTGTAGTAAATAAAGGTATATCAATTTAGAAATATTACATTATTATTTAATATATTTTTTATTTATTTTACAATTTATTTCACATAAATATTGTTTTATAAAATATTTATTTTATAAAATTATATTAATTTAATAAATTAATTCATATTAATTTAATATAAATTGTTTCACTTATTATTAATTAAACTTATTAATAAATAAGAGCAGGATTACTGGTGAGTGTCACATGGGGCTTAGGTATTGGAAGTTTAGGAACTTGGGGTATTCTTCAATTAATGTCTACATTTCCTTATTGTTTCACAATTGGAGAAGCAACGGCAGTTATGCATGGATGTATTTTATTTCTAATGTCTGCAGTAACAAATTTGCCACTAAGATATCATTTGCCACCTATCCATGATGATGATATCGCAACAGTGTTTTTACAGGTATTCTAAATTTTTTACCAATAATAAGTTTTATATCATCAGTAATTGAAAAATGTAATTAATTAATATAATGTAATTGATAAAAATGTAATTGATTAATATAACATAACATAAATATAATTTCAGGTTGCAATGCTATACGTGATATCAGTATGTTTAATATCTAGTTATTTTCCAATGTTTCACTTGACCAGAAATTTTTATATAATGACAATCACAGTTTTGTCAATTGCAGTTTTACCATTAATGTATGTTTTATTGGATCAAAATCCTTTTATTTGGATGTTTTACTTTATCTGCAATAAAACAAATAAGGTATGCATGACAAGGTATAACTTTGTAATATTTTGTATATAAATGTTAAATTTTTAAATTTTAACAATTGGAAATATTACAGATTATATTAATTGGATACTGGGCTCTATGTTTACTACTAGGAGTATTAGTTGTTATATATCAGATATTATTAAATATTCAAGCAACAACTTCAACTAGAAAAATATTTCACTTATTAGCTGTCCTTGTATATATACCTGGTTTAATATATGAACATGTTTTGCTGTATTTAGCTAGTGGTATAATAATGGGATTGTTTATATTTCTTGAGGTATATCAAGTTCAAAGAAATTATATTTTGTTTAATTATATATTTATAGTTTTTTTTTTTAATTTCCTATTGATAATTTCTTACATTTTTAGTTGATGAGATACTTACAAATATCACCTTTTGGAGAAGCATTACAACAAGGATTTTCTGTGTTTGCTGATGAAAAAGACAATTTGATTTCTTTAACACCTCTGTATTTATTTTGTGGTTTGTCCTTTCCACTTTGGATGCCTACCAATAATCTTTCATTACCAGTTTTGCTTAGTGGTATTTTAACAGTTGGTGTGGGTGATACTGTTGCTAGTTTTGTTGGTAGTAGATGGGGTTATCACAAGTGGGCCAATTCCAATAAATCTGTTGAAGGAACGATTGCTTGTATTCTTAGTCAAATTGGATTAATATGTATTTTAGCATTTATGGGTATGTATTTATAAAATTTTTCTTTTAAATTTTTCGGAATTTTTTGTTGCTTTGAATATCTTTGTTGTTTTTGAATATATGAAAAAACTTTGTTAACGAAAATTATTCAGTAGATTCACATGATTCTTTTGTAGGTGCAGGGATTTTGGAAATTTCAAGATCACCTCCAGATTTTTAAATGGAATCATAATTGATACAACTCGGCGTTCTCTATAAAAGGTACTAACTCATGTATATCGAAAAACTATTGTCTAGAAGATATTTTAAGTCTAATTTTTGTAAAATTTAATGTATAAAAGAGGAGTGATATTTTTCTTCTTATCTTTCATTTGGTTCTTATTGTCTTTCATATGATAGATTTTACAAAATTAAAATTAAAATATTGCTTAAACTAATCGTTTTTTTTCGTAAATTAATACTTTTTTTTTTATAAAAGATGCCAAGTTGTATCAATTTCATTTAAAAAAGTGGAGATGATCTTGAAATTTTAATCTAAACTAATATAGTTTTTGTATATACATGAATTAATACTTTCTCTATAAAGAATGCCAAGTTGTATTAATTTTGTTTAAAAAAAGTAGAGATGATTTTAAAATCTTTGAAACATTTTTCACAACTTTCACTAACAAAGTTTTTTAATATTTTAATAACTTTTAACATTTTTCATATGTCCAAACAAATGGAACCAATTCTTGTTGAAAACACAGATTTTTATATATTACGTATATATACGTAATATATTATTATAATATATATTCAGGATACATATTTTTAATTATTACGTATATATACGTAATATATTATTATAATATATATTCAGGGTATATATGATATATTAATTACTAAAATAATTTTTTTTAAATATAACATCATGGTACATTATAAAATTAGTATATGTTTTTCAATAGGTTATATAGATAATGGTTGGTTATTTTTGCAAAGCTTGTTATCGAGTATTGCACTATCATTTATTGAAGCACAAACAAATCAAGTTGACAATTTGGCGTTACCTTTGTTGATGTATGTATGCCTAATGATTTAAGCATTTAATTAATATAAATGCAATGACAAACAATAAGTAACAGTAATTGTTTTGAAGGTAATATGAATATATTTGATTGTTCAATCTAAATTGTGGACCAAAGGTGTACTGTTTTTTTAATTCATTTCTTTATTTATCTTTATATGTGAAGATATGTATACATATATTTTCTTGTACATAACATCCTTTTTCATTCTTATTTCTTTTATTACGAATAAAATTAGTTACTAGTTAAAACGTTTCTTACATTATATGTAATTATATACATAGTTCTATAATGTTATGTCATTTAAAAATGTATGCATTATTGAAAATATTTATTTTGTAATCTACATTTCAAACAAATAACAAAAAAAATTTATTCATGTATATTACTGTTGCAAATTTTGTTAGATACTATTTATATAAAAATGTTTATATTTGTATACAAACATGATATTGAATGTGAAATATTAATTATTCTATGCCTCTATTATTGCGACAGTTTATATAATTTGATATTCTGCAAATGCATTATTTATTCCTATCAATGCATTTTTATACTTCGCTCAAAAAATTTTGTAAACAAAATCTAATAATAAAATATTTTTATAATTATGTACATTTTCTATAATTATTTATATTGAGATTTTATTATTTCTTTATTAATTATAAAAAAAATTGAAGGCTTATTGTGTAAGGATCTTTTAAAGATATATTAAGCTTATTTATTAATTATTGAAAAATTCAAAGGACAGTTCCCGTGCAATTTATATGTAATTCCCATGGTTGTAGTATTCTTTTCTAATGTGAACTTTTTTTGGCAAATAATGTGGACAGTATAAAACAGTGATCACAATCTTTTGCATACAAAAGGTCGCATGGAACATCGTGTATTAATCACGGGCTACAACAACGAAAATCTCCCCCCCCCCCCCCCGATTATATAAACAATTATTAAATGAAAAAAGAAATGGTAAAAAGAGAAATATAGATACTAATTAGACTGGTGCCTTCTATGTTGTTTTCACATACTTTTAATTGAATTAAAGCATCAAATTATAAATTAAATCATTGCTTTAGTTATCATGCAAATAATATAATTAAAGTTTAATTTTAAAAAGTTTTGTAAACAAAAAGAAATTAAATAAATTACAAGGAATCTGCAAACCGCAAAAATTTTCAAAACGGACAACAGATTGTGCATGATTAGTAAAAATATATTATCTTCTAAAAGAGGATAAGTTTGAGGAAAAGCATCAAATTACTTCATTTCATTATTTTATTGACCACACAGCCTTAAAATCTGACCGTACACAGTATGTCATCATACGTCATGCGTACATGATATGCGGAATGTTCGAAAAGCACCGATTTCTTGTCAAAGCTTTGACAAGGCAAACTTTATGCTAAATATTACAAGTTTTATTCGTGGAGAAAAATATTAACAATTCTTATTGATATTAAAAATATTAGTAATATTTAAAATTTCTAAATTTGTTTTACTTTTCGCTAAAATATTTTGTGTTCTGTCACATTACCATTTGCCAATTTTTGCACATAAATTAATTTTATTCACAAATTAAATCGAATAATAAAATTAAACTATAATAAAACAAAATAAAATATTGTTAATATAATAAAATGTAATAAAATAAATATAATATATTACATGCGAAAATATCTCAATCTTATAAATTGTGAATTTTATGGTTATTTAAATATTATGTATATAATGTATATATATATTTTTTCTTTGTTAACATTTACCTTTACAAATTATATTTTTACACCATTTTTTTCCGAATAATCTTTTTAAATATTAAGGGATTACATTAATTTATTAAAATTTATTGATATTTATCATTACATATGTGCATATTTCTGCATTATTTATAAGTGCCATTACTGTTTGTAACTATGAAGGTGCGGTTAGATTTTTATTTTGAAAAGTAGTTTATTTATAACTGCTGATTGATTGTATTATTTGGAAAGAAGACAATTAATGAGATGAATTAAAAAAAAGAAATAAAAGAAGTCAAGAAAAAAAGGCAAAAAATTAAATTTATTCTATCTTTTATAATATAAAAGTTATCATAAAAGTAAAATAATTTTTTATTGTTAAAAAGAATTTATACATAAAAGTATTTTATTACATAACTTATAGATTAAGGTTCGTTTGTTCAATCTGACATTGGAGCTTGAAATAACGTAATATAAAACATAATACAGAAATCATAAATTATTTTAAACTATATTTACAAAATCCTTATTCATTTATTTTTTTTGGTTTGCAAAGAGCCCTTATTCATTTGTTTAATATATTTACGAAGTTGAAAATATATATTTTTTCATAGTTTGATATTTAAGATATGATATAAATAAATTATTCGTAGAATAAATTAAAAAATTGATATGTTAATTTATAAAAAAATTATCTACGTATTTCCTATTGCATTTCTAATACGATGTTGACATAACATCTCGTATAAATATTTGACTAAAAGAAATTGTTTCGCCATATGTAGATATTTTATTTTATAAAAAATTTTAGTGTTTTAATGTCAAATGAAATATCTCTCTGTAGGTTAATACCATAAATTATTTTTAGCATATAATCTTTCTCTTACATATGTAGTATACTAATTATGTAATTACAAGTATATATCTCAAATTTAAATTGTACATTGAAGTGTAATTATATTATATTATAAAGCTTTATTAAATAATGAAAAGTTTATCATTTCAAAATTATTGTATCAACAATCATATTTGATAAAAATTACATAAATTGCAAATGATAAATTTAATATTATATGGAATAATATTTAAGAGTAATAAATTGGTATATAGTGAGTTAGGAGGAATTTTAAAGTGATTTATTGTATTTAAATAGGTATGCGTAAGTCAAATTTACACGCGCATTGCATCTTATAATAGGAAAATAGGAAAATAGGGAAGGATTGGACTCTAAACAATTGAATTGAATCTCTTTTCTATATTCCGTAAACAGTTACCAACTACATCGTAAATCTCGATACAAAAAATCGTTGTTGCAAAGTCCCTAACCGCGATAAACGAAAGAAGAAAAGCAACGAAAAAAAAAAAAAAACAAAAAAAAAAAAAAAAAAAAAAAACTGACAAGAATGGTGATTTTCTAGCATTCCATACCGACGTTCATATGTTACATTGAATCTGTCGATCTCAAGAAGCTGATTCTGCATTGATAAATCGCTGTCTAATCTGAAAATTGTCAAACGATTGATAATAAGCTTAAGGAGAACGACAGATGATATTTGTGAGATGTTTTGCTACGTGCTACTTATTATAATCGTTTCTTATATAGTTATATCTGTAATTGTATAGCAATTAAATAAATATCCCGAATATCTTGATTATGTAATGCCGTTTCGTTTTCTCTTTCGTTGCACTATCGTGCGCAATAATACCGATCTTCTGATTTTCCCTCCTTTTTTTTTTCCTTATTATACTTAATTTATGAAAAATTTATGTATTCAGTGTGTCTTCTGAATTTTTAGGTGATATATTACGATGTACCTGTTGTTACTTTCGTTTTCCATTGGTACTGATTTACATTGAACATACATGTATTACTGATACTACATTTTATCTCGTTGCATCTTCGTTTTTGCAAAATGTCGATTTCTTTTTTTTTAGCGGTTTCTTTTTTTTTCTGGTCTTGTCTTTTTATAATTTGCAAAGGAAGGACGATAGAGCAAAAAGTCACGATAAAAAAAATAAGCAATTGCTTTATATTTTACCAGTTATTGACTGATACACATGTATGTATGTATGTATAAATATGTTACTCATCAGGCGTTCGTCTACTACGATTAGGAAATACAGATTACACTTTTTTATTCAATCTTTTTATTGTGATAGAAATTAATGTCATTTGTGTGATTTGATTTATAGAACGTTAGTGAATATTTTCATTCATATTTCTTGATGTAACGATTGCGAGTGTATCTGTATTACGATTTTATTATTTCGATATTTATCATGAGGTGCAGCATCATGTGGTTGTTCTATTTTTATATAAGCAATGAGCATATTAATTTGCTTGAAATTTAAATTTTTTTGCTTTTGGATTCAAATTAAATCAAAGTGAAGAAATAAGTAAATAAAATTTATTCAATAAGATTGCAATTTATAAGATCGTTAATACTCTACAAATTATACTTCGAAATATATAATGTTTAAAAGTGAAATTTTTCGAAATCAATGAAACTTTACATTCGGAAAATTTTCTTCTAGTCAAATGTTCGATACATTAAAAATATTCGCTTAATCGAGTTATGCGTGATTTTTTTCTAGGAACATACAGTTTTATTATTTTTATCGTGAGATTTTCACTAAAAAAGTGAAATTTTCAAAAGAAAAAAAAAAAAAGAAGAAAAAAAATCGTAAACATAGCAAATATTCCGTAATTAGTAATTACGTTGCAGAATAATTTTAAAGTTACTTTACACTTTAGTTATGAAGCTGGTATTCTCGTATTTGATGTACGTGCACAAGTTTCGTATGTTAAAGGTTATTTCAAGTTTAAAGTAACTTTAAAGTTTCGGTGAATTCGAGCCTACGATAATACTTAATCGATATTCATTATTCATTACAGTGTTGTATTTGTAGCACATGCGAACGGGGCCTTCAAACAGAAATCCCTTTTTCTTATACAATGAAATGAATATTTTGCATACATATTTGTACATATGTATATGTATGTTAATTTATATTTCGGTTTATGTTAAAAAATTATTGGTCTTTATTCTAATTTGTGGAATTGTTTTTAATCAATATCTCTATGTATTTACCAAATAATTCGGAAATACGACAATAGTGTAATAAAAATCATCGTCTATTAATAACAATAGGTACATCAATACATTGCCAAGTGACAAATTTTCATTTTCAAAATAACGTACTTAGCAATATAAAGCAGAATCGGTGATACTTTCACTCGCTGAGAGCAATTTTTTGCTACATTTATGACTATCTCAACAATCACTGGAAATATTTCAACAAGATCACTACTTAATGTTGATTTTCCTGTTATACTTTGTGTAAATGGAATCTTTTTATAAACTATGGTTGTAAACTCTAATTCCTTTCTATTAATAGCAATCGAAACTGCAACGGGCTCGTTGTAACTAAATAAAGAGCATTATACTTTTTTTTCCTATTTAAACATAAATTACATATTTACAATTGCGAAGCGTTCTCCGTTGGCACTTCAAAACAACGTCACAATTCCTCGACCCCGTTCCACGATTATCAATAATATGAGAAACAAAAATACTTCACATTCGTTACGCAAGACAGAGCAATTACATACGTGAAGGAAGTCAAAATTTGTAACGTGCGTATAATTAAATCAGTAATTCAATCTATCATGAAGTTTTCATAGCAATACTGTGTCTTCCCTCCTATGCATTTGTTATGATACTTTCTGTTGGAGCACGTCAAGAATGTTACTCTATGTTCTCTAAAAATTCCATTTTGAGGAGAAGTATCTTTTTTTTCTGGAAATTTTTTGACATTTCGACGAAAAGATCGATGTTGAAATATGTGATCACCAGCAATCTTTTTTTTTATCATCAAATACCGAGTTATAATTATCATTCGGTCAGTTGACATGGAGCTATGGAATTTTGGAATAGGAATGAATAATCGTATTATTGTTTCTTGATACTGCAGTATCATCTATACGTTTCGTGATATTTTCGTGCGTTTTCTACAAGAATCACTCCAAAAAATTTTGATATTCATTCGTCTATTAATAATCTGTTAAGTTACGTATTGGCAAAGTTGTACATTTTGAATTTTGTGTATTAAAAAGCAAGTTGGGATAAAAGTTAAATATTTTATTTTTTTTCTCCATTATATTTCTCTCTCTCTCTCTTATTAGCAGAATTTAATTAAAAATTATATGAAAAAATCAGTTTATGCGACAAAAGTTTTGAAGAGATTCTTGTATTTGCACGACGAACAAAATAAATACTGCTGCGAATATGTTGTATGATTTTCAATATAACTTTTTATGATTAATTCACATTAACCTTGCCGAAAAAAATGGTCTTTATGATCTGACAGGGTCGTGCCAAATCTGTTGCAATATATTCCTTCGAATTAAAAGACAATCAACCAAATTATACAAAATACAAATCTCAAATACTTATTCTTATATTTAAAATAATTATCGTTTTAACGATATTTTAATTATTTCCATTTACGTACGTACTTTAGTAACTAGTAGTAAGTACAAAATCTGCTGCTACTTCAAAATTTATAATTCGAAATAAAGTTCTCTGTTGATCGACTTTCAGATTTTATTATATTTGACCGAAATTAAACAGTAAGCACAAATTAAAGATTAAGATAAATTTTTATATTATTGTTCGTATCATTGTTAAAATTTCATATTTCATGAATTTTATCACCTTTATTTTCCAAGATAAAATATTAAAATTTATTTATTTCATTTTGGTAAGTTTTTAAAATTAAATGGCTTGCATTGTAATATACTTGTATAATTTGATATTAAATTCAAGCTATAACATAAGTATTTGTAAGAGTTGAGTATCAAGAACTCTTATTTTAAATTTTTGATTAAGAGCACTGATTCTGATAGCACGACCCTGGGGTAGCGGTGTTCAACAATCGGTAAATATTCGATTGTTTTGTATTCAACTGTTTCATTTCCCTCCTCTTTTTGCTATCTGATTGGAAATCTTAACAACTATATTTATATTGTAAAGCATTTGGTATGCGTTTCTCCCGCGATCGTTCACTACTCCTTTTATTGAAAACGTGATTGACGATCCAATTTCGTTCGATTTACAAGAACGAAATCAATTATCTGAATTTGCAAACGAGCAGTTTTACTTACAATTAATTAGAGTTGTACAATGTCCCATTATATTAAATTCATCTCAGTTTTATTAACGTCATCGTTAATAATAATCTCGACTTTCAAATTCACTTTACAAGACAAAATTCTGAAAGATCTTTGCTTTCTCCTTACATGTTTCATTTTATGCATTTTTATTGCGTGTAAAGCAACAAAAGCTGAAAGCTTATAAAATGAACTCAGACTGACAAAATTGAAGAGATACGAAAACAAAGGGAGCCAATAATTTCGGATGATCAAAGATCACTCTAATAGTACGCTCTTCACATATTAGCATGTCTAAATTGCTAGATTGAAATCACACAGTGTATTTGCAGTTGCATCGATCGCGGGTGGACGTGCTGCCATTCGTTTCAAGTCTAATATACATCGAGTATTAGGTTTATAAAACAGATACCCTACTTCATCGTAGGGCTTCAAAGGGTGAATCAGTGATTTTGCAATGGAGTAGGATGTGGGGTTTTTTGGATAGTTGGAGACGGGATTCCAGGAAAGTTGACAGGATTGGAAGGGGCTAGTTACTCCCTTAATTTGTGCCAGTCGGCGATCTGTCTCTGCGGTGAGCTACAAACTTCCCTCCAATGATTTAAAGCAGATCCTTGACAATCCGGTCCACCGAATTCCAGTCGTCCAATCACCTAAAAAAATGTAGAAATATGATTAATGAGATATATTCAATTATGTATATTCAATGGTATATTTTTTTGCTGATTACAGAATAGCTTGCTAAATTACTTCTCGAAAATTAAAATTAATTAGTCAAGATTATTGCTTGAAGTACAAAAGATCAATCGTGTATTCTGTGATCGACAAGCAAAAAAGTATAAGTTAAATTTTAGTAAAAAATAATGTGTAGGTCGTCAATTTACAATGATATAATGATATGATTTCAAATAGGAATAGGATGAAATATTTGTTTCTAATTTTTCCGCATCAAAATCTAACATTCACATCGTACTTTAAATTTAAATATTATAAATGCCCCGCCATCTATTATTATTACGTTGAATTTTGTAAACAATTGTTAAATTGCTCGTACTAAATTGAAATTATAAATACAATTTGTTTCAACTTCGCAGGATATTTCACATGGCTACAGAGAAACACACAAATCGTTTTAAAAATTGCGATTGTTTACAAACTAATTTCTCAATCGAATGAGACTTTGTTAAGCTTGACATATGTTATACTGCATGAAGAAAATGGAGAAAAATCGTCAAATCAATCATGTTCATTTCTATTCGCTAATACTGTCACGAAAGAGATTCCTCAGAATATTCTTAGAGATTCTTATCTTTGCATTCTGCCTATTGTAAAAAGATTTGTAGCTTAAAATCAATTCTGGGATTTTCGTAGGGATCTCGTTTCTTTCCTCTTCGATTTTCTTTTATACGTTGCTTATTATTTTAAAAAATTTTAGAAACACGTTTAAAAATAATAAAAACATTTAAAAAATTTTAAAAACATATAACAAATGCTATCAAATGTTATCAATAATCACGTATAACAATATATATGTCGATACGATCGTCTGCAAGAAAACTTAAACTTTGAAACTGTAAAAATCATAGACGGCGTAAATCATCTTGCATGCGTATTACATGTGTTATGATATAGATTGTAAAAGAAACTGATCATTTCGTCAAGCTCAAACAGAATGAAATATTCATGGACCACGGAAGTAAAAATTTACTAATAATTTTGAAAACTGAAATTTTAAACTCTTTTAAACTCTTGCCTTTCATTATAATTAGAGAAGTATTCTTACGATATTAAACGATTTGTATTAAATATTCTTGTTATTATTAAATTATTAGATATTAAATATTAGATATTAAACATTCCTACGGTATAACTAAAAATTCATATTTGTTTTACACTTATATATTAAATATATAACATTTCATTCGTAAAAGAAATAAATATAAAAATATGCTCTGTTTACTATACTTACGACAATGTCATTAAAAAAACAAATTTTCAAATTCAAGTAACATTTTAGAGGGATAATCGAATTGATTATTCAAAATGGAGGGACAAAAGTAAATTAGAAACAGAATTTTAAGTATGTACCTCGTTTCTTGTAACGCGATCCCAATCGATTAGCATAAACTCGAGGCTGACGTTATTAAGACCGTCAGCACCATTTGGTATGTCAAAACCAAAAGATTCGTTAAAGACTGGGCTAAGGGTGCGTTTCTTTACGCGCGTCTTCCTCTTTGCTATACGCTGAGAATTGTACAGAAGATAGATCTTGACGTATGGATCTGCAAGTCCAGTCACGTCCATTTTCGGTAGATTCTGCGCTTTCAGCACAACCACTGTCAATCGGCTATTCATTGGTTGCCAACAAAGGGAGACTAACAGCTCACCCCTGCCTTGCGATTGGATCTGTAATCACGGATCATTTACGATATATTATCATAAACTATTTATAATGTCAAAGTGTTTAAGTTAGACTTACTTAGAAAGATATTATATTTATTAATACTACTAATAAATCTTCTTTAAAATTTAGAATTTTCCTTTCTGTCTTTTCAATCAAGTTTTACTCGATTAATAAACTATTCCTATCGTTAGACTGATTGATTTTAATTGCAATATAATATTAGATGATTAATCTGTTTGTTCGATGAAATTAGATAAAATTTATTTTCGTTTTTACGAGGAGTTGTTGTAAAAATTTCAGTACAAATTGCAATTTACATCAATTTTTCTAACTGTCAGACGACGTCAGTTATGATTTATCTTTCGAGAAGGAAAGGTCTCAAAGAAAAGTCTTATTAACTTAAAATTTATAAAATTAAATAAAATTACGTACTATTAAGATGGTAATCTTCAAAGTTAATTTTTTTTATTCACGCTTTGCTTCTTACCTTGAGACTTCTGGGACATATTTTTCGACATAACGATATCTCTTGGTTATCAGAATTCTCCAAATCAGGTATCGATGAAAGCGCACATGTCAATTCACCGATAATGTCGTCACGAGAATATCTATCGAAGCTGAGTACTATAAAGTGCAGGCTGATTTTCTGTGAGCAATGAAAAGATTTATTTTAACGAGATATTTTGACATGTCTTTAAATAGATTTAAATTACTCATATTTTGAACCTAATTTATCTTGAACTTGGAATATTTAGATTTTGAATTCAATTCATTTTAAATATAGAAAATTATACCTTGATCTAGTCGATTTGTGTATTTTCAAATTTTTTTCATAGATTTTTTTATATAACTGACATACCTATGTAGCTCCGAAATATATTTAATATTTAAATTATTATATTTAATAATAACCTTCGATGTAAGAAAATATTTTAAAATCTTTGTTTTTTTCTGAATTATATGTAAAATATGATGTGTATTTATCTATAATATATATTACACTTATGAAACATTAAAACTATTCACAAGAATAGTATTGCAAGAAAAGAAATATTACATAATATAACGTTTATTATTTTAATACTGGTTTTAACATTAGATATTTGTTATTATTTTATTCTGAGGCGACAATAAATGCAAATAATGAAAAAGAAGTTTCAAGTCAATTAAATTAATTGGTTTGTTAACAGATCGTAATTTCATCTTTGATCACAATTTTCTATTGTTCTACTAACAAAAAATTAACAACAATGATTTATTAATGATTAAGATTAAAAGTAATATTAAGATTTAGATATTATTATTAACATTATTATTAAGATTAAGATGTTAATAATTAAATTGTGGAAAATAAATTAAATTAAATTGCGAATAAATGAATATAATTAATTTGAATTGTTTGAAAGACAAGAGGTAGAAATGTAATTTGTTACCTGAAGCTGGTCCTTGGATATTCCAAAGAAAGTGAAATCCTCGTCATAGACAGGATCTCTGGTATTTCTGAGTACCCTCGTTTTCGCTTGATGCTGTTTATCGGGCAACAATTTTAATTTCACGTAAGGGTCACTGGTAGCCCTCGCAGGTAGACCCTTGCAATTCACTACTGTCACTCCGAGCGCATTTTGTTCGCTTACGTACCGCAATTTAAATACCAATTGACCCATATCGCTTTTGTTATTTTCTGTTGTGTGGTTCTTTTCACGTTCCATTTTCTCATTGTTCTCAATTTCCGCCTTGTCTCGTTCATTTTCAATGCTTAGAGTAACTTCACTAGAAGGTGTCTGAGCAGGGGTGCCTGCAGTTGATTGAACAAACAAACAAACGATATTTTAATTAATGATAACCCAGTCCTCTCCAATATGTTAATATGCTAATTTAATAATAATTGTAAAGCAATTCCTACGAAAGAATCTATCATTTTATGTGGTTAGTATACTATAATTTAGTTTTCTCATTCAGAATCTGGATGTCTCGTACATTAAATTTAACTGAATCTAATATAGGCAAAGGACGGAAGTGTTGTTTTTAAACTATAACTGAATTTAATATTTTTGACGCGGTATAGACCGGTTGCGAGTATACATACATATATTACATGTGTATACATATATACAATTGTTATTATTCTAGTATTGTTACTACAGCATTGTCTATTTCGTTAGATGTTTTTTTTGGGGAAGGGGAGGATGATGTCGTATTCTTTTATTTATCATGAAAATAATTGTCGATGATACGCAATTTAAATTTTGTGTAAGATTATCAATATAGTGACTTATGTTAATATTCGCTCACTAAATAATGAACTTGTTATAATTTTGTAAAAAGAAATCGTACAGTTATAAAGTTAAGCCCATTATAGCTTAAAGTCTTTACTTTCAAAATGGGTCATTCATTTTATTCTAAAATGTTTTTATATTATGTGGCAGAAGACGAGCTAAAGATACTTTTCTCCTCTAAAACGCTATAAACGTTATACATAAGATTGAAAGATTGAAAAGATCGTTTGAATCTAAATACAATGGATTTAAAGATTAAAGTCTTCTTTTTGCAATGAAAACTTACTACCTCAAAACTTACTGTACATTTATCGAATATTAGGCCAAACGTGAATGTAACGACGAAAATATATGGATTTCTTGAATTTCCATCACTAAATTCAAAGAAATCAATAAAACGGCGAAGAAAGAATCATACGTCAAACATTCGCGGGTTGTAAAGGGGAGGTTTTAATCTTCAAATTCATTATAGATTTAGTCATCAAAAAAAATTTGTCAACACGTTTTTACGTGCTATGACAATTTATAACTATCTTTGTTATCTGCTACATAGTGTAAAAACATCTTAGAATAAAATGAACGACATATTTGAAAGCGAAAGTTTCAAATTTTAAAATAATCATAAATTTATTATTGTACGATTTTTTTTCCTTTACAAAATATTTTATAATATACTGTCCACATTGCTTTTGGTGGCAGCTTGTGAACTACTCGCGAACTGTTCACCAACAGCAATGTTCACGACCAATTCTACCTAGTGTAGACTTAGCGTAACTTAGTTTTAATATTCAGTGGCTGAATATTTCGGTGTTGAAATGTGAGTTACTGTATACGTTAATAAGCACTTGAGAACAGAATAAAGGATTTGCATATACCTGTACCCTGAGGTGTTCTGGGCTGTGAGCCAGGATTCGACGATTGAGATCCAGTCGGACTAGGCGTCTGTCCACCAGAACCAGGAGGGCTCTTGGCTAGTCCCGTTGGGCTCGGGCTCTTCTTCAGGTAGTGGCTCGTACTGCCGGGACTTTTAACTGCTGTTGGTTTTCTGTGAGGCGGCCTGAACGCCAGGGACTTGTCGGAATTCAGCTTGGTGTGTTCACGGCGTCGTCGGCAGAGCCACCAGGTCATCGCGACGGCGCAAAGTAGGAAAACGGCGCCTATACATAGTGCGACTACCGTTGTCGTCGACACTGAAATTTACGCATATTTCCCTTTAAATACTATTACTTTTGTTCTTTATTGATAGTTCGTTACATTTTTGATTCTTATAAGCGGCTCGCATGGAAGGCTTACGTGGTAATCAAATATGTTTTAGAACTATTATACAGTATAATTACACACTTATATGTATGTGTACTGAAGAACAAATCATTGTTAGAAAGTATTGCATTTTGTAATGTATGTATTTTATATTTTTATACTTTGCTCTTAAAACTTTGAAGAGTAAAAATGTACGAGTAGTAATTGGTTAATGAACCAGTTAATGAACTGATAAATGGTTAATGTGAATTAAAGATTAAAAAGGAATCTGTGATTACATATTTATTTAAAATCCATAATTATATTTCTCGCATAACTATTTAAAGGAACTGACTTGACACGACTGACTAGAACAATTAATTGTATAAAAATAAATAAAAATAAAAATAAAGATACCTGTATATTAAACATTTTGTAAAGTTCTTATTGTTGATTAACTTTCAACGTTAAAACATCATGGTAACATACATGTTTTATTATCAGCTTACACAAATTTAGTAAATGTCATTAATTAATCAACAAACACAAGATAAATTGCAATAAAATTCACGTAATGTTTTAGAATATGCTATTTTTATATACATATTTATTTAAATAATGTTTCAATTAAATATTATATATATATATATATATATATTTCGTTGAATGTTATACCTATAGAAAATATTCGAACTTTATTGCTTACATCCAGTGTTATGTTTAAATTTACTCCTCCACAAATAGCATCCTCATCGAATTTTTCTTCAACGAGTTGTCAAAATCATATTTGCAATGTCGCGTCGATTCCAAAATATGCCTAATGGCATCAACATTCAAATTTACGATTCGAATCGATTCGTTGTATTATACAGTTAAATGATATTTAATACAAATATCATATGATCCTCATATGTCTCTCGTTACTCGTAAAATCGATTATTCTTTACTATATATACGTACATTGCCAATTTTAACTTATTTATTAAATCATTCATTGACTGTTATGACTGGCTATATCTAAGTCAATGATAATTCAACGACAACGAGCTGCGAGGACGATGAAACGACGAAAAAAAAAAAAATAAAATAAAAGCGATCCCAATCAATGGAAACACCCAGTCGCAAAATGCACGGTGTAACAGCTGTCTGCGATTATCGGCGGCACGATATCTTCGATACCAACGATTGTTCCATCGGCATCACCACAAGGTAGCTTTGAAATGAAATTATTACAGGAAGAGGAAAAGAAAAAGGAAAAGTAATCGATGATGTAATCACGAGGAGAGGGTCTAGAATCATCGTTGCGAAGGAAGACTGGATCTCAAAGGTTTGCCTTTCGTTTCGGAAGAAGATACGTAAGAGGAAAGTAAAGTTTCACGTTAACGGGATTCACTCACCAAAATCGACGGGTCGAATCACAGGTCCGTCTTCTGTCACTCCTCCGACCATGTTTGGCCACGTTTTCCTCTTTCAATTTGGACGCTTTTATCCGTGTAAGTTACTCAACCACGACGCACTGGACGAATATTTACGGCGTGCGGACCGTTTGTGGTACTCTGAGGCAACCATCAGACGAAATGCTTCGATCAATAGTAACGGCCGGAGCTTGCGCGGAATACACACGTTTCCTGGAAAAGGAATCAACGACAACCACGACACCGACGATCAAGACGGTGACGGCGATCACGACGCCAGACGTTTTGGTGATTGATAGACCAAGGAAGGGCTGTTCTTGTTGGTAACCACAGTTTTTAGGAAATGATGCGCTTCAAGGAAAGATGTGTTACTAGCGGTTGAATCGATTGGTTATCGATCGTTGAAATAGATTTGTTTCAGAGCTAGAAATTTCAGAGAAAAAAAACTGCAAGATGGTTAATTCTCATTATTCGCGAAGAATGAGTCATAGAGAAAGAGATTGATAGTTCGATAAAAGATTTTCAGTATGTGCGTGCGAGTGTTTCTGATAAACTTCGAATGTTTTGTGTCATATGTAAGCGGAACAATGTCGGACAAGAGTTTGAAGATGGCGATGATCGAACGATACACAGTATGTTTAACATTATTTCAATTTAGCTTGATAATATTTGACTTTTTATTCTTTCAACCTCTTGCGCTGGCAACTGGTTCGCGGACCATAACGAGTGACCGAACCGTATACAATAATTCGCCGCTTTCTTTTCGTTTTGAACTCGTCAGTATGATATCGTTGGGTAGAAATTATTAAGTAATAAACTTATCATTTGTTCTGCCTGGATTAAAACTGAGAAAATGTTGTAATTTGGGATAAAAGATTCTCGACGTGCGTGGCACGTCATTCCAGCGTAAGAGGTTAATAGTGACGAATTTTTTCCGTACATTTTAGTATATATAGTTTGTTACTAAAAAAATACACAAATGTATATGCTCTTTATTCTTTAGTTGTACCGTTCCTATAATCGTCAAAATATTTTATGTGATTTATTCTGAAGAAAGATTTTTGAGATGACTATTTTAACGAAATTATAGGTAATCTAAATGTAACTACATTTATAATTACATACATAGTATATTTATAGCTTTTTTTTATTTTATTGATTTTAATTTTTACATAAAATATTGCAATATGATAATATTAAAAAAAAATTATAATATAATATATAAAATAAATATAAATTAATATATAATAATAATAATAACAACTGGGATTCTGCATGTTCAGGAAAAATGCTGTAATATTTTAAATAATTTATTACATATTTACTTGGTACTATTATTACCATATTTATATTAGTTATATTTATTAACGTTAATTTATTTTCATCCCTTCGGTAAAATGAAGAAAGTATCAAAGTAGAAGGGAAAGGTGAAACTAAAAGTAAAACTGTCACTTTATTCTACTTCGTGCGAGTTCTGTTTTGAATTATCGATCCAATTATCCTATGACTAATACGAACATGACGGATAATTTTTCGTGAATCATCTATTATTACCGAATAAAATTATCCGAATCTAACAAATAAAATAACGTTTATATAATAATATGAATAAATTGCGTATTCTATGTTGTTAAATTAGAATATTTTTTATATTTCTAATTTTAGAAATGTAAATAATTTCCGTCAGTCAGTCAATATTTAATAATGACAATACAATATGTATAAATTTCAAATAAAATTCAAATTGAATTTCCTATTCATTACAATTTTTTATGAGAAATTGAGATGTTAGTTATAATTATTTATCTAAAAAATATTATTATTAATTAATAAGTATTTACTAATATTTATCTACAATGTTTTGGAATTCTAAATTTTAAGAGACTTTTATTATTTTGATTATATTTATTTTGTTCTTTGTAATGTTAAATTTTTGTTCGTATCAAAGTCTAAAATTTATTCGAACGAAGGCCATATTACATATTCGTAAGTGAGATATATATTCGAGAGCTGCACAATATTTTCTCTGTCTGTATTCGACGTGAAAATAAATTTCTGTGAAGTATCGTGTACACAGAATATAACATGAAAACATTTAGTACATGTTTTTAATGAATGGCATTGTATACGAGTGATATGATAGTTGCTATCATTTCTCAGTTTTTGTAGAAACTATTATTAAGTTTTTAAAGAGTAAATTTTCATGAAAATCTTCTAGAAAAAATGTACAAGAAAACCAAATTATAAATGTTACAAATTTTTCTTTCTTATTAGTGAAATTTTAAATACATTTTATCACTTTTGTTGTGTTTTACTTGAGATTGATGGTATTATAGAAAAGGAAATAATCATTATTTTTTAACTTTTATTCATTTATTATATTATTAATTGTATATCATATAATGCGAACTAATTGCAAGCAACAGGAAGAATATAAAACAGAACATCGTATATTGACTATTAATTGTAGAATTTTTGAAATTTTTTTTTGCATTGTAATAAATTGAAAGAATATGGTAATATATCGAAATATGTCATTTGCTAGAATAAAAATGTAGAATGTTATAAGTTAATGATAGTTATTTAAAAAACAATGCTAAAAAAATTTTCTATGTAGCTTCATGAAATATTTAAACTATATATACCGTAAACTATAACTAGTTTTTTTGACGACAACGTGTGAAGTATTTTGTATAAATTTATGGAGAAAAGATAAAATGGAAATGCTAGAGAAAAAATGCTCTATAATTTTGTATTTATTGATTTTGTATCTAAAAAAAAATGTTACGTATAATGTTAATATTTGTTTATTGAAATATGTTAAAATAAATTTGCACAACTTAATTTACAACAAAATAATAAAATTATTTAAATTTGTAATATTAATTAATTAGTTGAATAATAATATTTTTATTCGTTTATACAATATCTTTATCTGTTTAATAATATTTTCATTTATTAAAAAGTTTTATCTTAATACTTTAATTCTTAATACTTAAAAATAATTTGATTTTAAATAATTTTTTTAACTGACAATATTCAAGAGATAATGTGATTTAGAATTGATATTTATTTTCTAATGTTCAATAAGAGAATAAAATCATGACCGTGAAAATCAGAAATATGGTTAATTTGGATTAATAAATGTTTTTGTGAAAAATAGTTATTTTATTCATTTATTGTAAAGAATATTTATAAGGTATATTATATTTGTATACAAAATATAGAAAATTAAATATTTTCATAGAAGTAGAAATAAACAATAAAAATAATATAAATTTTCAATTAAGAATAACGTTCAAATTTTATTAATTGGCTTTTACAATATATATTTATTTTTTGTATAAATATTATTTCTTTAAAAATATTAAAATATATAAATATATTTTTTAAAAAGTATTTTTGTATCAGCTTCATTCGTAATTACTCATTTATTTATTTCATTTAATACCAATACTTATTATTATTATTATTATTATTCCTTATGAATTTTTTCATATGATTTATAAAATATTATAATATCAAATTTAATGACACTCATATATTCAGAGACAGTGTTTATAAATTACTATACTTCTAACTTTAAATCTATACTAACTTTGACCCATTGATCTATTTAAATTCCATTTGTATTACTTACATTTGCAAGATGTTTTAAATTTCTTTAAATACAACAATTTGTTTAAACAAAAAAATTTAAATAATTAAAAGTGATAATTTGTTTAATAATTTTAGCAAAGCAAAAACATCTGACTCTATTTTTGAGTATAAGAATTGCCTTGGAATTATTATCAGTTGTCTTCGTCAATTGCATCATCGCTATCTTATCTGTTATTCGCCTATGACATCATTGGAATTGAATCGGAGCATGCGCGTTTCCATCGCAAAAGAAACGCCATGATATGTAATACAGTGAAAACGTAGTTTCTCTGCGCACATGTTTATCTACGTTTAACCAATGGCGCTACGTAATGTTATTACGTCATCACTGATAGAGTGTGCATATCGGAAATTTCAAAAATGGTGAGCATAACTACGATTACGGCTATATAATTAATAGTATAATATTTGATAATTATTGAGAATGGGGACGATTCTTTTTTATTGATCGATTTTTTTTTTTTAATGATCTTGGAATATGTTATTGAGGTCAATGTTCCGAATATTTTTTTCTATATATGTATAACCGCCGTTCAATTTTAGAGATATATTCAAAAATATGGATTAAGTTTAAACGAGATTATTTAATCTGGCTGCTTTACGGCGTGACCAATTGTACCGATTATATTATGTAACGTAGTTGGTCTATTTATATTATGTAATATAGCATTGTATCAACCAATTATACATATATACAGATTCGTGGCTATATTATACATACAACAGACTCATGAACAACTGATTAGAAGGTATGTAATTCTATATTTAAAAATGAGTCAAAAAGAAAAAATACAATTTTTTCAATAAAATCTTTGTTTTTCAGAAACTCGAGTTTGAAAATTTATCAAGTACATATGAATATTTGAAATTATGATTCATTCTGTACAATAGCGAATAATCGACACGAGAATATTCTATGTGCAAAAAGTAGAGAATGTGGAATAAAATTTTTTTAAGATTTCATTTTCAAGAAAATAGATTTTGAATATATTTTGTTAAAAGTTGCCTTGGCACACGAGATGAAATTTCGAATAACACTTTCGAAATTGAATTTTCTCGGAAATAAGATATAAAACAATCTTCTGTCAATTCAGAAATTAATTTAATTCAAATATACATTCTTAAAAAACATTCAAAATCGGGTTTCCTGAAAGCCCTCAAAAAAAAATTTTTTTCTTTTTTTCTGACTCATTTTTACATGTGGAATTATCTCTCAATTAATTGTCCACAAATCACGCGACACCTCATAACATTAAATATTAACAATATTTTTGAAACTAAAATTTAGAAGAAGAAATGTATATGTATATGGAAAATAAATATTCAGAATATTGACTTTGACAACATAAGTATTCCTAATAATTATCTAATATGATTTACATGATCATCGTATTCGCGTATCATTTTTGAAGGCATATTTCGAAAGTGTTAATTAAATTATTTGAATTATTTTCTTTGTATATGTAGAAATTAAAATACTAATAAGAATAATCAAAGTATGTAACTTTTGAAATTTATTTCGAACATCGAAAATATAATATATTGGTAATGAAATAAACTATTGGCTCTATTTTTTGAATGCATTGATAATTAATGAAATTATATACTTGTATATATATATATATATATACTTGTATATACTTGTATATATATATAAATTGTATAGCCGTAATTTAATATTTACATTTTTCTGCACGTATTAATTGGAATCCTTATAGTACAATAGTATTAAATAATAAGTACTCTTTATTAAAATTTTTTGGCGATTGTCATTGATACAAGATTCATAAGCGATGTCGAAAAGTAAAAAATTTTTTAAATTACCTTATACAACTTTAAATAGTTCAAATATGCTAATGAAGGTTTCCTACTCCAAAAAGTGATAAAGATAAATAAATTGATATAAAAATAGTACATAATAATTATTATAATATACAATGTCACTGTTTATTTCTACATACAATAATATTAATATACCATTATATATTATTATATATTATATAGCGATAAATGATATACTATTATTATATAGTAGTATATTATATATATTATATATATTATATAGTAATGAATATTATATAATAATAATAATATTTATATATTATTAATATGAGATACGAATATAATAATCATATAAATAGAAATAAAAACCTAATTAATCCCTTCGTAATCGTGGACGAGATATATATATATATATATATATAATCAAAATGATTAGTTGATAAATATCTGTAAAAGTATAAATTTATTTAAAAATGTTTAAATTTAATTTTAAATGTTTAAATGCAATATAACAGTTGCAATTACAGCGAAGAAGAAGGTATAGAGGTACAAGAGAATATTAATGGAATTTATTGACATTGTAATTTATTGACATATTTTATTGTATTTTATGAGATTTTCCAATTTAAATGTTACAAATGGGCTTGTAACATAATAGTTATATTAATAGACATCTATATCGTATTGACAAAAATCAAATTCACTGATCGTGAATCTTTTTTATGTGTCACTACACACAGCATAACATATTGCATACACACACACACATATTATTTTGAACCATGATTTGAGTTATCATTATGAAAAAAGGTAATTCTTGATCAATTATGAAAATCTTATTTATTGATCTTTATAATAAGGAAAGAATTGTTGCTCCTCCTGTACTGTATTCTAAAAATATCTCTTATTATGAATTTTATTTTGACTATTATTGTAAACATTTATAAAGTAAAAAGAACATACAAACTTTTTTAAAGTCTCACTTTCTTTACAAGGCTGCAGTGTAATATAACATTAACAAATATTAAATGGGTAACGTATATCATTATGTCTAGCATTATGACATCAGAAATAAAAAAACAATTAATTAAAATAAATAAAATATTTCCAGAAGCTTGAAGATTTTTACCATCTTTCAAGTAAATAAATATTTTATTTTTAAATACGTTCATTCATCCATGCAATTGAAATTATAATTAATTAGGTGAAAGTTTTATTTTCCAGACATTATTGCGTAAATAGTTTGTTTCTTGTTTTGTAGTCTTAAAAAGAAATTTTAAAATTGTGTTAAATATGTAACTCTTTCTTATAATATAAAAAAATTCATTAACAATAAGTATAATAAAAAACAAGCTAATGTCATACATATTTGCATGAATAAAAAGGCTGCGTTGCGATGGAAGAAACGTCAAGCAAACGGATTAAGAATCATTGCCAATATTTCGTATCTTGCAGAACTAAGTTAATTTTTTAATAAAAGATAAAATCTATTGATTATATCTTTCTCTGATAGTTTCTACAAGAAAAAAGGAACTCTGCTTACATTCAGATTTTCTTTTAAATCCTCAGTTTTTTTAAGATCATCTAAAATATTTCACAAAAATTGGTACTTCTTTTTCAATTCGAACTTGAACATGTTTAAACGTTTAAAATGTTATAAAAATAAATATTATTATATATTGTGATTTTGTAGAATTATTTTCTGTGAGAAATGTTTGTGCAATTTTTACAGTTAACAGTTAACGCAAAAAGTGTTCAAAGTTGAAAATTTTTATTTCTTTTTAATTGATATTCCTACTAACGACATGTATAATATATATGTGAAATATATATGATAAAGAAAAACAATTTCCATATTCATTTGTAATTGAAATATAAAAAGAAATATAGAAAGCTGAAGTATAAAAAAAAAAATGCTAAGTTTTATCGCACAGTGTACAATATTACATATCATCAATTTAACCCTTTGACTACTGTTAGCGTCTAAAAGCACTTGGAAAATTTGCATTTGTGATACTGTAGGCGCCTAAAGGTGCTTAAAAAAATTGCTCCTATGGTACTGACGGTACCTGTAGGCGGTTTACTACTTTGATCCGCTGACAGGAGCATAATGTTAATTTTAAATTTTTAGTATGTGTACTAACAATTCAATGCAAAATACGAATAAATAAATAATATTGGTTTAATGTAGTGGAATTCAGTGTTTTGATTATTTTAATATACTTTTTCAGAAATGCACGCCTAACAAAATGTTTCGCCGTTCTCGGTGTAGGTCGCACAGAATTTCTACCGTACAGTACGATTGATACGTCTTAAAGTCTGCCGTAGGAAATAATAGTAAATACTAGATGTAAGTACGAGTGATACGTCTTAAAGTGCCAAGAGAATAATAGTAAATACTAGATGTAAAATAATAAGTAAAAATAAATAATAATACTTTTCAATTTCTCTTAAATCATAATTTTTCTTTCAAGTTTTATTCGTAAATACCGACAACATTATTGTTAATTCTTTTTTGAAACGGCCTGTAGTACCGTTCTATAGCTGCTGCGTCAGTTGGTATTTGCGCAGAAGAGACAAATATCGCCTGTAGTAACGTTGAGTCGACCGGCTTTACGAGCGGCTCGATATAACTGTCGTGTATATTCGTGTAGTGTGTGGAACAAAAACGGCGAATGAACAAACGTGCGCTAGATGATCGCGTATCTATTCCAAAACGTCACCGGGATAATTAATAGATAAAGAAACAAGATCAACTTGCAGATTAATCGTGACGAAAAGGTTTAACTGTGCCACAGTAAACATGGGACTAAAGGATTTCCGAATAGTCTACGACAATCCTTGGAATATTTATTACCCAGGACAGACCGTTAATGGAATTATCATCGTGGTGTTAGATAGCACGAAAAAGATACGTGGTATGTTATACATATTCGAAAGTCTTGTTGCATGACTCATGTAATGACTATTTTCAGGCGAATAACACGTGACAGTATATGTTCCTTCGGTAATATTATACATATCGACAGGTGTTTACAGTGTTTTTAAATGTCAAAAACAGTAACTTTTGTAGTACTTTTGTTCAATTAGCTTAAACATCTCTGAAAAAGCCTAAACGTTTAAAAAACCTAAAAAGCGAATATAAAGATTTCAAGATTGAAAATATATATGTAAAATATAAAGTTAAATTTAAATAACGATGGAATAAGTAAAATTATTCAATATTTTTTATTAAATGATTTAATTCTATTAAGAGAGATTATATTGTGAAAAACTCCAGAGAAATAAAACGAATATATAAAAAAAAAGAACTATTACTTAAATGTGATATTTTCTGTGTACTGTTCATGTAGGATGGAGCATATTGTATTCTATTCTAATATTAGTTCCAATTTGTGTATGATATTCATTGCATATTGTCGAGTTCTTGTTGCCACACATACATACATTCCTGCAGAGAATATTTTTTCTTCTTTGTCGTAAGGTGTAGTTTAATTATAGCACGACCATACACCCGCATAGTGAAAATGGACAGTGACGATTAGTCGTGAAACACTTGTTTTCGTTATGCTATATTGGATATACATATAATATTATTCTTTTAATTACTACTTTATTAGAATTACTGCTTTAAATAACTGGAAGTATGGAAATCATTTTGATAATTTTTTCATTTAGAATTTTAGTCTTAAATTGAGTTTCAAATTAGAATCATGCAACGATTATAATGTATGTATTGTCCAATTATAAAAATGGAATGATAAAAAGATATTTAATTTTTTTCATACGTTAAAATATAATATTTTGCTCAGAGTTAAGGTATAAAGAAAGGACCAATTAGTTTTCAATAATTTCAAAGATATATCAAAGTTATAGGAAAACAAGTCAACAGAAGTAGTTGATTATTGTTTTATGCAAGATTTCAGAGTATAATTGTATTCAATATATTTAATAGTTTCAAACTTAGAAATTATTTTCGTATCCAATATGTAAAATTGTTAAATTTGATATATTTTTAATTCCTCTTTATAATATAGAATATCGCATTCGATGTATATATGGTATAATTTATTTCAAAAATAATTATTGATTAATAATAATATTTAATAATTTTTATCATTTTTTCAGGTATAAGCGTAAAAATAAAAGGTGTGGCGAACACATGTTGGACTACTGATAAACAAGATATGGATGAGAGAGGGCAATATAGAGATGGAACTGAGACGGTTACCGCACATGAAGAATATTTTGAGACAAAGTATTATCTTGTTGGATCAGCTTCTGGTAAAATTTTATTTTAAATTATTTTACTAATTAACACTTTTGTTAGAAAAAGTAATAAATTTTCTGTAGGTGGTGAAATTGAGATACAAAGTGGGGAGCATAAATTTCCGTTTCAATGTGTTCTACCTATAAATTTACCCAGCAGTTTCGAATCTGATTTTGGACATGTTCGGTATACAGTTAAAGCAACTTTGGACCGTCCTTGGAAGTTCGATCAAGAAGTAAAAAGTCCCTTCACAGTGGTATCACCTCTTGATCTTAATCAAGAACCAAGGGCTTCGGTATAATTTACCATTAAATTCTTAATTTAATGAAAAAACAAATCTTCCATGATTGAAATTAAAGCTCGAAATGATTGACATTATAGTAGCTAATAGTAAAATGTAAAAGTTTTAATTTACGTTAGTATACATTAAAATTTACATTTTAAAAATAGAAAATTGAATCAAAAATAAAATTTTTCGTATATAGAAAAATTGAAACAAAATTATTTCATAGTTTCACTGTTGGTATATAATTAATGTAATAAAATTGTATTATAGTATAAAAATTACATATATATATTATACATTTTTTCAGGAAAAAGTGCAAGAAGAAATGAGCAAAACATTTTGCTGTTTATGTTGCGGTACGCCACCATTAACTGTTAATTATTTGTTGCCGGTGAGAGGATATGTACCAGGCCAATCAATGCCAATAAAAGTGAACGTTGAAAATTTGTCAGGAGTTGTTGTGGATACTATAAAATTACTTCTGTGTAAGGTGTATATACAATTCGATGATATTGTTGATAATATACAATAGGTAAAAATATTTTAAGATAATAATGAATTATGAAGTTCAGATCGTAACTTTTCGGGCCACTACACCGACTACTGATACCAAAAGAGAAGAAATTGTAATAGCGGAAGTTAGTAAAGGACCTATTGAAGCAGGCGGAATTGCAGATTATGAACAGAAGCTCGATATTCCTCCACTACCTCCATCGAATTTGACGAATTGTGGAATTATTGATTTGGAATATAATCTTAAAGTTATAGCTTGTGTCTCAGGATGGTTAGTAATATAATATAATATACTATATTGTTATGCAAAATATTTTATTTCTAAAAAAATTATCACTATATTTTATCATAAAAAATCGTTAATTTTTATGAAAAAATATTGTTTTTCTCTTCAACTTTGAATATAATATTTAATAGCAAAATTCTGTAAATGACTGAATTTGAATTTTAGTTTTAAAATTACATTTCAAGTAAATTTAAATATTGCAGATCTGAGGTATTATAAATAAACTAATGGTAGTTATTATTTGTATGATGCTACTTATTATGTGATTCTTAAACGAGATCTGTAAATAATGCTAATGTGATTTAATTGATATAATGTATACAACTGATTTTAATTGTTCATTACAACATTCCACAAGATATGAATATGTTAGAATACATAATTCTGTGTAGGTACCATCGAAATTTAACGCAAAACACCCTTGTATTCGTGGGTACGGTACCATTGATAAATTATCAAACTCCGACTGCTCCTCCGGCCGAAGACTATTCAAAATTATCAGAAATTGGATGGACGACCTCAGGAATTCCAGTTTCAAGTTCTGACGGACCTCCGTCACCAAATTTATATCCTAATTTGCGTAAGGATATTTTCATATATCTTTCATAATTATTAATATACATAATTAAGAATGTAGTTTAACATATGCATAAAATCATATAGCTCCTCCATCATATGAAGAATCAACCAATGGTGCTAGAAGTCTGTGGGAACGTGGTGAATCCGAGCATATTTTTGGTCTGACAAATCGTTTCGCACCTAAATATCCGGTTTTCAATTTTGCGCCGATTCAATAAACAAGGAAACAAAATAATTTGATGCTTTGATGCAAATAATGAAAAATGAAAGTCACATATTTTATATAATAGTTTGTAAAGCATTTCAGGAGCTTTAATCGAAATTAGAACTTACAACGATGTGTGTTATTGAAGCTAGTCCAAATTACTAGATTATTTAAGCGTGCCTTGCTTAAATTATTTTTTAAACAGAAAATTATAATCAATCAAAAAATAAAAATATCGATATAATTTAATTTATGTAATTTTATGTCAGAGACATTTTAATTAAGATGTGGATTAGTCGTATACTATTATTATTAATCATTATATTTATCATAATATTTTGAATTAGTTTGAAGATTTCCAGAACAAATATTTCTAGAACAAAGAATATGATCTGATTAATTAAGACGCACAATTAGAAAATACTCAAAATGTAAATGATCAAAATTTGCTACTTATAGTGATAAAGAGAATAGTTTCTTAAAAATATTATGTATATTTTCTATACAATTTTTTGTAATTATAATTTAAAGCAATATTAAGTATTGTTAAACTGCCGATATTAAAATATTCAGTTTGAAAATTTGTTTGATTCACATTTTTATATACTGTTGATATATTCTGTTGTCGATAATGAAGATATAAATCAGCAAATTTGTATTTATATCTATATTGTTTTTAATAAAACTTACCTTTTTCATATATCCTCTTTTCATATATTTAAAATGTTTAAATCATTTAATATGTATTATTAAATCGTATTATTTTTCATGCAGGGACGAAATATATTATACATAAATTAAGCTTATAATTAAGACTTGACTTTATATACTTTATATACTACATTAAGTGAACGATATAATATTACTCATTGTGTACTCAAAATCTATATAAATAAGTAAATAATAATTGATATACAATTGCTAATTATACAGAAATTTATTTTTATTTTAAATTAAAAACCTAATGTTGTTTTTGATTAATTTGAGATTAATTTATTATATTTAACAAAATTTTATTTCTTATAACTTTTCTGTATAATAAAGTAATCAATTTTATATATAAATATTTCCTATATTTGATACTTGTTTTTAATGAGATATAATTTTTTATTATTATTTATTATTATTATTCATTATTATTTATTTTTTATTATTATAATTTATTATTTTTTATATATTATGTATATTTTTTTATTTTTATAATTTTTTATTATTGTTTCGTGAAATATTGTATAATAATGTTATTTTATTTTCGATTTTGAGTTTTAATATTTCACTTTAATAAAATTCCAGTTATTCAAGTTTATATAAAAAAAGGCTTTATCTACTGTAGTTATAACAGATGCACAAGTAATATTACAAAAATCAATAATTTTTTAATTTAAAAATCAATTTATTAAATTAAATAAACGAAATTAATTTCTTTAAATTATTTTAAACGATTAAAAATTTTTAATTAAGATTTTTTAATTCTGTAGACGTTTTTTATACGATTATGATTAAAACTTTAAAACTATAAATTTTAGTATACGTAAACTGTATATTACATGGCAAACCAAGTTATATAGTTTTTTTTTTGGTCATAAATGAAATTTTATCTGAAAGTGAATAATGTAATCGTGTTAAAAATAAAAATATATATATCTTGTTCTCTATTCCCGACATTAGCGTTCAAGGTGTTTATTGATTTTACGTTGATCACGTTTTGCGGAAAGATTTCTATCAATAATATCGTCTTATCGAGGAATGATTCGTCATACACGGTATTTCTTATCTATTTGCTACATCTAAACAATACACGACTCGATTTCGTGCTACTACATTTTTATAGCAGAACAGATCTTATCAGTAATCAAACATTAAATTCACTGTTTCGCTTTTTTTTTTTTAATTTTTAACTTTCGATCGACAAAACTGTGACATAGTACTTTTTCATTCGCTTTTATAATAAAATTGTCATTTAGATTCAAATGTTTACACTGATCAGATTTTGTTGTTAACAACCCGATTATTGTTTGAGATATTTTGATTCGAAATAAATTCAAAAAGATTATAAATATGTTTTTTATATTTAGAATAATAATACATTGAACTTTAATAATTATTTTTAATTAATTAATTTTCTTCTTAATTTTTCTGCATTTAATACATTATTTTTAAAAAGAATTTAAACTTTTATAACTTAAGTTTATGATAGATTTGTACACAATACTATGTAATAAATATTAGATTAATAACAGATATTTTTGAGGAATTTCCAAAATAAAATTTCATTGATCTAGATGTGCTATGATAGCACTGCTATCTGTGGATGTACTTCTTTCAGATTAATGAAATTTGAATTTAGTTAGATTGTACCGACTACAGTTACAATTAAAATTATTAAAATACTTAAAATCTAAACATAATTATAGTAAAATGTTTTAAAATTTTTTTCATTTTTTTTGTTTTAAATTAGAACTAAGAATATTTTATCGTATAGGATAAAAAAATTAATTTTTTATTTATAACACTTTTGCATGCTATGAAGATTTACTGTCACTATATATGTATATATATATATATATATATATATATATATATATAGCATGCAAATGTGTTATAAATAAAAAATTAATTTATGTATATATATATATATTATAATAATATATTTTCACGCAACAACGCCTTAATATAAAATATTATATTCTATATGCTAAAACAAAACAAAATGTGAAATAGAAATAGAATTTTAAGTTTCCAATTCGATGTAGAATCACGAAGAGTTAAGTCACGAAGTCCTGTATGTATATTGTAAGTGGATCGAACAGCTCTGTTAATTTTAGTATGTATTAACGAGGTCTCCCATGGTATTGTGGACGAGTCGAATATTGACGTATCGTGGTCTCAAAGGTATCGTGTTTCAGTTCTATATTCCTATATATACATATATGTACTTACATATATATATTACGATATTTCATATGCTGCTAAATGTTGTTAGTTAGATAAATGAAGTGCTAAATTTCAATCAATTTTCCATTTCAACACTAATCTATTGTCACATTTGAAACGTTGTCGCCAATTAAAATATCATGGTTCTATAATTGAATGTGTCTGTTTATCCAGTATGACTCCAGATATTAATTTAGCTAGTTACATTCCACATTTGTGATAAAATGACGCATGAGCATTGAACATGTACATATGTACATAATAGCGAGCTTCTAAGGTGTGGCAACAATTATCTTTAATTGAGGCAATTATTGTGTGCCTAGACATTTTCATATTCTTTCGTATTTACACAATTATGCATTACTAAAAGTTTCTAAGGAGAAAAGGATGCCGTATAAATAAATATACAAATATTTATAATCTCTTCCTCTTGAATAAAATGCTTGGTTTTAGAAAGCCTTATCGTGTAACTTCGTTGAAGTTGTTGGACGGTGATATTATAACAATTTTCGTATTACAAAGAATTAGAAGTAGTAAGAGAAGAAAAAAACATTATAACGTTGCCATATCATTGATATTTTAAAAAAATAATTATAAAATCGAGGTTTTATCTCTTCTAGGAACCGAGATTTTAGAAAGTCCAGGGATCCTTTACATCTATTTTATGTTTCTTTTTCTATGTATGTAGATTTTATATATTGAATTTCTTTACAGTTTTGTTGAAAAATAAATTGTTATATTTATGTACTTTCTTATAGAGTTCGGAAGTTCACAGAAAATACATACATATGTACATCCTTATACTACTCAACATACACATACTATTCAAAATAGTTCTTGGATAACTTCAAATATTTATAAATTAAATAAACAAAAATAGACAATACTTTAAAATATAAGTGTTATATTTTATAATGATTATTGTTAAGAAGGAGAAAATAATTAGAATATTAAAATATAATATAATATTAGATTATTATTAATAGAATATTCTATAATCGATTTCCTAGAACGATAATATTTTAATTTTATTTGATTTTATCCTGTGAAGAAAAAGGAAATAGCTATATAACTATATTACTATTATTAATTTAGCTATAACATTTATATATATTTATACCATTATATAGCTATAACATATTATTATTATTGATTTAATTGTTATTACTATTTTTTAATTGTAAATCTGTAAACAAGCTGGAAGTCTGAATACTTTTAAATAATTAATTCTAGTATTTATTTAGACAATCTTTAAAATAAATATTTCATTCTTTTAATGTTTTAATTTTTTATATTCAATTAATTAAAAGCATTCGTGTTTATTTGTAGGTGAAATTTGATTTTAAAATAAGTATAAGAAAAAGTGAAACATATCGGTAAATTGAATAGTCGCTTAAGGTTGATCGATCACATGGGACGGTATTTTGCGTCCTTGAAAGTAGGAAATAAAATATTCGTAAACTAACTTTTATACGGATGTTCAACTAGTAAGAGTAGTATAGATTACAATAGAGGTAGGCCGATTTTGTTATATGGGAACTTTCATTACATAGATTCATTGCATGAGGCAGACATGTCTGTATAAAATCAAACAGTTTTAAATATACAGACATCGACACGATTACCTTTAACAATAATTTTCATATTTGAAAATAACAATTCTAACTACATACATAACTGTCATTTTCACTACACGTCATCGTGTAATGTCGGAATATTGAAATTCAATAATAGAATCTTAACAAATATACATTTCTCTCTCTTTTAATATATGTATATGATATGTCAATCGTAAATTTCCATTATTATAATTATTGTAATAATTTCATGTTAATTTTCTTACTTGGGGTAATGAAAATTTAGATAATAAAATACGTATATTTTATTTGAACCATTTTATTTTCTTTCATATTTTTTAAAAATTATTTATAACTTACGTGGAACAAAAAAAGATATTTGATATGAAAATGTTGATATTTCAATTGAAAAGTATAAAATAATAAATATTTAAATAACGTGTAATGTTTCTATGGAATGGATATGATTTTTTTAATAAAAACAAATCAAAATTTATAGTTTTTTTTCGATTATGATTATCGTTATAGATGTTAATTATTTTTACAGATTCAAAAAAGAACTTTTATCCATTTTTTCCAGTTGTAGACAAATTTTTAATGAAATTAATTATAAACGTATTTCTCATGTAAGCTTCACAAGTCCAACGACTTGATTATTTTTTAGAACATTACTTCAATTTTTTAATGATACGGATATTGTAGCACATGCAACTTGAAAGTTTCAATATGCGACATTAGATCTTGTTTTATCTCTTAATGGTCGTTTCATTTTTAAACCTCTAGTTGTTTTGAATAGTGAATTTTCCTTTTCCTGTCCTGTTATTTAATTAAGGGTTCAAGGGTTCAATTTATCTGTAATTAGCTGTCGGATATAATTAAATATGCTTCCATAGAATACAGTTTTCTTTTCAAATATATATTTTTAAATTCCACTTGTATTTTGTTGTAGTATGTTATTCCATTTCGATGAAATAAAAATTTAGTTAAAAAATTTGTCAATTTGAGACGTATTCTAGGACAAAAATTTTTCATTTAATATCAGAGAGATTTTACAGATGCTCATAGACGAAATGATACTTATATTCTTGGTTTATGATTGATAATTTAAAATTTAAAATTATCGGTATATATTACTGATTTGAAAATATGATTATATTTTCAAAATAGAATTAACAGTAGATAATGAAACGTTTCATTCGTCAATAATATCGCACTGAAATTGACATTGAGTACGAATCCATATTTTTGAGTAAACAAGGATAAACTCAATTTTAATTTGGAGATAAGGGAATACTTTTTACAATTAAAATTTTTGTATTAGATGAAGATACTTAATTAATATCTTATTAATAGGTAGCATACTAGCAAATTTTATTTGACAGTTTTATATAATATTGTAATTTACGAGACCTGAATTGTAACAATTGACTTTTTCAGTATTTATATTTTGAAATTTATGATCTTATGCGTATCAATTACGTATGCAATTATTGAATTCCAAAATTAAAAATATTTTTTCGAATTACGAGTGAAAACGTGATGTAATATATTTTTTCTCGATCTATTGAATTTGATACATTGTCACCTTATTTGATTTTTTTGGACGATAAAGATGTTGAAAATTATCAATTAACCCTTTCGCTATTGTAGACGAGATTATTTTGTTAAAACTATGTTGGTTGTACCATTAACTAATAGAGATATCTCGTCCACAGTAAGAAGGGTTAAAAACTCGTGTAATAATAAATAATAAACAAATAAATAAATTATTTAATTAGCACCTCCGTCAAATAATTGGCCATCCCAACTGTTCCAAAAATTGTTATAAAATTTATAATGCTCAAAATATGTTTATATTTTTTTGTTATAAGTTTCCCTTTCTTTGTATTTGTGTCTTTTTATTTGTATATACAGGAATATTTCAATGTTCAAAAAAATGACCTAGCTTTTGTTTTCGAATAACCTGGTAAGATTCCAAGTATTGCAGTTGGCGCGCCTGCTTATAATAAGCCGAGGGGTACGATGCGTGTGAACATATGCGCAGTGGACAGTGGCGCGTGTGTACGTCTCCTGTCAGACCTGTCCGTCCGTAACGCCACAGGACGAGTTGTCTTCGCAGAAAAGTCGCCTATGGTGGTAGTGGTGGTTCGCGAGTTTCTTAAGGGATTGCGTTTTTGTTTTTCATTATCTCACGGTTTTTTTGCGCACAATCGATAATCGAAGTGTGCGCGTCTCACGCGCCACGGGTATATACACGTGTACGCGTGTGCACGTGCTTGTCATCGTAGACAGGTGCAGATTTACGTTTTTTCCTCCCGTTCCTATGTTACCATCGTAATTGTGTGCAAGTGGAACGTAGTGAACAACAAACAATTCTCGGTTAGCAAACGCAGGGATCAATGCGGCCAGGATGCCTCGAAGAATCGTCGTCTACATATCGAGGAATGCATCGATATAATATCTAGATAACTTTTGTTCCTTCGTATCTATCTCTCTTCTGAAATACATCCTGTTCTTCAGCGTTATCGTTATAACAGGTAAGCGTATATTTTTGAATTGTAACATTTGTGCGAGCATTGACTTATCGAAGCTTTTGTGTTCCTTTCTGATTATATCATCAATTTATAACATGAAGTTGTATTGTATTTTCTTGTGAAATTTTAATGGATTCACTAGTGGGAAGGAGTACAACCCTAAATGAAGAGAGTTCAAATACGATGACAATGTTCAAGATATATACTTGTTGATAGGTCTATTGTATTGATTATATGGTAGAGTGAGTGAATACATAATTTGTATAATTGGAAATTTATAGATATTTGTATTTTGGTGGAACAATTGTCAAGCAGTATTGGAAATGTTAAACGACTATTTCACGGAACTATGTTAATTAATTCTAGAAAATTAATCAAACGTTAAGAGAGAAAAAAAAATGTAGTACATGCTTTTTTATGATGATATTCTTATCAAGTACCTTGAACATTTTTACAATATTAGATACTTGAACAATCGATAATATTACTCTGGTACATCGTTTATTAATTTTTTTTTTCATTTTCATTGAAAAAATACAGTATTTTTATTGCAAAACATTAATATCTAGTTCTTTACAAAGCAAAATATAAATAAGATAATATGCTAAGAATACATAATTTAATTCTCTTAATTTTATTAATTATAAAAATTGATTAAAAAATATATACAAATTTTTTCATATTGTGTTAAATATGAAAAAAAAATTAATTCGAATCATTGAGTTATATAATTGGTAAAACTATAAATTCTATGCAGTATTTATCCTACTAATTTAACTCTTTAAATTATCTTACGTTTAAAAAAAAGAGAATGTTACGAATTTTGCGATTAGTCAAAACCCAAATTGTCTAATTTTTTTTAGATAATATTGAAATTAATACTTTTTTGATTTTAGCATATATTTAAACAAAATATATTCTGAAATCAAATACATTGTTATTAACGTATATAATCATTTATTGTAATATTTATTATAAATACTATTTATTTATTTTTTTGTGTTTACGTTTTTTTTAAATTTATATATTTTTTTAAATTAAAATTCGAAGAAGTAGCTTTAGTTTTCTTTAGATCGAATGTCAAATTAAAAAACATATTTTCTAAAATGTTTTCAGTGATTGATTCATATCGATAAATGATGAGAGTGAGTAACTTGCAAGTTTGCGTTTCGTGGGGAATTATGATCAAAATTTAAAGCACGTGCCAATACTTGAGAAATTTTTGAAATTCCATTATATTAATTATTAATGTGGAAACAGACAATGTAGTCATTACGAATTACGCTTAAAGTGATAGGATCAGTACTATTTTCTTCAGGTAGTGCTCTGTTTAAAACATTTTTTTAGGAAATTAAAAAAAAGCATATGTCATAATAAAGAGCAGAAGTGTTTTATTTTTTTCATTGAAATTTGTTTATTTTAATTTGTCTATTATATTTGTCTATTATATTATATTTGTTTTGTTCAATAAATGGAAATTAATATAGAGTATACACTATCATTGAAAAGTATTTGAACATTTTTACTCAGTTTTGACCAGATACAATTTAAAATATCAGCTATAATTTTATTATTCAATTGTTACTATTGCAATATCACGATATGACAAACTTTATTATTATGTGTAAATTATTGAATACTATATGATACAAATATTCCAGTTCATATATGTTAAAACTAAAATAGATTTCACATATTTTTTGATTGTTTAATTTTTAAATAATATTTTTCTTAATCCTTAGATTGTTTAATTCTTATTGTAATTCTAACTTATAGTGAAAATCGTTCTTATAAACTGATAAAAAATAGCAATTAATTTTAGTAGTGACATGCAAATTGAATTTCTGTTTAATATTAATGTTATTTATAAGTTTTTTGATCAATTAATTTAAATTTACGATCAACTGATTTTATTAAATATGATATTTAATTTAATTAATCAACTAATTTATCATTCACGATCATTAGTAAAATTACATATTAATTAAGTATATATTATGAATAGTAGTGTATAGCTCTTTTATTTTTTTATTTATACTTTATTATATTTAAACAATTTATCTGTATAATTAATAAAAGTTTTAGTAAAATTCAGATAGAATTACTGATATAATTAAAAATGTATATATATTTTAATAAGGATATATTATAAATTATAAGAGAAATTATAAGAGATATAATATCCGTTATAATTTATTGTAATGTATATGTTTATTAACATATTAAATTTATTGTATGTTTATTAACATATGCGTAACTGTTAATTTCGTGAAAATCCTAAAATAAAAAGTTGTAAGTTTTTGCGATTAAATCAAGAATAAGAATTTGCGAAGTTGCCATGCTTTATATCATTTATTACTGTTAACTCAAATAGATATAAGAAATCCTTTCGAGATTGGTTTAATTGCTTTTGATTTTCATATTTCAACCATGATCAAAATACGTAAAAATATAGGTATCGGTGATTTTTCTTAAATTTTGTAGAAAATTTTCATGTTATTGCATTTTAAACGGTGCCATTTTCAGCTTCAGAAAATCAACTTGTATATATTTAGACATTCAAACGTTCAACGATGTATGCAAATTGCGGTATTTTCATAAATTCGTAAATAGCTGGAAAACAGCGAAAGCTGTAGCTACGGGTCGCGGCTTGTTTTGCTCACTGTTTCCTGTTATCCTGTTAAAGTTCAACAGCGATAAGTAGATAAATAGACGAATATTTCGTGTATGCATGGCTTGAGTTTCATGTCACATTTTCATTATGAAGTCTATCGTGAATTGAGCTTACTTTTTGGAAAATTAATTTTGAAACAAGTACATATTTCTGTTCTGAAAGATCTGTAATTATGTCTAAAAAAGGAAATTCTCACCGATGTTAATGATTTTAAAATATATTATCAAAGTCATCATTCTAACAAATTTTTTCTATAAATATTACCGTCGTTTGGCTTTAGTTCCCGAAATATTTATACTTTTAAATATTATACTTTTTTCGCCCAAGATATTATATTATTATACTTTTTAAAAAGCAAACTTCATCGATCTTTATGATTCTTGGATTTCTAATGGATTCTTAAATATTCGAGAGTATATATTTCAGTAAATAATACATATAATGAAATTTCTTTATTGGGTCCCATAATTTATTCATTAAGAATTATTATTAGTTTCATAAATTTATTTTCAAGCATTGATAGTGTTTCCGGCTGACAAATGTCATTATAATATTTTTTAAAAAAATGTTAGTATTCTTCTTTAAAAAAAGTTAATCATTTTTAAAAATGTATGTTTCAGTTATTAGGGTATATAAACCAGCCATAAGATAATCAACTTTATTCGAGTTATTTCAAACTTAATAAATATTATTTCCAATTTTCTCGCAAAATTTTGGTTCGCAGTTAAAAATCTTTTATAAATGTTGTTTTTATATAAAATGAAGCTATTTTCAAAATTTCAGTCAAATGATAGGTGATATGTTTTTAGAAATTTTGTCGAAAGCTTTTTGCGTATTTCTTGGAGACTAATTGTAAGACTGAGCGGCGGTAATATATGTAGGGAAAAATTGTTCACAATAATGACCTTCATAAAGTATTGCAAGGATCTCTTCTTTTTTATTGTAATTGATTACTGATTACCATGTTGTATACTTTGGAATGAATTTTGTTGTTTGAATTGATCTTATAGAGACGTTGTAAAATCTGATACAAAATGATTGTTGTTTTAATTGTCGGGACAAAGGAATTGAATAAAAGAAATGAATTTGCAGTCTTACAATTAGAATGAAATTTTTAATGAAGAATCTATTTTATATTTACATTAATAAATATTGGCATTTTCGTGCTTGTAAATGCCATTAATGCCATTAATTTTTTTACTGTATGAAATTCTGAAATAGAGGTGTGTCTATAACCTGTAAGAGATTGTGTACATAGTTGGAATCGCTATTCAATAATTCAATTTTTATGTTGTAAATTCCATGAGCAAAATTGATTTATTTCTTTACTTGAATTTATATTTATAAAAAATATGATATATTTTAATTTGTTAGTAGATAATAATAATAATACGGTATCCCTGATTCATAAATATTTTAGAATATTGTGAAGAAGCAGTACTAAATTGACATACATATATTTGCATGTTTACGTTTCTCTGATTATTGCTCGCGTAAATTAATGACAAGTTTGTATTAATTTTTTAAGGATGAATTTTATTCTAGTTCAATAGATGCATATTATACTCAATAATAATACTATGTAAAGTTTTTATTCGATTATCTTCCTGACCAAAGTTCATGATTTCATAAACTTTCTAACTTCGTGTGCCGATTAAATGTAAAGAAAAGCATGTCCACGTATCATTATTTGTTATCATCAAATAACTTTGACACGCTTTGGTACCGATATTTTTGCCATTTTGTTCCACGTTGAAAAAATATCGATTACTCTTTAAATTATTTAATAGTGCCCTATGTGAATCACACTGATTGCCTTTAGGTAATTTGCCTAATTATGTATTGATTTATGCTCACTATTCTATTTACATTTGTGTAGCATATACCTAATCCTTACTATTATTCTGATCTACAGTATATACAATACTTAATATGATATAAATTCTAGATGCTCTACTACCGTATTGACTCCGATGCAAAGAAATAAAGTATACCTTGTTTTAGCTTAATTGAAAACATGATCGAAACATATGCTCACAGAAACTTTTAGTCCTGTTTATGTAA